TAGGCAGCGGCACAAAGACACTAGTTCATCCCCGGCCTCTTCATTTGGACATCCGCCATGAACTCCGAATAGCACAGCAATAACTTAAATAAGAGAGATGATAGAGGTTGATGCCAAAACCTCATGGTCAACAAATGGCCGTCAAGAGACATGGTGCAATAGCGAATTTCTTTTGTTTATATGGTATTGAACCAAACCTAGAGAAGCTAAATCAAGCCTCTTTAATAGGTCCTTTGAAGTAGTGTCTTGCCCGCACAACATACCAGATCAAACTACCGAGGACGACGGTGCCAAAAACTAGAACACTCCAGTTCACAGTGTCGAGAGTTGGATTGTTTTGCTGCGGCCAAAACGACCAGAAAAGCAGGAAGAGGTTCCATACGCAAGCGATCCCATTATTGATGGTTCCAAAGGGCTCACGGAGTTTCCAGGGCCCCCATTCTGGTCCCCCATGAACGTCACCGGAGGAGCCTGAATCATATGGCCGAATCCCACTAGTGCAGCGGCGCCATAAAAGTAGAGTGCATGACATGAGATATGTGGTGGAGGTAGCTGCCACGAAAAGTGAGACAATGGCCGCCAGCGCAACATCTGATGCTAGAACGATTAAGGACAGGATGACAGTTATGAACATGCTGGCGATGATGGTATTTGTCGGCAGGTTGTTCCCCGTTATCTGCTCTGTCAGTTAGCCTACTAACAACCCGCTGCTCACTGGGTCTTTCTCTTACCCGCACCAAGTATTTGCTGCCGGGCATTCCCCTGTCTCGGGCGAAGGACCACATAGAACGCGAAGCACAGGCGTACGTGCCTACGGTGCTCAGAACCTGGAGTGTGAAGACAATGCCCGCCATCAGGCAGGCGCCGGTGGTCGAGTTGACCCCAGACTGGAAAATCTGCAGCCAGGGATAGAACATGGTCTGCTGGGCTGCTAAGGCGGCGTCTAGATCTGTGATGTAGAAGAGAAGAGCGACTATCGTGGCGAACCCCAGTGAACCATTAATGTAGATGGTGTACATCATTGACCGTGGCACTATGATGGCGGCCGCCTGGATCTCTTCCGCCATGTGCACGGCGCAATCTGCCCCTACGAGTGAGGCCGTGACGGGAGGGAGTCCTACGAGAAATGCCAGCCCCATGCTGGGCCATCCTCCGTTGTTATAAAAGGTGCTGAACACGAAGGAGGCGTTGTTGTGGGGCGAGAGATAGACCAGTGGTATCAGGACCCCGAAGAACCCTACAAGATGGAGCACGAGGGTCACTGCTTCGAATCTTGCTATCAAGCGGCCCGTGGTCAGGTTGATTGAGGTGGCGAACAGCGCCCAACCCCACATGATGAGAATCGTATGCCATGCTGATGGCACATAGGATGGTCGTGAGAGGACGATGATGCCTTGGAGGACTGTGGCGGATCCGTAGGCACTGGCGATGGAGAGGGCTTGCCAATTGAGTGCTGTCAGCCATGCTGCCGTGTAACTCAGGAAGCTGACGTATCGCTTGGGACAGAGCATGGCAATCCAGTGGTCTGCAGAACAGCACAGTCAGCGAGTCGGCCTCGACTTCAGGTTCAGTTCACTGTACACTGTCCGCCGGCGGTAGGTGCCATTGATGACATCTCGCCCAGCGTCGCTGTGACCGAAATTGTTCCAATCCAACCGATAATAAAGGACCAGACCACAGCCCCTGGGCCGCCTTCGACAAGAGCCGGGACGGAGGTGTTGAGGATTGCCTCCCATGAAGAAAGCGCAGAGCATGACAATCCAAGAATGGACATGAACCCAAAGCTACGAGTGAGCAATGGCCGTTTACCCAGTCGTCTCAACGTGACATCGTCGTTGGCAACCCGAATTCCATGAGGCTTCGTTGCACTTCGTACGATAGTAGTCTCGTCAGTGGTCTTGAGCTCAATCTCGCCATGATTGGAAGCCATAGCTTCGCAATCGACAATTCGATCTTTTCAGATCGCACCGAACGGTTCTGTCAACTGGTGGTAGTTCGATTGGCCTGAAGACGTCGAAAAAGGATGCGAAATTCTCGAGTGAGTGAAGGGCATTCCGATCAAGGTAGCCTGGGCATGTCGATGGATCAAAAATTGGGCGAGATATGGGTAAGTCTGAGCAGAAGAAAATGGAAGCGGTGTGCGACCTCGTTCATGCATGTCAGACAGGTTGGGGGGAGGGGGGGTTCACGGCAGCAACCTCGGAAGAAACGACCAGGCTGCTACTGGCAGAGTTCAGTGGCAGAGAAGGTTACTCGCTTATGTAGGTCGTAGGATACCATCCATGAGCTAGGTGATCTGCATCTGCCTGTCGCTACAGCTCTCAGGCTGGCCGTTTGCCCGCCCCCCCCCCCCCCCAAACCAAAAAAAAAGAGAAATGACAATAACAACAACAACCGTACCTCAGTACCAAAATCAGTACCTTGAAGTATTAGTGCCGTTAATTTACCCACCGCAATGTTGGATTTCAAATTTTGATGTCACTGGAATGAGGTACGAGTTGTAAACATCCAAGTATCATTAGAATCAAGCACACACTATTTGTTTGTTGAGCAATTTGGACTTGAAATGTGAAGGGTTTTCGGTGGTTTAGGAGGGTACTTGGAGTTCAAGTTTATGTTCGGGATACGCAGCAAGACGGTTGATTGAGTAATAAGGTCTCACAGTGATCACAGGTAGTGAAAGCTATTCAAGAGCGAATACTTAGATTAACTGCTGAAGAGCTGTTCTTACTGTCTAGCTATCTGGTAGTGAGCGTATCCGTATATATCTAGCTCTTTAGTCTGGATTGCTATAGTTGCAGAGCGACTATTGCAGTTCTCCTAGGTAGGCAACAGGACCGCTTCTTAATCCTTGTATTTTGAACCTTAACCCCAGGTGGGCTTTATTATACTAAATAAATGTATTTTATATAGAGGAATATTGTCTAGAAATAAGCTTAATATTAACGCTACCTCTAAAAATTAAAGGCTGACTAATAAGGGTGGAGCTTAGTCATTGTGAACTTTGAAACAGCGGGTGGGCAACTTCAAGATCGGTATAGATCCCAATTCTCTAAACCACATTCGTCGTCCTCATTCCAAAACTCATAACCTAATCACCTTAACAAAAACATTACAACATGGCACCAATTTACCCCAAGATGTCTCCGAATCGGTCTGGTCACCTCCAAGTGTCCCCTGTCCATTCCATCTACTGGGAAGAATGTGGCCTACCGACTGGCACACCTGTGGTTTATCTCCACGGCGGTCCTGGGGCCGGATTTGACGAATCAGATAGGTGAGTATTCGAGCTCTGGCGCAGAAGATCATCACAATTGAGGGCGATCGCAGACAGTACTTTGATCCCTCCCACTACCGCAGCGTCCTTTTCGACCAGCGGGGCGCTGGAAAGTCTACCCCGCACGCCTCGCTCGAGGAGAACACGACCTGGCACCTCGTAGAGGACATGGAGAAGTTGCGACAGCACCTCGGCATCGAGAAGTGGATCATCTTTGGAGGATCATGGGGCTCGACACTGTCGCTCGCCTACTCGGAGACGCACCCTGACCGCTGCCTTGGACTGATCCTCAGAGGCATCTTCACGCTACGAAGGGAGGAGCTGCTGTGGTTCTACCAGAAGGGAGCCGACTTCCTGTTTGCCGACTTCTTTGATGACTACGAGGCCGTTATTCCTGAGAATGAGAGAGGTGATATGATGCAGGCATACTACAAGCGACTGACCGGAAACGACGAGGAGGAGAGGCTCAGATGGTGTGTAAATGCGCTCCAGTACTCTCAGATACATCCGACCACGTAGTTGACAAGCACACAGTGCCGACGCCTGGAGTCGCTGGGAGAATTCCACAAGCAAGTTGATGGTAGATCCGGCCTACATCGCAAGGTCAGACGATCCGAAGTGGTCAGTATCCTCCACATCAAATGGCGTTTCGTCTCTGACCCGCGTAGGGCTCTCGCTTTCGCGAGGATCGAGTCTCACTACTTTGTCAATGGCGGATTCATGAAAGATGGTCAATTGATTGAGGATGCACACAAGATCATGCACCTGCCCATTGTCATCATTCAGGGACGGTACGATGTCGTGTGCCCTGCCAAGACAAGCTGGGATCTGTACAAGGCTCTTGGCGGGAAGGACAACAAGAACGTCGAATACAAGGTCATCGGCGATGCTGGTCACAGTGCTCATGAGGTAGCGATTGAGCCAGCGTTGGTGGATGCTGCCGAGAAGTTCAAGTCAATCAAGCTGTGAGGGTAGGTACATCTAGGTACTTGAGGCCTAGAATTCCTGTTCGTGGAGTGAGGCCCCGTAGCCCTTTGGCTGGTAGCTGAAGCTATAGGGTAAGGAATCCTTGGAACACACGCAAAGCTCCATTCTGGTACGGTCTCAGGAATGCATAGCATCATCTTTATATCAGCAGTTCTCTGGTTCATTCTTCTGCACCATGTTGTCGTGTGTCTTGACTGACTCCAAATCAATATAGCTAGTTATAACAGTGGCAGCGCGGACCGCGTCACAGGTGTTACAAAACTATCAGCTGACACTGCGCCAGGGGGATTTGATGTTTATGCCTCTTCTATGTACCTTGGAGTGCTCAAGTTCTGCATTATGTAGGTGCCTTTTACCTTCTGGGTAAAACAAACACACATTGATAAAATGAGCGCAGAGCCCGGGACCACTTGAGAAAGTATGGGGATGGGTATGAAGGATATGCCAAGAATAGACAGTTACCGGTGTAGTGTAAAGAAGTTGGAACTGTAGGTGCGGAGCAAAGTGAGGTCTAGATGATGACCACATAGAGGAGAGGTGTTATCCACGTGTGATGTGTACGAATGAAGCGATGGATAAGCTGAAAGAGATAAAGTTCTTGGTACATACCCGGGCAGATATTCGAAAACAAATATTGATATTCCAATGTACTCTTGAAATACAGAAAACCGTGCTTGTAAATAACTCCTACAACCGAATATCGACAAGTTAGTTACTGAACAACTCTTGGAGCCCCATGTCCGACGTCTTTGGCCGCCGCCCGGTCTTCATCATGACATTCGGCCTGTACACCGCAGCCAGCCTAGGGCTTGCCCTCTCTACAGGCAGATACACAGCGCTGCTCCTCCTCCGTGCGACGCAAAGCATCGGGGGCTCTGCGGCGCTGAGCCTCGCATATGGCGTCGTCGCCGACCTTGTCACCTCCGCAGATAGAGGGAGCATGCTGGGCCCGATGCTGGCGAGCGGGAACTTGGGGCCTTGCATTGGCCCTATCATTGGCGGTGGGGCGGTGATGACAAACCATCCGGTTTGGTGATTCTGGGCTTTGGTGATATTCGGTGGAATTGCACTCATGCTGATCCTATGGACGCTACCCGAGACTAGGAGGACCATCGTGGGTAATGGGTCTGTGCCAGTTCTGGAAGTATGGAGACCTTGGTGGAGTCTCATGGTCGACTGGCGGAGGGAAAGGAGACTCGGTGTCAAGGATTCTGAGGAAGGGAGAAAATTACCGGGCAGTGTTGAGGACAGCTTTGACGACACAAGTCCAAACAACCTGACTAGCGCCAAGGATGGAAGGAAGAAAACAGAAGGATACATAATCGAGGACCCCAACAAGACTGCCACCGGAAAAGGGAAGTTGGTGGTTCCAAACCCATTTAATTCCCTCCGTCTCGTTTTCTATTGGGTCACATTCCTTGCTCTCTGGCTTGCAGCTAGCCCATACGCCGTCTGGTACCTCATCCAGGCCTCGATTCCCGTCATCTACGGACAAGACCCAGGCGGTTATGGCTTCAGAGATATTTACCTTGGCCTATGTTACCTGGCCGGCGGCTCACGCGTCATCGCAGGGGGCTTCATAGGCGGATGGATGATGGACAGGAACTACAAGCATGTGGCACAAAAGGCCGGCTTCTCCACGAATAAGACTGACAACCACAACATCCACAGTTTCCCCATCGAAGAGGCACGAAGCCGCTTCTCGCTGCTCATCCTGGCGTTTTCGGCTTGCGTCCTGGTCGGCTTTGCCTGGGCCGTACAACTCAAGGCACACCCTGCTGTGCCATTGATTGTTCAGTTCTACGTTGGTGCAAAGTGTACTGTCCTGCACCAGGTATACAGTGCTCTACTGGTGGACATATTCCCCGAGAAGCCCAGCACAATCGCTGCGAGTGCCAACATCATGCGGTGTGCATTGTCTGCTGCTGTGATTGCTGTTTTCAACCCACTGGTGAACGCCATGGGAAGAGGATGGTTCTTTACCATGGTTGCTTTCCTGGATGGGGCTTTGTGCATAGTTTGTGTTGCTGTCTTGAGGCGTTGGGGTAAGTACTGGAAGGACAAGAGGAGAATGACTGTATGAAAGATCAATTACATGAAGACCTGCTATCTTGGTACAACGTGATATGACTCATTCTGATCTTCTTTTATGTATAAAGCGTTATCCGTTTTCTGGAGTACCTCCAATGGTGTTTTCCAGGACCTCCCCTACTTGCGCTGGTTGACACCCATCATCAACCAGAAAATTGTATTGTCAAAGCTTGGAGCCAGTACTAGCTCCGCCTCTTCAGAGGTCTAGGGTTAGCTGAAAAGGATAGACGATACACATCCCAGTCCTTCAATTACCACATCTCCAAGGGCTCGTATCCATTTTTGTCACGTACATAAGCACAAAAGGCTTAAATACGGTATTCCGCCCAGTAGTGATTCATTTGGCACTGTTCAATGCCTGCCCCAGAGAAGCAAGTTATCAGCAGAGTGAATTCCTAGTGCTTAGGCTGTGATTCTCGGGTGGTACTTGTAATCCGTCCTGTCTCGTGTTCTATATAGCAAACCGTTTGTATCCATGTGAATACTGGGATTAATTGGACGAGATCTAGTCAGCAGCTGAATATTGTCCCAAATTCTTGTGTCCTCAAGATTCAAGCTCAAGCACGACCATTCCTTAAGCTACTTGGTAACACCAGTTCATGTCTTTAATCTTGGATCTCAAAAACCCCGGCCGTTTTCCACTTCATCACCAATGCACTCATGAGCACCAGTAGGACACGCTTGTGCAAGGCTTTCTTCACCAACAGCAGTCAAGTAAACACTGATCGAACCAGGCATCCCCATCAATCACATCGTTCAACAACATGGCTTCCTCCCTACCAGTATTTGATGCTAGCTACTGGCAGTACAAGGAAGACACCAGCTACGTCCTCAAATGGATTGACCAGGCAGCCAGGAGCTATGGCTGGAAGAGGAGGCAAACGAAGCATGTGGGACCAAAGTTATCGAACGCAATGACCACCACGACCACAAGTGCCGCTAGCAATAAATTTCCTGGCATGAAGACATCCACGGCCACCGGACCAGGCCGTCTGAAGGGCAAGGATCGCAGGGCTGCGAAGCAGCAGGTGGCGGCACAGAGGGAGGCAGCACTTGAGAAAGAAAAGAAAGAAGAGTACGAGCGGGGAATCGTCTTGAGCACAGCGGAGATTCTCGAGCAGGCAGATTTGATATCCGCCCGTCTCCCAGTTTCCGACCGCGGCATGTCTCAACCGCCGTCGAGTGTGTAAGTAAAATTCTCGCGCACACAATTATTTTCAAGTCCCTTTAAGTCCTCTTTTCGGATGCTTGTCTGAACTTTGCTTACATGCTGATGTCTGCAGAATTCACGCACTCAGTCGTGCGATCAGGCTGCGACGAAGGTTCTCCAATTGGTTTGAGGCTGCCCAACCAGATGATCGAAAGAGCAACTCTGCGCATCGGTATTTTGTAGAGGTCCTGGAGAGGCTTGCCCGTCTCTTTGTCCAAACCTCCAAGAACTCCACAATCGGCTCGGACCAGACCAACAGCGAAGAGGTTGCATCTGGTAATGGCAGACGGAAACCCGAGAATCAGTGAGTACCGCCAACGGATTCAGTCACAGGTTTGGATCTAACCATATTAGCAATCGTTACGAAGTTTTACTCGAGAAAATGATTCAAGACGAACCTGAACACGGTCCAGAATCCTCTGCCAAATCCTCGGGACCCTCTATGGCCAAGGAGCCCGCTAAATCTGCTCGGTACCATATGGAAGTCGATGACTGCCAGGAAAATGCTTTCATGGTCTTCACCTTATTCATGGACCTGCAAGACCTCAAGGCAGAGATAAGGCGTTTGTGGGAGCGGTCCTTCAAGGATGGTGCCGACCTGTCCGTGGCGACTCTGATGACTGCCCAAGCCCTGGCTTTCGTCAAGAGATCCGAAGAGAAAATAGTCTCGATCCTTCCCTCTCCACGATACGAAGGTGATCTTGAGCGACGGACCTGGTCGCACCCAGGCACATACTGCCGATTGTTGAACACCCTCCACGACCCCACCGATATTAAAGCAGTCATTGGATTCGAAGAGTCAAACTACACGTCGGCGAATGGAGGGGAACAAATTAGTATGAACGACTTGACGTTTGTCTTCTCCGTCCGAAGGCTTGTTTGCACGTCTGTCTCCGAGGACTTCCCGCCCTTTAACCCTCTTATTCAGGAATTCGTGCACAATCCACGAGTATTGCTGAGGGACGACATTGACATGGTCCTCGAACGGGACAGGACTCTATGTTTCCTTTTGTACAACTTGAAGCAGCTTCATCGCTTTTTCACACCCCCGCTTGGCTCTTCAGAAAGGGCACGCCAATTGGAGCTGTACAGCAGAGATCCAATCATGGACTCCCTGCAGTCTATCTGGGTACAAAAAGAAGTCAACCTCACAAGTGTTTTTGCCGCCGAGATCATGTTGGACATCAAGGAGACCTGTGATGCTTTTCCTGCATCTATACCAAACTACTTTAAGATTTACGATCGATACATGAAGTTGCTTGGTATTGAAAGAGACAAAGAAAGCTTTTCCTTTACGCCAGGAACTCCGCTCTGCAGCTTCATGGACTCCGGCTTTTTACGCGATCAGATCGGTGATGTCTTGACAAAGTCCAGCTACTTGTTATTAAATATCACCCGTTGTCGTTTTGATACGTCGCAAGTACATCCCCGACGGGAAGGAGTCGGTGAGATTTGCAAGCATCTCCTCGATCTTTACACAGGGCTGGAACAACAGCTTCCCGAATGCGATGTTAAATTCTACCGGGGACGCGGTGTTTTCGAGCCCATATGCTTTCCGAAAGATGAAGATCTATGTCTTGGTGACTACCCCTTACTAAGTACCATGCGAGAGACCTTCCTGGCAACCCTGAGCGAATCAATTGGAATCGAGATGCTCAATGACGACAGGCACGCGACAAGTGCCATGGCTCACGTCTACAATGCGTCTCGGCAATTGGGAATTGGCAACCTACATTGGCCAGCAATGGACCGCCTCATAGAGCTGCATAAGATCGCCTTATTCGCTGGCGATATCCCTAACACCCCTGCGGCGATGCTTCAGAGTTTTCGGCATCGCAATTGGGGCCCCGAAGGCAAGATGTCACGTAAGGAAAGGAAGAGGCGCATGAACAGGACCGCGACATTAATGAGACCTTCTGCAACGACACTGGCTTTCAATGAGCATTTGGACACTGCGGGGCGCATCCCCTTTACGTACACCTTGGAGTCTAATGCCATCGCTTCTATGGTAGAGAAGAAGCTCGTTCGGAACAATTCATCTTCGGTGGCCCCAAGCTTTATCGAAAGCATGGCCACGATGGAGAATTACTTGACAAAACAGTTCCGAGACGTGCGCGTGGACTACATGGAAGTTATCAAGGTCAGCCTCGACTTCAACGATGACCTACTGGAACACGCTCGGAAGACCTTTGCAAAGCAAGCGAACTGGATCATTGGAGACGAGAAAGGAGATGGCTGGAGTGGCATTGACTTCGTGTCTGAGGCATTTGAGCAGGAAGCGGCACTCGCTGAAGCCATGACCAAGTGTGATGGTGACAGCTCTAAATTTCCTGCGCAAGACTGCGACTATTTACAAGACAGCGTGAACTGCCTTGCCAATTCTCTCAGGGCCAAAGGCATTGGAGGTCCCTCGGCTCCCGATGAGGAGGCTGCTTGCGTGAACATGCCCAGTTCTCAGAAGCGCTTCAGATTACGGGATTCTCAGGATGGGCCGGACCTGAGTCCACTAGTCCTTGTGTCTTACTGCAGATGTTGCCATCGCAAGCATCACTACTGAGCTACCATGTCATACGGTCTTGGAGGGGATTTCCATACTTTCCCATCTACTGGAAGGGAGCACGGCGAGAGTATGGCCATTTTTGGACTGTGCGAGAAGGAAATATTGGATATGCATGTCTCCAGCAAAGTCGATTGTACATGTTTGTCGTGTGGAAGATTATCAGAGAGGTTGAGGCTTCAATTCGGTGCTCGTTGTATTTTTGAACTGAGCAACGGACAGCATGAGAGCATGGCAGAATTTCTAGATGCTGGGCGGGGAGGGGCTGGTAATGAAATCCCACGCATTAGCAATATGGTAATGTGTATGTAATGGATTTCCTTGAGAAAATTTCAAGCGAGTATGGGTCTCCTTAAACTGGTGTCGAGTGTCTGAATTCTGGCCATTCGCGATGATGTTGAATACGATCTGGCACAAGAAGAATATCCTATCATCCTTCGCGCAATATCTAAGCATTGGAACGTCGATACCTGGCCGCAGCCATCCAGCAGAGCCCTGTCCGAAAGGATTCGGCACGAAGTTCTACACATACCTGATCAACCTTTACGACCTCTTGATCCATCAAAACGCTTCATACCTGGAATTCGTGCATCACAAAGCACGATATGCAAGGAAGTGTCCTGATTGGCTTGGCGTCCTTCCGAGAGACTCGGATAGCTGGGCTTTTGATCAGGATGGAGGCCATCCCTGTGAGATCGTTGCGGTCTACGGTCAATCCATGTCTGCTAGATAAAACGGTGGATGAGCTAGGCACGAACTGCAAGCAAGATCTGTTCGTGCAAAACGATGTACACAGGCCCACGGTTTCGCTGGCGGTTGCTGTGTGGAGGTTTTGGCCATTCTTGGCTGGAGTTGTCCAGATCGCGTCCTACCACGGATACTCTCGAAAATTTGTATAGACAGCTTTGATTTCTTCCAATTCAAGAATCATTTCTCATGCGACTTGAGTCAGATGGAGTAATGTGAATAGTATGGCTATGAGTGATCATGATAAACCTCGCATCTTCGCCGCGGGCAGATTTATCTGATAAAGAAGGTAAAGTATATACAATGTTGATCGAATTACTCCATGAAATGGGTGACATATTCCAATGATAGAATCGGAAATTAATTCGTCATACATTCAATGGCAAGTGTGCATTTGGGTCACTTTCGAAGGCCTAGAAGGTAAAGCCAGACCAGATACCACCACCCGGGGGAGTATAAGTGGTCGCAGTACTAGAGTAGATGTCAATCTGAGAGAACAGGTCAGCCATAAATTCTTCACCGAGCAATTTGGTCAATGTCTCAGGCAATCAATGATAATACTCACCGTGACACCAGGGTCGCTTTGAGCGGCATATGCAGGAATAGAGTAAAGGTAGTCCGAAGATGGCGAAGCAGAGCCACTTCCAGATACGATGAGTTGAGCACACTCAGGATAGAATTGCGGAGTATTCGTTTGGTGGAGAGCGAGCAGCTCGTGGCGGATGAGGTAGTTGCCCGGGGCGAGGTTGGTGGGGATCTTGCTCGACCACTTGAGAGTCTACGCGAGGGGTACCATTGTGTCAGTAACCAGGTGTCTCTGCCAACTCGGTGCAAGGAGACTGCTATCGCTTACATCAACGACAATCGCGGTGCCCCAACTATCTCCGCTCAGCGGTGGCTTGGTCATGCCCATCTGGTCAATCTTGAACCAGCCCTTGCTCTTGCCGTCGCAGGCGGAGAAGGCGCCGGAGCACTTGTACATCCAGACCATGACAGGGCCCTGCTTGTGCGTCCACTGGCCCCAGATGGCGGTGATGTTCTGCCCAGCCGTGATGGGGGCGCTAAGCGCCGCGGAGGTGCCGCCGTTGCAAGTCATCTTGGCATCGGTGACGGTCATGATGGGATTGTAGTCAGGCCATTGCCGCTCGATGGTGGCCGGCGAGGTCGCGGGCGAGAAACCCGTGTAGCCGGGGTATGTGCTGAGCCGCGGCTTTGTTAGCAAGGAGGGCGCGAAGTGCACATGATCAAGCGTAGTCGCCTTTAATTTTCTAATTCATTTGTTTCCCTTTCCAAAAACTTACGTCGAGCCAATTTGGTAGCTGGTGACAGCCCCGTGGCCCGCGGCCAAGGAGGCGGCGGAGAGGGCCGAGGCAAGAATGTTCAGCTTCATGATAGCTGTGATGCGTGGCGATGGGGTTGTGAAAGCAGTAAGATTCCGTTCACTTTAAGAATACTTAAGAAACACTCGACCGTATCGTCTGTATGGGCGGATGAGAAGAGAAGACGACGGAGCAGGGGATATCGAGGAGTAAATAAGTACTTTAAAGGCTAAGCGCTCAGATATATATCACTCCTCTAAACTAAAGAATCCGAATCCGGGCACGAACCCACCACATAGGTTCTGAAATGTTGCATTTTATCGAAGCAAGGTTGTATAACAAGCCGCGTCGACGAAGCACCTGGCCGTTGCCATTACCAAGCAAGTAAGGATCATCGTGCTCTGGAAGGCTTCTAGAATCGAGATCGAGTCCGACAGACCACTGAGATCTCACCAAGGCAGCCAGGCACGGCTCGCGGACCGACTGGACTGCAAGAGGTTCCTATTATTGATGAGGTGTAAGCGCATGGCCCAGATGACCAGAGATACCAGGGGGTCTGTGCCAGCCATCATGTCGAACATGCTGAATTCTGAATGGACAGGACAGCGTTCATGAGCAGGACTCGTGGCTGTATATGGTCAGGCATTGCAGAAGCTCGGCGTTCATCATCCGAAAAACTAATATGGAGGAAAGCTTGAGCGGGACTGATTGGGTGTGACGCTTTCTAGATGTGCTTTCGGCTTCTGTCGATCCTAGCGTACCAGGATCTATATTGCAGGCTATTTGGATAAAACCGTGATATCGATGCGACCCAAATAACACTGACAGTCCACTGCCGTGTGAAGCCGCCGACAACACCTCTTCAGTATTCGAAGAGTCTTTTTCTAGACAAGAGACCTCCCTCGTCGGTCACCTGGGTAGGGACTGGTTGAATGCTCAATTCGACTGTCTGCGTCCAAGCTTGTGAAGCGGCATGTCTTTACGTTGACGAAAGCCTTTTAGCAAATCGCTTAGTTCAAGAATATGAGCAACTGAATATAGCATGTCAAGACATCAATGCCATGCAATTTGTGAACTCATGGACAGGATGTACCGGCTTGCGTCCATTAACGCTCTGAGCTGGTGTGCTGCGCTGGAAAAGACTGAGTGAGGCCAGATATTGGCACTCCATACCAAAGTATGAGAGCAAAATACTTGCGCAGGTTTACTGAGCTTTTCGTCTTCAAAGTCTTAGACTCATGGTCAGCATTGATGGGTCTCTAGCAAGTAGAGGTTAGGAAGGGGTCGAAAATGTGCTAGTAGACATAGAGGAGCGGGCAGCTCTTAGTCAGCAGTACCCCAAGTAGAGGGTACGAGTGATCGCCCGGGTCCATTCCAGAACTCATGCCTGCCGGCACGACCCGAAAAGCTTCCAGAAGTTCGCCATCCCACCTACATACTGACGAACTTGACATACCTCATCACAACCCGATCCTAAAATCTCTCGCGAAAGACTACCAACTCTCCTCCAACCCCTACATCCAAAGTCCGCCACCGTCTCGGAAGACAGACAATCAATAAGCCGAACGATGGCTCTCCAAGCCTACCGCAACCTCCTCCGCGCATCACGCCTGACCTTCCAGGGCGACGAGCGGCTCCTGCTGAACGCCCGCAACCAGATCCGCCTCGGCTTCCGCGAGAAGGCCAGCCTGTCCCCCTCGGACCCGGCCGTCGCGCCGGCGGTGCAGCAAGCTGAAGAGATCGCTCAGTTCCTGCGGCAGAACGTGGTCCAGGGGCGGGACGAGGGCGAGGGGAGGTTTAGTGAGTACTGGTCTTAATATCCTCGGGGGAGATGCTTGTACAGTGCTAACAGTTGTGGTACGAACTAGAGCTGCGAATCCATGAGCATACCGAGCGGGGCGACAATGATACGATCAAGACGGCTGGCGGGCAGACTATTAAGATTGGGGGCGGGTGTTGCTCGAGCTGAAGTGGTGTTGCCGACTTGAGGGAACAGGTACAACCAATGCTCAGGTGATTCGTGAGAAGCGCTCCGGTTACGCGCGGCAACAGAGCAGCGACGACAGCAGCGAAGCGTGGACGAGACCAGCCTGATCCACCCAAGTCTAGACCAGGCTAGAAGAAGAGCGGGATGCGGAAGAGGGTCAAAATGATTTGAAGATATTGAGGGGATGGCTTCCGGTGTAAGATTAGATGATGCTGTACAAATCCTATGATACCCCTCCACTGCTCACAATTATTTGAGAAACCCGCAAATACCCATGCAATGCACTATGCCACCAGCCCTGCCTGCTGAACGCCAATATTTCGCTGCTCAGTGGCTTCTTGGCTGCCTTGAACTCCTGAACCCCGGAAATGACATTTTCGACCCGCAAGAACAGGGACTTAGTTGCCAGCCAGACTGGCGTAGTTGACATCGGATGCGCCAGGCGGTGCGGCCACAGCCAGATTTGCAAGATCATCTTGCTGGGCACCGCTGGCACCTGCTCCGTCCGCGCCGCCGCCTTGGACAGCCTTCTGTCCTCCCTGTGCCCTCCTCGCCTGCGGGAATGCTGACCTGCCGTCCCTCAGCATCTCGGATCGCTCCTCGCGGTTCATGTTGCCGACTGCCTTTGGTTGACTCCACCGCACACGCAGCGGGCACCCTGCGATCACGGCCTTGCCCTGGCAAGCCTCTGCTGCCTTCTCCGCAGCCTCCCTTGTCTCGTAGTTGATGAATGCGCAATGCGACATGTGTGAGCACACTAGCGACTTGATCTTGCCATGTGCCTTGAAGAAGTCGCGAATCTTGTGCTCCGGTAGATCGTCCTCGATGCCTGTAACAAATAGCGACATGATATTCTTGTCGGCAGGTGGCTTCCAATCGTTCGGTCCGGGTGGTAATTGCGCTGCGGAGGGGAACGCGCCTTTCCTAGGTCCTCCTGGCCTGCCGCCTCCAGGTCTTGCGCCCACAGCGCCAGCAGCCCTTGAGTCCCGCGACCGGATGGGACCGGCGCCTCCCAGACCAGCTCCCACCACAGGGTTACCACCAGTTGCGCTCCTGGAGCTTTCGCCAGTCGCATTGCCCTCCTCATCGACGGTCCTGCCTTTCCTGAAGTACGGCTTGCTCTGCGCCAGCCTCCTCAGCAGCTCGCGCGCCTTCTCGTCCGTCTTCTCGTACTCCTCAACACCAGCCCTGCCCTCCTCGATGGCCTTCTCGTTGTTCTGCGCGAAGAACTCCCTGTTGATCTCGGACTGGGGGCCGGGCGCGACCATCTTGAGGGCGGCGTCGCGCACGACGATGGGCAGGCCGAAGGACAGGTCCAGCATGCAGCACTGGCAGCAGTTCTTGAGGCGGGCGCAGGTCAGGCACACGTTGGTGCGCTTCTTGCGGCCGTGGGCGCGGTCGGCGGACCACTGGAAGACGGTGAAGGGCCGCGTGCACAGCTTGCACTCGGCAGCGTAGTCCTCCTTGAGCATCTTGACGTAGGGGTTCTCGGGCAGGCAGTTCTCGCACACGGACGGGAAGTCGGTCGACTCCCAGCCTGAGCGGTTGAGGTCCTGTTTTATTTGGGGCGGCATGTTGTCGGGCTGTGATCGCGATCAGGAGGTAGTCGAGCGGGCGCGACAGGAGAATGAGACGATCGGGCTGGGGAGAGGCGTGATTGCCGTTAAATCACAACGAGGAGAGGCTGAGGATGTCGCAGAGTGGGGTGATCGCTTGAGTGTCGCGGGTTGGTAGTTGTTGGATGGGCTCAACCGGCTGACAGGGAAACTTTGCAGTGGCGCGGAATGCCGCATAGAAGCGCTGGTTGAGGGAGCTTATCGATAATCAGCCCATGCAATCCACTTTAGTCAGCAGCTCCTGTTTGCCTCTGCTTGCGGTTGACTAGGATCGGGGTTGGCCTTGAAGGAGTCCTGCATGAAGGTCAACCTTCCTATAAGATCTCAGTTCCTGGCCGGTATACCACCTAGATGTCTTGCGCCACAACGTCAAGCTTCTCTTGCATCATGGCACGCATCTAAAGCCGCTCATGAGGCTCTTCGTATTCGCATTTGATGTGGCGTATCCGCATTCATGTGAACCCGAATTCGCGATAATGATAAGCCAGCCAGCCGGTACAGAGACCCTGAGGGACGCCGTAAGTTACTAGCCAGTACTTGGAATCACGGTCAATCTACATGCTGGGCCAAGTACCTCGGGGTCTTCTGAATTTCCTGAAATGAGTAGCAGAGCTAGCGCACGTCGACGCTCGGCGCAGCAAGGGACCCGTCCAGCACACCCCTGTCAACAGCTGTCTATCGGTCTACTGGTAGAAAAGTTCCCAATGCCACACCGCAAAGCATTCCACTCATTTCCTCATGCAATTGTTGCGCTGTCCAGTCCCGATTGTCTGCTTCTCTGAACTCAATTGACCCTGTACTTCATTCGACTTGGAAAATTTTATCTTCTTCCTCTAATTCGCTTCAGTTCAACACACATACACACGTCAATATGGGTGGCAAGACTCAGATTCAGCTGGAGAGGGAGGACAAGGACCGCGATGCCGCCTTCAACAAGGCCATGCACGGCAAGACTGCCGCCCAGGCCAACAGCGTCGCCACCATCCTTTTCAAGAACCCAGAGGCCAAGCAGGCTGCTCTCGATGCCTACTTCAAGCACTTCGACGACAAGAGGGCAGACAACGAGACAGCTGCCGATCGTAAGGTGTGTTTGCAGCATTTCTGGGCTCTGCAGCGAGCTGCCGTGGTGGAGCAACCGCCTCGAGCTACCCCTATTCAAGCACCATGGGCTGACCAGCGAATTTTCCACAGGCACGAACCGACGAGTACGCCACGTTGACAAGACAGTCAGTAGACCATTAAGCCTCCAGGATAATGTTGGGAAATTTGCGCTGACATTACTCTTTGAACACAGCTACTACAACCTTGCCACCGACATCTACGAGTTCGGATGGGGCCAGTCCTTCCACTTCTGCCGTTTCTCCGTCGGCGAGCCTTTCTACCAAGCCATTGCTCGCCATGAGCACTACCTCGCACACCAGATTGGCATTCAGGAGGGCATGCAGGTCCTTGATGTTGGCTGCGGTGTCGGCGGACCCGCACGAGAGATTGCCAAGTTCACCGGCGCAAACATTACCGGCCTGAACAACAACGACTATCAGATTGACCGTGCAATCCACTATGCGGAGAAGGAGAAGCTTGCGAACCAGTTGACCTACGTCAAGGGTGACTTCATGGTATGCATCACTGCTCCTTGATTTCCTACCGGTCATGAACCGTTGTCACTGACATACACGCAGCAAATGCCCTTCCCCGACAACACCTTCGATGCGGTGTACGCCATTGAGGCCACCGTCCACGCCCCCAAGCTGGAGGGAGTGTACAGCGAGATCTTCCGGGTGCTGAAGCCGGGTGGCGTGTTCGGTGTGTACGAGTGGCTGATGACGGATGACTACGACAACAACAACGCGGAGCACCGCAAGATCCGGCTGGCGATCGAGCTGGGCAACGGCATCTCCAACATGGTGCCGATTCAGGAGGGTCTGGACGCGATGAAGGCGTCGGGCTTTGACCTGCTCAAGAACGAGGATTTGGCGCAGCGGCCCGACCCTATGCCGTGGTACTGGCCCCTGTCTGGCGAGCTCAAGTACCTGCAGTCAGCGGGCGACTTCTTCACCATCTTCCGCATGACCAAGTTCGGCCAATTCTTCACGCACGGCTTCGCCGGTCTGATGGAGACGCTCCGCATCGCGCCCAAGGGCACGCAGAAGACGGCCAACGCGCTAAGCGAGGGCGCCGACGGGCTGGTTGCCGGCGCGAGGCTGAACCTGTTCACTCCCATGTACCTGATGGTTGGCCGCAAGCCCTCCAACTAGGGGTGCATTGAGGGCGTGGATGTGTTGTCATGAGTGTGACTAGCGAACATAAATCTAAAAAGAGGAACGACGTCTGACGCAAGAAAACGGCTCTTTTAATGCCTGTATATACATGTACTAATCAGATCTATGAAGGCTGTCGTCGCGCGGCGCCTAGACTATCTTCCGGGCGTTCATGTTGAGGCCTTTATAGACGGTATAATAATATGAGCTTCTGATGTTAAGACAGTTCAAGATAATTATTGATTATGAAAGATGAAGCTGAAGACTTAGACATGTTTGTGTGTTATTACCTCAAATAGATGCTGAGTGAGCAAGTATCGGCGTTCTCCAAATGTTCTCTGTCTCTCCCAAATGCTCGCTCGCCTGGTTCGGTGCCCGTCGCCCACGGTCTAGCCGTTTGGGGAGCTAGCGGGGTCCGGCGATAACCCAACAGAAGCTTTTGTTGGTCGGTGCTCCAGGTGCGAGCTCCTGGGCGACCCACACTGATTGGCGATTCGGCCATCTCAACGGAGGAGGGTTCAACGTCGAGGGAATTTTTCGACGCATGGGCTGCTGGAGCTCCGGAAATCTCCTGCTTTTGCTGGTGTGCTGCGAGACCGCGATCCCTTCCAAATAAACTACCACCACCACCACCTCTGTCCAGGTTTAGCTCGACATCGTGCCAATCGCCCGCCAGTCGTAGCACCGTCCATTGTCGTCGGTCTTTTCTTCTTTTTTCTTCTTGCCTCCCTCGTGTGTCATCTCTTCTCTAGGGCGACAACCAAGTCCCCTCTATCCCGATCTCCCTCCCCGAATCTCACCACCATCGCCATCATGTCCCGCTTCCTCCGACCGGCAGTCCGACTGGCTGCCTCTGCCAGAGCTGCTCCTCTCTCCAAGACCTCGACTATCCCCTCAGTATCCTCCAGAATATCCCGACCAGCATCTGCCTTCCTGCAATCGAGAACATATGCCTCCTCCGGCACCAAGGATTACACTGTGCGTGAGGCGCTGAACGAGGCTCTCGCCGAGGAGCTTGAGGCCAACGACAAGGTGTTCATTCTGGGCGAGGAGGTCGCCCAGTACAATGGTGCATATAAGGTCACCAAGGGACTGCTGGACCGCTTCGGCGAGCGGAGGGTTATCGACACCCCTATCACCGAGTCTGGTTTCGCTGGTCTGGCCATCGGTGCTGCTCTCAGCGGCCTGCACCCAGTGGTGAGTATCCCTCGCGACTGCTTTACGACTGCGCAGCAGCTAATGAAGGGCATTGCTCCCGTCTAGTGTGAGTTCATGACCTTCAACTTCGCCATGCAAGCCATCGACCAGATCATCAACTCCGCCGCCAAGACCCTGTACATGTCCGGCGGTATCCAGCCCTGCAACATCACCTTCCGTGGCCCCAACGGCTTCGCCGCCGGTGTCGCAGCCCAGCACTCCCAGGACTACAGCGCGTGGTACGGCAGCATCCCCGGCCTTAAGGTCGTCTCTCCCTGGAGCGCCGAGGACGCCAAGGGCCTGCTCAAGGCCGCCATCCGCGACCCCAACCCCACCGTCGTCCTCGAGAACGAGCTGCTGTACGGCCAGACCTTCCCCATGAGCGAGGCCGCGCAGAAGGACGACTTCGTCATCCCCTTCGGCAAGGCCAAGATCGAGCGCGCCGGCAAGGACCTGACCATCGTCTCCATCTCGCGCTGCGTCGGCCAGTCCCTGGTCGCCGCCGAGAACCTCAAGAAGAAGTACGGCGTCGAGGCCGAGGTCCTCAACCTGCGCTCCGTCAAGCCCCTCGACCTCGAGGCCATCGTCAACTCCATCAAGAAGACCCACCGCCTGCTGGTCGTCGAGTCCGGCTACCCCGCCTTCGGCGTCAGCGCCGAGATCCTCGCCCTCTCCATGGAGTACGCCTTCGACTACCTCGACGCCCCCGCCCAGCGTGTCACCGGCGCCGAGGTCCCCACCCCCTACGCACAGAAGCTGGAGGAGCTGTCCTTCCCCACCGAGCCTCTCATTGAGCAGCAGGCCGCCAGGCTCCTGAGGCTGATCTAAGTGGAGATGGAGGGTACGACAGGTCCAGACCGAAAGGATGATGCTGGGACGCAGGAGGGGAGGCTACGTAAACCGATTGTCATATTAGCTGGTAGTGGCGATGACTTGATATATCCGGGGAAAGGTTGCCGTTAATACGATGCGATACCTTGCCTGCGAGCATGATAGACGAAAAATTCAAAATAACTGTACTACTATGTTACTACCTCTTGGACATTCTTCCGCTTAGCAGTCTCACCATGTGATTTTTGGTCACTATTTGTTGCGTTTCATGTAAGATTCTGGTTCCCAATACGATACTCATGAACGCCCGTGGCAGGTCTACTCAACTATCTACGTAGGCTGTCATGTCACGCCCCATTCATGAATACCTCCACAACTTGGCGCATCTGTTCTGTGAACCTTCGAAAGCCACCGTGCTTCTCTGGCGATGACAAACGTGAAACAGCGCACTGCGCAGGTCTCAGCTCGCGAGGGGTTTTGGCCAGTTTGGACAGCCTGCACCAGGAATCATAGGTGTGACAAACATCGATTGGCTGGACTCTGGGAGGCAGCCTGCAGTATCTAGGGCATAGCCTGCCATCTTCTTCCAAGCTCCCCGGAACAAACCTTACACCTAGGAAACCTCTGTCCAAAGAACAAATCCAGTTTCACCAGAATCGTCTGCGTCCAGCGCACCATCTGTTCCCGGGCACGATTCACAATGTCTGTACACCCATCGACCTCAGATCCCTCGTCTTCACCCGCGATCGAGAACTTCCAACACGAACCGCTCCCAGACCCCGCCACCCACATCAGGCTGCTCGAGATCACCAGCGTCGACGAGATACGCGATCTCCCCGTCCACTGCAAGCTCACGACATGGCCAGTCGAAACAGCGCCACTGTACACGGCCATCTCATACACCTGGGGAGACCCACGCCAGCTCACGTCTGTGCTTGTCAATGGCAGGCCTATGGAGGTGCGCTGCAACTGCGAGTACGTCCTGAAGCAGGCGTGGTGGCGAAAGGGCAACGTTTACGTCTGGGTCGATGCTATATGCATTAACCAGGCCGACAACGACGAGAAGAGCTCCCAGGTTGCTATGATGGGTGCCGTGTATGAGAATGCCGGCCAAGTTCTTGCTTGTGTTGGCCAACACGCGGATGATAGCGGCTTTCTCTTGCAAATGCTGCACAAGAAACAACTTTGGTGGCGACGATTCCGTTACAATTCCTGGGATGTCAGCAATTTCCGGGCTCGAAGCTGGCAACTGTTAATGCGCCAGTCGACCATGGTCAGACTTTCCAATGCCTCGGAAACTTTCATGAAAAGGCCATACTTCCATCGGGTTTGGGTGCTCCAGGAGCTCTTCTTCGGGAAAGAAATCCAACTATGCTGCGAGCATGATACGGTCAATTTGTCATGGCTCTGGGGACTGTGCCTAGCTCTCCAAAAGTGGTATTTTTGTTGGCCTAAGTACTTACGGTTTCTCAGACACCGCGCATTCTGGTGCCCGGCTGGAAATGTTCGATATCTTCTGGAGATCGGAACCGACTTATCGCCACACAAATCGGATGTCCAATCAATGATGCTTTATGTCCGTGCATGTCAATGTGAAGACCCGAGGGATCGGTTATTCGGGGTTTTATCGATGATTAGTTGGTACAATAGGAAGCCAATCCAACCAGATTACAGCAAAGACACGTTGGACCTTGCAGTCGAGATCTTGTCCTATAGTGATTACAAGGGATTGCACTGGCTCCTTTCTACTACAACAACAATTGCGCAAACTCTAGACTTGATAAAGCTACCGCCGACCCGTCTAGTCGATGCGATACAAGAGCGGCAATCTAGGAGTTATATGACTCTACCTGCTGGCTCGGGATTAACACTGAGAAAGTCATGTTTAAAGCCGATGAAATTTTGGGGCCACCGTCTCTGCTTCCAGAACACAAGGTGGCAAATCCAGCCACAGCACTCAAAGGACGCTGACGACTGGCCAAGGTTCAGGCTTTGGAGTCCAGCAAATCTACGCGGTGATAGTTCCGCACCGATGGCTCAAAAATGGGCGGCTGGGCACGGTTGGGATATTCTGAGTGCGGATATACTTCTACCACAAGAGACACAACCAGAAGACTGGTTTTTGGCACCCTCCTTCGTCCATGACAATCCTGCAAGGTTGGACGGCGGGAACCGATTATTAGGTTCTGATGTTGCATTCATAGCGAGAAAGGATGGTGGCGGCCGCCTCAAGCTTGTGGGTAAAGCTCTTGTGGTCCCATGGGAAAAGTGGCCAACGAGATCGACATGGGAGAACGCTTTTAGAACCAAAGGCGTCGAGTACGCCGTGTTTCTCGACCCTGAAGACGTGATTATACTAGATTATAGTTTGAGTTGGCCGGATCTCATATTAGTTATTGGGGAAGAAGGCGGAGAGGCACTCAAGCTTCGGGCAGATAAATACTTTGAGACAAGGCTGTGTGGTGAGAGAAGCTGTTCATACGCTGTACCTGCACACTTTTAGTGTTAATTATTATCCTATGGATGGACACGCGTGAGATATTGAGCCATGGACATGAAGGTGTCTCACTCAGTTATTTCCTTGCTATGCTTTCAGTCTGATTCAAAGGTACTTCAATCATCCAAGGAGTGATCAACTTTTCAAACTTTCCAAAGTAGCCCCAGTAGCTGCTGTCTTCTTGTTCATCTTTATACTAAATCAATGCTCGACTCTTAATTACTATTCAGTGCCATCAGTGCCTATATAGAATGTTGAACGTAGCTAAGTAGTATCTCATACAACGTGTCTGTCCCACATTGGTGAAGACCTTAGCTGCCATCTCGCGTTACTCACTTATTTTTGAAATCCAAAAGCTAAATAACGGGATTAATGCCTTTCTTGGATAGGCTTCACAAACAAATGGAAAGTTGACCATGCCAAGTAACGTTGATTATGAATGAAAACCTTAGAAGGGGCATGAGCTTGTAGAAACTGCTCCATACTTGAAAGAAACTACTCATCATGCATTGTTCGATTATTCCGGGTTTCGTCTTGGTATTATCTACAAATTGTTCACCCTCTTGTGGTCACATGGAATCTAGCCTCGAAGTAGTCCCTCATATTGTCATCAACTCTGCTTCCCAACCGTGGTAGCTTTCAAGGCCCAAAGTAGGCCCAAATCAAGCATAAAGATCAAGAAAACATATTTATTTACCCATAATTAGCTGTATATTTGTGCAGTGTGAAGCCGACAAACCTTGGAAGGACTGCACTGTCACTCTCAATCGGTGCTTCGTCGTATGCTTCCCAGCTTCCAAAATTCTAAGATAATGTACTTGAAGGAAGGTGGCCCGTATCTGTGAATACAATTGCGGTCTCCTCACCCGGGTGAATGTAAAGCATCCGGGGGGCCCGCAGCATCCTCCGCACGCTCCGGTCTAGGAGCGTCTCTGGGATGCTTTCAGTATGGCAGACATGTCCGAAGAACACATATTTGTAGGAGCCTGTGTCAACTGGTGACTTCATTGCTTGCAAGAACGAGAAAGTTAAAATGGAAGAAGTTGGCAGTCCTCCCCTTAAGACGAGCGATCTATTGTCTATGAAACCGCAGTCTAAAGCGCTTTCTACCGTATTAGATCCCAAGATAACCGACGTGACGCATCTCTCCGTATGCCCATAAGGAATCTTGCTTAAGCAGACAAAGTCTTGGCATCACCCTCCTTAAGCTTGCCAGCGCCGACGAGGCGAGCCACCTCGTCCTTCCAGACGCCCTTGATCTCGTCGGCGACCTTCAGGCCGTTGAGCTTGCCAGCCAGGGCGGCGATCTCGTCGGGGTCGATCTTGCCCTGGACGAGCTCGACGTCGCCGAGGACGGCGTCGATCTGGGCCGCGGAGGCGTCGCCCGAGGCGAAGTAGTTGGCGTCCTTGACGGAGCCCTTGAGCACACGCTTGTTCTTCTTGACGGCGTTCTTGGCCGCCTCCTTTGCCTTCTTGGAGCTCTCGCGGTCCGCCTTGGCCTTCTCCTCTGCCTCCTTGGCGGCCTTCTCCTCGGCCTCCTTCTTGAGGCGGGCCTCCTCGGCGGCCTTCTTCTCGGCAGCCTCCTTCTCGAACTTCTTCTTGTTCTTGGAGGCGTTGGCCTCTTGCCTGAACCTCTTGATACGCTCGTCACCCTTCATGCAGTCATCGAGCATGTTACGCAGGCGGGTGTTGTCCTCAATCTTTCTCTTCTTGCGGGCGTTGGCGTTCTTGCGCTCCTGGTGGCGCTTCTGGTCGCGGTTCTCATTGTCGTCGGGCACGTCCTCGTCGAGGTACTCGAACGTCCTCCAGCTGTCGAAGTTGTACCAGAAGTTGTAGAAGTCCTCAACCTGCTCCTTTGTGGCGTTGGCGTCGCCGAACTGCGGCACGGGCTGGATCTTGGAGAAACGACCCTCAGCCTTGAAGACCTTGCCCCAGGTCTTGTAGAAGTCGACCTTGGGGCTCTGCAGCTGCTTCTTAGTTGGGGGCTCGACCTCGGCACCCTCGTCGACGGAGTCGTACTGGCGGCGCTTGACGGGGTCGAGCAGAACCTCGGTGGCCTTCTGAATGCACTTGAAGAAGTTGTCGTCGTCGCTCTTGCCGGTGGCGGCCTTCTTGTCGGGGTGGTGCTTGAGGACCTTCTTGCGGTGGGCGCGCTTGATCTGCTCCTCGGTGGCCTTGTAGCGGTACTTGGAGATACCCAGGACGGCATAGTGGTCTTGCTCCTATTTGTGGTTATGTGCTGTCAGCATGGTGATATTGTGTCAAAGAACGGGGCAGGCTGTATCGTACCTTCCAGTCCTTGGCCTCGCGCTGCAGCATCATGGGGTCCTCGGGCTCGCTGATCTCGCCAGCATCCTCCTCCTCGACGTTCTTGGCACGCTCCTGGGCCTGGATGCGGTCATCCTCGGAGAAGGTGCGCTTGTGGCGGGCGCGGCGGGCGTGGGCGAGGAAGTGAGGGCCAACGGGCTCGATGGAGCGCTGGGTGGAGGCAGTGACCTTGCCAATGGGCTTGAAATCCTTCTCAGCGGCCCATCCCTCAGGGAGGACGGGCAGAGATCGAGAGACGAGCGATGCGGTCGTCATCTTGTCGAATTTGCGTATGTTGGAGTTGGTGATGGATGGTCGACCGAGTGTCGCAGAAACTTTTTCTCAGCTTTCTCCAAGCGAAAACCCATCCCGCCGTTCCAATGCCCCACTGTTTCCCGCTGTCTGCAGACACACCCTTTCCCGATACACCCACGCCTCGGTACCGGACCGCCTCAAGCTCAGGGCCGTGTACCTTCAAGCTGCAAACATCATTTGCATGCAACCCATTTTCGACCACTCCGCTTAATCGAATCTACCAAAGTCCTACCTGGAGTCTGCATAAGCTCATGACGTTTGAACTATCTCACCAGCGAGATCATCCTTGATGCCTCGAATTGCCATTGATCCGCGCGGCCGCCATCGCATGTTGCCCGGCCTGAGATGGTCAAGTCTCCCCAGATCTTGAGGGCACTTACGCATTTAACGCCTGCCTCTCATGGTCTCGGCTTCCACACGACCTCTGAATTATTTCACTCGAGGATCAGAAAGTTGCTTCTGTTGATGTTTCACGAGATTGCCTCGAGATTGCAATACTCGAGACATCGGACAGGCAGGCCTGCGGCACATGCGATCAACAGCTCATGGGTTGACGGAGCTAGCCGCCCACTCCTCTATTTTCCCAGTCCAATATGAATACATTTACTACTTCTACATGCTAGGTGCAGCCTAGCTGGGTATGGGTATCGACAAGCCATGACAAATGAACTGAGAAACCGCCAAATTTGCACAAGGAACGTCGTATTAACGAGGGTCCGACCATATGTCATCCACCAGGCTATCCCTTCTGCCTTCATCGAACCGTCTCCTTCCAGATAGGTAGGAATATGAAGAGCAATACACCGCAGAATGCTGCTGCCAGACCACCCGACCAGCATTGCAGAAGGACCATTCTCTGGAGCCTACGCAGCACTTTATCCTCCACCTTGAAGTTCTTGTCGTGGGCCATCGTCCTATTCATGAACGCCCTGTATTTCGAGCGCCAACCTGTCCCGGAAGCTGGCGGCGTGGCAGGCGCAGCTGTCCCGTCGTCTTCAAATCGCTCCCATGGCAATGTTTGTCTCCGGGAAAGCGACAACATGATGAAGCACATGCCCTGCGTCCCGACGAGTATCACAGCCGTGCCAACACACCACAGCGGGAACGAGTAGAAGACCTCCCACCGGCTGTGCGCACCGATGTGCGGGTACAGACCCCGCAGCAACACCAGCAGGAAACCAGCGAGGATGTTCAATATCCCGATGACCGTTCCGACGCAGATGGTCTCGTACGTCCCCGTCGACACGCCCAGGCTGACAAAGTTACGGTGCGAGCAGTTCTTCATCACCTCGTAGATGTGGTCCGCCACCGGCTTGATAAAGCGAGGGTCCGACGATTTCTGGAGGTTGTTCAGTGCCCGCTGGCGGAGGGTGTGCGAGATGTTGAGCTCCTTCTCGGCACCTGCGAGCAGATATGTCGCGATGGCTGCATCCAGCTCGGCCCGGTTCTCCGTCTGTGGTGCCTTCGAATGTTTAGTGAATAGTGGAAGCGGCACGGCTGAGCCTTTCTCCTCGTCGACATCAAACGGGCAGGTTCCGTCGCGGGCGTTGCAGGCGTCTCCGCTTCCTAGGCGATGTCGACGCTTGGAGCTGTTTCCTGACCCCAGCGACCATCGGAAGATCCGATCCGTCCATTTTGGCTCCGACTTGACTGCTCGAGCACATGGTGCTTCGGCTTTTACTATGCTGTCTGATAAAGAACTGATCGATTGCTTCGCTGCTCGATGTGTTAGCTGTCGAGTATGGCGTGGACAACCTTCTCTCTAGCACAGCTCGGGATCTTACCAGCGACGATTTCGGCAACGCTGGACATTGCCGAGTACGTTGTCTCCGAAACTGCATCAGCATCACTTGGTAATGAAGGCAGATCCTTGATCGGTACGGCTGTGGAAGGCTCGTCCTTCGACTTGGGATAATTCGCCTCATAGTTCTTGTACCTGCAAAGACGGTCAGTCACAACCCTTCCCAAAGTCGACGCTGAGATGCCGAGGAGGCTGACCATAGGTAAAATTCCAGGTTCTCTGAAGAGTGCTCAACGTATTTGAGATAAAGGTAGAAATCGTGAAGTGACATAGGACTGCATGTCTTGTTCTCCAGCACTCTGTCCAAGCCAAGCCGGCTTGGGATCGCCGTCGAAGGCCGGCTGTCCAGGCTCGGGGTCCGTACTCGATTTGGCCGAATATCTTGGTCGTTGAGCTTGCGGGTGTAATCGCGGATATCCCTCCATCCTGGCCTCCTATACCACACTCTCAGCCAGCCCGGCAGGTCAGGCATCGTCCTTCTGGATCGCCTCGAAAGTCGCCGTGTTGATCGCGAGTGAATTTCTTGGGGATACTCGGAGGTAATTTGTCACGAGCGACTCATGAACAAAAGAGACGCGGGTGCAAGTTCGGAAGAGAATTCTGGATGAAAGCATGGTGCCCCGGCACACAAGCGTATATATCGGCAACGAGACCGAAGGATTCCCTAACCTTGTTCCTGGTGGTGTCGAGGCGTTGGGATCTGCAGCGTGATCCTTCACTTCCAGCGCGCACCAACAAGTGGCGCTGCTCTTGTGAATATGTAAAAGGAAGGCCGGAAGTGCCAACAGCTGTAGGTTGTAATCGGGCCCTCCATCCCACGTGGAGGAGGAAGCGAGTCAGCGCAGGGTTGGCCGGGACCCATCTCACCTCGCAACGCATCCAAACATGGGTGGTTTGCCCGACACGCGGGTATCGAGGCTCCTCAATTCACTTCCAAAGCCTGCTCCAGCCTGTATCTGAGGCTCTATCCGCAAGGGAACTGCAGCGGGTAGGGCGTGTTTCACTTTTCGTTTCCCTTCCCACTTGCCACAGGTGCGGAATGTCCGTGAGGTGGTCCTGGCGCAGCACAGCGGGCCGTTACACAGCATCAAAGATCGCGGAATCCTCGTGTATTCCTTCGATCGTTACTTACTCACTGCCCACGTTCCTGTGACACACTACAAGCGGTCCCATAGTAATCGCCATGGGTGATCACCATCGACAGGTCGCGCGTTATCGATTCATCACGTCAATGGTCAGAATCTCTTCCCCTCACGAGCCACACTCACCTGGTCTTGGCCCGCCGTCTCTATCACACACTCAGCCGCTGAATCGCCCGCCCGCAAATTGCTGCCCACTTTTGGCCAAAAGTCAGCATCCAGCCAGGTGGGAAGTTCCTTTAGGATCTGGGCTACTTAACGCAAACAGGACCACTGTCAGTGCTTAGCGGGATCTGAGATGCCAACTCGCGAGAAAGTGCAGCTAGCACGTCCAACAGTCGCCTAGCGGCCTTCCCGCGGCTCCATTACGGTGCAGATCCGCGCGTGGCCCTGCCTACATATTTAGGTTGCCTGCGTCTGCTGCAATGCCCGGGAGCTCCGCCCAATGAGCTGTTGGTCTACCTGGGCAAAATTTCGCCCTTTAAACTACACCTGAATGAGCGTTCGTGTCATCATTACCTGGCGTTGGTGCCAGCCCGATTCGTCTGATCAGCACACCCTCCTTCGTGCCACCTGTGCGTCGGCGGCGCGGTTGGTTGCTAAGATTGGAACACACTAAGCGGACCACAATATTCCCTGCTGACATTGGCTGTCGCCTAGCCCGTTCTGTGACTGCTTACTCACGTCGACGAGAGCCCAACGGTAGTATAACGTCGAGGCAAAATCTCGACTTGACTGTTGTTGACTTTCCCAATTTGCCTGCAACCATGGGGTAATGAAATCAATGCGTCAACGACGCTGTCACCGGCCGGGACGATCTTCGCGCCATCGCAGGATTAGTCCAAGAGCCCGACTATCTTGGTACCGCGCTGCCCCGGATCGACGCGCCTCGATCCCCACCCTGGCCTCATTCGGCGCCAGAAGGAATCTAGACGTGGATCTTGCGGTCCGAAATATCTACGCTGCCAGGGCTGCCCGTGTGGGATATGGCTCGTGCGGGCAACGTTGCGTCGGGCATGGGCCGCGATGGAGAACACTGCCCTTGCAATGGGGCTGTCACCAACGCGCCTCACCACCAACGCCCTGAGATGGTCTGGACTGTGCCGTGAATCCTTGTGGATGTTTGCTGGAGACGATCTTTTCGTTGACTTTCAATTCCCACTTTTTGAGCTGAATGGCTTCAGCCTTGTGTTAATGGTTCTATTTTGAATTATTGTGTTCCTCAAAAGTTAAGCATCCTGTGACTCTGCCTCTTTCCGAAAATCCCCGTCGAGGCCCATCGAGGCCGATTGCGCAACCCCTGTATGATTGTCAATGGTGCTGTGGGCCAAAATGGTTCATGCGATTGTGATTGACTCTGGCTCTTTCGATCCTCTTCGAAAAGGGCGTGGAATGAGGCCAAAGAGAGGCCTTTTTGCAGAATGCGATCGCTTCGTCGCTAATGCTTGGATTCAATTCAATGACAGTCAATTCTCTCCCCCGTTGCACATATTCCACACCGAGGACTACAAAAAGGTAAAGAATCGGTGACAAAAAGAGACGGCCCCCGTTACGGTTCGCCTCCGGTCTAATAATCACGCCGCTGTTGGCCCGACGTGGCCCCCAAGTCTTTCAGCAGGCTGTCCACGCCGCTCTAGGAATAGCAAGACAAATCGGTCTCACCGAGGAAATGTTGCTGCTAAGTCTAAGGTTATTACAGGGCCTGAGATCGTCCTGATTGCCACTTGTATCACGTGTTGAAGAATACAGAATGTCTTTCCACATTTAGGGCGGTACATTTTGCGAAGAAAATGATGTGTTTGTCAGGTATCAAATAGATTTGCCTTTCAATTTGGATCCTGTGCAGTGATTTACAGTGGGTCACAACCTCGCCGACCAAGGAGTAGAATGAGATGTAGCTCAATGTGCTACTTCAGCCTCAAGAATGCCTCCGTTGTGTGGTGAAGTGCTGCATGTGTTCACACTGTGAGAGGGCCGTCACGTCATTTGAGTAGCTACTTCTGACTTCGAACAAGATTAAGCTGCTCATTGGTTCATTTATTATGTATTAAAGTGCACCCTCACTCAACGGTACAAACGCCCAGGCTCAAGGTCATGGATCTCGCTATCTGGCTTCGTCGTGAACGCACAGTGACGGACTGCGAACTCATCCACTTCGACCACAGCCCATCTTATTGGTAGTAAGTAGCTATCTTTGACCTCCTCTGGGAGCACATGGCATGCAGCACTGATTGCCCGGCTATTGGTGGAGACTAGACTCATTGGCTCTGTATACTTGCGCAAGCTGAGAGCAAGGACGGCGACGACTTGGACAGTGGCAAGGAGTAGGGCTGGATAAACTCTGTGTCAGAAACATGTCTATGTAAAAGAAATCCAAGAGGGCCCTTACCAAAGAAGATCGCTATGGGACTATAGCCAGTTGAAGAAAATGAATTGACGCGATCGGATGTGCCGTCTGGATGAAGCGCCGTGATTCGTGCGAGGAACAGGCTTTGAGAGAGCAGCCAGCTCATGACACCAGATGAGATAGACAGCGGGATCCCGTACCGGAAAGGTAAAGAGATAGGGTAGCTCGATCGCTGAGTGCCTGCAGGCTCGGACACGCGCAGCGACTTCCGTGTCTTGTACATACTGCTGAACTCGAATTGAACCAGGAACATAGTCAACATTCCGTTGTAGGAAAGGTAGAAAATGGACGCTACGAGCTGCGGGATGTTGGCCAAGAGTACGTTTGAGATCAGGCCCCACGGATCATCCCGAGGGTAGCAGATGTAGATGAAGGTGTAGTCTCGAAGCTCTCCAAGCCCCATGGACCAGAAGGAGGATACCGACGTGCTGATGTGACGTAACTTAAGGCTTGCCAATGGCAAAATCAGTAAAGCAGTCAAGACTCCCAAACTGACAAGACTCCTAGACAATAGTTCGAGTTTAGTAGATCGCGGGCACAGAGTCTGGTCCAATTTCCACATACCCGAGAAGAAACCATAACCAGCGCTCTAGACTGACGGCGTGTCTCCACTGCTTTGGTCCTGGATACCACGGCCGGGGCCCACGCAGGTGAGGCGACTGCTTGTTCCTTGGCCCAAAATGCCGTGACATCACAGGCGCCTGGAAGTCATTCATTGTTGTGGTACTCATGCCCTCTGTCGTATGGTCTGGCTTTCTCATGAAAGATGCTATAGCATCTCCAAGAGTGCACAGTGGCTGCTCTATTCCCGACATACTGCGCCGACCGCCCTTTTCGGCCGCGGATCTTCGAGAAGCAAACCATATACTGATCATGACCAGCAACTTGATCAGATTAGAGAGACAGCATGCCCACAAAATCCAAGGGGAGTATTCCAGCTGGCATCGCTTCTCAGACCAGGGAGGTTGTTGGACCAGGCAGTGGTCTACCTCGTACGCTGGTTTCCCGACAAGCCATTTTTTTACTGGCGAGGGTCGCGATGTCGTGATCTTTGCATGTTTGGGAAAAGTCCCGTTGCCAAAAGCCCAGAGGTTCTTGGCCCAATCATCCCTCCTGGGGATTACAGAGACGTACAGAAGCAGACTATCGTTGGGTGGATACTGGATGCTTTGGTTCTTGACGAATAAGAAACCGTTACCTTGTGGTGTGAAGTAGTGACTGTAGTAATCGAAGCAGGCCGACACGTTGAGTCGCATATATGGTGCCCTCGCGTCGGTCGCATCTTCGCGCATATCTGCAACAACTTTGGTGTAATTGTTTGGTGGGTTGATTCGACTGTCATTCACAAATGACCAATCTGTTCTGGCCCGCTCTTCGGCTGCTGATATGCTCCATGTTGTGTCATTGAAGAATGAGTCCTTGACGACAGCAACTGTGTAGTCAAATGAACTTGACGATTGAAACACGGCGGAGTTGTAACTTTGACAGCCAAGTATTAGATTCCATACTATCATACTTGATATGCTCCTTGTTCTTACAGCGTATTTATGGGAAGAGACGTGATGCCTAGCATGATCCAGGAAACACGCTTCCAGCCTTGAATGTAGATAAAATTTCGGGGACTGTGTAGCCCTATATCCATCCAGGACCCTTTTCCGTGTGCCGCATCGATGTCCGCTCTGGATGGTGCTGACTGTATTTGCATGCAAAAGTTTGATGCCGACAACATCAATGTCGACAAGGCGCTGATGAGAAGATGAAGCCATAGGTTGAGCTTGCGGACATTGTCACAATTCCCTTTGTATAGGAGGCCCACCGCTTCCGTACTTGGGTATTTGAAGTTTGCGTAAATTGTGAGACTGAAGTTAATAATCAAGACGATAGACACAAGAATGATTTGTGAGACAAGTGATCGACTTCTCTTCGATACCCAATTTTGCCCCTGTTTCCAAGAAGCACTCACACTGGTCGACAGGCTGGTCGTAGAGCGGCTGATCGTAGATGACCGAAATGTGTCAAATCTGCGAGCCATCTGAATTGGCCTAGGCCGCGGCGATGCATGCAGTGAAAATCAGCTGCAAGCATGACTGGCTGGCGACCTCTCTTTATAACGAAGCCGACTTGTGCAACACCCAGGTTTTATTTCTCGGCCCCATCAACGGCGATAAAATGAACGAAACCCGGGAAAAGGGCACAGCCGGTTCATCGGCAGCTGGAACGTGGTGAAGGCGTCCATTACGACGCCATGGGCTCAGTAGAGGCCCAGATACAAGGTCAGCCCCCACGGGTGGTTGCAGCCGCGAAGCCATCTGCCAAGCACGTGCGTGAGGATCAATTGGCCATCACAGAGGGTGGGGGCGAGAGATATGGAACCTCTTCAGCCTGTTCTTTTGGCCTCGCCACCGACTTGGACATGCCGAGGCTCTACACGAGGTGGAATTAGTGGGGGTTGGGTGCCTGGGTAGCTTTGCGAGGCCAGCTCCTCACTGATCGGCAAGCGAAGGCCGAACGCGCAACGAATCAACGAATCTAGGTCAGCGGGCATGAGCACACCAATTCTCATCTTGTCGCCTCGGAGTGAGGATCTACAGTCCGTTTAGGTGGCCCTTGGGGGTTGAGCTGATCTCACCCCAATCGATGAAGCGAGGCGAGGCTAGGGGAATGAGCAAGTTCTTCGAATGACTTATAAATTGGCGACTAACTGAATCTTCTCTTGTCCTTCCCACTTGCAAAACCATAAATCAATGTCATTCTAAACCACTGAATCTCCGATTCGCTGAGCACTCTCAAACTCGCCAAAAAAGAGAAATTGGTAGACACGAGGATAGCATCATGAAATCATAGGCAGTAGAGCTTGATGGTTACGCGATTGGACAGTTAGTATTCAATCGCCTAATTTCACAACATAGTAGCGTTCATTTCGTGTCCAGTACCTATTAGAGGCTGTACCACCTCAACTGACTTTAAAGTAGCTCTTCTAGAATCAGATGTCTCAAATCCTTTTGGCGTCTCGGAGAGCATGACGACTTTGAACAAACGGTGCAGGAAACCTTTCGTGCTAAGCTCGATGAGCGGTTCCCAGACCTTTCCATTAAGCAGTTGGGCTGGATGAATACCGTATTTCGGCAAGAGAATGCACCTATCTTGGAGGTCCTTTTGGCCTGGAATCACCCCCAATTCGACGGTGCAGGTGCCAAGGTGTTCCACGAAGACTTTCCCGAGATGCTCAATGCTGAGAATCGAGCTTACGAGCGAACAGGCTTGGATGACGATACCCTTACACTACCTCAGGCCGCTCCCTTGCTTCCAACTCCAATTGAGTGCTTGAAGAGGCTTCCAGTAGATCTCAAATACCTCGCTAAGGTAGTTTGGGAGGATATTCGGCCTCGGTTTCTTGATCGGGATGTTTCCCAAGCAGCCTGGTCTCCGATTCGCTCCTCTCCGTACAAAACCCAGTTCCGGGCCTTTTTCATGGATAACACGTCTCTACTTGCGATCCTAGCCCTGTGTCGACAAAACAAGACTACCATCACTGGCCTAATACACGGATTAGCCCTCATTGCCTTCTCATCGCACCTCGACAGCACGGTCGCCCCTGGCTTTCAAAGCTCTACCATCATAGACCACCGCAGGAATCTCCCTCAGACCACACCAGGCGCTCCGTGGGCTCGGTCCGACAGAGCAGTGGCGAACTACGTGACCCAGTCGTTTCATAAATACGACACCGAGCTAGTGGCGCGAATTCGTTCCAAGCTGCCGGTCGATGCCAGCGAGGGGAGAGATCTGTCCGCCGACTTACGATGCGAGCTCTGGGACGTATCGGCACGGAGTCGGCTGGAGATAGTGAACAGACTAGAAGCCGGGCTGCGTAATGACCTGGTCGGGGGTTTCAAGTATGTCACGGACTGGCAGAAGACAATGAAGGACCAGGCGAAAAGAACGCGCCAATTCTCGTGGCTGGTAACAAACATCGGCGTGCTGGACGGCAACACTTCAACAAGCCCGAGCACGACCACGACACGGTCGCCGACCGGCGGCGACAGCAAGCCTAACGACGTCCAGAGGTGGTCAATTGGCCGGGCGCAGTTTGGCCTCAGCGCCGAGATCCCCGCTGCCGCCATCGAATTTTCCCCAGTCAGCGTCGCTGGCCGGGGGATGTGTGTCAGCGCCAGCTGGCCGGACTGCGCTGTCGATGCGGAGCTAGGAGAGGGCATCATGGCTGATCTGGAAAGGTGGCTGGCCCAAATTGCGAGCCAGTCATGATGCGCCCGCTACCGCTTGTACAGATACCAAGTGATCAGAGAAGAAAAGAGAATATTTGGCCGCTACTCTACCTGGCCCCGCCATCGCCTTGTGAGTGCAAGTTGCGCCTTGCCGATATTATATGCACGTTGGAAAACAGAAGAGACGACGCTGTACAAGTCTTCCTTTCCCTCACAAAATATGTAAATATTCGCAACCAATTTTCGATTTTGAAGAGTCCGCCGACGCCGGCCTGGCTGTAATCATAGAGCAATAATTATGGCGCCACGACAAATATGCTATGGAGGAGGCCTAAAGTGTTGCCATGCAAGCTGAAAGGAGGGCTGATAGGATTATCTTCATGGCAAAATTGCAACAATGCAGACTTGTGATTAGAGGTGTGATACGAGCTTTGATATGGGCTGTGACACAGGCTGTATCATATGATAGCTCGTCAAGGACCTTGGGAACAACTCAGCGGATAGAAGACCACGGGACAACAAACGTTCTTTCATCATGAGATGTTGGTCCGACTCTCGACCTCCTCGATTACGTATGTTCAAGCTCCGTCCAGGCCATGATAGGAGGATGTGCGGGTTCCCCAGTACACTGCCCCCCTTGGTCCTCATGGGGCACATCGAGGAGTCATAGCACCGTCCATCTCCGATTTGCCGTGGCATTGTCTGCGCCTGCGGTGATTGGTAAACAAGTAGTTGGTCGTTGTGTTCCGCCAGGATCCTGGCCAGCTTCGTAAAGGATCGTCCCCCGTGTGACCTTGGATTTCGGCATCAATGCCGATGCGGAGTGCATACCGAGCCTTGCTGCCGAGAAGCCACGCCACACTATCATCCTACTTCTCATCGCTTAAGGGATAGCCACACTAAAAGAGGATCCTCAAATACGTCCTTGCAGCTGTCCGATGAGAGGAGCAAGACACTGCGAGTCTGCTGAGCCTGACATGAATCGCCCCTTATTTGGAGAACTGCCGCTACATCCGAGCCACCCTCCGTTCTCTGCCTGGGGGCTCTGGGGCAAGGATGATGAGCTGGGTGCATTAAATTTATTGACACCGGAGGTCAGGAGGCAAGCTGCGTTAGAGGTCAAGACAGGCGAGACGATTCCTCTTAGGTAAATATTGTTTCTCCACAGACCGCACTGCCTCGTTTTTCAAATGCAACACACGCCTGATGTGCAACAGCCTGCCACTGGATGCGTTTGTCCAGCCCATGAACCCGGTGCGCAAGCCTTGCAATCACCGAATCATTGCCAAGGGCCATGCTAACGATGATGAGGTATGGACCTGCGAGACCCTGGGTTTTGCGAAGTACTGTGCTGAGGTCTCATTGCTTGTGTAGCTGGACATCAACACCCAAGGTGCGAGTCACTGGGATGGACTGCGACATTTTCCTTACCAGTCTACCCTGCAGTACTACAATGGCATCACACAGGCAGATATTTCTGGGGAGACAGCAAACCTGAAGTTGGGAGTGCAGAATCTCGCGCACTCAACCATCACGGGTCGCGGAGTCCTGCTCGATTGGCTCTCCTGGGCCGAGGAGCAAGGCATCCACATCGACCCCTTCGCCACCGACGCCATCCCTCTATCCCAGCTCCAAGCAGTTGCCGAATTTCAACATGTGACGTTCTGCCCAGGCGATATCCTTCTCATTCGCACCGGCTGGCTCTCTTCGTACCGGGCCCTTTCGACCCCGGAGCAAGCGCAGCTGCCGCATCGCCGGGTGAGGGCTTCTTGCGGTGTGGAAGCCAGTGAAGAGGTCATCCGATGGCACTGGGAGAATGCATTTGCGGCAGTCGCAAGCGACACGGTGGCCTACGAAGCGTGGCCTAGCCCTAGGCCTTGTGGGGTCGCGATACATGAAGTATTCCTGAGCGGATGGGGCATGCCTATTGGCGAGAGTTTTGACCTAGAGGCGTTGGCGGACAAGTGCCGCACGCATAAGAGATGGAATTTCATGTTTGTGAGTGTCCCGTTGGACATACCTGGCGGGGTGGCATCTCCTCCGTCTGCCTTGGCCATTCTCTAGAGAAAGGTCCTCATTGCGGAACTCATCATGCCACAATATCCACTTTCCCACCAGCGGATCGGAATTGAGGGTTCCTGCGGCAATTTTCCGCCGTCATTTGTCGAAATCCACGATGGGCGTCAGACTTTGGTTATACTTGTATACATTATGTCTTGGAGGGCAACGGCATTACATAAAAATACAAGAGGCAGTCATTCATCAAATAGGACTGCGCGAGAATTCTGGAAGACAACTCGGGAGCTGCAGCATTATAAGATACTTCAAGCTTGACAGAAACTACCCTCAGCTGCGGCATCAAGTGACCATGCACATGATCATACACGTTATCGAGAAACCCACCGCGCGCAATTTGTCTATGCTGATCAGGCGAATTGTACCATTATCGGCGCTCGGGATACGAGAAACTCGCCGTGTAAGATGGGAAGGGTCCGCCGCGGCTGTAAAATTCCGTTCCTCGCGGAAAGTTGTTTGCCATTCCCCAAGAAAAAGCATCCGGATGAAACCCCGCGCCAGTGTCGAGACCGGCAAGCCCCATGTGGTCTCCCCACGCCTCCTCGCTCGAGAACATTGAGGTTGAGAATTCTTCGCCCACAATCAGAGAGTGGGTCTGTGCCGAGGGATCGAGGATGTCACGGGATACAGGTGGGATGCTTGACAGGCCCGACTCGCCATCGTCATGCCTCGCTCCAGGGTGGGCCTGCCCGACAGATGAACCATTGGCCCCATAACGGTGTCCCGCAGATTGAACAGGCTGCTCGAGACCAGCATTCAATAGCCGACGAATGGTATCCAGACTTCGACCACTACCTGGCGTGTGAGTGGCCTCATTCTGAAGCACTCTGACGGCATACGCCAGCCTCGCTGCTGCATCGTCTTTCTCTGCCTGATTTGTCGCAGTTTTCATCATCTGAATCTCGACAGTAGCTGCGGAGAACATGCAATAGCTTATTTGATATGTCATTAGCCGATGGGGGAAGGTACGTGCATATAAGCTGTGAATGGCATGCATCTGCTTCGAGTGCGTGATGCATACACCTGTGCTCTGGGCCTTCAGAGCCAGATTTCGGGAGGTCAAGTAGGGCCGACGCAAAACGATGTGTAGCGCATGATACAAGAGACTGTAATTATCAGCATCGGGATACAAGCTTCATAGAGCAGCGAGATTCATACTTGAGTGATATGATGTGAGGCGGAGGACACTGTTGCATTGTGACCGGATCGTCGATTCTCAAGAACTCTGGCATTTCATCGTACAAGGCGCGAAATCTCGTGTCAAGGCTGTCGATCTGTGTTGCAAAGTTCTCAGTACTAGGAGCACTTGAGAAAAGCAATATCATTTCTGTCGTTAGTTCATGAAGTTGACAGAAAGCGCAAAAGGTTGTGCTGTTCCACGACGGCACCGGAGTATACGTGTCGCCAACTTCAACGGCCTGTACAGGACTCCAGTCTCGAGTGTCGTCAAACTTGTCCAGAATTTCTAAACTTGAATAAGGACGCCTAATCAAACATGGCGGGCGCCCTATGGCAAGACTCAGCGTCTTATCCCATATGTATGCAGAGTTGTACAATCGCTTTCTGGTCTCTGTTTCTGCTGGCGTCCACCGCTGCAGCTCAGCTAGTTTAGGGGTATCAAGATGAAGTCCGATGTCTATCATCATTCGAATCGCCATCCCAGTATAGAGCCAACCCTCAGAACTTCTGCCGACAGCGCATTGACGGCCACCAAGGATAAGCAGCCCTTGTATAGTCGGTATAGAGGGTTTATCAGCAGCCAATTCTACTAATAAAAGCTCCTTTGCTTTTTTAACAAAGTCCTCTCCCTTTTCGACATCAGAAAAGGATGAATTGCGCTCAGGAAGATGCCTTGCCGCAAGCGCAAAGATGCACGTGAGCAAGAAGTCGGAGCAATATTGTCCGCCCAATGCTAGGTCCATGATAAAGCATGGACGGTAGACACAGTTGTGCAAGGGATGTAACCAGGTCCAGTAGATGTCAAGGAGTGCCATGCCAACCGTCATATCGACGCCGGTCCCGTTCACGACGGGCCTTGTCTCAATTAATGGCATCCACACTGTTTCCATCAAAGAATGCTGGGACCGCAGGATCTCAACCTGCGCGGCCCTCCTGGGGCCAGAAAGGGAGCGTGCTTGCGGATCAGTGGCTCCCGTGGCAGTCGCCAAATTGGTTTCATCCAGTGGCCCAGCATGGAACCGGCTTGTTGGACCATTGTAGACAATAGCCCCGTCTTCTCCGATCCCGACTTGAAACCAGATCTCGGTCGCAGAAGGCGGGTATGCCGCCTCGGTGACGGGGGAGTCGGTGCTTATTGTCGGGCTAGGGCCTGTGGCGGCGGAATTCGTACTCACAGAGGCCTGGGGAAGGCGCTCTTGGGACTGGTAGGTATTACACAAGTCATCGGCCGGACGAGATAAAGAAGGGCTTTCTCGTAGGGCAGCCTCGAGCTGCCGGATGCGAGCATTTGCATCTCGGAGCCGTGAGGCATTCGAGTCTTGAGATGGCCAGATGCATGCCTCGCCAGTCCTCTGACAGGCCTTACAAATAGGCTGGTCCCCGCTGCACCTGACCTTGCGTGACTTGCAGCTCGCGCAGGCAAAGCCGTACCTCCGGGCTTTTTGGCTGCCGGGTCTCCGGCCTGAAGCAGATGGGGTGGGAGTCTCGGCATCTGATACCGCAGCAGCACAAGTCGGGCTCGACGGCATTGTCTTTTCTGAGCTCGGTGCTAAATGCTTACGGATTCGAAAAAGCAGCAGTGGTATTGCAGTGGGCCCGGACTTGGAGTGGCGGAGGAAGAAAAGGTCAAATTGTAAAGATCATCCTGTCGGGATATGCGGCATCTTTATAACAAAAATACCGACACTAGTTTTGGTAGCCTCAAGTGCTCCTCCCCTGCACGTGGTGTAAGTGCGGGGAATTTCTCGAACTCGACACCGAGTCTGCTGGCCGAGTTGACCCTCTGTCTTTCTCAAGCCGGGCTTGGTGACGGTCCGACTACCGGTTGCCCAAGGCATCACTAATACATTCGTCAGATTCATTGACCGGCGTAGAGCAGCAGCTCTTTCAAGTCAGAGCCAGTCACATCCGAGAAGCGGGCCAGGTGAAATTTCGGCCCGGCTGGATGCTCGTGCGTGAATAAGAGTTAATGTCTTCGTGGTTTACTTTTGTCACTAATTTGCGAACTCAGGAACAGCATGAGGAGTCAGTGCAGACAGAAAGCTAAGAACTTGAAGTTGCGAGCCAAGCGAGCCAAATACGCTGATAGAGAGAAACCACATGACAATCGTTTTTCGTTTGTAGCAGGCCCGGAGAACATGATTATGAAAGAACAGCTGACTGTCGTCAATTCTCTGCTGTCTACGTGACAATCAAAGCTAATTTCGAATCAACCGTTTGTTTCCCCTCGTTTGAATCACTTGTAGTCCGCGCTAAAGCAATGCTTTGAAATGGAGTACTTCGTATAGGCTTTGTCAATCCACACACAAAAGCTAGGCCCTGTTACTATAAACCTGGGCTCCCGTGGTGTTGAGATGGCATCGATACAAATGCTCTCTCCCAACTATGTATAATGTGTCTCCCACCCATTGCATGTTGACGGCAACATCGCCATTCGCAACCTTGATGATACCCAGGAAAGTCCCATCTGCGTCGAATACATGAACCCCACCAGTCACTGCACCATATACTCTCCCGTCCTTGTCGAGCTTGATGCCATCAGGAAAGCCAGCATCAACATAGGCAAAGACATATCCACCAGAGGCTGCAGTATTTGATGCTTTAATATCGTACTGGTAGATTGTCCGTCCTCCGGCGGGGTTGTCCGAAGTGTTGCCACGGTCAGTGATGTAGAGTTTGACTTCCTCCGGATTCAACGCCAAACCGTTAGGATTGGTGAAAGGCCCCCCTCCTGCTCCAAGCACGGCGCGAAGATCACCGGTTTCCATATTCCATCTCCACACACCGTTTGCCAGTTCTGGCTTGAGAGTGTCATTGAAGTTATCGTACCCGTAGTAGCCGTCTGTAAAGTACGCCACGCCAGACTGATGAATGACGATATCATTGAGGCTGTTGAAACGGTGGCCGAAGAAGTTGTTCAAAACAACTTCGGTCGTCAGCGTCAATGGATCCATACAAACAACTCCACCGGGGACAGTCCAATTTCCCTCCTGTGCCCAGTACACACTGCCGTTATGATAGTAAGCCCCGTTGGCCATTGTGAGAGGTGGTGAGGGGTAAACCTTTTCCGTCACTGGGGGAGTCTCATTCAGGTTCGTTCGCCAGACCCAGGACATAGCGTCTGCTGAGTATCCCTCCTTAGGTGGGTGCAGCTCTGCAAAGAAAATACAATTACATTCTGGGGAATACACTGTTCCATCATGTACGACACGTTCAGCAAAGGAAGGGCCCTCGGGGAAGTCGAAGATAGTTTCGATGTCCTTTGTTGATGTGTAGTCTTGCACTCCAAGCAGCTGGCACGCGGTTAGCGCTATAGGAACCACGCGACGCAAATGCGTAACCATTCAAAGGAGAAGTTGAAATCCCGACATTACCTCGAAGAACTTCTCGTTCAGGACAACGAAACTCGCCGACTCAAGACTTTTGAACATCGTTTGTGTCGATGCAGTCGATGAGCCACTGAGGATCTCAGTGTCCCACCAGGTAGTTGAAACATCGCGGTTGAAATTCTCGTAGGGAAGCACATTTCGAAGAGCAGCTGGAACTTGGAAAATGGACTGACTGGCAAGCAAATTAGAATTCTGCGATGGATGTGCAGCGCAAAGTGTGCACAAGAAGGTGCCAAAAGCACAAATTGTGGTCAGGTACCACCTCATGTCGAGAGCAATTAGCAGAGCCGCCGAAAAAGGGGCTCAAAACAGTCAAGACAGAGACTCCAAGTCGTAGCTCAGAGTAGATGTCGCGTTTATGCTTGAATAAAGCACCCTGCTCAGCATCCACATCTGTGAATGCTGTCACCCAGCTTAAAATATGTCCATTCTAGACTGTACTACCCCGACACCCCTCTCGTTCTGGATGACCCCCCCAATCTTTGATAGACTTTTTCGCCCTCTTGGCAAATTACCGGGTCCTCGGTATGAACCCCGACCGATTGCCATAAACATGACGTAGCTCCACAACCAGGGAAACGGGAATGAACATATTCTTACTACGTGGTACTTATCGCTCATAACTTAGGCTCACTTTTGAAGGAAGCCTTTTGTTCATCATCTGGACGTAGGGTCCGCTAAGCATTGCTACAATAGCTGCTACAAGGCTTCTGCATATATAGCGTGTCATAGAAAGACTAGGTGGATAATTCGCCGAGATCGCTACCTCAATTTGACATCCTATGATTGAACCTCAGATGAGATGCCTGAAAATCACTGCGGCCGCGTATTCCTGGCTGCTTTGTGTTCTGTCTCACTGTATATTGTCCGTAGAATTGCATTCTAACATCGAGGTCGATACCAGCATCCTTCTCCAATACCTATAGTCACCTCAAAGTTATGCAGTGTTTCACAGAATATAGCGGTAAATGGGATGGGCATCTCCGACATCCGCCACATCCTCTGGGATGTGATCAAGGTCGCTCTTGCCATGCTCGCGGTCTCGCTGATGGTTCTGCAGCCGCAGGCTCAGGCTCAGAATAATCGAAACGAAAGTAGCGCACAGTAGAACGCCGCAGCAAATCCACATGCCCTTCTCGTAGTACGGACCCTCTGACTTTGGGAAGATTCTAGCTCCGAGGATCGGGCCACACTGGCCAAACATTCCAAAGATAGTCAAGCCAGCACCTCTCTTGGACGAAGATCCTTGGTTGTCAGTGACCCAGGTGAAAGTCAGGGCCACAGCTGGGAAGACGCCTGCACAGACCAGGAATGTCGCGAAATACCGAATGCCGGTCGCAGTGATCGTGGCGAGAAGGATGTAGCCGACCGCTCCAATAGTTGAGAAAATGATAACGAAGATCCCACGACTTCGGACACGATCGGAATAGAAGCTCGTCAAGACACAGACAAAATAGGCTGATAGGTAGGGGCAGGCTGAGAGTCCCTGGGCACGGAGCGAAGAGTAGCCCATGGATGTCAGAATGGTTGGCAGGTAGGCAGGAAGTGAGCCGAAAGCTGTGTTGAGGCAGAAGATGATAATGGCCTGTAGGTAGTTCTTATAGTCGTAGAAAGCTGCGAGCACCTGCTTGGGGTTGAGTTTCCCGGTCTGGTCCTCGCCACGGCCTCTGATGGCCCGGGCGCCAATGATCTGATTCTGACGAACGTCTAGAAATCTGCATTTACTCGGTGAAGAAGGAAGATAGAAGTAAGCCAGAATCGCAAGGAAGAGAGTGGGAATTCCTTCGACGATAAAGAGTAGCTGCCAATTGGCAATGGTACTCTTGGCGTGAACGATGCCGTATGCCAAAGCCGAAGCAAAGCAATTTGCTAGAGGAGAGAAGGAGATGAAGAGGCCATAGCGAAGACCCATCTCTGATCGGTGGTAGAAAAAGGTCATATACAAAGCTACAGCCGGCACGAAGCCAGCCTCAAAGGCGCCGATCAGGAAACGAAGAACCATCAACCCCGGAAAGCTGCTGGCTCCGGCTTGAATCATGCTCATGCTTCCCCATCCAAAGGCCATCATAGCTGTCCATAGACGGAGAGGTACGAATTTCCAGAGCAAGATCAACTGCAGGATGGAATGAGCTAAAGAAGACTACTTAACAAAATCAGCGAGACCGAGTGACTTACCCAATGGAAGAGAATGTAGGCGATGTAGTAATTCGTTACAATCCAGGAATATTGACTGGATGTGATCCCCCACTCTTCGCCCATGCCAGCAGTGTATGCGTTACCGATATTTCCGCGGTCAATGTATGATACAAGATAAAGACACCCGAGCCTGCAGACCAAGTCGGCCGGAGTCAGCGAATGGCCTGAATGTCACCAAACGGGGAAATCAAGTATGGCTTACAATAAAATCAAGCACCAATCCAGCTTGCGGATTGCGATGCGTTCCTCATCAGGTGTCCATATCAATGGGTCCGGATCACCTTTGTGGAGCCCATCTTCGAGATGAGTGGCGTCAACGTTGAACTTGCAATGCTCCGCTTGAAACTGAGGCCGTGACATCGTGACGTCTTGAGGCTGCAAATCGTTTTGTCAATTATTTGCTGGGTAACGGACTATTGATGCAATAAGACTTCAGGAGGGTTGTAACTGGTAACATGCGTCGCAGATTGATCTAGGATCGACCGGCCTTTTTGAACTTCACAGCGTCTTCCCCAGGTCCCCAGATTTCCCCGGACTGAAAACAGAATTGAATTACTGGGTCTTGGCGCGTGGCACTTAGAAAAAGTGGGCAGACAGCCCTGGTGCGAGCTGGTGTTTTGAGGAACGAGGTCCAAAGGCTCGGTAACTTGCCACCCATCGATTGTTTCCTTGCTAGAATTCAGCGTAAACTCCCAGTATGGTACCACTTGGCACATCTGACAGGTCTAATAGGACTGGTTCGGCCACTTGACGAGCGAGACCATGGCGCAGAACTTTCGGTGTCTAATGCCGAAGGTAGCGGAATAGATGCCGGGATGCCGCTCGGCCGATCGGTGTCGAGTGCTCGCCCCCTCACGTGAACGACATACTGGTTTGTTGAAGCAAGGGAGCCGGGATGAACCGAACGGCGCAGAACCGCAAGGAGAATATCTAGGTCCTGAAAACACTGCAGCTTTTTGCGGAAACGTTTTCGACACGTTATACATAATGAGGCCTTGTCTTTACGTCGAACTCTTTAGATCTGCGTGACTTCCGTCCCTCACTTTATCCTCGCCATTCAATTGCTGGCAGAGAAGCACTGTGACGCTTTGCAAGACTTCAATCTGAACTGGAATCCTCACAAACCATGTCGGCCCCAAGGCCTGGCCAAGAAGGATGCCTCGGCAGCGAGTTCTCTATCCTGACGCCCAATGCCATGCTTGGTTATGGCTACAACTCTGACCATTTTTGGTACGGCATCAAGAAGTATAAGCCTGCTGCTATCATTGTCGACAGCGGCTCTACCGATGGCGGACCTTATAAGCTAGGCATGGGCAAGATGACCTGCGGTCGTGGGTCTTATATCCGTGACCTCGAGCCAATTCTAGCCGCCTGTTTCCTTCAAAAAGTGAAGGTGCTTATTGGCTCAGCAGGCGGTGATGGTAGCAATAAGCATGTGGCCGAAATGCTAGCCATTGTGAGCGAAATCGCCGAGCGGGAGGGTTACCAGTTTAAGATCGCGACTATTGAGTCGGGAATGGATAGGGAACTCATAAAACAACGCATAATCGATGGTCGTGTCGGGCCGTGCGGCCCTGTTGAGCCACTTACGAAAGAAGACGTGGACCGCGCCGTCGATGTCGTTGCCCAAATGGGTGCAGAGCCGTAAGTGCAATGGAGCCAATCGCAAAATTCTATCAGACAAATTTTTAAAGAAAAATATGTGCACAGTTTCATGGAGGCGCTTCAACACGACCCTGACATTATCCTCGGAGGTCGTTGCTACGATCCCGCTCCCTTTGCAGCCTTCTGTATCTCAAAGGGTGTTCTTCCGGATGTCGCATGGCATATAGGCAAAATCATGGAATGTGGCGGTATTTGTGCTATACCCAAGGGCCGGTCGATGGTTGCTACTATGCGTAAGGATTCCTTCGACTTGACGCCATTAGCGCCAACAGAACGGTGTACACCATTGTCCGTCGCTGCCCATACATTATACGAGAAGACCAGACCGGATCGACTCCCGGGACCTGGAGGGGTTTTAGTCCTGGATCAGGCTCAGTATACGCAAGTTACACCCAAGACTTGCCGAGTGTCTGGAGCCAAATTTCTCACTACCCCGTACCAGGTAAAACTCGAAGGCGTTGCCTATCTAGGTCACCGTACTATTTTCATTGGAGGCATTCGAGATCCAATTCTTATTAGCCAAATCAACGACTTCTTGGAGGAAGTCCGTCAATATTCACACAACCTCTTCCCTGAACTTGACAAATCAGAACACTGTCGGCTTATCTACCATATTTATGGTCAGAACGGTGTTATGGGTCCTCTCGAATCGGAGAAGTCGACACCTCACGAGATTGCCGTCTTGGGCGAAGTCGTTGCTCCTACGGCGGAGCTGTCCTATACTATTGCCAACAATGTGAGGGCCTCTATATTGCACTATGCTTATCCAGGCCAGGTGGCCACCACCGGAAACTTTGCAAGTCCTTTATCACCCCACGAGCAAGATGCTGGAGGTGTCTTCAAATTTAGCCTCTACCACCTCGTTGACCTCAACCAGGGAGAGGAGACATCTTTATTTCCTATCGCTACCCACCATATTGGCTCTGCGGACACCCCTACAAAGCCTTTGCCTGTCATATCAGGTGAGACTTTCTATGAGCTTGAGAACGGGGCGCTTACGCCCCTGACCATCAAGGAGGTCCCCACGGGCGAGACCAAACTGAGTAGCCTGGCTCGCATCATTCGATCCAAGAACTCTGGACCATTCGAGATGACCTTTGATGTCATGTTTGATCAGAGAAACGTTTACGACCGTGTCAAGGCAGCAAACGTTCTAATCAATGACACCATTAAGAAGCTCTATCAGGTCGAGGATAAGGAAATCCTCACAAACATGTACTTTGAGCCTGCTTTGGCCTGGAAATGTACTATTCGGCGACCGTGGGCCCAGGGAAGTGTCGGCGAGCTTGACACTCTCGGAACCCAGCAGCACGGCCCGCTTTTGAACATTCTAGTGCCCGCTCCCCAGACTTCTTTGAATGGAGCTTCAGAAAACGTCAGTAGCATCAGCGCGCCGAAGAGATATTCCAATGGCACAGCACCTGATCGGAAAGCATTCACGGCCAAGGATGTGGTAGAGGAAATCTGGGCCGGCCTGAAGCTCCCATCCGCAACACTCGACTCCCTCCAGCTGCCGGGCGACGATGGGAAGCCCCAGCTGCCTTCGTCTTACAAAGTTGGAATCCTGGCGCAAAGTTCCATTGCCTTGTCTGCCTTGGCAGCAGCCCAAGTTGAGACACTCCGGAACACCACATCACCGCCTCCCAAGGTAAGGGTGTCCGCTGAGCACGCAGCTGTGGAGTTCAAGTCCGAGAGGCTATATATCCTCGACGGGAAGCCTCCGCCCTCTCCTTGGGGCTCAATAGGTGGGCTCCATAAGACTTCGGACGGGTACATTCGCATTCATGACTCATTCTCCAACCACGGTGACGGCATGCTTGAGCTCATGGGCCTCCCTGTTGGTTCAAATCGTGAGGAATTGTCCAAGAAGATCGCACCCTGGACAGCGATCGACCTCGAGTGTGTCGCCCTGGAGAACAAGCTTGCCGCATATGCCCTACGATCGTACCAGCAGTGGGACTCACTGCCGCAATCCAAGGCCGTCAGCAATTTCCCCATCTCGCTTCAACGACTCTCCACAGGAGACGCCAAGGGCCTGCCTGACCGGTTGTTGCATGCCAGCGGCTCTAGATGTCTCCGTGGCCTCCGAGTCTTGGACTTAAGTCGTGTAATAGCGGCACCCCTGTGTGGGAAGATCCTAGCTGTTCACGGCGCAGATGTCATATGGGTCACGTCACCTAATCTGCCTGACCTACCTGCTATTGATAGGGACTTAGGCAGGGGCAAACGGACTATCCAACTGGACATCCATAAACCTCAGGACAAGGAGACACTCTTGAAACTCATTGAGGATTGTGATGTATTTCTGCAGGGCTTTCGGCCTGGCAGCCTGGCTTCTTACAATGGCCTTTCTCCTCAAGAGCTACTCAGTATCAACCCAGACCTTATATTTGCTAATATGTCGGCATTTGGACCTAATGGACCGTGGTTTAATAGAAGAGGATACGATTCCTTGGTACAAACCTGTTCGGGTATGAATATTTCGGAAGCTGAACATGCCGGCAAAGGAGAAGTAGCGCGCCCTACTCCCTGTCAGGCTCTTGATCATGCTGGAGGTTATTTTCTTGCTACAGCAGTCGCAGCAGCTGTTTATCGTCAGGCAATCGAGGGTGGATCATTCAGGGTAGATGTCTCCCTGGCCGGGGTAATGAAATACCTACGCAGCTTGGGATCATACCCTGAAGCTACCGGATTCGAGGTCAGGGATTTTGCAAGCTCGCAAGATGTGCCGGAAAGGTACATTGAGACCAAGAATACGGGCTTTGGTATGATGCAGGCTATCAAACACAGCGCGTCTATCGAGGGGCATGAGGTCAAATGGGATGTTATGCCTAAGCCACTAGGCTCGGATAAGGCGGAATGGTTATAACATTTTGGCAAAGAGTAGGTACTTGCTCGTACGATACGTTGAGTCCTAGGAAATGATCATGACAGAAATATTTGCGATGATACTAGCTCTACTTATTGTTGCCATGGCTTTGGGCACCGGGACCGTTTCAAGCACACACCCGTCATGACACAAGTCAGAATCGACAGATACAGACGTGAGGGGTGGTCAAACTTGCAACTAGCCCGGCAGACTGATCCATTTTGTGATTGTTGGGCCATCGGCGGCAAGTAGCGATGATCAACCCTGCTCAAAGTGTGAGTGAAATATTCTAGAACGAGATTACATGCTCAATGTCTTTCGATGGACAGAATGAGAAGTAGATCTGTAAGAGATTTGTATGGATGTTAAGTTGAGCCTGCATTGTACGGAAATGGTATCTGAAGCAGTGAAGCAGCCCAATCACAGAATGTGAGGGCCAGGGGTGAGTTCATGACTGAAATGTTGACATGGACCTAACAGCCGGTTGTCTTGGCAAAACCCCTCGGTACTTACATTGAATCCTGTTGACAGCAAGTCGATGGATTTGATTGTGCATAATGCTATTGTCTCAATTTGGATTCTATTGAAAGCCATCACTAGGAAGCAAATAATCCATGACCGTGTCCAGTAACATGTTTCTTCTCAATGAGGGAAAGTCGTCGGTGATCGCAATCTTCCTTGGTCGGGTCCAGACTAGCTGAGCGAAGAGAAAGACCAAAAACCCATGCTGTTCACAGCGCTATGTGAATTACTCGGACACCGGCTCAAGGTATCTGGTGATGTAAACGAAATCCCCTGCTGAAGGATCCATAATGGTTGCATAATGCGTGCACTCGTTGGTGATTGGCCACGCCTCCACCCACTTGACCAACTGAGCCGCTGTCACACTCATTGGCATGTCTGCATCGTCCTGATTGACATTCTTTCTGCGCCTCTTAAACGCTGCTTCGGCCTTTTTCCATTTGGACTCGATACACTGCATCCTATCTCGAGACTCTTCCACCATCTCATTCATACCGGTAACAGCAAGCTTGGCAGCATCACTATCAGTCGTGCTGGCTGGGTTGCTGTCAGAGCTGGCATCGTGATTGGTTATAGCGATGAACGATGATGAGATGCTGGTATGGGCAGTGACACGGTCTTTCTCCATGACCATAGTCTGTTGGCCATCGTTGAAGATCAGGTAGGCTGCGGTCGAAGGTAAAGACGGTAGTCGGCGTTGGACGGCCGCGAGTGTATCCATGTGCCCATTGCCATGGCTGGAGTCGGAGGGGAGCAAGAAGCTACGAAGGGTGGAGCTGATAGAGGGCCTCCGGCCAAGCAGCACAAGCATTCTGTGATAGTGGAACCGAAAATTGGAGGTGCGTGAGTAGCTGTTGTTGTGGTAGGGACGGAAGTTGAGCGACATGCTCAGCCCCGGCCTAATTGCAGTAAGTGTACCGACAAAGCCGACGTAAGTGATGGACCGGGCGATAATGTTGCCATGTGGCTCCTTGACAAAGTTAAGCTGTACCACGACTTCGCGGAGGGGATCCATTGCCCAGTCCAGGGTTCGAAAATGTAGCATCCGTGTCTGTTTGTTGTTGCCCGCCCTGCCCATTTTGACTCTTGCTCCCCCGCTTGTGCAGCCCATGAAAAGGTCCAACAGGGTGTTCAGGCAGACAAGCAAATACATGTCCACACCACTAGCTTCACTGATCCCTCTGATTTCCTCCGTCTGCTCCTTGCTGTGCACTCGCCTCAGGGCCAGCTTCGCGAGTCGCCTCGTTGCTTCGAGAGGCAGGCCGAAGCCTACGACGACTTCTTCGAACAGGTCAGTCAGACGTGGAATCTTGTGCCGGAAGTCGTGGACGAGCTCGGTGTATCTAAGAGCCGGAGGGCGAGACAGATCGATAGTATAGACGGGCACCGACTCAACGGCGCATTGTCGGGCCTCGACTGATGTAGCCATGGTTGTGCTGAAATGCAGAGGCCTCTTAGTACCTGATATATGGATCAACGTGGCTAATTCCAGATTATGCAGCATAAGCACAAGGAGCCCTGATAAAGACGTGCGCGTGGCTCTAGGAGGGATGAACGGAAATATGAGGCAATCTGCAACCTTCCTGCAATACAAGTACTAAGCAACGTATTTGGACTCGCCTGTAAACGTGCGACAGTGAACGTCAGCAGTCACTGACGTGGAAAATATGTGATTCATCCTCCTCGATAGATGGATAGATGCCAGACAATAGACTTGCTGCTGGCACCTTCTTCAAGACGCTACGAGTGTAGTTTAGGCAGCGGCTGCACGTGACCAACCTTGGCCGGGAAGTGCGTGTGGCGAAACAGAGGGCCATCTATTGAATCTACCTAGACACTTGAAGATAATCCTCATTGCACGTCTATCGTTCGAGACCTAATTTAATGCTTTCGTGCATCTTCTCAGCAAGGCCCTAGATGACAAATCGTAGAAGTACCTCCTTGGTACAGGTATCTGCGTATACTAGATCATTTGCATATGTACCGTCAAGTTCGACGATGTGTACCTGATGGGTTCTGTAGAAGCGAGCGCTGAAATCTCATCCATTAGACAACAGGATCAATCATCAATTTAGATGACTCAGTCTTCTTTTGCTGGCGACATGTGGTTCTTCCTCAGCCGCACTTGCATAGCATGCGACCGTTCAAACGGCTATTGGTCTCGAAACCCCAACTCCAAAAAGAAGACAAGGGATATGAGGTCGTGTATCTTGCACTGAACTTGCAAGGGCTTAGGCGTCAGAACCGATGAAGATTAAACAAGACGTAAAAGCTGCTTTGAGTTGAATCTAATTAGCACATGGTATGGGAAACTTTGTAGGTGCATGCGGGCACGGATAAGGAGAAGGGAGGCTAGTGACCAAAGGAGAAATGCGAGTCAATCACGGAGGTACCCGCCGAGGTGCTATGCCCCTAACATCCTAATTCTATGAACAAGGTTTCCCGTTCCGGTTCCTGCAATATAAGCTTGTGTCAGGTTTACGACCCTCTCGGACTCGTGTATTGATGCGGTTTTCCATTGAAGAACAAACGTAGACATATATTTGACGTAGCTCGCATCTCTATCAAAAGAGTTCGCCGCATTTAATTGGTACACACTATCCAATTAATTGTACATTTACAACAACCACTGTCGCTTTCAACTAACAACATGGCTTTGTCATACTTTGCCGTCCGTTCTCTTGAACTTCTTTCATTAAGCTCCCCTGTCCAATGCCCGGTAGTGTTGGATGGGCGCATTGCTCAGAACACGACTCTCTCAGTGTTTGACACAAATGCCAGCCCGTTCAATCCCGGATACAGCAAGGGCCAAAATCTTTCGTGGTCTCAAATCCTGGAATTCCCACCGGCTGCACCCTCCCTTTTCGATGCCTCCTCGCCTGAGAGCTTCAAGCCACTTGAGGTGACTATCGATGATAGGTCTATCTTCAACCCTAGTGGTACTAACCCGCAGCTCGGCTTCAGGAGGGCTGGTCTGCTGCTGGGCAACGGATCCGACGCATCGAACCAAGGTGTCATGACCTTCCACTGGAGCTCCAAGCAGGACTCGGCACGGCCGCTGAACCTGACCCACGAGTATCTCACCGTGTGGCACGAGACCAACGATTCATCTGGTTCACAATTTGCGCTACAGCTCGGCCTACCCTTGGGCTCCAATGACACTTCGGAGGCCTCGTCTCACAGCTGGAAGATGCTGGATCGGAACAACAGCGTTGTATTCACGTCACCACTCAACTTCGATGAGTGGCAAAATTTCGCCGTTACTGTCGATGTGCCACAAAAGTGCGTATTTGGAACACCTTTCATTCAACTATTGAAGTGTACTAACACTCCTCAGCACAATCCAGGTCTACTTCTCCGAGGGGTCCAGTCCACTGGAAGCCGTTACTGAAGTGCTGCAGAACGACAACAGCGGTGGCGGCGCTCTTCAAATTGGGTTGCTGAAGAAGCCCACGGAAACGAAGACCGTGGTGTTCGATGGATTCCAGGAGAGTCCTCTCAACGAGGGTCAGATCTATGGAGGCCTATTTGTTGAGAACAGCGCGGACAATTGTGTTTCCCTCGGAACTGCGAAAGCCTGATCGCTTCTCTAAATTTTGACTCGACAATATCATCTTCCTTCAAGCGACTCATTAGTCATGGAAGTATTATTCTCGGTCAGGCAGAAACAAGCCGAACACAGCCACCGGCCCCGAGTTTAGACCTTCATGACGTCGTTGCATGAGCGGTGTGTTGACTTTGAATGGTCTCGAGTCAATTCGAGTTGTGTTTTGTATATAAATTCGAGCCAATGGTCTCGTTTCCGTTTCAAATTTGTACATGATCAGGTTGCAAGCGTGAGATAAGAATATTCCAAGTTAAACATTTCATGTTGAATGAAAATTAGCTCTGATACGTATGTAACTATCTCGCTCAAGTTCCGCCATTAGCTTCGGACATGAAAATGGATGAGAGCTTCTGAGTCTGATAAATGTTTCAGACAATTGATTGAATACAGCGCCACAGGAGTCGCAACGCCACGAAAGGCACCCCCACTCCAGTTAGATGATCAGGCAAGCTTCACTTGCATTCACCAGCCTGCCGCATTCATCAACAAGGCGCTCAGATTGCGGTCCAATTCTTGCGCGATATTGTCCACCTCATCATTCCCAAATTGGTGCATGGTGCTCCTAGGTCTGTCGTATTCAAAGATAGCTGTGCCCTCCTTCTCCCTCAGCAGCACTCTAATGGGTGCATACAGCGAGATGCCCAGTTCAAAGTAGTTCATCTGCGTGGCAGTGTAAGGGTTGCCAATTTCGTATTGTACTGCTTTCCCAGTCTTATTGAGCGTGCCCAAAAGGCTTCCAAAGTTTCGAGGTGGGACAATGAATGCGTTCAGGACGGGCAGGCTCTGCAGGGCTTGGAACGCCCCGGCGACGTCTCCGGCGGCGAGAAGCGTAGAGTAGGTTGTGTTGATGGGCGGCAATGAAGCTTCCAGCGCAACACGCGTGTCTTCGAATGTGTTTTTGCAAACTATCGTGGCGTGCTCAATGTTTACGATTCTGATGAGTGGCTCATGATCTTGTGTTGAGGTGCATTGACCTGGGAAGACGAAAAGGGTAAGGCATAGCCATAGCACACACTGGAGACAATGCATTTTTGATGATTTTAGAGGATGCAGTCAGTCTGGAATGAGCATTTGTGTATTAAAAACGAGAGTTTGATTCACTCCATTTTTTACGAGGAGGAAGACGACGGCTGAGAACCTTGCAAAGGATTTCCTGGGTGCCTAATTCTGACTGGTAAGGGTTGGTCTAATGGACTTCTCGGTGATGACCGCCACTTATCAATGATTGGCTGGAAAAATGATCAAAGCGAGATGAGCTCAGAAGGAACCAGTGTTTTGGCTTCTCATTTTCAAGGCCTTAGGCATAATACCGACTTGACGCATCCCCTTACTCTCGACCGGGATTGTGGGGCCACACCAGGTTCTCAAGGGCGACAGCGAGAATGAGAAGGATTAAGGTTAAGAATCCACGACCAGTGAGCATGTCTGCACCAGCCTTTACCCTGATTGTTGCCCCTGATCCGCTCACGTACATAGCCATACCTTCTACTGCCCTTCGCACATCGACCTTCACGGGTCCGACTGATCGTGGGAGATTTATTTGCAGTTCGTAAAATCGCTCGTCTCAGGCAGTATACCTCTCGCCTGCCCTGTCGATGACAGCTTGGAAGTTCACACCACATTGATTCAAGATGACTGTGACGAGATAGTGTTCATCGTCGCCTACGGCGTGTTTTTTGTTGTAGTAAAGTATGTCCTTTGAGTTGGCAGAAGGGATCGATTGAAACCCCAGAACTTGAGAAGGGGTTCAACCTCGAATAAATATGTTCTTTTTGTGCCGTTAGCAGGGCATTAGTTGACCACGTGTAACACTATCATGCGAATCATTCCAATTTGGAAGAAAGAATCTTTCATTTTCTGGTCTTTCTCAAATATCAAGGATAGAATAATCAAGTAATAACGAGTGTTGTTCCGTTTTCGATATCTCGGAAATCCAAATTCCTCCTCTTGCTCTTGCGATTTTGACCTTGACGCTGGGGGCTCTAATAGAGCGGTCTTTACAAGTTTGGATAATATCCGCTTCGCAAGGTCATTTAGCAATTGGTACCCAGAGCCGCTATTTGAATTTAGATCCAGTGGTTAGAGATGATTGAGAACACTACTGTGGAATCGAGAGGTATTCCTATGACTTACCAAGCGTGCACCCGCTAGAGGTGTAGTAACCGTTGACCCAGCAGTCTGTAGCCAGTGTTCGATCGGCTTTATCCCACGAGCTAATGGATGATACGTGTCAAAATACCGAAATACGATCAATCAGGTCACAGCAATAGAAGTCAATCTCACCAGTTCGTCACACCATTGACCGTCACGCATTCACCTTTGACGGCACACTTGAAGCTGTGTGTCGAACCCGCCTTGAAAGTGGTGACAACGCTGCAGTCGGTACTGGCGCACGATCGACAGTTGACAGTGTTACTAGCATTAATTATACTGCAATTGATGTTGCCTGGAAGGAGTCATGGTGTCAGACACATGGACACAGCTTGAGAAGAGCTCTGTCTGTCCTTGGGAGTGCTGAAGGGACTTACGACGGAAAAGTTTGTTGGGGTCGTCACGCTTCTCCGTGAAGCCGGCGACCTCTACCAGGCCGTCAGGATTAGCCTTGCGGTCGACGAGACCGGCTTCATGCTGTTCGATAGGTGAGGCCAAGATGGCCAAAGGCATACAGGCAACGATGAACTTGACGAGCTGCATCTTGCAATTTTGATCACGTATGAGAGACGACAATGTGCGAGTGAGGAACGGCTTATTGCTTTGAGACAGTGTCGAGATTATCATGACAATGCTCCTCTTTGGACTCTTTTATACTCGTGAAGCTGATCAAAGCACTGGTACAGCCGAAAACCTAACCCCAGAACTGTGCCGCGATCTGGTGCTTTCTCGAAACATGAACCCACGTCTCTGGTGTTTTGTTGCAGTCATACTCCCAACCAAAGTCGCCAAGCCAATAATCGTGATGCATGGACTCGGAGATGTCTTGAGGCTGATGAGTGATGGTTTCAGTACACTAACTTGAAGAGAGCAAAAGTCTTGCACGATGAGGCGGAAAAGAGCATAGCTTTACACCCTGCAGAACGGCCGAGAATCCCTCGCCACGCCAGAGCTAAGCTACAGTACCTAGACCAGTGAGCGTTGCCCGGGAAAAGCCGTGAATTGGCGGCCATCACTAAGTGAGCGGCCCGTCTGGAACGCGGGGCATAAGCCGCCAAGCATTTATGAAGCATCGTCAGTGGAAAGTAAGGTCTTTTTGTAGATGTTTCTGCTTCACCGAGTTCCGTTTTCTGCCCCAAATGGTTTGATTTGACCGAGTTCCGGTTCCTGTCCTAAACTCCTTTCAGACTATTTTGCCACTGCCTTGCATAGGCCTAAGTTGTACTAGGTGGCAATATCCTGAACGGCCCCGAGCCACAGCCTAAACCCTATAGCTAGCAGTAGGCGCATCTGTCTCCTGAAGAGGGCCAAACTTGACCACTGGAGCTCGCGCGAGGGAGGTAGGCTTACTAAGTGTGTCGAGGGATTCAGTGTCTCCTCGATGCGCTTAGCTCACTTGCAATAAAGAGCCTCGATTTTCTCTCCAAAGCTCTACGTCTGATGACTATGCTTAGAGAAAGAATGGAAGGTGGGCTTCATGTCATATGTATGCCAAAGAAGACCTGAGGATATCTGATCTTGGTGAGCGTGGGGATTCGGTCACCATTTCCAGTTGACGAGGCTCTGAAAGACTCCTCTCTGTGTCGTTCTTGGCAATCCTTCAACTCATTAGGATTGCTAAGACCCCCATACAATGTCCAAGCTGCCAAGAGTTTTACATGGCAAGCTTCTTCCTTCTAAAGTCTTCATACTCGCGGATGTACAACATACTGTTTTCGTACGCCCGTGAGACGCGCCTAGAGATCATCAACTTCTTCGTGGTCAAGTTCCTTCTCCCGCAAAAAGAAGGCAATGTATTCATTATTCGCTCTAGGACTCGTATATATTGTAGATTCCAAGCTGTTGTGTTCTGGGTGAAACGTACTCTTGAGTACCAACTTGGTCATGTCAACCAGCTCTTTGGGCGGGAGGAGTCCGGTTCCTCCCTAAAGCTCATCGGCCACCTTGCACTTGAAAGTATTCTCCGTGTCAAATATGCCAGAATAAGCTTCCAGAAACGATAGTGAGCCCACCCGGGGTTTTCGGCCTTTTTGTCAGGACCACGTGTCACTCGTGTGTCGCGTCCTTGGGCTAAAGAATCATCAACATTGCCACACCTGCACCGCACAGCATTGCTATCCCGAGTAGTGCCTTAATCATAGAGGTTTGGTTTCGGGCATCCCATCCTTAGGCGTGGGCTCGCGTTCAATGTGTGCTTTGATCTTGATCAAGCCGACATTGTCCTCGGACGGGAAACGGCCCGCATGTCGAATTGAGCGTCGGCTGTATGGGTGAGCATAATAAAGGTGCTTTGCATTATCAGTCTGTAAGACAGGACTCTCATGGAGGGTCTTTACCTAGTCCTTGAACGCTTTGAACTCCTGCACCCCCCCCCCTCCCTCCACCAAATAGTAATGGTGCTTGGGAGGTATAGCGTCATAGGCTTGCCGAAGAGGTCGAGCTGGGCCCCTTTCCAGCAAAGAGCAGGCAGTAATGAAGTGAATTCGAAGAGTCCGCATGTATATGGAGTAGTTCAGCCCGCCAATAGGCGTGGTCTCATGGTAAAACCTCACACCCTCTCCCCGGTGAACACCAGTCACTGCAAGTTAGACCAAGTACTGGCCTTTTCAGCAAGCAACAAACTTGATACAAGATTGGATGAGATGTTCCACAGCCATCACTTATCAAGCAGCCAACTTATGGTTCCATTGCTCACAAACCAAGGTGTTCAGGGCCTTCAAACATGCAAGCGGCACAATAAACCAGGGCTGCTGTTTGGGTATTTCAGCATATGTGACAGGCGCATCGCCTTCAGTGCCTGTGTGTCAGCAGGCCAGAACGTGCGTGCAGATCAAATGAGCTGAAGCACCCTAGTTTGAATACATAGAGGACTTATGAGTACTTCTACAAGTGTGGTCTATACAGTCGATTCTACTATCGAATGACTCGCTAGGCTGTCATGATTGTTCGTTGTGTCACATCGGAATATTCCCTATTATATACATGCTTAAGTCGAAGGTGTTATCTGGTAGGTATGATATACCCATGAGCATTTACTTTAACCTCTTTCGGGCAAGCATTGCCCGCAGTGAGTGTCAGGAGATCTCGAGATATGGCGAAGCCGATACATAATTTCAATGTTCACGCGCAGTTCTACAATGCAGTCCAAAGATTTAGATGATACTGGGTTGACATTGTCCGTGTTTGAAACCATCTGTGTGAACCCCGTCCAGTCAAAAGAATATTAGGTCAAATTAGTGTACCTCGAATAGAACACCAATATTTCTAGCTGGAGACGCGCTTGAAAAAGACAACCTCTTCATGCGCGATATCTTGCGGACTGTGTTTATTTACTTATATCCTAAAGCCTTCCTCACAGACATGAACGGTTCTCGATAATTTGAAGGCATCTGTACGTGCGCGGCAGAATAGGTAGCTTGGCCAATACTTGCGGAATATAAAGCCGCTGGGCTATGCGTATCGACATAGCGTGATATCTGGCGGCCTTGAAAATTAGTATTTGTGGGAGTTAGTTATCTCTGCTAGGGGTCAAAGTTACATAGTCCTATTGGGACATGATATACAAGTAGAATGGTGATTGTTTACAAAGTTTGTAATCATTGCGATGATTGGCTGGGGCAACCGAAAATGCGCGATAATTAGTACTCAGCGTCTGGAGACAGAAATTGAGCCCGCCAAATCGAGCGCAGAGGATTGATCAGTATGATACGACCATGGAAAGCAATATGCAGCCCCTCTTTAGCCAAATAAATGGGCACTTAGGCCCTACGATGCGTCGGCGTTTGAACCATTCCGGCTTCTGGGAGGCGGTATGAAGACAGAGAAGCGTACCAGGCTTTGGCCAATATAGAGCTTCTGGGAACGAAGCTGCGAAGATGCTCAATGGGTATGCTGAAGCCGGTGAGAATGGCGGGGGGGGGGGGGAGGGGACAGTTTATTCGAAAGACAGGATAGTGCCTACCCTACTAGGACACCTGGCAGAGGTTTTCACAATCTCTTCATAAATTTGAATAGGAATTGAATGAAAAAGTCTGAGGCCTAATCTCCTGTTTCCTCGTCTTTGTTGCCGAATTTGACATTTGTTCATTATCTCATCTCGTGTTAATCCTATTTCCATACTGATGTGTCTCTCGTAATACGATGTTCTTCTTATCTCGAAAGAATCGGCGGCTATAAATGCAGCGGGACAAGACTGGCACGCACCATGGGAAGCCGCGGGATATCGGAATTTACTCTGCAGCGCACTGCAACGTCCAACGACCCTTCCATGATTGGCCTGAGCAAGATAAAATTGGCTCTGAAGGCTAGCCTACAGCTTTGAGACTGCCAATGATTTGTCGAGGCTATTTTTCATTCTGATAGAGACATGGACTGAACCGCCGATGTCTAGGGGACCAATAATCAGAAGGGCATTTTGGAACGAAGGGAGCTGTTCGGAAAAGGACCGTTCACGTCGGCCTATGTCCAGAATTGGGGCTATTTTGCGGCTGAAGTGCTCATATGGGAACGCCACATTGACGTGTGAGCTGGAGAATGTGCTTATCGTCGAATCATGTCGAGAGTGCATCGGTACCAAGAACACTAAGATGCTAGATTAGCCAGGGTCACAACCCCTTGAGCGGTCATAATATCTTCCCGTGTACCACAATCGCATGCGGCTTAAAGCCCACGGGACAAGAGGTTATACTGCTCAATCAATGGCTTCTTCTCAGTCCCAGGTGGCTCGATGCACAAGGGAACACTCGCTACCCCATCGTCGTAATGACGAGCCTTCATGCGGTCACTCGGCATCCGTTCTTTTTCCTTCTCGCAACCTCTACTCTCCTGGTGAATCAGATATCTGCACTCGGCTTCGCAGATTGTCTGGAGACCGTAAAAAGAGAGTTGCCTATCGATGGCACGCCGAACGCCAATGGCACGACGCTGAACACTAATGCCCAGGTTTTTCGTAACGGCTTCGATGTGGTTTATCATGGCCCTCTGCGCGGGTTTGTAGGCGAGTCGCGCCCAATCACACTTACAAAAGATGGATGCATTGAGATGTGCGGTGCTGCTCCGAAGTACTACAGCGTAACAGACGCGTTCCAGATTCTCACGACATGGATCTTCCCAACCTTGGCCCTTATGAGCCAACTCCCGTATGAGTCTCTTTCGTACAGGAAGATAAAGAACGCCGAGGCCTTTGCCAACTGGATAGGTGCACCGGCCGGTAAGCATTTGCCCATCCGTCTTTGATTAGAATCTTTCAGAATGTATCGACTCGGAATCCGCAGCAGGTGACTAACGCATGCTAGCCGCTTTAACGACGACAATATGGAACATCATGATGATTGCTAGGTGTCAGTCTCTGCCTCATCAATTTCACCTGCGGGACGACCAGGACCTGATCAAGGATGCCTTATACATCTTAAGCTGCATCAACCAGTATCAGTACCCTCGTCGGAAGGGTCAGCAAGATCAGGACAGACGAAGAGACACTGCATTGCTCAGAGGTGTTCTTTTCCCCTACGTCAGGAGGGATAGCCCGGAACTGTCCCAACCCGTGCGTGAAAAGCTCGTACACCTCACGAAACACCTGGCTTTCCACCTAAGGCAATATAGGCGCAAGGTATGCATAAGTCTCCCGGTTATAGCGGTCTCTTATTTCAATCTTCCAGTATCTATCATTTCAGACTTCATAGCAGGTGACTAATGCATAGCAGGGTGTGTATCCAATTTACATTTCGATCGTCTGGTTCGGCATCGCATTCGCCTTCTCTATCGTAATTGCATTCGCGACATTGGGCGACAACACCACGGCCCACTCACTGGCGCTGGGGCTACTTCTATCTTGGGTTCCGGTAGTGGTTTTTGCCTCGGTAGTGGACAGAAACCCGACGTCCGACACGCGATGCCGGGTGCTGATCGAGCGCTGGATGTTCAACACCGATCTTCTCTTCGAGCAAGGCGTAAATGCATGGGTTCCTTGGCGAGCTCCAGACGGCACACACGATGGCGACGACACGGACGACTTCGAAATTGGGGATTTTATGGGCCAAGGCCGCACCCTCCGATACTGCGGCGTCACAGATACCGTTCTGGATAAGATTGCCAACCGCCGCAAGGCTCCGATCAATCTTCTTGCGTTTGTCGATATGGACGACTTTCGAAAATTCCAGAAGTCGTTGACAACCCGCCCGACAGGATGGTACGTTGTCTGGCTCATCAGCCAATTTATTGTCAGCACCAGTTTTGGAATGGCGTTCATGGTCTCGTTCAACACCCCTACCATCGGCTTGGGATGTCGATCGCTCATGTACGTCGTGTGGTACACACTTACTCTTCCTTCGTGGATACTTCTCGGCATACAGCAGGAACCATGGATAAGCATTCGCAAGGCCATGATGCTACCCAATGCTCTCGCGGTGATCATGATAGCTGGGATAATGATAGTTCACGCCATCGGTGGCTTGAATAACTGCACGTGCAAGTCCAGTGTATTTGGTCTGTCAAGTTATGGAGGCTACATGGACTTTGAAAACGGAGAGTTCTATCAGAATCATTACGGTGTGCGTGTGTGGTGGGGCGTAGGTACCGGAGTAGGCGGCGCCGTTCTTTGTTTGTCACTTGCTTGGCTTGCTTGGAAATGGCACAAGGCTTCAGGACTTTGGAAGGTAACCGGAGATACGAAGTTGACAGTCACTGAAGATACGCCCCTACAGTGGCTGACGTGATGATATGTCAGCTGCAATATTCTGTAATATGTATTTCAATCTTAGTCCCTCCAATGTGCGTTTAGCAACTACAAATTCAAGCAGCGGTGTGATCTAATCTTTTAAGACGATGATCACAAGCTCGTGGAAATCAATAATATATGCATGAAAATGAATGTGCAACTGGATAGAACTGAATCCTTTTTTGCTACCAAGATATGTGTATGAGGAACTTATTGCGTATATAGATCAATTGTAGGAGGCTGACTTTATCTTTGGCCGTGAGTATTGTTCGTTTCCCTATGTCAATCAATTGGATGAACATAGATCAAATGAAACAGTTGATGACTTGTCTTTATGATATTCTAATTATGCTTTTATCTACCTAGACCAGAAAATACATGATATAAAGCTACACCTATTCAGGTCTCGGGAAAGAATCCTTGTACTTAAGCAGATACTCCCGGAATCCCTGAGGTTTCCGTCCCGTCAGTCTTTCCACGGCGTCTGTCGTCTCTCTCATATGGCCCCAAGCAACCATCTGTCCCGAACAAAGCAGATCGTACATGCAAAGCTTGCATGGTGTTTTAGAAAAGTCCCCGTACACATCATAGGGCAGACCCTTCGCCTTCCACCACTTCTCCAGTTCCTCGTCGCTCAAGTTCTCAAACGTCCCTTTGTAGCCACTTTGGCTAGCCATCCACTCAAATATCTCTCGGTTCGAAACAGCCTCTGGCCCGGTGACGGTGTACACCGTATTAGGCTCTCCCTTGCCCATCAGTAACGCCCCGAGGACCCGCCCACAGTCATCCCTCGCCACAAATGCCCCTTTCACATCACCATCATTAGACAGCCATCTATCACCCGTGAAACCCCAGCTCTGCGCGTGGAACTGTGGGATGTTGTCCATGTACAGGTAGTTCCGCTGGATGTTGTACTGCAGACCACTAGCGCGGATCAGGTTCTCCGTGTAGGCGTGGTCTCGTGGCAGGAATGGCATGTCCTCGCCGCCGTCACCGAGGTCAGCCCCGACGAAGCTCGTATAGCAGATGCGCCGCACTCCCGCAGCCATGGCAGCGTCAATGACGTTCTTGTGCTGCCTGCGCCGGCCCTTGCCGATCAGCCAGGTGGAGATGAAGGAGACGGCCTCGGCGCCGGCAAAGACGCGCACCAGGTGGGTCGGGTCGTCATAATTGAGCATGAATATCTTGGCGCCTTTTTCTTTCGCCTGCGCAACGAGATCATCGTGTACGAAACCCGGCTTATGGCTGGTCAGGACCAGCTCGTCGTCTGGGCCGGCGAGCGAGAGGGCGTAGGAGGCCGCTACGCTGCCGATGTTGCCGTCGCAGCCGGTCAGGACGTACTTGGGCATTTTGGCGATGGACTGATATGCAAATGGGTTATATATATCGGAGTTTGGGGAATCGACAGTGGGGTGAGAGGATTACCAGCGCAATGGAGGTCATCCTACTGCCGTTACCTTTATGGGCACAGCATCGAGTGTAAGAGAGGAAGACGCCATTTTATAGAGACGGAATTAACATGACTAGATATGATGGACACATTGACACGAGATGGGCCTCCTTTTCCCCGTGGAGGACCTGTGTGGGCTGCTACTGTCTCATGAGCAATATCGGCCTTGGAAATCGCGGGGAGTGCTCCTTGCGGGTGACAATCATGCCACTTTTTGCGGATCTCATGAGGTAAAACAGAGTCGCGCGACCAGAGTCGCCCGGGCTTCCGGCAATGATTCAGAGAATCCCCAAAGAAGATAAAAAAGATAATAACCGCGAATGATCCCACGGTATCTTTGACTTGTCGTTTGTCACACAAAATAATGGTGGTGCCTATTGGGTCGAGGCTTCGACGGGGCTTACATTGACCCAGCGGCAGTACTTTTAACCGGTCTATTGCTACTTCCGCAACACAAAAAAATGACTTGCAGAGTCCAGAGATCACTATTAGACTCTTGTGCTATCTTTACACTGTTTTGAAGAGGCTTTCCGGGGAATATGATATTCGAGTGTGGGTTCTGACTGTTGATATCGCATTCTCGGCGGTACACTGCAGCCGGGAGCGGATCTGAACTCGAACCCCGATCGCCGCCACGGCTCGGCGCAACATCTGCGCGGCTTGGCTGTCTTCTGGAACTCGTTGTTGCTGTAACCTCTCAGACTAAGAGCTTCCTAAAGAAAGGAATCTTAGCGTTGCTCACTTCATCATAGTAACCTACAGAATATAACATATCCTCTATGGTGGAAAAGAGACTTCTCGTCTTGGACTGTTTCCATGGCGCAGAATATACGGCAATCATGCCACAGAAAATGATTACACTCCTAGCAAGGGACGAAGTGTTTCTCCTCCATAAGCGCGTTTGCTAAAGCATGGCCTAGTTGTAGGTTTCGGACAAGACAGAGAGCTGACATCTTGCGCTTTTTCCAAGCCTACTAATTGACATCTCTATTTACCGAGACCGGCGGTTTTCAGCTCTGCTTGAACCCCACTTGGCGAACATGCACTACGTCACCTGAATGCGTCGCTGTTCATTCTAAAGCTGTCACTGCTTCACTGCAAAACTCCCCGTCGAGATTGCGGGAATATTTTCTAGCTATAAGTATCTTAATATGAAAGGCTTGCGAAAATCTGTGTGTTACTACCAGCTTCGGAGGAGTGGAGATTCAGACCGCCAAAAGCCCCCCGAGAAAAGGAGTGAAGCCACATTACTACCGCTCCAATCACTTGAATCGCACGGCGACAGCGTCCTGCGATAGCGTGTTTCTCGCTTGCACCGTTGACCGGCGGCTGAACATAGTGCTTACGCCATCTTACTCGCATGCTGTAGAGTAATTTCCAGGAGTACTCCATTCATGCAATCATTGACAGTGAGCATGCTCCGACATGAGAGACTGGTTCTTTACTGGTCGCCTTGCAAGATAGATCTGCCCTTCTCATTAATCACCAGACTTATTCTCTTCGGCGCTTAGATCAAATAGCGTCAAAATTGCTGCCTAACACTCCTTTTTCTAATTCTACACTCCACCAGTGTCGCTACCGTTATGTCAAAGAGTGTTACCAGTAGTCATACGGCTTACTAAATATGCGATCATGTCAGACTCGGTCAAGCACTGAATTAGCATGATTTTGAGTGCAGCCTTGCAAAGCTGCATCTCAGCTGAAAAGCTGGATTAACCATATAAAATCCGAATAGTTCTGACAAATCCCGAACACATTGGGCTTGGATTTGGGCTAATCTTCGTCGCATATTGCCATCATTGGCTCATCATAAATGCGAATATGGCCGAAAAGGATAGACTGAGATATCAGAATGACGGTGCCAGAGATGTGGTTGATATCTGGAGCGATGCAATTCGACAATATCAGGGCATTGGGGGCAAGGATCTGAAGGCGGGATACGATCAATTCAAGAGCTTAGATGCTATGGTCGACTTTGGTTGCAAGGAAATGGAAAACTTCCACTCCTTCCGCTACGACAGCACCAAAGTGACCAAACTTCGAGGGCTGTTCAAAGATGGCATCTGGCTTATTGAGGGGGGCATGCAGCAAGTCGTCGCTGCTGCTACTCCAGCTTTCCCGCCAGCGGCTGCAGTTGGGACAGCTCTAACATACATGCTGACGGTGAGCGTGCTTCCAGGCTTGCGCGCACAGCCCTGATCAAATGTATACTAACACTTAGACAGGCTTGTAAAGAGGTATCGGCGGATTACGATATTGTGACAACTTTCTTCGTTGACCTCACAATGTTCTTGCGGCGCATGAAGATCCTAGAGAAGCGATTACCCAAGGAAGGGGCTTTTCACGACTGCGTTTACGATGTCTTTGCATCCCTATTGACGATGTGCGGAATAGCGACCAAGTACATCCAACTCAAGCGATTCAGTAAGCTTTTCCATAACATTTCAAGTGGGTTCTCCCTTTTCCATCCTGAGATACTGACATTTCGCCAGAGAAGTGGGTGACCGCACTGTTCAAAGGGGGCGACCAGGAGCTGGTAGATGCGAGAAAGGGCATGGATACGTCCATGAACAATCTGCGTGACGCAACAGAGAAGGCGATCCTTGGGAACACCGTGGATCTCCAGCAGACCAGCGGAGAGACGCAGGCCCTGCTGCAGCAGATGGAACAGGAGTTGCAGGAGAACACAGAAGCTTCTATGCAGATGATGGAAGAACAGTTCTCAATGCTCCGTGAGATCAATGAGAAGCAAAACACCATCTACAACGATATCAAGAAGCTTCTGGCCTTTGAGCAGGATCGTCGTCGAAATGAGTCACTTCCAAAGCAAACTGGGTCCAAATCATCCGCCAATGCCAAACCGCCCACGTCGAACAGTGTACGGACCTATTTCGGATACAGCACAGACCCAGATAAAGAGTATCAGGTGCTTCGACACTCCCGGATACCAGAAACCGGATCATGGATATTCGAAGAGCCAAAGTGGAAAGCCTGGGCCGAGCACGAAGAAGGTGATGATGTCTCGCCTATTTTGACCGTGTCAGGACCTCGAGGGGCGGGAAAAAGCCATCTTGCCGCGTCGATTTACGACCATCTCAAGAGTACTGCCAGCGACAACACCTGTGTGGTCCACTTCTATTTCAGAGAAGACACAAAAGACTTGGATGAATTCAACAATGCCATAAATTGGGCTGTGGTCCAGATTGCAGAGCAGAATGCCACTCTCTGTGAGAGAATCAACAAGGACGTAGCCAGGGACAATATGTCATGGGAAGGTGAGGATTGGGAGGATGTCTGGAACCACTTTGTGAAACCCCTGTTCCCCAAAACCTCAAAGTACCAGCTGAAAATCGTCTTTGATGGTATCGACGAATTGCCTGCCCTTGTGGAACGAGATGAACTCTTAGGATGTCTGAAGAGTGTGAAGGAAAGCAAGGAATCCAATATCAGCATAGTCTGCACCCTCAGAGATGTCAGAACCGGCGAAAACGACTTGTTGGATCAAATTGAAAAGATCGGCATCGAGTCCATTGATGTGACCAAGGAGAAACAGAAGCCCGATACGATGGCTTTGATCTGGGAGCATCTGAACAGCGACAGTGGGCTGAAAAGATTCGATCCATATATCAAGCAACGGATTGCAACCGGGATCGAAGAAGCCGCTGACTGTGAGTTGAGGCCGCCACTGAAAGCAGTATATCAAAAACTGATGTTTTTGCAGGCATGCGCTATGCTGAGCACATGATCCGTCATTTCAATACGATTGGACGTGAGCCTCTGGTCCTGAAGCAATTAGAACATGCAATGCCAAAAGACCTAGAGGATTGCTACGACGGTATATTGCATGGATTGGAACAAAAGACCGCCAGCTCGCAACGAGAGGCATTGAAAGCATTGCTGGCGTGGCTGTCCTTTTCATTCCGGCCCTTGACGCTTGCAGACTCACTCGAGCTTCTCAAAACCGTGTACAATTCTGCTCTGGACTTGGAGTCCGAGCTTCAAGGCAACCAGCTTGCGAGGGTTCTGAAGATTGCTGGCCGCGACGAACGTGAAGCGTCTGATACTGATACAGGAGGCGCAAGCATCAACACAGACGAGGATCCCGATGCGAAATATGATGATAGCGATCTTCCCCTGAAATTTCTTGGTCGCTCTATGCGGGACTTTTTCAAGCAGGCACATGATGCTACTGAGGGGCTAAGAACACCAGCAGCTGTGGCACATCAAAAGATCTTCCTCGTCTGCTGCGACATTATCTGCGGGACAATCGAAGTACAAGATGAGAGCCTGAGAAACTACGCAGCCCGAACGTGGGCTTATCATATGGGCTGGACAAAACTCACACTTCAATCGAATGGTGATAGCGTTGCGTGTCTCGAGGGACTTGGGAAGATCATGACCAATGCACATGATGCAGTGTCTTTCTTCCAGCCTCACGGTGTGGACTATGAGGAAGTCCACTCAGACTTTGTGGACGATTTCCCCGTCAAAGACTTCCAGACAGACCTTCTCATGCAAAACATGGCTTGGTGGGCGGACCTGATCTCGAAATCACCCAGTGACTTGCTTAGTCAAAATACCAAGGATTGGGCAAAAGACACGCTCGAGGATACGAGCAACGCCTTCGTGCCTCTCGCAAAGGCCCATATCAACGCGTGGCTACAAGCAGGAGATGTTGAGACCGCTTTGACTTCGTATAAATTTTCAAGGGCGTGTATTGCCTTGGTAAGTCGTGTGGGGTTCTTGCTCGCCTGAATGCCCAGACCTAGGAGAGACAGACTACTAACTCGAATCGATGCACGCAGACGGGCAAAAGTTCCCTGTGCAAGAAGACCTCAGGATCAGAGGAAAATATTCGGTACAACGAAGAGGAAATAATCGGGATATCTGGAGCTTTTGACGAAGTCCCGAAGACCGGGAACGCCGCATGGGCTATAGCTGCGATCCTTGAGCATTCCAGACATCATAGCACAGCCCTGACCACCTTGACCAGCGCACTCGGCAACCTCGAAGACATCCCAGCTAACGCAGAGAATTTCAGAGTACTGGATCTGCGTGCTACAATCCAGAAACGCCTTCACGAGTATGAGGCTGCCCAGCAATCTATCACGAGAGCCCTGTCTCACCAAGACGGTATCTCTCCTCAACAGTTACGACGTGCCTATATCACTCAAGCCGAGATTTATACGAATCTGGAAAACACTGACGAGGCGATCATATCGTACGAGAAAGCCAGGCAGGCGGATTCGACCGAGCCTCTGCGGGGAAAAGTCCTGCGTCAGGAATTCGATGCCTGGAACAACAACAGCAAGGCTGTGGATCTTGTAAAGAACAAATGGACGCTGCATGAGAGGCTGGAATGGATGACCTGGAACTATGTGAATGACACAGTCCATCTCAACAACTTCATGTTCGCTGCAATCGATGCAAACGAGCCCAACTTCATTGTCGAGACTTATGAGGAAATAATCAGCGTGCTGGACCAGTTCGATGCTGGCGTGCCGTTGAGGAACTCACTGGCACAGTGGTACGTTGTGAGCAGCAGAAACCTCGACTTGGCGAAAACGGAGTCTCTCGTTGTGCTCGACAGCACACTGAACAGCAACAACAGCGAAGGCTACCGATTCACCAACGAGGACCCAGAGTTCGTAATGTACAGTGCTCTGTCGCGTTGTACGGACATCATCTACCAGCAGTTCCGATCCACGGCGGACAGGCAAGTGAAGGCCAAGTTCTTCGAAGAGGCCAAGGGGCTGATGAAGCGTCCGCTGTCTCGCGCTGTCGTCTTGCAGAAGTCGTGGCAAATCCATCACAAGATCGTCCTAGCGACGATGGCTCGCAAACTGGGCCCGCTGCACGAGTTCGAGGATATCCTTGGTCAAGCCTTCAGCGACATCCTGGAAGCTCTGACAGATGATATCGCGTGGAACGACCGAGGGAACTTGGACCTGTTGTCTAGGGTATTGTCAAGCCTGAACGGCTTGGAGCGGGAGGCGAGGATTGCGTTGTCTGCACGGTTCTCCGAAATCGAGGTCGAAGATGAGGGTGACGCCAGTGATAAGGACGGTGAGCAAGGGTCATCCGCGAGTGATAGCGATGATAGTGACGACGATGACGACGATGATGACGACGACGACGATGATGACCCTCTGCCGGAAGATGAAGGTGACCTCACAGAAGATTATACTTATTGCGCTGGCTCTCGCTGTAGCGTATCATGGCGAGCTTGGCAAGGACGGCGAGCGTACCAGTGTGTCTATTGCTGGGACATGCTTCTTTGCGAGGCTTGTTATGAGAAGAAGATGCAATACAACAATGGCGCCACTATTCCAACCGGTGACCACTTTTGTGGAAAGAATCACAAGTATATATCGGGGCCGGTGGATGGTTGGAAGGGGATCAAAGATGGAATGGTCATGATCGAGGGCCAAGAACCGTTCAGCTTCAAAAGTTGGCTGGTTGAGATGAAGGAGAAGCTGTGGCGAGAGGCTTGGGAAAACTTTTGGATGGATTAGGGCTGCTCTTTTGATTCAATTTGACGTTGATGTGTGGTGAAGTCTTTGAAGAAAACATTAGAAAACATTATTCCATTTATAACAAAATGGTCTCATCAGGCATGGACACAACTTTATTCATCGGGCTGATCTTCTGACCGTGTATCAAACATTTTGACTATAGCAAGAGTGAGAGTTAGTTCGCTGCCTTAGTGGATAACGATGCCTTCGGAGCTGAAACAGTCAGTGGTGTCAGTGTTTGTAGTGGTGTATGTTGCGTTGACTTTTCTGCTGATGCATGTCCGCCTTTGGCGGGAGCGGCTGGTGGACTCGGCGGTCTTATTTGCAGTTGAGCAGCTGCACCAGACCCAGCATCAATGAATGTTGATTAAATGGAAACTTTGATCACAATGAAGCTTCATATGTCTCAGGCGGCGGGCGGCTCATAGTTGTAGAAATCTGGGAAGAGATGAGCGCACGCTGTCCGTACCTGAGTATTGTTTGTGCAGTAAGCCCCCATCGGTGTTTATCATCAATATCTGCCATTGTTCCCGTCGAGGATGTCTTTGGTTTCTTCGATTGCGAACCGCATCGTCTAGTGGGCAAAATATACATGCCTTCATCCCTTGATCCATGCATCCCAACCACGGCCACTTCTTTCTTTTGTCTTCCACCAGCCACCTTGCTTGACGCGGGCGTCTTTCTTGTGCGAGATTTGACTGCGACCGATTTCCAGCAAGCCTTCTCCGTCGAATCACTTAACCCAGCTGCGCAACCTCCTGTTGTCCCTTGGCTCGGTTCTCCGCATCCAGCTCCTTCTCCGCCTGCCGGTAGTACTTGGCGGTATCGACGCCATGCTGGTTGTGGTTGACAAAGTTGAACCATGGGACGGCATCGAAGAACGTGGCAGAATACCTCGACTGCCGTGCTGCGACGCCCTGCATGTGTGGGGACAGTTGGCTCACGCCGTACAGGGGCTCGCCGCGCTTGACCTTGTCGACCATCTCCCGCATGTCCAGGTTAACCTCCCGTGCGTTCTCGCTCATGCCGTAGAACCTCACTGTTTAGAGCCCCAGTCAGCAAGCTTCCAATTTGTCATCTAGTAGGTGCTGTGCCCGTTGTGACTCTTGCTCCTGTTCCCGTGTGTGTTCGTCCCGATGGGGGTTCACGTACTGGCTGATCGTTGGTAGAAGGCCAAGAAGCCGCCGCAGAGTCCGATGAAGCCGGCGAGTCGCATTGTTCGCACAAAGGCGCCCCGTCCGGCGTATGACGGCGCAAACTTCTCCATCGTCCAGAGCAGACCCGGGCCAGCTGCCGCTGCCGCACCGGCGAAGGCGTAGTCGGAAGGGCGGGCATAGCCAACTACGCGCTTGAAGTGTCTGTTCCCAATGCACGGTCAGAAGATCGATTCGCCATTTTCGGAGAGGGGTTCTCGTACGGGTCATTGTCTATAAGCTTGGATAGACGTTAGCAACGGCGTGACTTCCGGGGTCAATTGGTGTCCGAAACTCACAGGATAGTCAGTCTGGATAGTCTTGCTTGGTATGTAGGTCTGCGATGTTCGGTCCGCCATGGTTGCGACGGGCAATCTGCTGCCAGCGATATTGAAGATTGCAATCAAATGCGCAGGGCGATCGATTGTCAATTGGAGCTCGCCGAGTGGACGTCAAGCTCGAGAATTGTTAGCGCCTGGAATCTGAGGCAGCACTTGCACCTCCGACTGGCGGGCTGAGCCGATGGCACTAACAGGGATCAGGGCCAGCAGGGGCCATTTCCAATTAAGCTTTGAGACGCGTGCAGCAATAAACCAGACGCGTCTCTCCTTCCAGCAGCACTACTTTCATTCTCTCTTGCGATACAACGGTCATAAAGTTACGAGAATTGACCTGGAGAGCCAGCCGATCACACAAATGCCGTCCAAAACAGACCCAAGAAATGCTGAACCAGCAGCAAGCAATTTCGATGACCTGGACAATTACTTCCTGGAAGGAGACGTGGACGACGACCCCTTTGCGTCTCCCAAACCCGAAGACAACCCAAAGTCGAACAAGCGAAAAGAACCAGGCGATGGCCTGGGCATTGACGAGGAAGTTTCGGTCGCAAAGAAGGCCAGGGTGCCAAGAATCAAGCTCGACCAGGACAGGTACATTCATACGCGACCCTGGCTGCCTCGTTTTCATAGATTCCGTGCTAACAACCAAGTAGATTACTTTCAGAAAAAGGCATTCCTGCGCTTCGAAAACGAGCCGGGAAATTGAGACTCAAGGGCAAAGGCCATGAGGTGAGTGTGAAGCTCAGTAGCGGTCTCGTACGCAACGCCAGCTCACCAGAAATTCCGTAGTGGGGCGATGCATCGCGCCTACTGTCCTTCTACCAGGAATGGCTAGACGACCTCTTCCCCAAGGCCAAGTTCCTCGATGCTTTGGCCATGGTGGAAAAGGCAGGACACAACAAGATGCTGCAAAAGATGCGAGTGGATTGGATCAACGAAGGCAGGCCCAAGTCGACTGTCACGGCAGACGGCGGGGATGACGATGAGCCTGCAGATGAGCAACAGGAATCCGAGGCGCCAGCACCACGGCAAGCAGATCGGATTGCACCTATCTTCGAGACGTCTACCAGTGGCACTCGGCCGAGCACACCACCAGTGGAGGATCTGTTTCGTGACGATATCTATGGGGCGACTCCAATCGGTGCCAGGAGAAGTGGAAAACCTATGGAGACAGGAGATGAGCCTGATCAGGATGAGCTGGATGCGCTCATGGCAGAGGCGGAGCAGGAACCGAGTGTGCCAGTGCGACCAAATGGAGGGCCAACCAAGAGCATATTTGGTGATGGAAAGCCAAAAGCTGCAGAAAAGCCAAGACCGGCTGAGCCGGAGGATGACGATCTCGATGCCCTCATGGCGGAAGCTGAGGCAGAACGGGGGCCCAGGAGACCACCAGGGGCTGATGCGTCCAGCGCGAAGGCAGTTCCGCCAGACTTCAATGATGACGAGGAAGCCATGGCGGAGATGGACGGACTCTGGTGAGGCACTGAAGCGGAATTTGTAGCAAACAATATCACAATGAACTCATGAGCATTGGAAATCCTTCCGAGGCTATTTCCTCAGCGGGAAAGGCTTTGCTGGCACGGCACGTTCCAGGAATGTTGCTTTCTGGAGAGTGAGGGGCTGTGATCACAGCGCAGTCTGTAGTATGCATAAACATTCATTTGACCTGTCCCTCGGTTATAAGTCTCCACATATTATGGTGGATGTGGTTCGAAAAGAAAAAGAAAGAGCAGTTGTTGTGAGACTGCGGGTCCTGTCGTCGCACCAGCTACCCTTGCTTGGGGCTGATGCTTGCAGGTGTCATGGAGCTGTGTCCCTTGTGATGTCGTCAATTGAATTTTGGTGGGGCCAGTTCATCCCACCTCCAGCTTGCACCCAACCCTCCCTCCTCCAACAGCTGTTCAAGAGCTTCCTACCAAAGTATCGTCGAGACTGTGACTTGGATTTTCCTGGGAGATGGTTCCTCTTCTACGGTTGCAAATATGACAGATTCAATCTCAGAAGCTCTCCGGCAGCTTCACCTAGCTGAGGAATCTGCGAATGACGATGACATTGACGACATTCTCGAGAGAACAGCCCCCCGCCAGCAGCGCAAAACAGGCCCTGAGGAGCTGAAGGCGCGCCTCGAGCAGAAGTATCTGACGCCTTCGCAGACCTTCTCTACAGAGTGGCTGAACAGGCTGCAACAGTAGGCTGCCACCTCTCGAGAACGCAGTTCTCTGTCGCGCACAGTGGCTAATTACTCCGCGTTTGCAGGCGATGGGACTCCCCTGTTGACTACACCGAACTCTTCGGCATCGCGCCCACCCAAACTCGCACAGTAACTCGCTTCCTTCGAAAAGGCCTCGAGGGCAAGGTCGTTGGCTACAAGAATGTCACCGTCACTGCCAACAGCGCGACAGCAAAGAACTCCACCTCCCTGACACGAAAGCCTGCCTCCCGAGCCGATTTTGTGCGGGGTGCAGCTGGCTTCTTCCCGTTTGCTCCAGGTGGTCTGGAAGGTATAGAAGCTACCGCTGCTCTGGAAGATCAAGCGCTACGGAATGAGGGATACCTTGACGTGTCCTCGGGGACCAACAAGCTCGAGAGGGTCATTAAGCTCGGCGAGGAGGGGAGACTTTTAGAGGTTGCTCCTGGCCTTTCAAGGGGCATCGACTTCACCAGGAAAAAGAAGACACAGACCGGCGAGGACGAGGCCAAGGAGGTTGAGAAAGAGCTCGACCAGGAGCCAGATCAAATACCAGACGGGGAGCTGACCAAGAATGGGGAGGCTGCTGTGAACGGCGATGGCGCTACACCAGAGAACCAGCCCGAACCAGACGGAGATGCAGACGAAGATATTGACTCGATTCTCCCGGTCGAGTTCCCTGCCCTGGAGCCACATGGCAAGCTCGTAGCGTCAAGTGCTAGAAAGGCTGGTCGCGAGTGGGCGCACATGGTGGACATCAAGCGGGAGATACCCAACTTCCATGAGCTGGTACCCAATCCGGCCAGAGAATGGCCCTTCGAGCTCGACACTTTCCAAAAGGAGGCTATTTACCACCTTGAGAATGGCGATTCCGTCTTTGTGGCCGCTCATACGTCAGCCGGAAAGACGGTCGTAGCAGAGTATGCCATTGCGCTCGCGGCAAAACACATGACCAAGGCTATCTATACTTCACCTATCAAAGCGCTCAGCAACCAGAAGTTTCGCGACTTTCGGGAGACCTTTGATGAGGTCGGCATTCTGACGGGTGATGTTCAGATCAATCCCGAGGCGAGCTGCTTGATCATGACGACGGAAATTCTAAGAAGCATGCTCTACAGAGGAGCTGATGTGATCCGCGACGTCGAGTTCGTAATCTTTGACGAGGTGCATTACGTCAATGACGCGGAGAGAGGCGTGGTGTGGGAAGAGGTCATTATTATGCTCCCCGACCATGTCTCACTGATCCTCTTATCTGCTACCGTGCCAAATACACACGAGTTTGCCTCATGGGTAGGGCGCACTAAGAAGAAGGACATATATGTTATCTCGACTCCGAAGCGACCAGTTCCACTGGAGCATCACCTGTGGGCAAACAAGAATATCTACAAGATTGTGGACTCGGAGAAGAAATTCATTGAGAAAGGTTGGAAAGATGCCAACGCTGCTCTCCAACGCCGAGATCAGCCCAAGACCGTTGAGGCTGCGAACACACGTGGAGGCGGCAACCAGAGGGGAGGCCGTGGTGGGCCCAACCAGAGAGGCGGCAACAATCAGCGTGGAGGTCGTGGAGGTAATAATCAACGAGGAAGAGGAGGCCCTCCTCGAGCAAGCCATAATCCCGGACACATGGGTCGCGCTGGCCGCGTAGGAGGCTTTACATCAGCTGCACAGGACAAGAACCTGTGGGTCCACCTGGTACAATTCCTGAAGAAGTCGACTCTGCTTCCGGCATGCATTTTTGTCTTCTCGAAGAAGCGATGCGAGGAGAATGCCGATGCTTTGAGCAACCAAGACTTCTCCACGGCACAGGAGAAGAGCCACATCCACATGATTGTCGAGAAGTCGCTTGCGCGGTTGAAGCCTGAAGACCGTGTGCTTCCCCAGATTATCAGAATGAAGGAGCTTCTGGCACGCGGTATAGCAGTGCACCACGGTGGTCTGCTACCGATTGTCAAGGAGCTGGTCGAGATTCTCTTTGCGCAGACTCTGGTCAAGGTACTCTTTGCGACGGAGACGTTCGCCATGGGGTTGAACCTCCCAACAAGAACAGTTGTTTTCTCAGGCTACAGGAAACACGACGGTCACTCGTTCCGCAATCTGCATGCAGGCGAGTATACTCAGATGGCCGGTCGAGCAGGAAGACGTGGTCTCGATACAGTCGGATCAGTCATCATTGTCCCTCCAGGCGGTGACGAAGCACCTCCCGTGGTTGACCTCCAGAAGATGATACTCGGCGAGCCACAAAAACTGCGGTCACAGTTCCGCTTGACCTACAACATGATCCTCAACCTTCTCCGAGTTGAAGCTCTCAAGATCGAAGAAATGATTAAGCGCAGTTTCTCTGAGCATGCTACGCAACAGTTGTTGCCGGAGCACGAGAAGGCCGTCAAGATCTCGGAGGCGGATCTGGCCAAGATCAAGCGCGACTCCTGCGATATCTGCGACGTTCACATGGATGAGTGCCATCAAGCCGCACAGGACTATCGCAGTCTGACGGAAGAGTTGTACAAGGGGATCCTGAACATCCCCATCGGCAGGAAAATATTCTCCCGTGGGGCTCTGGTCATCTTCCAAAAAGATGGCATTAGGACACCTGGCATCTTACTAGCAGATGGGATAGGCCTCCAGGTTTCTGCGGACGTCGGTCCTACGGTGCACGTCCTTGAAATCAAGGCAAATAGGGACACCCGCGATTCGACTGACATGCTACCTTGCATCCCAGCCTTCCGACCAATGTTCCAGGACCTCCCCAAACACAAGAAGCACATCCAAACCAAGGTCATGCATGTGCCTCTGTCGGATGTGGAGGTCGTCACCGGTCACCTTACCAAGGGCATCATCCCTGAAATTTTCCAAGGTGGTGAAGCTGGCAAGGCTGCGAAGGACGCCATTGTTCAGATCTGTAAGACTTGGCAGCATGCATACTTCGATGAGGCTGATCTACGGAGGATCAAGAACATGAACCTGCAGGAGATTGTTGAGAAGAGGAGACAGGCTGCGCAGGCGGTCACCGGCTCTGATGCTCTGAAGTGCCCTCAGTTCTTGAAACATGTAAGTGCAGCACCCATCCCGACAAACCTATTGGAGTGTAGCTGACAGTCTGCCCAGTTTGCAATGTGCCATGACCAGTGGCTCATCAAAGAGCACATCGAGCAACTCCGCCAAGCACTCTCAAACCAGAACCTGCAACTCCTCCCCGACTACGAGCAACGCATTCAAGTACTCAAGGATCTAGGATTCATCGACGAGGCCTCCCGCATTCAGCTCAAGGGCAAGGTGGCGTGCGAGATCCACAGTGGCGACGAGCTCGTTCTCACGGAGCTCATCCTCGACAACGTGCTGGCCGACTACGAGCCCGCAGAGATCGCAGCACTGCTGTCGTCCTTCGTGTTCCAGGAGAAGTCAGACATCGAGCCGGCGCTGACAGGCAGCCTGGAGAAGGGCAGGGACACGATTGTGGCCATCAGTGAGAAAGTTAACCGGGTGCAGGAGCTGCACCAGGTGATCCAGACGTCGGACGAGAGCAACGACTTCGTGTCCAAGCCGCGCTTCGGGCTCATGGAGGTCGTGCACGAGTGGGCGCGCGGCATGAGCTTCAAAAACATCACAGGGCTGACGGACGTGCTCGAGGGCACCATCGTCCGCACCATCTCGCGGCTGGACGAGACGTGCCGCGAAGTCAAGAACGCGGCGCGCATCATCGGCGATCCCGAGCTGTACCAGAAGATGCAGGAGGCACAGGAGATGATCAAGAGGGACATCACTGCCGTGGCGAGTCTATATATGTAACGGGAAGGAGTTGGGTCCAGCATGGGGGACGACGCACCTCGTATCTGCCTGTGTTGGGTTGTTTGGTTTCTTCTGCATTGTTTTAGAGTTTCGTTCTCGCATCTGATGAAGACAGAAGTGCGATAGATGGTCGGGAGCATCTCACCCCCCTTTTTACGATATCACGAGCGGGCATACAGGCGGTTAGGGCGAACAAAAAAAGCGAAGGCTTGTGATAGATGACAATGGATTTGATGATGTACTCAGCTGCTGGATGTTCTATTCATTCGGGGTGCTTGCCTACGTTATCACTGCTCCTTCCCTAGGTTGAGGCTTGTGGGTTTTCCTACTAACAGATTCACAGTCAGTTCTCTTCCCTCAAGGACTGACTTGGGTGCTTTTCCAATAGATGCCGACCCAGGTACCATTCAAGAGAGTGCGCAAAGTCATCACCCAAAGCAGCCATCTACCCCGATGCATTCCATCCAGACGATGCAGCTCATCATGCACGCCGCCTAACCAATCAAGCCACCACGCACCATTCTTCCCCATCACTGGTCAAACAAGCACAAGCCCAGCCAAGCTAGGCAATGAGGACCAGCATCCAAAGCAAGGCAACCTGCCCCTTATCTCCGACCCAGAGGACCTTGGTGGGCGGCTGGCCGTGCTAGCTCGTGACGCGACCGCAAGCTAGGGTGGGAAGGGCAACACCAGCAACTTGCTTCATAAGACATGGCGTCCTATACCATCCAGGACACCTGAAACTGCAAGATGCCCGAGTGGTTCAGAGCCACGGAGGCACGGTCTCGGTGATGTCCTTTTGATCATCGCTGCGGTGGTCGCCAGTTCGAGTTGCTGGTGATTTCGCTTTGTATACTTGATCTTTTCGAGTACCACTATTCTTCTGGGTCTATGTGAGATCTTGTTTACGGGGCAATTTTTAAAGTCATTTTGCTTTTCTTACATTGATTTCCTCCTGCGGTGAAGATTTGGAGGCGTCTGTCTCCTGGCATTTGACCACTACAATCTACAGTGTAGAACTTTGAGGCTTATTTGATGTCGTCAAAATGGCAATAAAGACAACATAACATGTTAAACATGCTGATGAAAATTCATATGACTACGAGATGCCCTACTCCACCAACGCCAAACGTAGCCTAACCCATTTGAATGATTGTGATCCGGCCCCAGTTCTAAAGCCTCGGCCCCCCCGCATCAGTAACTATGCCTCGCCTCGAGCCACCGCACCATCTCACCGGCTCGGCTCGCCCTCCAGGCCTAGAGCCTCCTAAGCCCTCAGCGCCCGCAGCCGCTGCTGCAGCGCGTCCTCCTGCTCGGGCGTCGGCTCGGTGGCGGCGGTCTCCTTGACGGGCTCCTCCTTGGACGCCGAGGCGGACGCGAGCTCCTGCGACAGCTCGACGCCCGCGTCGTCGGCCAGCTTGCCCAGCAGCTCGTGCACGGCGTCCTCGGAGACCTGGACGGACGTCGACTGCGTCATGGCGTCCTGGTAGATGCCGTTGGACATGGCGTACTCCTCGTTCTGGTTCTTGAACTGCTCAAGGGTCACGAGGGTCTGTAGAAATGACAAACGTCAGCCATCATGGACCCTGGGGATTTGTGGGGTGAGAGGGGAGGCCAGGCTCCGGGTCCGTCGCACCTTTTCCGGGTTCATGTTCTTCTGCGCCCGGTTCATCGTCCGCGACGACTGTGCCATCATGGCCGTCATCCGGTTCATGGCATTGTTGGCCTGTATCTGCGCGACTGATAGCTCGGCCATGTCGGCGGCCTGGTCCATCTGCTGGGCGATGGCCTGCTTGGCGAGGAGCATGCGGGCCTTTTGGTAGGCTTGTTGTGTCTCGCCCTTCTTCAGAAGCTATGGGTATATTATACACGGTCAGTTCCATCGACTTGGTCCGCTCGTGGCTTCCTCGGTGTGGGGTTTGGTGCGACTGACAGTCTGGATCTGCTTCTTGAGGTCGCTGTCTGCTTTTGCTGCCTTGGCGGCTTCGCGGCGGGCTTGTTTGGCGTTGAACTACGGGGTCATCGCAGGTCAGTTTTGGTGCTCTATTCGTACAGTCTGGCAGATATGCGATAGTGTGGAAGGGCGGAAATGCGCACCCTCGCCTGGAACTCAGTCTGCATATCTCGTGCGAGTTGTCGTTGCGACATGGTGGCGGTGGATGGCGGGGCTTATGGCGTAGTGTGATCGAGCGTGACTGTTGGGTTTTGGAGGAGTAAGGAGTCGTATTCTCGGAGAATGATGTGTGGTCGAATGCGGGTGTCGTTGGCGTCGCTTTGATAGAGGGTCGTGGTTGTTGATGGCGATGGTGGTTGTAGGAAACAGACCTAAGTTGGATGAGAGTCTTGGGCTGCCTTTGCCTCGCCTTGCCTTGTCTTGCCGCCCGCCTGCATGGTCGGTCGGTATCGGGCCCTCCGCCGCGGGCCTGGTCTGGTCTGTCGGGTGTGACTAGGCTACGGTCGATAGTGGGGCAGGCAACCCAGGAGCTGCGCCACTTCAATATGACGTCTCTGTCCATGTACCCATGTACCTTTGCAAGGAGAGCAGGAACATCAGTGTAAGTCAAGCCACACATACTGAGCCTCCCAAAGTCAACGGCATCATCACTAGAGTTTCACAAATGGAGAAGCGGATTGACAATGCACAATGCAACTTCGATTTCACCAGTCGCTTCTTCCCTTGGTAATAGTAGTCGCTATTTCGTGCTTCATACCTAGTTTCATGAACATCTTCAAAATGGCATCCAAGGCAAAGCTCAATGTGCAGTCTTTCCCACGGCCGCCTCTCCTGGAAAAGACACCAAGGCATCTGCAGATCAAGTGGAATGGCCATCTGGTAGCAGATACCAAGGATGCATATTGGGCCCTCGAGACTCATCATCCCCCGACATACTACATTCCTCCCTCGGCCATCAAGCTGCCCCTCACAAAGACGGGACGGACCACTTACTGCGAGTGGAAGGGCGCTGCCACCTACTGGAGCATCCCAAATCCAGCAAGCTCATCTGAGACAGTCTCCAACAGGATATGGTCCTACGAGCGGCCCACCAAGGGCTTTGAGGCCATCAAAGACTACCTTTCCTTCTATGCTGGTCCTTGGGATTGCTTTGTGGACGGCGAGAAGGTCGAGCCCCAACCAGGAGATTTTTACGGTGGTTGGGTTACGAGCGACATTGACGGCATCGTCAAGGGTAAGAATGGAAACTGGGATCCTGTATTATAAAAGAACGGGCCAGCAGGTTCGGCATAGCTCCTTGAGCTTGAGGCTCTGACAGCTAGCAAGCTTGCAAAACACGAATTTGATGGAATGGTCAGTCTCCTTTTTTCGGAGGTCATGATACAAATTGTGGTGGTTCTTACGAGGCCGCGATACAGAGTCACAAAAAATGCCATTGTTCTCGGTAGCGATCATTTGCGAGGCAGAGTTTCCTCAAGCTTGAGACGTATGGAACCGAGAACAAAAGACCACATTGTCAAGCTCGACCCTCTCGGGTCTGATACGTTCAGGTGCCTCCCAGGTGGCGTTTCAGTCATTGTCAACGCGTAGTCGCAGAACACTAGGGTCATGAAAGTCCTGGACGACTCCATTGACATTGGAAATTTGAGGCTCGGCCTCTGTAATGTTGTACATCGACCTTATGTTGATGACTTTTCTGGCTCCAGTCTTCTTGCTGTGCTTGTTCGTACCTGGTCAATGCCATGGAGCTGCCTGGCCAAATCGCTCATGGCGGTTATCGGGCCACGGCTTCATCTTTCCCGTAGCTTGATTGTACTCGCCTTGTATGTAATGCCTGAGACACCACTTATACACAGCTGCCTAGAAGCATCAAGAACGATGGTCTTCTGCTGTCCGAAAGGCATATTAACCCGTTCTACCACGGCTAACCTCAAGTACCAAGGCTATCGCCATCAAGATTTAACTGCAAAACTGCAATCACCACCAGTTGACAGACCCCAAGAAAGAATACACTTCACACACATCTCCTCTCCTCAAAGCCCAAAATGGCGAGTACCAGGAAGAGAGCCGATTCAGATGACAACCCTCTCAGAGCAAAGAAACACAAGAGCAACGCAGAATTCACCCTAATGGATTTCATGAAGGAGTTCCCGCCAATCAAGGGACCTTTAAAACGGTCAACCGACGAGCCCCTGCCTTGTACCGTCTTGGAGGGATCAGAAATGCAGAACCCTACAGACGGGAGAAGGGGCGGTCGAACGTCGATCTTCAATATCAGAGTTCCTGAGAGACTTCCTTATGACCCTATGGATCCATCGGCCAGATTTGCTCCTTATTGGTGGCTGAAACGCCAGTATTCCCATTGCATCATACCTGAGCTTGGAGAGAAGTACAACTTCGGCTTCGAGGATCAAACTTTCCATTGCCTGCGCGATCTTCACAATGCTCGGGTTCACATACGACAATCAAACCCTCTTTCTGAAAATGAAGTCTACAGCCTCGCAACCCGCTGGATTCGACTGGAGGAAAAGGATAGGCCGTCATCTGACGGCTATTTGGACAACGGCGAAATCTATGTCGCTACTTGCCTTCCAAGTCTCTACAACGAGGAAACCCTTGCCCAGTATCTGGAGGACAACTACTGGGGCGAACTTTCCGCATCGCATTACATGCCACGCAGCAAGTACTCTGTGCACTTTGTCGGGAAGCCTAGGTTGGGTCGCAAAGAAGAGATAGAATCGATTAACGTTGCAACGGTCCTCATTCGCAACACCAAGACTGGCGATGTCATTCACCTTGACACAGGGCCCTTGAGTAGCCGTCATGATCGGGCAGTACGGGCTGGGGAAGCGCTGAGAGCTTGGTTGAAGTTTCAGAAAGACAAGGAGCCGGAAGCGGAGCTTGGACCCATCAGCTATTCTGAGCCCTTGATGCTCGATTTGACAAAGGAGACGCTTCCTTCGCTTGCTTCATACCACGCCCTTGTCTCAGCGACCTTGTTCCTCCGCCGTCGCATCATCAACTGGGGCGATGTCAAGGCCTTCCAGTCATACGGCAATGCCAAGTCCAATATCATGGCAAGGTCCATGCTACAAAACATTTCAGGATGGCTTGGTTTGAAGTCCGCGGCCAAGGCCGGAGAACAGCTGGCGAACCCGAAGTCAAAGGCCAAGTTCGCCGAATACTACTATCAGGGTAGCCTTCAAGGTCGGAATCAGCCTCTTCCTATTTCAGAGCGTATTGCTACCGCCCAGAAAGGAGAGTCGGATGTCTTGAATGAGGAACCCGCCTCGGACCTTGGATCCGATGAGGGAGACGACCGTGAAGAGATCAAAACTGATCAGGGCGACGACAGCGCCACTTCCGATCGTAGTGACAAGGACGGCGGGAAAGACGATGGAGAGAGAGGAGACAGCAGGAATGTCAGTGAGGAAAGACACGATAGCAAGAAGGTTACCTTGGATCAAGATGATGGCGAGAAAGATGAGGACCAGAAAGACAGTAACACGGAGGAGAGCAGCAACAGCAACGGCGGCGGCGAGGACGACAATGACGAGGAGGAAGAGGATGGCAAAACCTCCAACGCCCCTGACGCTTCCGCCTAGACTCTTGGCATGCGATAACGAGAAACGGAGGAGTGGATGGCGGTACGGGATGTGGAAAGCTCACCATTGAACCTCTGCCATCGCTCTCGTTTTCTTTGTTCCATCGGGGGTCACATAGGCAGGAAATAAAGCGGACTGGGATGTTTACACTGGAATGGGATCATTGGGCGCATGGATTGAACCTGAAATAGACTGGAAATAATCCCTTTATCAGTTCGCTTCATACTGAAGCTTCCTTTGTGATTGTCAAAGGATACATCCGAGTTTCTGACGAATTTATGCCTCACGCTCCAACTTCAGCCGCGCGCAGCCACTTCAACCATCACAATTACGACTGATATCAAGAACATTCTAATGAAACTTGACTGCAAAGATCGTGAGCACCAATGGTATCGGTTTGCAGGATTTCAAATATTTGCCTAGACTATTCACCTGTTCCTGAGCTCGCGATGACCTTGAAATGCCTGGCCTTTTCTTGACCACCAGTCTCCAGACTTCGAATTTTAATGTCAAAGATGCCAATTACATCTACTTATTCAACAACCAAAATTCCGATCAAATTCCATCAATGTAAGTACACTTTGTGTTGACGGCCAACACTATCCGCACACTTGGTTCGTGACAACGCCCGAGAAGATTCAACTGAGACTCGTGCACATCAACAATAACCTTGTTTACTCTTCCGCGTTTCCTTGTATCCTTTGTCATTCTGTCTTTATTACTTAGAAGAAGCAGTCAATCATTTTGTGATTTTGTAGATGACATCTTTTACAATGCTTTCCGCTGCCCGTTGTTTTTACACACCATAAGGGATTGTGTAGCTAGTATATTAGGCATCTTACAGAGCTTCTGAACAGCCACATGCCCAAAACTAAATCCAAAGCATACTCACGGCCAATTTCATCAAGATGGAATCCCAAAACGCTGTCCGATATGGACATTTATTTGTTGATGAAAACAATGACCAATATCTTTTCATTCGCCACCTTGCCAGCGGCGCCGAGGCCCACGTACAACTGGTTACGAAGATCGGCCCACAAGCTGGCTTGTTCGTTAGGAAAGTTGAAATCACTCGTCTTCGAAGCATAAAACAAGACAGCGAGCAAGAGTGCCTGCGGCATATTCAGTCACAGGTCCAGCAGTCATTGTCCAGACCTAACATCGTGTCCCTCAGATCTGCCGAAGACATTCAGGGACGACCAAGCCAGCATGGCCGGATCTTCCACCGGGTAAAGTATCTCGATTTCTACAACTGTGGTGATTTGAATGGTATGCTTCGCTACTTTCAACGGGCACAGCGCGTTGTCCCTCGATCGCTTGTTCGGAGGTGTATATGGCAAGTAATTCACGCTCTCCACTTCATGTACTCACAATGCAACCCACCGGTGCAGCATCGTGACCTACATATTGGGAACAGTAAGTAACACTCCCATCCTTCTTTTTTCCCCTCCTTTGCAATTTCTTGCGTCTGCTGTATCCAGTACTGCTCCACCGCTAGCGTAATATTCTTAATCAAGCTGCGGGTTGCGAGATAGTTTATCGCAGATGACATTTCATCAGTCATCTTCCCCTCCGTACGAACTTTCCCAATCTGGCTCCGATAGCTAACTTTAAGTACTACAGTTCTAATCTCATGGGATGAGAATAATACCTTGCCGGATTTCTACATCGCAGACTTCGGTCAAGCTTGCCTCGATCTCTGGAGCGTGCGCAATATCGATTTCGCCCCCAATAGGACCCGTGATCTTCAGTCACTTCATAGGGACCTCAGCCGTTTTCTCGATTGCCCAGGAACCAACGGCCCCGCAACCGATGCAGCCGAGGTGCAGCTGAGACAGTGGATGGAAAGACTGAGACAAATGACAAGGCAGGGGAACTTGGGTGCAGCTCTGCCCAACCTCCAAGGGCTCCTGGACGACATCTCAGCAATCCCAGCGCCGCCTATCGACCCAGATTTGGGCGCTATATGCCACGGCCTTGTTAACGCAGGACCCTTCGTGCCTTTGTTGCATGAAACGCCGCTGGCGGCCGCAGCGACGCCGTTTGTCCATGGGCCGTTCTACGTCGCGGAGGTGAGTATGAATTCTGCTACAGGCTTGCCGGATGTCGTCAGTGTTGACAGAAGCAGGACCTTCCACCGACCTAATGCCAATCATTCTGGGTCGGATACGGATTATGCTGGTCAGAGCTTTTAGAAGTAATCTGTCCTTTCAGGGCTGCAAGTGCGACAGACTGAAAAGCTTCCAGCTTGATTGTACGTAAACCATGAAAGCTTCCAATTATGGAGATTAATATTATCATATTGAAAAAGAGAAAAGAATCGAGGCCAGCGCACTAATCCGTGACATGTACGCCATCTACAGTAGCTCGTCTGCGGGTCGAATCACCTTTAGGATAATGCCCAGATGTTGCTGAGGACACGCGGCCCGCTGGGCGGTTTTGGAACGGTCTTGGGGCCGAAAACCAGGGTTCAACAGACGTGACAGGACGCGCGCAGTCAAAGGCAAATCTGCCCAACTTGCTTTTCCGTGGAGACTCGCCAAATGGAACACATGATGTTTTTCACAAGGATAATAATTTGCAAGGTTTTGTCGTCTGTCTGACTGTGGTGCACATCGCGCCCACTCCACGGCTGGTTTCATCCCTTGCATCTTCCTACACATGCTCTAACCATCCTTCTCTAGGAGGTTATGACTCTAATCACGTCCAATTACGCTTTTGAGTAGGTGCGCGAAGAATGAGGCGCGATTAGAAAACCGCAACAGATGATAGTGGCGCGCTCAGCGAGTTTTATGGTTCGGTCAAAGGCCACAGGGCGGCCAACATGATCGACCCCCGCGCCCATTTTGATTGGTTTGCGATTTTTCGAGGCTTCCGCCCGAGGTCGACCACCAAAGGCACATTTGTGCCTGACAACCCTGTGGACAGGCACAGAAGTTTTAATGCGATGCCAAAAGCCGACATAACAGACCTGCGAAAAGCAATCAACCCATCTGACAGTCGAGCCTGATGTTTCACCGGTCGTTTCTTTTTCTTTTTCTCCCCTTTTGTCTGGCGGTCTGGAGGAATGAGAATGTTGCCTTGGACAATTGGCCGAAGATCATCCCGGATGCTGAAAGAGGCAGCGATCATAGACTGGTGCTTTGAATGGCCAGATATGTTGAGGATGCTGAAATAGTGGTATGACTCAAAATTTTGAACATTTACATAGAGTCGCCTCATCCCCAGTGGGGCTATGACATACTGTTTAAAACTTCGCAAACGGGTCCGACTACGTTTTCCATTCAAGCAAGCCCCAAGTGGAAGGGCCGTTACCCTCACACGTCAATACGCACTGTCGCTCTGTTCATCCTCTTCGAGGGCTACCATTATCCCGCAGAGCAGCTGAAGTCACTCAATTGCAATATGCGCAGCTCAATCTGGCCTAGTTCGGATCATTTCAATGATCCGGGTAGTCAATACATGCGCTACGGCGGCACAACCTTTACGGCTGGCTCGGAGACGGCAACGAGCCGGGGCCAACAGCATACGCATACAACCACAACATCTGAATTCGGCGGCCATATTGGATACGATGAGACCCATGACCATCTAACCCCTTCATTCTCTTGCAATATCTTGGAATCGATGTCAATACGAGTCTGGAAATGTGAAGCCTCAAGCGGACGAGGACATCAGGATGTCCGTAATCGGGCGTTAGATCTTGAAAAGAGGATATCACCAAAAGCGACAGGAAACTTTGTTTGTCCTTCACATCGGGCTCATCTTACCGAGGAACAGGGTTCTTCAACAGCCGATGAATGCTTGGACATGCCTGAGACATATAGCCCTGGGGCACCAAAACTGGACCCTGGCCATATATTTGCAGCGGTTTTGGATGAGGTATCGAGAACCGCCGTGGAGAAATTTTTCTCAACGCGCAGACGCTCATCAAGAGGAAACTCCATGGACAGACACCCACACTATTATTGTACACATGCGTGGCTCGGTTCTCGCCAAGATACAGTGACTGCTGCGCCGTCTTCTCACTCCAAAGACAGCAACACTGTCCTTCTTGAGCGCTCCATGGAAACAGGGCCTAGAGTCTGGCCATGTCCATTCTTTGTGAAAGATAGGAAATCTCATATCAGCTGCTTGACGCGGCATTGCCTTTTAAGCATGGCCGATGTGCGAGAGCACTTGTGCCTGATGCATCGGAATCCAATTTACTGTTCAGTCTGCTACGAAATCTTTCCGACAGTCAGACTCAGGGACCGACACATGCGGGGCTGGAAATGTCTGCATCAGCCGCCAGTGATCTTTCACGGGATCACAGATAGGCAAGTACGAGCACTCGATAAGCAGGAGAGTACAGCAGACATGGCCCCAGGGTCACAGCTAAGACAGTGGTTCGAAATCTGGCGCGTTGTCTTTCCTTTCACAGAGCCACCTCCCGGGTCGTGCTTTTTCAGTAGACGGGAGCTCGAAGTATATGAGCTGCGTCGGTTCTGGAAGATAAACGGGGAAGATATCATATCCGATGTGCTGGGACAGTACGGACTCCAGGAACACAATATTAAAAACGAGGAGAGAAACCTGGAAGCATTGTACTCCGTCGCCGCTGATCGTGCTGTGGATGACTTGTTGCTCATTCAGACCACTTAGGCCACTGTATCTAGGTATCGAAATTACGGAACCGCAGGATAGAGTGGGTCCTGCGGAGGTCGAGGGAGCACGCTGACGCAAGAGGGACCAAACAATGGAAACAGAGGTATGAAACGAAAAGTGAGATCGTCTGGGGAGCTCAAAGATTACTATAATGCGCAGTTGGAACGGAATTTAAAGGAATGTGGTTGATTGATTGTGTACGATAAAGAGTGTGGTTTTGAAAGCAACGCCTCTCTTTGAAAGTCTTTGGTCAGGCCCGTTCCTGAATACCCAAGTCCAAACTCTACCCAGTACTGCCTTGTTGTTATTTATAGGTGAAAGTATACCTCCATCAAAACGAGCCTGGTGAAGGCCGTCAAACAATCTCAATTGTCCTCATGAATTCCAAAACCCTGTTGCCACATCTTTTGCAGCTTGATGTTCCGGGAAGTTGGGGAACAAATGTAAGACCAACGCGGGCTCGGAGCGCCGCATGTTCTGGTCAATTAGCAGCTGCTATCCGTCAGCCAACACGCCACAGAGGGATGGATCTGTCCGGGTAGACATGTACACTTGTGGATCGGGCCCCGTTCTCAATCGGGGAGGATGCGCCATTCTTGCTCTGCATTCCCACCATCGAATGACAGGTGCTGCCCACCAAGGCTGAAATCAAGAAATTCCCAAATCCTAAATCTCTCTTCGTCACTCATGAAATCCTCAAGGTTGGAGAGCTGGTCCTGAAGCGTGGCCTGGCCATGTTCAAATTCGAAAGTATCCGCAGGCAGTATCGCGGAAGATGAGTTCGGTCTGGAAGAGCTGTCGTTCGGCAGAGTGGGCTGTAAATTGAGCAAGGTGAAGTCCATATATAATAGACTGGAATCGACCTCGAGATCGAAATCATTGATTGGGGTGATTGGGTATGGGTCCAGCTGGGGGTACGAGAACGCACTGGTCTCGTCCGGGAAGTCAGAGCCGAAGAGCGGCATTCCCAACGAGTCGTTGCTGTTGAATGCCGGCATTTGGGGTGCCTGAAATGACTGGATGGTTGGCTTGAACTGCACAGCGAAGTCCTCCACGTATTCAGCCACATCCGATTGCCTTACTGTAGCATTGACGTAGCCCTGGGCACTTCGCGCTTGTTTCCAGCGTTCGACTTCGTTGTAGCACCGCATGGCGAGTTCCATGCGATCTTCGGCTGGCACAAGCTCCATGCCTTGCAGATTCTGAATCCTTGTTTGCAAGTCGTCTGTGTGTATACCTTTTGAGTACGGCCAGATCGTACAGCTTTGGTCTTTGAAAAGTATCTCCCAGACCTCGCGCCACAGCTCTTCGTCGGACAAGTTTCTCCTAGCGCCTTGCCTTGTGAGTTCTCTTATCTGGGACTCTTGGTCTCTATCCATGCAAATGAGAGGCACAAATCCTTTTTCGGGCCTCCGACACTTTCGTCCGCGCGTATGCTCCTTCCATCCATCATCATCGTCGAAACATGTGCCGCATGTTGGGCACTGGTCCCGGGGCCTGTGTGTTCGCGTAAGGAGGTGCTCGCGCAAGAGTTTCCAACCATTCTTCGTCGTGCACCCCTGAAAACCTTGTATTTCATGGTATCGAATTGCGAAAGGACAAGGCAGTGGTCGGTCAGCGTGTTCGGCAATTCGCCGAAGTTTGGCACGGTCGTTGTCTTCGCCATCTGACCCATCATCGCCAGCATGTCGCTTCCCGTTGGTGTTACGCCGGAAAATTCCAGTGAGTGAGGACAGTGCTGGGTCCCCTTGCATATGCAACCGATCCATCCTGTCTTGTGCGACCACACCGGAAACCTTGTCATACCCTTGGCATGTCGAATGCCCATCTCTGGCCATTATCAATTCCATTTTGGGAGGGATCATAGACTTCGCTGCCAGAGCGCGTCAAGATTTCAAAACAGATGGTATCAATAATCGAAATAGGCTTCGGCAATATCCATAAAGTCGCATTCATGCACAAAATCCGTTGCAGATGTTCACCAGACCATCGCAGGCGGTGCTAACGAGAAGAGGTAGCCTCCTGAAGTCCTGCACGTACCATGTACGATACGTGTAATAGTGGACTGTCAGGTGGCAGCAGTATCTAGCAGATGTCTTGGGGAAAAAAGGAATGGCACTAAAAAGGAAATCAGACTGTGATCGAAAGTAAACAAATTATTAAAAAAAAAGCAATACTACTACGCGCGAATGCGGTTCCTTTGGGCGGCTAGAAGCACCTCACGCGGTTGCGTCCAGAAGCTGGAAGGGTGGCGGCTGGCAGCGATCTGCTTGAAGCAAGAGAATAAATCAGCATTGTCATGAAAAGCTTCTGGGCCTAACAAGATACGGAAGATATTCTATGTGAATGAAGGCTTTCTCAGATCGCCGAAAGCCCATCTCCCTTTCTGACTGGTTCTCACCCAGCCAGGCCTGAGCAGGCTGTCCTCGTGAGGGCTCAAAAGTCCAAATATCTGGTCACAAGCCCTCTTGTCCAGGCAGTGATGGTCTTTACTTTAGGATTTCAAGATCTTTTGGAACCCTCTTCTTTGGCCATAATTTAATGTCGAGGCTGACGGGAAAGGGGTCTTTCACCAGAAGCTTTTCCCTTCGAAGCCTTCTGTAGGCTTCACCGTCCCTACGATCTGATCTCTTCTATTCGGAGATACTTCGAATACAGTTGCTTCATGCACAGTGATGTACTTCATAGGTAGTGGACCACGTGTGGAGACGGTGCTGTGCTCTCGCCACCACACAAGCGAAAGTGAAGAAGTGCGTGATCACAGATGAGCAGTTGTGGTGGAAAACGCAACTGCGCCAACACGCTAGGGTATGCTCATGTAACCGAAGACCTTCCCCACACTCAGACAAGTATTGCAAACTACGGGCGAATTAGTAGTCACAAATATCAGGCATCTTCAAGCGCATCTTCGGCTGTTTCCCTATATTGGTGATGAACGTAGTGACGCTCCTTGCGCAGACCGGGAAAGCCCAAGGGCTCAGCGCTTACGCTGCTGGTGATGCTCCATTCGATCAGCCACACAAATGCAGCTAACTTGGCTGGTCGTCACCTTGGCAATAAAAAATTGAAGCCATGCGGCGACATCCAATCGACGAAGTCAAGCAGAGGATAGGATCTTAAGTACGACTCAGGAGTTGAACTTCAGGGTCTCCGCAAGTCGGCGAGTTTGTGGCCTGTAGGCATACATTGATTTCTCAGTGCCGGAGACTCCCAATGTCCAATGTGACGGACGAGCATCAAGGGGGCCAGAAATATGATCAAGCAGGCCACCAATACAGAGTCTCTCTCAAATACTAGTCTCAGACCGTCATCGCTGGATACATCCAAGGATATCTGGAAGAAGTCAAGCAACGTGATCATTGCCGCTGGTACCACCGCGGGCATGTTAAATGCCAAGTACCTGATCTCCATGACTCCTTTTCTGTTACAAGTACAAGCTGGTGCAATTGTCCTACTGCCTGATCTCGGCTCTGTACGTGTAATGCTGTGTGAGCAACCACAACCCCTGGGCCAGGCACATTGTCTGACATGGCTGCAAGGTAGCCGCAAAAAGCAATTTGCAGGGGTACCAAGCGCACTTGCGTGGGGTTACATTGCATCCTATCCTCGCGCGTTTGCGCGAGTGGGGGGCTTGCGGGAAGTGGGGCTCACGCTGCGTTCTCGAGAATCTCCACAAATTACTTGAACACCATGGCTCGAGCTCAGAGGTAGGGGCCTAGCTAGCCATTTTACTGTGTCTGATTTATCTCATCTTCTTTGCCTGTGAACTGCTAGCGTCTTGGGCGCCAAGTACCGGCGGACGTTGACTCAGACAGGATGGACTTTTGTAACTGCATCGATGATTGCACCTCTCAAATTCATCTGGGAATTGAGTGCAATTCTTCAAGATCATCTTACAACAGCAGCAATGCATATGCACCAGAGCCATATTCTCAATCTAGTCTTATCCCAGATGGGCTTTCTGGTCATTTCGGGAACACAACGACAGAAATGATGCCATGGCTCGACGCTGGTTCCATCGGTCATCAGTTCGAACAGACACTGCCATTTTACGACTTTTACGGCTCAACGACGGAGATCGCCTGCTCAGGAACACCACGGCCAGACTGGATCCAATACTACGACACGGATGCTCAAAACAATAAGATCACAGGGACAGATCTTCGTGTGCCCGAGGGCTACCAAAATCAGCAGTCGCCGGGATTTGAGCATGCCACAAATGGTGGAAGATGTCCAATTAGTTTCATAACTGAAGGCAGTAGCTCTACGCCGTTTGTCCGTTCTTTACAGACCACAAGGTACTCCGACAACGGAAACGCGACCTTGGATTTGGTCTGGCCCAAAATACGCGAAAGGTCGCCTGAAATAAGGCCTAAAAGCCCGGACTTGTGGCTAAAGAATAATCAGACTAAGCCGGCAAAGCAGTCTGACAACAACCAATGTCCTATCTGCGATCAAGTCTTCAAACGACGAGACAACATAAAACCACATGTATCCAGAAAACATCCCCTCGAATATGGCTCACTCTACGTCATGTCGCGCTCTACATCGACGCGGTCAAGTCCTGCAGCCGATAAAAATCAACTATCCGTTCACGGCGACTCATTAGCCACCCACGACCTTGAATGTGACGGAAGTCCACCTTCAACAGATATCGTGCCCCTCGAGCAAGAGAGTCAAACGCCAAGTCTATCTCAGCCCGGTGTTACTTGCTCAAGATACAGCACAGTACCGCAAAAGAGATCTCTCAACAGGAACTCTCTAGGAGAACCTGCTGTTTCGGATTGCTCGGAGAGACGATCAGCACCACGCTTTAGCACCAGCGAAAATTACCCAGGGCGTCCGTTGGCGTGTCCTTTTCAGAAACATAACCCATCCCAACATCAGAAATGCTTCGCACTCTCGCTGCAACGGATTAAAGATGTGAAGCAGCACATATACCGATGTCATGCGAAGCCCAAATATTATTGTGCCAGCTGTTATGAAGTTTTCGACACGGCCAACGACCGTGACAAACACAGCCGACGAAGAGAATGCAGAAAATTGGATAGGCCTTCCTTGCCACAATTTGAAGGCATCACCGAGGAACAGAGGAAACAGCTAAACGAGAAGTCAAATCGGACTATGAACATAGAGGAACAATGGTTTCAAATATGGGCTGTCTTATTTCAGGGCGCTGTGCCACCGAGGTCGGTGTATTTGGGTAATTGTTTGGAAGAAGTGGTTCCTTTACTTCGAGAGAAGTGGAGGAGTCAGGGCTCTAGTATCATGGCACATGCTGGAGAAGTTGATGCTCGGCAGCTAAGCTGTGCTATGAATTGTGCTATGGACATCTTCTTCAAGTCTCTGGAGGGCGATACGGCTGGGTATGGAAAGAGTGGTCAGTGTGCAGCGCTCGTCCACTGAGGATGAAAGAGTAAAGATACATCTCGTACTCCTCTCTTTTCTTCTTCCTTCAATCGCTCTCTCCGCTAATGGTCCAACCCTTTTTCAGTCTCAAGCACCGACTTTATAATGCAGTGCACGGCATCGGCATGCTGAAAAAGAAATACCTACAACGTCCAGGTATCAATTAACAATGCAAGTTTCGTCCGAAGTTGAAGCGCCACTCTAGTTTACCGATAACTCTCAAAATCAGCCCGTAGACAACTTTGATAGCAACCATAGTCACTGAACATGTACATACATGTGCAATCGTGGTCATGACCGTACAATACTCCATAGATAATGCACGAAGCAACTAGGCAACCGCTTATGATAAATGAGAGAGATTAACACGCTCCTCACAGTGCTATACATGCAAAGTAAGACGATCTAAGGTCACTCATCCGTGTCGATGACCCGAGGAAACACAATACTGCAGAAGCATACGCCTGGTACCGCAGCCTTTCGGGGGTTGTAGCTGGTATCGAAGTAGGATAGGAGAGTCAACAGCAGCACGAGGAAGATGCACATGCCGACGAGCAGTAAAGCACTAATAACGAATGAAAGAACAACCTCTTCGCAGCCCAGAGGTTGGAAATTATTCTGCCCACCGTATTGTGCTAGGTCTTCTGCAAGTTGTGACATCAGGACCTCTAACCTCTTCTCTGCCTCGTCTGTGGGAGCCGGATTCAAAGAAATGCTCACCTTCTCAGACTTCAATTCTTCCCTGAGGGTTTGTATTTTCATGCTCTGCGTTGAAATGCCCTGGGATGTAAGTATAAGGGCAACTGATCGTTCCTTTGAGGACCTCGAATAGAATGCGAAGCGGCAGTCGTAGTCCTTCAGTCGAGCAAGGCCCTCGGGACCGAAAGCATGCTCTAAGTCAGATCAAGTCAGCTTAGCACAGCCTGAGGGAGAATATCACCAACCAAGCTCTTCATTCTGGGTTTGAGAAACAATTACATGTCTCTCTAGCCTTCGAACTCGATTCGTCTTTGATGAAAGCACTTCCAACTGAACTTTATTTCACCTATGATCCCCCAGCGTGGTCCTAGACTAACCTTTGGTTCTACTTCTGCTACGGTTGTGGCAAATACTACGATGAGACGTAGTGGCCAATTAAGGCAGTGTGGTGCGGCCTGACCCTTGGACGTGAATCCATATTCATAACCACCTGGAATATATCATGACACATTCGCAGTGCATCACACATATCCTGCCTATCTGCCAGCATTGTTTCATTGCTGCGGTTCACAATTTCACTGGCACTTGAACTCGCGTTTTCGCGCTCACATGCGGCACAGCTTGCTCGAATTAGTAATTATTTTCCATGTTGGTTGTTGTTTGTGAGTGGGGGCGGCGCAGACAATGCAACCTTCCCGTCCATTTGACAACACCGTATCATCGCTGCGTACCTACTGTAGACCCTCCCTAGTTTTCTCCAGCTCTGTTTACCGTGTAAACGGCGCTTAATTTCGTCCACACCTGTTCGTCTACGGCACAGCTGCAGATGAGCCTGCAGTGGATGTAACACTGGAGGCGTTGGTTCACAGATGTGGAGACTCGATTGCACTAGGTAATTACAGGGGTTTCTTTTCTGTCAGAGTCGATATACATCAAGAAAGTGAGTTGATCTGGAAGAAAGTGTGCTCCGCTCATCCAGAGGCAGGGTAGACTCTGTAAGCTGTTGTAGCTTCTATTATCTCAGGGATGCTTAGACTCAGAGCAGTAGCTTACTTACCAAGCTGCATGGCTCTGGGCTCGTACTTCTCTTTGCTTTGTTTTTCTTTTCTTTTTTTGTCCTATAGATTTCCGGAAAATCTGCTCGTAGAACGTGCGCGCCACTCGCTGACCTCTTTCGAGTTCATCATGAGGCCTGAAAATTCCTAGATTCCAAGAATCGTGATCTTTGAAGATGCAATCAAATGCGTGATGCAATCTAGACACTAAACGGTTTAGTTGCATTCCGCATTTATGCGGGACACGGACAAAAGCTCACATTTGGCCACTTATCGGTCGCAACAGAACTACCAACATGAATGACAACGTTCCATTCGTAACCTTGATAAACCATAAAACTTCGAACTTGAGCTGAAGCGTCACAGTGGCAGTGGGTTTAGGCATCATTTTTATCTACCAGTCCTCGCAACTGGTATGACTAAAAGTGGGGAGGGGTGGAGTTTCTCTGAGGTTGGTTGCCAACTGGACTCTTGAGGAGTATCAGAAGCTGCCACAGCGATACTATCCTGGATATCCATGTAACATCAACACCAATGGCTGGACCGACTCCACGTCAGAGGTGAGCGGCAATGGGAATTAACTGGGTCCGTACCAAAGCAAGTCATGTGTCTTTTGTCTTGAATTGGTCGCAAATCACTGCTGTGCCACACCACTGCGCATTTCTCCACCGACGCCCGACCAGGCTTCGCTATATTAGGGACTTGGATATCTGGGGCCCGAATAGCAGCTACTTCTGAGAAAGGTAAAAGCAAGCCATCCGGTCCTTTGAGACTTGAAGAAGAGTACATAGGAACCGACGTCGTATGTAGAAGAGACTACGGAATCCACCGCGAAAATTTCATTTGCCTTTCAGTTCAGCCTGAGCCAGATTTGTTCAAACCGTCTCTCCTTTTCTCCTCTTTTGCCCCAATTATAGCCAATTTTCTCATTCATGCAGGATGTCTCAAATGTCTGAGTTCAGCGGACAAGATCTCTGCGATTTTCCGGCTGCTTCGCCTCCAGATGGCGTCATTCCCAATTTCGTGGATCCTGAGAGCCTAGCTACAACCACTTTTGCGTTCGGAATTATCCTTACGAGTTGTGCGACATTGGTAGTGGCTGTGAGATTATACATCAATTGGGGCAAGCTAAACTGGGCGGATTGTGAGTGCCTCTAGTGCGTGACAATATGGGAGTTTTTGGGAACTAACAATGAAAAGATCTTATGGCGGTGGCGGCTGCTTTGAACATTGCATACACATGTCTTCTTATCTCGTGTAAGTTATGCCGTTGGCCTCCAGATTATCTACCCTAATGTATGTATATGTTCCTGACACCAAGTGCGCGATGATCTCAGTATATCCATACAATCGCCATCAGTGGGATGTGCCAGCTTGCTGGATGAATGCAACTCAGTTGCAGGTGAGTCTCCGACTTAATGTTCAAATTAATTCGTCCAATGCTTATGGCTGATTCATCATTGGCAGACCATTTTCGCTCACACAACAATTGTCGGACTTGTCCTTCTTTTTCCCAAATGTGCGATCCTGTTGATGTACCTCCAACTTTTCAGCATTCATCGCTGGATAAGAGTGAGTGTTTGGGTTGGAATAGTCTTTGGCATTGTCATCTACGTCCCATCTATTCCATTTACCGCCATTTTCGACGCCCCAAAGGTCGGCCAAACATGGGAGGATGAGTTGGAATACCTGGCAACATCAAGCAACAATGGTCTGATATATTGGGGCCTTGTTCAAAGCTCTGGCTCTGTTGTACTTGATTTGTTCATCTTCTTCATCCCAATGCCTGTTTTGAACAAGTTGCAACTGCCGTTGAAGAGGAAGCTCGAGCTCTTTGCTTTATTTGCTACTGCTTTATTGTAAGTTGTCTCTACAAGGCTTCAGCGCCTTCGGGAAAGAGTCGTGGATCTAATTCAGAAATACAAACAGAGGAGTTGCTGCAAGTGCCATCGGTCTTGTTTTTCGTATCAAGCTACTCAGCACCCGTGACAGTACCTGGCATCAAGCGGAATTAGCCCTTTCCGTGTATGTCGACAGAACGCATCCTTTACTTTCGATGTGCATTGGCCTACTAATCGTTTTCTTCCAGGTTCGCCGAAAATAATACCGCTATTGTTGTGGGTTGCATGCCCGCCTTTGCCAAATTCGTAAAATTTGTCAGAGTCACAATTACCAGTCGCCGGAATCGATCGACTGGGAACTTGCTACATGGTAGTCGCGAAAATTTGTACAAGCAAGGGGCGTGGCCAATACAAGCTCCACCGCCATTGCCTCATTCGAATGCAGCGACCTGGTCTTCTAGTCGAAAACATCCGCTGCAACGGTATGAGCTTACCGATACCATGCTACTCCAGGCACAGGCATCTATTGCCGGTGATGGACAACAGTGCAGGCAACACCCAAGCTCAGAGCAGGATTGGGAAATCAGGGTGTTGAGAATGGCGAACATTCGTCAGCATGAGGAAAGGATCAGGGGCCATTACCGATCCGTGGAACACTTCGTATGAGCTGTGTGCTCTTGCTTGGGCTTCAAGAATATGTTCTTTTAGATGACGGCAAAGATATTAAGCACAAGAGAATTTCATACACACAAATACGGCGAGCAATGGATAGCCGGATCCCTCCAGCGCAAATTCCGTAAGCAGGCTGACCCATGTCATCTGTGCGGTCAGGCAACCTGCTTCGTGCCATCGCTCAACGACGGTCAATGGCCGTACTAGTAATACATGCGGTGCCACCAAAATGAAGCACGTATTTAGGCCGCGAAGAACCCAAGATTGAAATCTACTTTTCATGCCAAGCGGTCCAACAAAGCATTCAAATTGACTGGAATGGCTGTCAAGATTAAAGGCGTGGATGTGAAAACCCGATCTCTACGGCAACAGCAGAAGACAGAACCTTCGCAATGTTTTGCAAGATTCGGCACTGCGTAAAGACCCTGTACGAGTTACTCAGATACCTTAGATATACGTATTCATGAAGTACCCAGGTAGAGCAACTTTCAGGCTGACACCGAAGTTGGCGGCTTGCATGCTAACGAGAATTGCACAGGCGCCTATGCACATAAATAAGTCATGGGTCCACCCCGCAAGGCTCATCATATTCAATCGGATCTTTTCATGCAGCAAAACAGTGTGCCACAGGATGTTGGTTGTTCAGCCCATGCCCACTTGAGTGGGGTTTGACTCCTTCACTAACTCTTCCGACTAAATGCCAGACCGGGCTGGTTTCTTCGCCAGTTGCATCGGAAGCCAGGATTGATAAATACTTCTGTCCAAGCTGAGACTCAGAACTAATTTCTCCTGAGCAAAATAAATATCAGCCTGTCTCTCACCTTTATTGGAGCTTTTCAATCATTTCTTTTCACGATGGACCAGACCAACGTCAACATGGCCAGAACAATGGATATCGGGAGAATATGCGTAAGAACACGCCGCTCTTACTGTTCGTTTTTGTCGGATGCGAAACCGAGCATCTGACCAAGGTATCTATTGTAGTGTTTTGCCTTAGCAGCCGCAGGGGGCCAATAGAAAGTTGCATCCCCTGGAAGTGCCGCATACAACACCGCCCTTCATTCGTACTTTTCTGTACAACAAGCGTCGATGCAGCCCGTTTGCATTGTACTGGCCCAGTCGACTGAAGATGTTTCGGCGGCAGTAAAATCGTTAGTCGAGTTGCATGAGGATGGCAAGAGCTGCCAGTTTGCTATTCGTTCAGGTGGCCATACGAGCTGGGCCGGTGCATCTAACATTCAGTACGGAGCTGTAATCGACCTTGGCTCTATCAACACCGTCGAGCTTGCGTCAAATAAGTCTATAGTCTCGGTTGGAGTGGGGGCTACTTGGGGCGATGTGTACAAGGCTCTTGATCCGCATAGTCTAAGCGTAAACGGGGGGAGAGCGTCAACTGTTGGTGAGTCTGGGTTCAAGCAATGATATCGTATTACCTTTCTTACTAAGAAGCCTAACTCTTACTCACGGCAAGATCATACTGGAGTACCGATACCAGGACTCCTTATCCGGCGAAGCGGATTTGGTATCGAATTGCTGCAGCTAATAGAGGATGTAACTATATAAGGTCTAGAGAACCAGAAGGGGCGCCGAATCAACGGCATAGTCAATAATGACCGCCTAAGTAATTTGAACAGGCTCCGCAAAGCTGGGGACTCGCCGGAGCTGTAATCTGGCTACCAATCTCATTTACTACACAAAGGGCGGGGGGTTGGCTGTATAACAGCCAGACCCAATTTTTCTTATTTTAGACTCACTGTTGGTACGTCTAGACTGACTGTTGGCTGTGTGTCTGTTGGTCGTGGGAAATGCTACGAGGAGTCGCATTAGCCGATTGCGGCGGTGCGGTCGAACTGCTTCAAGGAGAGAAGAGGGGTGAAGAGCCCTGTGTAAGGACCTTGAAACTACATTCGTTCGCCCTATAAAATCAGCCTACTTGCTCTTTACAGTCTACCTACTACTTAAGCTTCTGTCAACACCCACGATCTGGGCGTTTATGAGCATTGTTGTGTTGGCCATATCGCAAACGTCACCATCCCGGCCCATCTCCCTCACCCCAAAGAAAAGAGGCAATGACGGATATCACCAGCCTGCACCGGGTATGTTCAAAGTTTCCTTCTTGCATCATGTACGCAATACATCCTGAAATGCATCGAGGTTGATCAGGCTCCGTTTCTAGTGCGAAGCGCTGGTTCAGCTGCTGGGGGCAGAAAAGGTGTCATTACCAGGTAGTTCCGCCTATGCTGCGACCCTGTCGTCATATTTCGCTTTACAGGCGTCCTCGATTCGACCATTGTGTTTCGTTACACCGCATAGTGCCAGCGATGTGTCGATCGTAGTTCAGTCGCTAGCCGCTGATGCCGCTGCTGGCTCATGCAGTTTCGCAATCCGATCAGGGGGGCATATGTGGAACCCCGGGGCATCAAATGCTCCGGACGGCGTGACGGTCGACCTGTCGAGACTCAATTCGATCGATGTAAATGCCCGGGACTCGACTGTGTCTCTCGGCCCAGCCGCATCTTGGGACGCCGTCTTTGCTAAGCTCGAACCCCTGGGGCTCGGTGTTGCTGGAGGTCGGATCGCCGGCGTGGGTGTGGGAGGCTTGACGCTGGGAGGTGGCCTCTCTCACTTCTCGCCTCGCTACGGTTGGACGTGTGATACGGCGACAGCTTTCGAAATTGTCCTGGCCGACGGCTCTATTGTGGAAGCCAGTGAGGTGCAGAACAAAGATCTCTTCCGAGGACTTCGCGGCGGAGCCAACAACTTTGGTATCGTCACCCGGGTGGACCTGAGGACATTCAAGCAAGGCCCTGTATGGGCTGCTACCATCTACAGTCCGCTCTCGACTGTAGATGACCAGATCAAAATCTTTGCCAACCTTTTGGCAGCTGAAGATTACGATGAGAATGCATCATTCTTCACTGGATTCGGATACTCACAGACCAACAAGATGACAGTCGTTGTCAACAACTTGGTCTACACCAAAGCAGTAGAGAATCCATCTTATTACCAGGGATTCCTCGATCAGCCTTCCATTTATAGCTCATCTTCCCTCACCAACATGACTGCCCTTACGCAGCAACAAGCGAGTTTTCTGCCTCCAGGGATGTCTCGGTAAACAGCGATACCCCTCCGAGACCCTATGTCAGTTGCTGACGAGGAATAGATACCTATTTGCCACAACAACCTTCATCCCGACAGAGGAAATGCTTCGTGCCGCATATGAAGCGTACAGCAGCAGCCTAGAGAGGGTCAAAGATATCAAAGGCCTCACATGGTCGTTGTCATTCGAGCCACTGCCTCCTAAGATCTACCAACGCGGCGCGGCAGAAAATACAATGGGGTTGGCCGACCGCAAGGGAGCTCGCGTTGTGTGCCTCCTCTCACAGGCATGGTCTGACGAGGCAGATAACGTGCGTGCTACCGCTGAATCTGAGGCCCTTGTTGGTGCCATCGAAAAGGCCGCTCGCGACCTCGCGGCCTACGATCCGTATGTCTACCTGAACTACGCCGCAGACTGGCAGGACCCAATTTTGAGCTACGGGGGGAACAGCGTCCAACAGCTGAAGGATCTACGGGCTAGGGTGGATCCTACTGGGGTGTTCACGCGTCTCGTTCCTGGTGGCTTCAAGGTCCCATCTTGAGAGGGTCAGGTGGTATTGACAGACTGCGAGCAGTGAAGTGGCTGCAGCTGAAGTGGTGGCAATAAAAGAGCATCTTTTTCGATTGACTCACTGGCTATGCCGTCGAAATGGCCATCGGATAGCTTGAAGTTCAATATACGTAACAGACTGTGTACGATCAAACCACCGTGCGAGATCCTGTGAGATCCACTCATGAGCCAGCTACCAATAGTCCATCCTGGCATTCTTCACCAACTATTGCATGGAACACGTCATTTTTGCTTCGTAATGTAACTGTTGGTGGCTAAATTTGACACTTGCCTGCCACCATTCATTGATGTAGTAAATGCGGGTAGCGGACACGCTTCTGCAGCTGTTGGTTGCTAGGTTTGACACTTGGCCACCAAGCGTTACATGCAGATGGCGAATACAATTATGTATTTAATCGACATACTGATTCTGTGATGTGCATATCCTAGGATTCAAGAGACATCCTTTCACTCTTTAGCCTCAGGATGTGAATCACTTCGATTGATATTCCAAACTTACAACCACAAAACTCACAGGAATGCTTAGATGATTTGCGATCACGACAAGATTCGATCATGGCACTGGTAGGGAATCAGAAGCCACCATATGGCATTTTATAAATTTGTCGGAACAGGACAGGGAACTTCAAATGGCGGCATTTGTTCGCCGCTGCATGTCAATCTCTTCTGCAAATATGGATACATATTGTGCCGTGAACGGAATCAGCGCCACATCTCTGATCATATGTATCGATGCACTTGGAACGTACAGTGAAACTTTATCCTACCACACGTGCTAATTGTGGATAATTCAAATTATTTTTTCCATCCGTACATCTCCCAAAAACGGCGGGAGCTTTCCATACGACTGTAGGACGGACATCTATGCCACCAAATCCGGTCGGTTCTATGCAGCTTCACCGGGGAGATCTCTGATTTTCGAAAATCCCTTCGAATGAGACTATGCCGATGGATATAGAGCGAACCAGTAAGAATTACGACAAAGATTCAGGATGACGATTGGGAATAATGGCTCAAGCCTCTATAGACCATGCAGCAGCTTATAAGCACAAGACTCGTGGGCGGGTGGATATGGACGCATTTACGAAGCCTTAGATATTCTTACAGTAATGATTAAAGGCGCATAGCTCTCAAAGCCTGCTTCGGTTCGCGTCGTGCCACAGCACGTGTAGTGTGCTCGGAGATATGTCCACACTCATACAACGTGGATCCACTGATATGTGAACAAGCCCACCTACTATGCCTATTGTATCCTGGGCTTGTGTCTTGGCGAAGAGAGCCGAATTGCGTGTCAGTTTTTACAGTGGATGCCAAGCCGGGTGCTCTCTGGATTGTCCGGTGTCTGGTGAGACTCGTCCTGATATCTAGCATTGATATGCGTACCTGATAATGATGCATGCAAACCCTGTCATCACGACAGCTGGACCGCTATCAAGTCACATTGCAGACAGAATCCGTTATTAGCACGACATACGGGGAAAGCCAGAAGCGGAATGTTAGACCGCCACCCCGCTATCGAGAGTTGAGGATATGGATGAATTCGATTCTGCTCATGGAGATTAAAAGATCGCATTACACGCCAACGATGGCTTAGTTTGCTAGTGCAGCATCTTCCATTTCTAAATACTTAATCCTTTGGTTGTGCTGTCCCCCGCTCAACTGTTATTAGCTCCTTGGGAATAGACTCTGCCCCTCAACTGCGTACGACAATGGCAATAGTCACAGAGAAGTCAACGGGCAACGACGCTATCGAGGCGCTACGTGAGCCTGATGTGAGTAGATCTCCTCCACTGAACCCTCATAGTCCATAGGATGTATTAAAAATCCGGTTAGCTGATTCCACTCCGCTCAGACACTGGATGACCTGGACTTCAAAATCTCCATCGAGGAGATAGCGAGGTAAATTGCAACATGAAAATGCCATAACGGGCGTACCCGAGCTCAGGGAGTTGTAGGGAACTCGAGGCTACTGTTGAAGAAGTTCTGGAGGCTCAGCAATCCGCACGAGATCTCAATCTCGAGGATTCCAGGCAGGTGAGGCAGACTCTATATCAGCTCGCTGGTCACCCTGGACTGTTCACACTAACCTCGACTGGAAACAGCTTGCCAAGCAGCTGGTTTACACCCACGGAACCGACCCCAACTTTCCATCAGCTGCCCTGGAGCACCTGAAGGAGTTCCTCGACAACGGCGAGCACTTCGAAATTCCAGACGAGCATGCCCGTGTTATTCACGAGGCCAAGATCAAGATCGCCCTACTAACGAGCAATAGCCCTTATGCTGAGGTGCGAGCCGTTGTCGATGCGCACGATGACCCTTCAATGCCCGTGAGCACCATCCGAGCCTGGCTCATTGGAATGGGGTTCGTCATCCTGGTCGCCTTTGTCAACCAGCTTTTCATGGTCCGGCAGCCCAGCATCTTCTTGGGCACGACAGTTGTCCAATTGCTGGCCTTTCCGGTGGGCAAGGCCGCCGAGAAATTTCTGCCGGATGTTGGCTTCACCCTTTTTGGTGTCCGTCACAGCCTCAACCCAGGCAGATTTAACCAGAAAGAGCATATGCTCATATCAATTATGGCCAACGTTGGATCGACGTTGCCAAGCTCACGATATATTAGTATGTTAACTTGACCCTGTAGCCGCTCGATGGCCATCTACCTGCCACAAGTTGATGCCTCGCGCGGTAACTGTGAAAAGATTTGCAACGCAACTGACACCTGTTTCAGTCTTCACGCAGTGGATGGACAAGTATTTCGGGCAAAAGTACGCGAAATCCTTCGTATATCAGATTCTGCTGGCTCTGTCCACCAACCTTATGGGATACGGGTTTGCGGGGCTTTCGAGGAGGTTCCTGGTCTACCCTTCATTTTGTCTGTACCCACGATCACTCGTTACCATTGCGCTGAATAAGGCGCTTCACAACGGTTAGTCCGGAATATGCTTCAGAAATTGGTGTATGATCCTTGCTGACCAAAAGCCGTTGCAAACCGTCAGAGGTGAATCATCCAGTCATAGGCCCCTTGAAGAAAGTGTTCAGCATCTCACAGTACCGCTTCTTCTCGGCAGCCTTTATTAGCATGTTCGTGTACTTCTGGTTTCCAGACTATATCTTCACGGCTATCAGTTTGTTTAACTGGATCGCGTGGATTGCACCCCAGAACTTTACCCTGGCTACCATAACAGGCATGAACAAAGGGCTGGGGTTCAACCCCCTGCCGACATTTGACTGGAACATTGTCACGCATTACGTGGATCCCCTTGTCATTCCCTTCAGCGTCACTGTCAACATCTTGTTTGGCACCTTTCTTGGCGGCCTGGTCATCATCGGAATCTACTACACTAACGCGTACAACACTGGGTACCTACCCATCAACTCAAACAGCATGTTCAACCACTACGGAAAGACCTACAACGTCTCGGTGATTTTGGACGACCGAAGCTGGCTGGACGAAGCGAGTTATCAGGAATACTCTCCAGTGTTTGTGTCTGCTGCGTGGATTTGCAGCTACTGGTTCTTCTTCTCGGTCTACGCCGCCACAATCTCTTATGCGTACCTTCACCACCGGCACGATATCGCTCTCGGCTTCCGCAGCTTGATGAAGAGTTTCAAAAAGGGGTTCCGCGCCAACGACGATTTCACTGATGTCCACAGCAGACTGATGCGTGCCTATTCCGAAGGTATTTCAAATTTCACCGAGGCTCTAGTCTCTAGGGATTTGTGTCTATCGCAAAGTGGTTGACTGACTAAGTGACTGTCTGTTGCAGTTCCTGAATGGTGGTATGCCATTCTCAACCTCGTTGCTATCGCTTTGGGGTGTGCTGCCATTGCAGTCTGGCCTACTTACACAAGCGTCGGCGTTGTCTTCTTTGGTCTTGCCCTAGCACTGGTTTTCATTATTCCCACTGGAATCATCAAAGCGACGACTGGAATGGAGGTCGAGTTCAAGTGAGTTGCTCTCTGATGCTCTCGTCGTCAGGATATGGCGCTGACATGAACCGCTCGCACAGCGTCCTCGCGGAGTTCATCGGTGGTGGCTGGCAGCCCGGAAACGCGCTGGCTATGAACTTCTTCAAATGTTTCGGGTATGTATTATTCACTGATGAGAAGCATTTCTCCCATTCTGTTGTATCAACAGGACATTCTTGAAATCGAGGAACTGACTGGGAGCCCTGATCGACAGATACGTGACCACGGCACATGCTCTCGACTTTGCCAACGATCTCAAGCTAGCTCATTATCTCAAGATACCACAGCGCCATACCTTTACGGCGCAGGTCGTGTCTACCATCGTGTCTGCCCTTGTATGCACAGGTGTTATGAACTTTCAGATCATGAATATTCCTGATCTTTGTGAAGCGTAAGTACCAAATGTGTTGCCACGTCCGCGAAGCCATTGGCTGCGAGACAGCTTCTAGGAGCCGCAGCACAAGATGCTAAACTTCCATCAACAGCAATCAGGCAAACAGATTCACCTGCCCCGGCGTCAATACCTACTTCACGGCGGCCGTTCTCTTTGGCAGCCTCGGCGCCCGCAAGGTCTTCGGCACCGGAGCACAATACACAGCCATGCTGTCCGCCTTCCCCGTTGGCTTCGCGCTGCCCATTGTCCTCTACTTCGTGACCAAGCGGTTGCCCAAGTCGCACTGGATCAGCAAGATCCACCCCGTCATGGTCTTGAGCGGCGGCGTCCACTGGGCACCGTACAATATCGCCTACATCTGGCCGGCCCTGCTGCCAGCATGGTTCAGCATGGTTTTCATTCGCCGCCGCTACCTCGCTTTCTGGTCAAAGTACAATTACATCCTTTCGGCCGGCTTCTCATCCGCTATTGCCATCGCCGGCGTTATCATATTCTTCGCCGTCCACTATCACGGGTACACGATTGACTGGTGGGGCAATGACCCCGAGAAGGGCTGTGAGGCGTCCTCTTGTGCCAGGCTCAAGGTGGCGAAAGGTGATTACTTTGGCCCGAGGAAGGGGACGTACGTGTGAATAGTCGTCACATTATGCTCTCAATTAGACCCGGACTAATTGCTATTCTCGGCGCAAAGATGGAAGGGTTTTGTAATATCGTGCTGTCGACCTGCGTGTCTCGATAGCGGCAATCCAATAGTCAGACGACACCTCGCTTTGTACATTTACCACTGGTTGTGGAGCCAGTAACAAAGATAATGGGAACGTGATAGCATCACAGATTTGAATCGTATATCATGCTAAAGAACCTAATGTTGTGACAAGCATCTGGCCGCGCCGCTTGACCGTCGAGTCACTCTGGGAAGAGACCCATTTAGGCCATCCTTGTGGATCAACCAGCCAAGCTAAATATTTATGGGTCCCCCTGGGTACCCATTACATTGCATTTGACCGGGTAATTCCCGCCGTTGTCTGCGGAAGTTTTTGTGTAAACTCTGTCAGCTCTGTGATCTCCAAGTGCATCCGACCATATGAGCGCAGCCAGGCTTTCAGCTTCTTATCGTCGTCTCTTCAACGTCATCTCATAAGATCTACAACGAGTTCTTCGGTTGCCTGATCGCCATCTCAGATGGGTCTCCTCGACACAACACGGGTGCCAGCCACGCATGGCGGTGCATCGTGTCTGCCAATGTCCCAGCCCTGTTTGCTGTGCCTACCTATGCATAGTTCCTGTGATCAGAAAACTTGTCCATCATTGATTCTTTTCAGACAGGACCCCCCAAAGAAAGCTGAAGTACCAGTTGGCGTTGAATACTGGATCATGTCGACGACCATCGTGGCACTAGAGGAGTCAGCCTCGAAAGGATGTGCCGTTTGCGCGACCCTCTACACTGGTCTCATGACACGCCCCTCGTGCCAAAAACACAAGAAGGTAGTGCAAGTAACAATTGCTCACGGTGGCCATGTTGTTACGAGACCGTCCGATGTTTCCGAGTGGGAAGAACTGATCTTTTATTCTGTCAAAGGGTCTGGTAAGACATAAGCATTTTCTTCCGCATCGTCTCAGAACAGTTTCTGTCGTTTCGATCATGTCGTGTTGATCAGTACACAGAAAATTCGCGACGATGCCTGGCATATCCAGTCTTGAATCATTTTCAATCTACTAGTACAGAATTCGACGATAGCGTCAAGCAGGTCAAAGAATGGTTGCAAAGGTGCAAGACTCACCCACATTGTCTTACGGAAAACGATCCAGTTCTGCCAACCAGAGTTCTGGATATCGGGAATTCTGCAGTTAAGATCACTCCACCACCTCTTACAATATTTCATGCACAATTCCATGCTAACGTAGACCAGGGTGAAGAATTCAAGATTGTTGAGACGGGAGGGAAAAGAGGCCAATATATCACCCTTAGCCATTGCTGGGGAACTTCGACCTTAATTCAAACAACCTTAGCGACTGTCGCCGAAAGGAAGAAGGGCATCTCGTTCTCGCAGCTTCCGAGAACGTTCCAAGAGGCGACCCTGATTGTCCGTCGGCTGGGAGTGAGATACCTGTGGATCGACTCCCTTTGTATTATCCAAGACGACGAGGCTGATTGGCAACGGGAATCTGCTCAAATGGCCTATATCTATTCAAATGCCGCACTTACTCTTGCTGCCAATGCATCTCATGACTCCAGGGGTGGCTGCTTCAGACCCACTCCGAGCCTCTCCGGGTCTAAGTCTTGGGAGGTCGCAGTGGAATACAAAACATTAGACGATGGCCAGGCTCACTCTCTGACCCGGGGCAAATTAGATGACCCCAGCCAGAAATCAAAAGACGTAGGCTGGCTCGACGAGAATCAAATTAAGGATTATTGGGAAGATTGGCAATCAGGAGGACAGGCATGCTCGATTTTCAGTGGTGCGGGACAGGCCTCAATCATGCGATATTTACCAGGCAACAACCCGCCAGGTTCACTCGTCCGCAATAATCCTGAGAAAGTCGAAACCGTCAATACCAGCGACAGTAGCAGAGACAGAAGCTCAGACAACAAAGAGCAGTCAGATCAGTTACAGAGACGCCCATGTTCTCTCGGGAAGCTTGGAACATTGAAACGCTCGACTGGTGTGTACGTGCGGGAAGTCTTCAATCACGATGAGTTCAACTCCGACGATTTTAGCGACGAAATCAAGTGCCCTCTCAGCAAGCGGGCGTGGGCCCTTCAGGAGAGGCTCCTTTCGACGCGCATTTTACATTTCACAGCTTCGGAGCTTGTCTGGGAATGCAAATCTGCGACATATTGCCAGTGCGGATTGGTGGAAAGCGAACCACGGGGATTCGGGTTGGATTTCCGGCCTAAGAAGTCAATGAAGCTCGGTTTCGACCGTGCTCTCCGAGAAGCGAGCGAGGGCAAGCCGGCGCAAATCGATAGCTTGTGGCAGGCGCTTGTCAGCAATTACACGTATAGGTCCTTGAGCCACGCGAAAGATCGTCTGGCAGCGGCATCGGGCCTCGCGAAGCGACTGAAGCAAGCCAACAGGGGAGAATACTTTGCAGGAATGTGGAGGAAATATCTCCGAGAGCATATGACCTGGCAGATGGTGCCGATGGAGCTACACAACCGACACGAGACATACATTGCACCGACATGGTCTTGGGCATCGGTCTTGAGTCCCGTATACTTCCTTCAGCATTTTGTAGACGACACAGAACTAGGACTGGCTGCGCCGGAGCCCATTTTTGTTGTTGAGGTTATCGACGTTCAATATTCAGTCGCTGGGCTTGATCCCACGGGCTCACTCTCTGACGCAGTGCTCACTATTCGCGCGCCTGTCCTACCAGCAGAGCTGCTGAGTAGCGTGTGCATGGAGTATAGGCCGGATGGCCCAGACGTCGAAGAGTTCCGCTTCGACGTCAGGCATCCACAAACTGGGAAAACAGTCGATATGAGACCAGATTCAGAATCGGATGTGAATACCTCAACCGGGAAACAAGATGTACTGTGCGTCCAATGGACAAAGCAAATGGACGCAGAACCAATACTTGCAGAGTGCAGAAAACTTGGGGTTGAAGGACCATGGTTTGGGTTACTGTCGTTTTTCCTGGTTGTCCGTAAATCCACCAAGAGACTTCATAAGTATGAAAGGATCGGTCTGGGGATATTCGTGCGGTCATATGATGACCAGATGGATGCTCTGAGCAAGTCTCCTCAGGAGCAAAGCGAAATCGACAAGTGGTTTCAAGGAGCAAGCTTCCAGACACTGGACTTGATATAGACATAGTTAAACGACTTTGGATTTGATACTTCGATAACAGGCAATGAGCACTTGCTAGCTGATCAGCCTGAGTGTGGTCTTGCTTCAAAACATATGTTGTAGAGCCTTAGCTGCACGTGGACGCCCACATCATATCTCAAATGAATAGTCTTCAGTAAATTACTTTTCCAATTTTCTCATGACTTTGTTTCAAGCAGTATTACTGAAGAAGATATGTTAGCTCACGTACTTCTCAATCGATTTACTCGGCGTTGATTTCTTCAGGATCGACCCCAACAACTCACGCCGTCTGTATATAGTTCCTAGTGGCCTGTGATGTCCAACTTCCCTTTCTGCCGTAATCGGGTTTTGTCGCATTCCTTCATTCACCTGGATTTCTACTCCGTCAGAATATGAATCAACCAAGGTTCAACGAACTCTGCCGTTGTCTCAGATTAGAGGAAGGTTGTAATGTTGACGTGGTCGGAGGAGGCCTTAAGAGCCAGGAGTATTATATTGTCGACGATGTATTCAGAACAACAGTCGAGGAGGCAAATGCGTCATGATCAACTTTCTCTGGGGGCGCAATGACGATCTGCTACGATCCATCACAAGGGAAGTAACAACTTATTCGGAACAGGTGAGAAGGACGTTGATTACCCGGCTCGCCAACCTCCCCACGGCATCTCTATCAGTGCACTTGTCTTGAAGTTGACATGGTGATGGGGAATACCAACACATGCATATCCTATACCTTGGCGCATTCGGATTCACGATGGAGACTAAATCCAGTGATCTTCACTACACTCGCCCATACCTACCTACTTGGATCACATGAGCAGCTGCTCATGCAGAAAGCGTCATCACCCAGGGTTTAACCCTGAACTCGCACGAACTCTCAAAATCGCCCGTGACTCAGCAACATGGACTTACTCACCCAAGCAGCCGAGGGCGGCAAAAAGCAGTGCACTAACGCCATCGGAAGGAGACCTGTTGCCTATGGCCGTCTTCTTCTGCCTTACGATGCTCCGAGTGGCTTGGTCGCTTACGCAGCACCGCGCAGGTAACAATCACGCAAATCAGCTGAGGCGGCAGCCGACGTCTTGCGATGATCGGGGCCTTGGACTTACGTCAGAGCGACCCGCAGTGCGTCAATCAGCTCGCGTAAGACACGAGGAGCAAGCAGCAGCCCAAGCAGGCGGCCTGACGGGCCCTCTCAGTCCAGCGTTTACATTCCGTACCTACCAACTGAGAGTTGTGCGTAGCAGTAGAGTTCAATTTACCTCACTCCATCCCGTTCCGTAATTCCCGGCTTGGAAAAAAGGGTGGTGGTCGTATCGGCCTGCGGCATTTGGCATACGACCTAGGGAGGTGCCATCGAGGGGCCATTGAGCCGCTTTCCTCCTTACTCCGTGGCTGGTCAATTGCCCCTTTTGGTTAGGGCCGGCGGACCATCCCTTTTCTCGCCCAGCCGTCTAGCCGTCCAAACCGTCCACCTTCCGCAAAGGACCCTGAATAGGAGCTCGATGGTACGAGGAGGTGGCAAAACGATGGGCGTTGTTGTGGTTATCTTAATGACTTATTACTCAAGCAAACTTCCGTTGGAAATTGGCCGTTTCAAGACAACTGTGTGACCGGGGCTTGGGGGGCAATTGCAATTCCAATGCGCGCTCCGTGGATCAGGTGGCGGCAACGCGCGCTACCTTGAACGTTTGTGGTTATTTTTGCTGAGGGCACCCTTGTGTGGCAGTGCGCCAACGCTGCGCGGCTGTTTAGATTTGACTTGACTCTTGCGATAGGGGACAAGCTTCGCGAACTCAAAACGTTGCAATGAGTCGAGATCTCTGGGAAAACCTTGGGCGTGTCCGGGTAGATGGGATGAGATGTTTAACGTTCGTACGAGGTCATGGCCCAGACAAGAGCTTAGACGGATATGTTCAGTGTCCCATGTTTCTCTGCTTGTGCTTCGTGGGTAAATTGAGGGCGCGTTGACAGGCAAGGCCTGGTCTCTGCCCATTCTGCACCTGGTTGTTCTTCGAGACTCCAGCTTGAGTCGTCGTGGTCGAGACATGTTTCAAATCTCTTGGAAACGAAAGGGGGCCCCAGCTGTCAAGGGAGGCAGGAAGGGATGGTCCCAGAAGACAATTCCTCAGCACGGACGTTCAGTTCGGCGGGTTTGTGGTGGCCTCAGGCACCAACAAGATGCTCTGGGACCCGCCCCCTTTTCATTCTCGAAGCCACAACGTCGCAAGCGAGCTGCGCAAGCGAGCTGCGCAGAACGCCAGCCAAACCTTCTCGAAGGTCGAAACTCCCCGTGGCGAACCCCATCTGGCCCATACGACGGCTTCGCTTCCGGTGCTGGCACAGGTCCACTCCTGGCCTGTCGTGCCAGCTCCATGCCAGCTCCATGCCAGTTCGTGCCTGGCTGGACCAAGCTGGACTAAAGCTGGCTGTGGAGGCGTGGGGCCATCGCGGAGTCGCGGGTCTAATGGTGAGCGGGGGTCGGGCTGCAGTTCCGGGGGTCCAATGGCCATGACAGCGCACCACCGCCGGTTCGTGCAGCTGTTGCTGGCTGGGGCACCTCGTCCGAGCCCGTCGACGGTGAGTCGGGGTTGATTGACCGCTGACTCGGCCCAGCCGATGTCCACGTCGTTGAGGGTCATGGCCCCCGGGTCCGTGGGGGCAAGCTTCGCTGGCGAGAGATGGGCGGTGTTTGATGTCTTGTCCCTTCTTGTGCTGTTCCGCGCTCGTTGTTGTCAAGGGGCCATCAGCCATCGTGGGCTAGATGTCGGTGTGCAGTGATGGTGCTGGCTTGGACGGGGCATCGTTGCATGCGCAGTGGGTGTTGCAGCTGGTCAAAGAGAGACAGACGGCTATCAATCTGGTGTGCGTCAATTAGATACCAGACCCGGTAGCATGACGGATGAACGCGACGCTCTGAGGTGTGGTAAAGGCATGATCGAGGTTCAATATATCCCGGAGCACCGGTGGACGGCAGTGTCGGCGCCACAGCTCCAGTACCGGCCAAGGCGATATCAAAGTCTCCCGAGCAATAAGATGGGAGGATGCAAGGGGAGGGACCGTCAATCTCAGGGACCTTTCCGCAATCCCGTATTGGATGTCGTGCTCGGGCGGGAGGGCCTGGATGGCGGACGGTGGATGGCGGAAGGAGCAGGCGTGACAGCTGCCCCAGGATCCCAGATCGCTGTCCCGGCTCAGCATTCCGACCTTCCACTTTGGGGCGGCGCGCCCAAACGGGCAGGGCTCCGTTTATTCTCGAAATTGGAAACGGCCAAGTCCTTGTGCGTGCTGTGTGTGTGACAGCTACTGTATTAGACTAAGAGTAGGTGACTACCGCAGCTAATAGTCTGGGTCCCGTATCATACAACAGCACTGGTACTGTAAAATGCCATGCTTGCTAAATACGGAGAGCATTATGAAGTCTATTCTCTTGCTCTTGGCCTGGCCTGGATCAATAGAGAGAGAATGCGATCAATAACAAAATGTCAGATCTTGGGTGGGATCGATCAGAATGATAGCCTCCAGATTAAACTCGCGGGAGCCACTCTTGGTTGACTCAGTGTCAGTCCGTCTGTGTCTGTGTCGATGCCCGGTGCGCGTCGTGTCCTGTCCGTGGGTTGTCCTAGTGTTCTCGATTGGCCACCACGACAGCATAGTGTCAGCCTACAGCATACATACAGTCATTGATCTGGCATCCTTAACTTTGTCCAAGTCGATGCTGTACTGGGCTGCACTGATGATACTGCCAGTTGGGAATGCCGTTGCCTTTGCTCTCCCTCTCTCCCTCTCTATCTCCCACCGTATGTGTATACGTGTGTCGTGCGTCTCCGTCAATAAACTGGGGTCATCTGCCCTGCTGCATCGTCCTTCCCTGCCCGTGATCCATAAATTGCAACTTCCCCTGCATTGGGGGGGCCAAACCCACGCTTATCCTCTTTGATCCACACCTCCCGATCCATCTTCCGCCCCTCAGCTCGCCTCCACCAACCATACGCCAGCGTCGCACCTCCCTGCACATCAGCCGAGTCTCACCCGGGGAAGGCACGACCCACAATTCCTCATGCTTGGTGCCTCAGGCAGTCACTCTTTTGGTGCCGGCGCGGGCCAAGCTCCAAGTCTCCCTTGGTCAGGGGGCTTTGACTGCCAGCCCAGCTTGGGATAAAAAAGGCCACGTTGCCCCAACCTGTCCAGAGGAAGGCACTGCTCAGCACACCTTAGCAATCCGCCCAGGCAACAGCCAGACGCCAGTCGTTCTTTCCTTACTTCCTTGATTTCGCCCATACATATTCTAGTATTATTGCAAATCTGTCATTTCGAAGAGGGAAGAAGCCACATCTCCTTCACCAAACCGCCTCTCGAATCAACCAATCCCCACAATTATGCTGAGACCTTAGTTGACTCTCCAGCACCTTCCCTCCCCATCAAATCTGTGTAATTGTCCATCCACCCGCAACTTCCATCATCTCGGAACGTAGCACTCTCCACCTGCATCAACAAAAACATCACCAACAGCAGAATATCGGACAATCCTAGTACCGCGAATCACACGTAGGACAGCAGCCTCACTAGACCGGCTACAGCCTGCAAGCCCAGAACCTTCAGTTTGGGCTGTTCCTGTACTTTCAACCACCCACACAGATCTCCACAACCACACAATGGAGTCCACACCAACACCGTCGCCTCTCGTCAAGCACGAGTCCGTGTCAGATTCGTTCCCAAGCCTATTCGGAAACGAGTCATCAACACCGGCAACCATGGACCCATCAGCACTGTTCTCGACCCCAGAGCCAACGGACTCGTTCTCGCCAGAAGACTTCGCAACTCCCGGCCCCGAGGACGATACCGCAGACTCATCCGACAAGAAGCCCACAAAAAAGAGGAAGTCGTGGGGTCAAGTGCTACCAGAGCCAAAGACTAACCTGCCTCCAAGGTATGATTCACTGGTGCGATAGCAACGCGACAACACCAAGATACTAACGGCTTGCAGGAAGCGGGCCAAGACTGATGATGAGAAGGAGCAGCGCCGTGTCGAGCGTGTGCTCCGAAACCGCCGAGCAGCCCAGTCCTCCCGGGAGCGAAAGCGACAGGAGACTGAGGCCCTGGCACAAAAGAACAAGGACCTCGAGGCTGCCGTACTGGAGCTTCAGAGGGCCAACGCCATGTTGCAGCAGGAGCTGAAGAAGGTCAGGCCCGACCTGGGCGGCGCGGCTGCACCAAGCAGCAACTCCATGACCCTTTCGCAGCCTCTCTTCCCCTCCCACGAAATCAACGGGCTCCTCCAGCCCTCCCAGGCCAGTATGGACCTGATCGAGGAGCTGGTCAACAAGTCAAACCAAACACCAAAGACCGTCAACCCGGCCTCCATCTCACCGGCACTCACCCCCGTGCCCGAGGAACCCGAATTCGAGCCCGCCACCGAAGAGCTGAACACAGCAGCTGCTCCGCGCGCTGCCGAAGCCTCCCAGACTGACAACTCCACCCCGATGACACAATATCCAGCAGCGGTATTGTGTAATGACCTGCAGTGTCAACGGCAGGTGGAGATGTCTCCCTCTGGTCAGGCTTCGACGCAGTCGCTGCATCCAGCGCTGCTCATGTTCCAACAACTCCTGTTGCTGGCGTACAGCTCTTCGACAACGCTCCTCTCCCTGTGGGAGACGCGTCCGTTGGCGATGATCTCAATGTCTATGAGAGCCTCCTCGCCTCTTCCCCCAACGCAAGTGATCTTGACCTCGATCATTTCTCTGGTGACCAACAGCATTTCGATATCGCCTTTGACGTCAACCAACACTTCGACGTCGACCAGTGGCTCGAGTCTAACCCATTCGACAACGGCGACGGCGCACTCGACAACCAGCAGCAGCTCTCGCTCCAAGACCCTGCGGCTCCGAACCCTGCGCAAGATTCTAACCTGCAACCGACAGCTGGCGCGTCCTCTTCAGGATGCGACGCTCGAGGCATTGCGGTTGAGTCTCACTAGGGCACGCGGTTCCCAAGGGGTCACCGAGCACGAGTCTGCGAGCAAGTTGTCGCCTCTGCCATCGCCGGAGCGTCTCATCGCTCTCATGTGGGCGATCCGGACCACGGTCAGGAGTATTGAGATCAAGGACCAGATCAAGCAGAGGAAGGAGCTGCAGGAGGGACTCGCGGGACCCCGGAACATCAACGCGTCGACCCCTAGAACAGTTTTGTTTTATTCGTCTGACAAGTTAGCCGGGAGTAAAAGGAAATGGGTTGGTGGAGGTGGCTCCATCAGGAAAGATGGCGTTCAGGGCAGGAGGTTCCGTGATCGGGCGGCCTAGCTTATGCTGAATGCGTTGATTTATATTGAAGCTTAGACTTCAAATAGGAATGAAATACATCCTACCCACACACATATCTGTGCCAGACTTCATAATTGTGATTGCCTTGTGCCTAATCCTTGGAACGATGCTAGATCTTTGCTTTCCGTTCTATCTGAAGAGTTATTACAGCAAGCGCAGATTCCAATGCTCGCGATGGTGTTGAGCGCGAGGACCAACTAGGCAAATCTTGGTTCGTCTGTCGAATCGTTGGCGGTGACAAGCCCCACGCTGCCTTGAGCTTCCGGTCTGATAGCCTGACGACACGCCGTCTTTCTCGTAACTGCCAAACTGGCTAGATGATCAACGATGGCCCGGTGGTGGCGATCGTGACGACCATCTGACTCACGCCAGGCGCTACACCTCCTTTGGCAGTGCTCCCTCTCATGATCGTGTTCGTCAGCACCCGGAAGACCCCGCCACCAAAAGGGGAAAAAAGCTAGGAGCCGTATAGTATTACGCACGTCTCACCTGAGACCTCCGCTGGGCATGAGTAATGAACGGGGCCTTTCCGTTGTGAATTGCGTGGGACAGCGGGTCCCAATCGTATAGGAAGGTTCGGGGCCGGGTGTGTTCGTCCCTCGGCCCGGCAGCCACAGATGTGCCGGCGCCGGGGAACGCGGTGCATGCAGTCTTGGATGGATATCACTGTGGCATGCGGAGGTTATGCCTTGCACAACTTGAGAACAGGTCCCCCGGTATGTTATGGCACATTCCTGTGTGTGCGCCATATTATTGTCGCGACCTATCTATTCCGTACAATATACAAAACAAAGTAGAAGAGGGTATATGTATATCCCGTGCCTTTCGGCCTGCAGGCCTGCCTGATTGCTTGTGCTCTGTTGTGTGTTCTCCTGGGTATAAATCATTTTTTTACGTCGATGTTCATCGGCCTTTGAACCTCACGGGTCCATCCGTCCATAGTCAAACGCCTGTCCGCGCGCCACTCTGCAGCAAGAGAGCGGCTTCGCGTGCTGTGTTGCTGACCTTGGTCCGCTGCTGCTACTGCTGAATGAACGCACCGGCCATGTAGCCACAACGACCGCCCGCTGCCGCCGAGCACATAAGCCATAGTCGTCCGCATCTTGTCGTTTAATCGGCAGGGCTAAGCAAGGAGTCCTGCACCATCATGACCACCTTGCTCAGGGGCCATCAACATCTACCCGCGCCTACCGTTGACCTTCACAAGCCATTGCCTCCAGCAAGGCCAGACACCACCTCCTCAAGAATCACTCGTGCTGAAGTAGTAATTCTCCCACAGGTACTCATAGTCCTCCAATATCGTGCCCACAAACCCAGGCACCCTGCGCCTTACCCCGCCCACCACGCCCTTGACGACGTTCTCGTACGCCGCGCCGCGCATAAGCCACCACCACATGGCGCGGCCCCTCCGCGCCCACTCCTCCTTCTCGAGCGCCGTGCCGTTCCTCAAGTTCCCGCTGCCGCCGCCGCCGCCCTCCCGCGCGCGCGCCGCAAGCTGCCGCGCCGCCACCTGCACGCTCAGGCCGACCAGCCACGGCGCCCAGCTGCTGCGGCGGCGGCTCGCGTCGGTCCGCGACAGCGCGACGGCGTAGACGAGCGGCGCCAGGATGTGCAGCACCTCGGCCGTGTGCGCTGACCCCGCCAGGCTGTGGAGCAGCTTCGTCGCGGGCTTGATGTCGTCGGCCGTCAGGACGCGGCTCAGCAGGTACGAGGAGATGTCGCCCTTGGCGGGCAGCGAGGGCAGGGTCAGGCCTGTCCGCGGCATCGACCATTCCTTCTGGGGGTTGGGGGTCTGGGGCCGTGATTGTGTTGCGGCATGACCGTTCAGCTTGTGCACGGTGCCGTTGCCGTTGCCGTTGCCGTTGATGTTTCCGTTGCCGTTCAGGGCGGTGCCGTTGCCGTTTGTGCCGTCGTGCTTGACCAGCGCGTTGTCCTCTGCCGCAGACCCGTCTGCGTGCCCGTCCTCCCGGCCATGATCAGAGGGTTCCTCGCCCATCATCTCAGCCAGCGCCTTGCCGTCGTCGGCCTCATCCTCCTCATCGCCCGACTCGGGGACCTTCTCCCGCTCCGGCAGCACGGGCGTGACCAGCGGCCTGCTCCGGGTGATCCTGAGCAGGAGCAGCCTGCAGAAGGCCTTGACGGCCTCGATGATGACGACGACGCGCCACCGCACGGCCTCGCCCCGCCGCTTGGCCCACATCTCCAGCAGCAGCTCCGTGTACTGCACCATCTGCAGGACGATGGCGACGCGCCGGTACAGCGTGGACTTGGCGGTCCAGAAGCGGGTGTAGCGGGCGTGCAGGGACTTGCTCAGCGCGGTCGGGCCCTTGGAGGGGGGGGACAGGGTCGCGCGGAAGAGGAGGAGGTCATGGTAGAGGGAGAGGAGCTGCACGGAGGAGTGGATGGATTCGGTTGCGAGTTCGGCGTCGCGGAAGCGGCCTGCGAAGGAAGGGGAGTGTGAGCACGCATGGCAAACGGACGAGATATGTGTGAGGTGCGTAGGGCAGGTAAGTACCTGGTATTATATATGTCAAGGAGCGCAGCGCAGACTCCATCTGGGAGACCTGGCTGGCGTTCTTGGTGACGAAGTCATCGTACATGGCCAGCCATTTCGGCGGCAGGGCGAGGGTGTTGCGCAGGTTGGCCAGGGGAGGCGACCATTTGGTCTTGGTATGTGCATCTGCCGGTGTCGACATGATGGGCAGATTGAATCAAGTCATTGAGATAGTTAGTGAAGCCAAAATTCCATCAAGGGGGTGATCGATCAATGATTCAATCAATCAATCAACCGCCCTCGAGTTTGAGGAACGGGTAACGAGGACGATGTCGTCAAGTGGAACATGAGATAGCGTTGGGCTGGGGCTGGGCCGATTGACGTCGCCTATGGTCGTGCCTCGGCTCCACGGCTGGCGGCCTTTACCGGCGCTGTTAACGTGCTTCCACCCAGATTTCTAGTGATTGCGTTAGTGCTACTCACATGTCGACCACAAGCCTCTGGTCTATGAGCAAGACGTTATTAAACACCTTGGTTGTATGCCCTAGTTTTTGTTCACTTACAAGTTTGACAAATGATAGAATTGATAGAATCTGTAGCCATCTGGTTCTGCTGTTGGTTTTATTGACTCTGGCTGAACGAGCTTCAGTTCATGGCTCGAACACTCAGGATAGTCCAGATCGAATGTCGCAATGACGACGAGGTTGACAGGGACGAAGCCCTATATATATCTCATGGCTCGACGCATGATGGCAAGCTTTTCTGTGACTGGATTGTATAGATCCGCACAGGGAAATTTCACTATCATTTCACCATGCTTGCTGCGTAGATGAAGAGCCCAGAAGACAGAAGTGTAGGACAGCATCGGCCTGCCGACCTTCCCCTGTCAACCTCACTGCTGAGTTCACACTCGGGACCACCACTCGACTATGGAATACTTCAGGTCCATATTAATACATCGCATACGTTCGGGAAACTGAAAGGTTCCTAATGTGACCTCTATTTGGTCATATGAAGGCCTGCGCTCACCTAGACGGTAGACCTTTCCTCGCAATTCTTCGGACCACTACCAGTACTGTGCTTTCGAGATGCTAGCAGACCATTTCCCAGACGCCCGCTGATGACTCTGGTTGTATCAAAGTAGCATGAAGCTGACAACCTGCCTATACCCTTGGTGTTGGTCTATGAGGAAGGCAGCCAGGTGCAACCCCTCGGAATGTTGCATTCGAGGTACCTGGACATCACGGGCTGAGAGACAGGCAGAGCTGCGTAGTACAGACGGTCACCAAGACAGAACACAGGTACGAGAATATGCATATTGCTTTCATTTTCAAAGAACATGCACAGCATGCCCCATCTCCGTTTAAATACCACCAAGCACAGCCGAGCGCCCGCGTCCCTGCGGCCATTTCCATCAATAAAGCGTCACAAACGGCTAACACTGCTGCCGTCAGATGATATGAATTCGTAATGTCGTTAAGAAAATAGATCGCTCGGGTATTGTTGATATCATGTTACTGTGGCCAGTGCCACCTTCCCCCCTCCACGGCCTCAAAAGAAAAGTACACCTCGTAGATACATTCCAGCTTTTACAAGTTTTGGACAATTAGCTCGCACCGGGGGATTTGCTTTGAAAACGCCCCCTCGCACCTCTTCGATTATCGCTCGTGTTTCAAGAGCTTTCAAACTTCGCTTACGGCAGCTGTCCAGTCGGAACACAGATTGCCAGGTCCCCCACGCAGTCGTGTGCAACGCAAGTGAACCGTACTCTCACGTGCGTCAGACCATATAGGTCCCTCAATAACTGAGCCTGTCTTGGCAGCAGCAATTGGAGACACAGCGTTTATACGGCGGTTCGAGGTTTGAAATCATCATCAACGTCGAGCTGCTCATCAGAAATCAAGGGCTCATCCGGTCCGTCGTAAACAGCAGGCTCGGGCTTGAACTCAGAGCTGACCTCGAGCTGCGAATCATCCATCAGGGGCTCTCCAGCGGCAGCTGACGCGTCACTGACGGTGGGGGCCTTGCTGGAGATGGTCTGGTCATCTCGCCCATTGTCCTCGCCGGTCACTGCAGCACCGCTGGCGTGCGGTGTCTCGGCGGCGCCGAGCTCCCTGTTCAGCGGCGCCTCGAAAGGTGTCTCAAAGGGCGTCTCGAAAGGCGTCTCAAAGGCCGTTGGAACCTCCTGGACGGGCGTGGCGTCCTCGTCCTCGGCGTCGGCATCGTTCACCGGCTCTGCAGGACCCGAGTCGGCACTCGATTCATGGCTCTCAACTGGCTCAGCCTGAGCAGCGCTCGGCGGCTCGGCCTCATGGGAGTTGGATGGTTCCGTCGTGCTTGCATTGAGTGTTCCCCAACCGGGGCCGGGCTTCTCCACGAATTGGTTGATGATGGGTGACTCCAGGATGACAGCCCCCGAGTCGCGGACGTTGCTGTGGGAGGGGAATTGCTCGATTGGCGTGCTGTCCTCCGGCGACTCCTCATCCTCGTGGCGCTGGATGGGGAACTGTTCCGACAGAACGGAGCTGCGGCGTAGCTCATCGTCGGCGTCATCCGCGGCGGCGTCCGTGCCGTCTGAGACATGAGCTGGCGTCTGTGCAGCTGTCGGCTCAGGTGCCGCGAGCGGCCCGTCTGTCTCGGCGACGGGTGCTCGGGTCTCACTCTCCTCCGCGATGGGGCGGCCTGTGGAAGTGGGCGAATCGGGCACGGGCACGAACTCCGAGGGCCGGCCGTAGAGGCTGTTTGTGACGGGGAGCTTGATCTCGGTGGTCTCCAGGACGCCCTTCTCATCAATATGTGCGTCGTCCTTGGCGATATCCGGGTTCAACCGTGGGTTCATAGACCACGGCCGTGGATGCCGACGCAGAGGGCGGACTCCGCCTCTGAAGAATGGACTCATTGCCGGTGGGGAGGGAAGTCGCAATTGCAACGGTGGGGCGCGGGATAAGCTTCTGGATACGATGTGATTGATGAGATCAGAGTCTCCCCAAGCGGCTCGAGCGTGGAATTGTAGCCAGTCGATTGACTTGAGTGACTGAGTGATGGATTGACCGATGTGGTGTCCTGGAGGGTGATGACGATGGATGGCTGGGTCTGGGTTCGAGATCGAATGAAGATGAGCCTCACTCAGTCAGCATCAGGTCAGTAAACCCCAGTCGAGTAATGCCCAGGTCAGGTATTATTAGTCTAGCGAGCAATCTGCATCCTGCTACTGCCAGGCCTGCTCGGGAACAGCAGGAGGGAAAGCGTGGGCAGTTGCGGGGGCGGCTGGCTGCTAACTTCCGGTTCTAAGTTGCCATTTGAGGCAGTCGGCACCACCAACGAAAAGCCCCTAATGCAGGTCGAGCAAGGTTCTGTGGAGCTCATGTTGGAGCTCATGTACCGTATACACGCGATCCCACAGCATCCTGGTTGGCGCTGCTTGTACCCCCCGTTCCCGACCTACCGATCCTCCGGCAGGTAGACGCGACCAGCTGATGTGGAAAACAAGGAAGTGAGGGAGAGATTGGATGAGGCCAGGGGAGGGAACCCGAATTGCTACCTCGGAATGGCACAGACAGAAACAGGCTAGCCGATCCGACCGCGAAGCTTCATTTACTTCATTTATCTGTGGCTGTCCTCTTCATCATCCCGCAGCCCTGCTGCCGTCTCTCTCATGTTCCAGCTGTGATTGTGCAATTGTGCCTGGCCGATGCCAATACTCTCAAATTGAGAGACCACCAATGTGGTGATATCTTCCCACAGACGGAAACCCATTATGAGGCCCATTTATCTCCTCCCGCTTCCGCTGTTTCTTACATAAACAAAACGCCCATTTCCTTCACATGCATTATCGCTCTCCAAGAGAATGGGTATCGTTTCAACAATTGTGACCAAGCAAAAAAAAATTCATGAACCTCGTTCCCGAAATGGCTTTTTCCTCATCAGCCAGGCTGTGTTCAGAACGCCTCCCTTCGTTCCCTCCCTGACTAGTCGGCGATGACCCCACAGGGGCCAGCAGCACCAACATCACTAGAATTGTCTGAGTCTCGAGTAAAGTAGACAGTCGCGCCGTGCCCCGACGGACAGGTCGAGTCTTTGTCGTCGCCGGTATCCCAGCCCGTGATCATGGCACACGACGTGCCAACGAAGCCACCACTCGGCATGTAGGCCCACGAGTTGCAGCCGGCAGAAACACTCTTGAAGCAATGGGCGCAGCAATCCTTGGAGTCGCTCGCGCCGTAGTAGCTGGTCGTCCAGCCGCCGTTGCCTGGCGCACCCTTGACTCCCATGAACGACACAGAGGTGAGGAAATCGGACGAGTCAGCGCACTCGCTGGGGACTGGGGACTGTTATGGTTATATGGTCAGCTTTCTAACACATAAGATGGCAAGTAAACAATGTTTCTGTGAATACAGGGGCGTCACCTGGCTGGATGGCCTTGATGGCGCCCTGATAGAAGGGGATGATGTCGCAGGGGTAGGGAATACAGAGACGGTCCCCGTCGAAGACGGCGACGTTGATGAAGACGGAAATACGGAAACGGATATGGTAACCATAGAACGCACTGAAGAGTGAGTTGCAGTGGCCGAAGAGCTTGTAGAGATTGACGAGCTGCCAGTCATCGAGGTAGCTGTAGCCGAGGTGGCTGTAGTCGAAGAACTGCGCAGTATAATAGTCAGCCAGGGGGAAGATATGGATTGTTGGGCGACGAAGCTGATGTGCCACTGGGATGGATTCCTCGTTTTGTCTGTACTGCGATAAATGCTTACCTGGAACCGCTTCCAGCACCAACCGAACGGTCCTTGTTGTTGTTGCTAACCACCACGCCGACGACAGTGGCAATCAGGACGAGCACAGCAACAACCAGAGCGATGATGACGGGGGTCCGGTACTTGCGCCAACAGGAGGGCTTCTCGCCGGCGTACACGACGGCCGAGCCGCGGCGGTCGCCAATGTCGTCAGGTTGCACGACAGGGCGCGTGGACGCCGCATCGTCGCAGTCCATCTGGGCGAGGTTCGAGACGGGCTCCGGCACCGACACGACCGCGAGCTCGGGCAGAGGGTTCGCTATCGCCTCGGCGTACTGCGACTGGCTGTAGCGGCTGGCCGAGGAGCTGCCACCGCCTTCAGCGTCGTCGGAGCCCTGCTGCTGGGATCCGTGGGCGGTGCCGTTGGCGGTGCCATTGGCGTGGCCATTGGCGTGGCCGTTGGTATGGCCGTTGGCGATCTCGCCGGGATTGCCTTGGCTGGCCATTGTGGTGGTTATTGTTGATGGTTGCAAGTGGGCAAAGGAATGAAAGGTATCTGAAGATGTGTGATTGATGTCAGGTGAGGTAATTTGCAAACTGGGACAGCAGTAGTGACTGTCGTGCTGGAGTGTGGCAGATCCGAAACGAGTGTTGCCGTGGGACAGCAAAGACTGTGTGACGGCAAGTTGTGTTTGTCAGTGGAGAGGCGTCCCGTTATTCTGTTTTTTTCCAACGGGTCTGTGAAGCTTCACCTTTGCCTGAGACTGGCCGCAGCTCTTTTGTGTGGCCCAACTGGATCTGGTTTGTGAAAGGTTTGGGTTACCTGTCAGGGGGTGACGCTGGCGATATGCATGTTGTGCTATTTGTGCTAGGCAAACAACGAGCGAGTTTTGGGGCCTCGGATGGAGTTTCAGATGAAAAAGCTGCTCGTCGGAGCCTAAGTTAATGGTTAAAAGTTGACAATGCACCTGAGCCACATATCTTGTATTGGGTGTAGTCGGTTGTGACTTCTGTGGTCCCTTGAGCCCACCGATTTGCAGCTTCCAATGACCTCCACTTCACTGTCAGAGCATGAAAAAGTTGATAAAAGACCTAGAATAGAAGCACTTTTTGCAGAATACTAGTGTTTTTGACAGCCACTCCATTCTCATCGTCTGGAACGCAGTTCCCGATATAGATGGCATACCACTTGAAGATATCGTTGTAAGACACCTTTAGATTTGTAAACAGCATCTACAAGGAGCCCTGTCCATCATTAGCTGTGCCATAACTGTGCTAGTTGGAGGCTGAGGTGCTTTGTTGGTTCTTTTCAGGTTCCTTTCCTCTTATTCATCTAATTGCTGACTCAAGATGCTGTCAAGTAGCCTCTAATTAGGCCCTATCACACGTATTGTCTTCTCCCATGCCACTGTAAACAATGCTGCAAGGTTCAAAGTCACTGGATTTAATACGTTGGTGCCTAACGATGGTATACTAAGCCTGAGATGACTCGATATTAAAGTACAGTGCCACGGTGGAATCGATATAGCTCAGTGGCTCTGGGGGCTTTGGTGATTATTTGCTCGCTTTGCTCGCCTTTGTGCCGCCACTGGTCACAAAAAGAGACTGCAATAGCTGGAAGAGCTTTGTTTGGGACGATTAACATGTTTCTCATTGTACCAGAGGGGACAATATTGTCAAGCTCAACTTCACTTGGGCCGATGTCTCGACTCTGTGAATTTGGTGGCTGTAGTACAATACCGAGGACCAAGGCTGGCGGAATGGAGCATCATTAGATATAAAAGTGCAGTACAAGATTGCCCAAATTGCCCCTAGCGGCTCAGTGCGATATCGTCTCCATTGAGCTTTGAGTTCACAAACAGTGGGCATTTGAGCTTTAATCAAGAACACGGACACGAACTGGTTTTTGGTTGTCTTTTCCATACGAAAAAGCATACGGACTCACCAGAAAAAATCACCCAAGCACCGAGTTTACCACGAGATCAGGATGGTGTGCCAGAAATGTGGCCTGCTCAACTGGCCACTCGAAGACATCCTCTGCTACGAATGTGGCATGCAGCTAAACGTCAGACAGACAGCTAAGAAGAAGATCAAACAGGGCATCAAGCCCAAGAAACCTGATTCCAATCAGGCAGAAAACGAAAAATCGTTTGAACAAACGTCACACTCGCACAAGACGCTCTCTCGAGGGTCGCAGCCGACACAATATGAATGCAAGGAGATCGCCGCGGCATATGCTCTGCCTGGCCACTATGATCTAAGCCGAGCTCCTACGGAGACGTTTTTCTCGTCCTCTGCCTGCAAGAACTTTCTCTCCGACAATAGGAACTTCGGGCCTGCTGCTGCGCAGAGAACAGATGCCACTACTCACGCCCGAGGAGATTCATCAGCATATACCGGTCTTTCAGCACTCTTTTCCAGCTCGACATTCACAGATGGAAACGTGTTGGACTGCGGCAGGCAGATACAGACTGCGAACCGTCTCTCGCAAAACGAGCAAGTCTCACAGAACCAGGGACAGCCATCTTCGCCTGTCATTCCTCAACAAGTTTCCAGGTACGTTTTATTATCACGTCGGTAGGCACTCGCGGCCTTACGGCAGACCGTAACACATGAATTTTGAAATCGGAGTACATATAGAAGATTGAAACGACTGACAAGGGCTCAGTAGGGATAGTTGAGATGCTGTGGCTCGATGATGCCTCACGCCGCACGACTGGCCCCGAGCAGCAGATGTTAGTCGTTGTCCACACGGTGTTTAATTCCAACGGTTAGACATGGTTGCGAAAAGCCTTTGAAATAAACGACGAAATTACGCATCAGACATCAGCATTGCTAAATAAAAAAAAGAATAGCCAATGCAGTATGGTTTCCAGTACTCGTCAACGATGACTAGATAGGGTGGGCAGGATGACCGATCATTTCCAACGCTTCTGAGAAGCTTGCAACGGTGACATTCCGACCGCCGTTTCAATTGCCATCAGCCCCATGATGAGTTCTTATGTGGTAGTCACACTGTATCTCCTAGCTATAAATACTTCACCTTCGGAAGCCCAGAATCTTCTTGCGCCAATGTCGGCCAGAATACCGCACAAATACCCTGGATACGTTCTCAGAGAGCCCAACTGAACACATTCACCGCGCTCAATAATTTCTCAACTCAGTCAAAATGGACTTGTCAAGCCTGCTCAACCCTGATAATGGAAGTTCTACATCTCAACACGAGCAAGTGGATACGCAACAGTACATTGCACAAGCCATAATCTACGACGAGGCCCAGAAGCGCAATCAACGTCCCGGAGCGAACCACCGTTTCACACCATATGATACTAGCCAGCCCAGACGCGTACAATTTAAGGCAGAAGATCCCGAGATATTTTCGAATCCCACTCAGGGTTCAGAACCTTTGCCAAATAAGGACCAGGGAGAGCGTGGCAGCGTAACCGATGGGTCATCTTTACCTGCCGGCATGAATATCGAACTTGACCCACATCAGGATACGCAGCGAGCGCAGCAGCAGTCTCAACAGGTTCAGACTCAAACAATTTCAAAAGGCAGACCCCGTTCCATTACACAAGAAGAAGGCCACGATTCCGATTATGAAACAGATCAGCCGAGTATTGAAGTTTCTCATACTTCTCAGTCCTATGAAGAGCAGGAAAGGTCCAGAAGAAAAGATATCATGTGGACCAGGGGAAAGAATAATTTCGTTCTTGGAAGAGGAGATATGGTACGGAACAGGGATAAGAGGTATTCATGGGAAGATCTCGAGAGGGACTTCCGGAACGAGTTCTGCACTAATACTACTGCGTCGGAACTCGAAGAGCGCTACTATGCCATTGTCCAAGAGAAAAGCTAAGCAAAGCAAGCCAAACTGTCTTCACCCAGCACCCAGGCATAGGCAGACAACATTTGTAATCCACAAATACCCCGTGTCAATGGCTTTGCTTCCTGTCTGAGAAAGAGTACAACTCCAAAACAGCGCAATTTACCGGACCAGCTGAGGCCACGGCCTCTATGTCGAGGGTGCTGGAGTGGGGATTTGGAGCATATTGCATGTTACTGGACAAACAGCCCGAGGACTTCTGATTTGGAACATAGCGACACAGTCAATAACAGATTCTAAAACAGTAAATGATGTTCAGTCCTATGTGATAATCCGGCAACTGCACCTTTTTGCATATTACGATATCTACGGGCGTGCATGCCTGATGATTAGTGGAACGAGCTTAGGCTCGGGTATCCGCTTCGCAGCCACAGTGTCTCTGAGATGAAGAAGTAAAAAAAGGGGGGAGGCTACAAGATAATCGACCATGGGGAAACCCCGTGTGGGATGAACCCTTGTGGGATAGCTTCCTGCGGGCAAGCGAGTGAGCCACAAAGGGGTCCGCAATGGCGTGTTTGCGGATCTTGAGAGTGTGGCAGTGTTGTTCTAGTAGTGTATGTGAAGAAGGGTATCTACAGGACCCGCAATAACAACGACATACCACAGCGTGCCATGTTTCTGCACACAATAGCTGGAGCTGATTACACTCACGCAGTTCGCCTGACAGGCCCTGTAGGGAAGACTCTACGGATTCGCAGCTAATTACATATATGCACTTACGGCCAATGCAATTGGGAATGCATAAATACATCACTTAACGTACAGAATTCCTAGATTAGCATTGACTGTGTATTCATTTTGCTGCTGTTTGCCAACACGATGTGGTAGCCTCGTCCTCAAGAGATATATCATTATTCAGGTCTGTGTAGCTGCTCTATCATCACATTGTATAAGCCCTCAAGCTACTGATTCTCGTTGCCAGAATATATGGTATTCATGAAACATGCCAAGAAACATTATTGGAAGGATCAGTAATTTTGCTCGAAATGGGCAGGTATTGACAGCTCACCCGAGAGGATGCAGACCTGGTGGAGTCATCCTTCCTGCCTAGATTACCTTCTCGCCCAATTAAGCCTGCGTGTGAGTGAACAGCACGGAAATTAGTGTGAGTGGAGCCTTCGAAACTCCCTCGTGTTTGTGAAGACGCCGCATATAAGCTGCACAATATCTGAGCTAGTCTTTATGGCTACAATGCAAGTGGACGATTCATATCGACAAGCCTTGCCTCACGGACTCCTCGCATACGGGGGTTCCGGACCGGTGAAGTAGAAAGCATGATTTCACCCGCTTGTAATAATTCGGTGACGCAGGCAACATATATTTAGATACTCACTTACCCGCGCTTCAGTTCTTGGATTGTCTTCGGCCTAACCATCCATGAAGAAGGAATTTAAGTCACAATGAAACCTATTTCCTTCTGGCCCTTGCTGGCCGCTCCTGCAGCGTCGTCAAATGAATTCAGTGCCAATGATTCCACCAAGACGCCTCCAATAGTATCCACTACCTCTGGGAGAATACATGGGAAAGTCGATCCAAGCCTGCCCAATGTCCATCAATATCTCGGTATTCCTTACGCCCTGCCGCCTATAGATGCAAAGCGTTGGGCAGCACCAAAACCTCTCGACTTGCCCGACTCGGACGTTCAGGCTACGAATCTGCCGCCAAGCTGTCTGCAGTACTTCAACCATTCACCTATTAATACGGAAGTCGTGCCCGAGTTCAACCTCCAGGGCCTTAATGGGACTGGCGCAATCAGCGAAGACTGTTTAACACTCAGCGTATGGACCCCTGCCAACACGACAGCATCATCTGAGGGCGTACCGGTCCTCATCTGGGTCTATGGCGGCGGCTACGGTGTCGGCTCCGGCCAGGATGTGCCTTACCAGATACCCGCTCAGTGGGTAGACAGGACCCCGGACCACATTGTGGTCTCATTCAACTATCGTCTGGGCATCTTTGGATTTCCCAACGCCGGCGGTCTCACAGACCAGAATCTCGCTCTACTCGACACACGCGCATTAGTGGAGTGGTGTCGGAAGAACATCGCCGCGTTTGGAGGTGATCCAAAGCGGATTGTCTTGTGGGGTCAGTCGGCAGGATCTTTAATGGCCAATCACTACGGCTTTGCATACCGTGACGACCCCATCGTCACGGGTCTGATCATGAACTCCGGGACGGCGTTACTCCCATACTACACAGTTAACGACACGTCAAGGTCTAACTTTACATTTGTCGCCGACCACGTAGGCTGTGCTGGTCTTGCAGACGAACCTGACAAACAACTTTCATGCATGCGCGATGTCAACGGCAGTGTTATCATCGATTTTGTTGCGAACTATTCGACAAGCATTGGAAGTGGAGGATTGACTGGGCTTGCTTTTGTTCCCGTTGAGGACAATGTCTTAGTCTTTTCAAACTACACAAAGCGAGCCATGGATGGATTGCAAGCTAACATAGTAAGATTTTTGATTCCTATTCACACCTCTCTAACATGCTTGTCTCCTTCAAAATCTGACTGCTGGAAGCCCGCAATCGTTGGTACAAACGCCCAAGATGGTATCTTGTACGCCGACTACGACCCAATAAATGGCCCAAACACAACCGTAGGCCTAGAGTGGGATCTTCTCCTCTTCTCCTGCCCGGCAACCAACACAATCCGTCTTCGACAGCAGACGGGGCTTGTGACCTTCCGCTCCGTGTACTATGGCAACTTCAGTAATGTGTCCCCGCTGCCGTGGATGGGGGCATACCACGGCTCGGAATCGCCCATACTTATGGGCACACATCCGAATTTCCGTGGAAATAGCACTCCTGAGGAGTATGCAACAAGTCATGCGTTCCAGGATGCATACGTGGCTTTCGCTAGTGACCCTGAGAACGGCCTAGCTGGGCAAGGATGGAAGCAGTACACGACTCTGGGGAGTGATGAGGTTAGAGGGTTTGGTAGAAACGGGGTAGCGGCGGAGGATGTGAGTATTGCGTCAACGGAGTCACTATGTGTATGAAATGCTGGGCAGACCGTTACGTACACCACATGAGTTGTGAAACAATGAATTTCGAGATTCGCATAGGTCATAATTTTACAGGTAGAGTTTTCGAACTCAAGCTACACATGTTCTTTGCCTTTTGACTAGAGGCACAACGCCATGACATGCTGAAGAGATGTACCACGTATTCTTGCTAGAGTAGCACAGACCATGTGAAGATAGATAGATGTCAACCCTCAAATCACTTTTCTTGGCCCTGAAGCGGCAAGATGATCAGCTATCATCTCATCCGCCATGTACCTGCCCAAGTGACCTTGATATCACAGATTGAATGGCGCTCTACCAGAATTATTGAGTAGAGACTGTTGGAAACAATCACCAAAAGCCTTGTGTCAGAAGATATACTTCATGACTGTCAGCTGCTCTGGCGTAATAATGACACTCGTTATATCAAGTTGTACTTACTGGGAAGAAAAGATACGGCACCTCCTTTTCGTACTGCGTCCAAGCTGCTCCATACTTTCTGCGGCACCGCTGAATGTCCCTGGTAGCACGATGAACGATCATGATCATGAAGAAGACGAAGTAAAACCAGGGAAAGGGGCTCCTGAAATCTGAGTGTCAGTAGCTAGTTCTTCGTCGAAATTTGGAAATCCAAGAGCTATCAGATTGACTCACTTGAACCCAGTGATAAGGCCCCAGGACATTGAGAAGAACATATCTGGCACATAGTTCGGCTTCCGCACAATGCCGAACCAGCCATCCACGAGGATACGGTCTCCAGCATCCGTCTCGATAGTCTTGGGGTTCTCAATAACGACCCAAGGTACTTGCGGGAATGTGTTTCGCTTGATAAGCTGACCTCTCTCCTGCTGGCGGAACGAGTTCTTTTGCCCGTTGGACGAATCCCACATCCAGTACATGAAGAGATAAACGACGACTAGCGCAGACAAGGCATAGCGATTCCAGCGGTACTCGGACGGGTCGTTGTTTGCGAGGTAGAGAGCACAGTGACAGTACGTAAAGGGCACACCGGCCATGTTCCAGAAGGTGAGCATGAAGCCAAGCTTCTCCCAGTACATGTCCCTGCAAGGTGGAGTTAGAGACCAGCTAGAACATGGCGCCACACCAGAAGGGTGGAGAGGCAGAGCTTGCTCTACACTTACCAAGATGTGATGATCAACTGCTCTCCCTTTGCGCAAGCATTGGTGTAGAGGAAATGCGCCATAAGAAGGAACAGCACCTCGCCCGAGACATAGCCATAATCCTCATACTGGCGAGTAGCCACAGATGCGGTGATCAAGAACAGGATGAACCACGGGATTCGGACTTCATAGAACATCTTGAAGTCAAGAATTCCAATCCGTGGGTTTAGCTCGATACCCATGAAGAAGTCGTAAATAGGATAGCCGGTGGGACGGTGGGTTCGTCCCCTTACAATAGCTTGGACATAGACGATGAAAGAATTCAAGAAGCCGGAAATGATAGCCACCGTCATGATAGAGCCGAACTCATCGATCAGTGTGTACAGGGGAAAGATGCCGGTCAGGTGCAGGCCCGCGGCGATAGCGAGGGTCGCATACCAACTGGTGTATGCTGAGCAATAGTACGGCAGCTTCTTGCCGCCCTCGTGGCGCAGTGGCCGACCCTGGCTCATCACTCCGGGCATGTAGCAGTACCTTTCAACTTTTGCTTAGAAATTGCGAAAATACGAGAATGGATGATGACGACATACATGACAGCCTCTGTTAGAAAGAATGTCCAAAAGACGACCCAGGCCTTGGCCGTCGGATAGGCCCCTTCATAGACGAGTTGAGCTAGATGACGGGCAAAGTCTCCCCAGGTTTGACCAGAAGCCGGCAGAGGAAGTTGGCCATTGTAGTAAGTTGCGCCAATCCACATGTACCACATCACGAGAGGGAAGCTGATCATCAGCGCTGTGACGCCGAGAGAACCTCCAAACTCGAATTCATCGGACTCGCCATCTGTGTACTTTGAGGTCTGGTTCTCGACTGCCGAATTTTTCGACTTTTCTATCGGCGCGTTTCGGCTTCTGCTTCTTGCAGCACCCATGTTGCTGAAATCGGTGAAGCACCTAATTAATTATGTAGAACGCGTCGGCTGGGTATATTCCGGGGCAGGCGAGGTCACTATTCTGCTGTCTCGGATAGTGCAAGAGCGTAAATATGCTTGAAATTCGAGTTGATTCGTCTACCGAACAGAATAGCTTGATGAACAGGCGAGTGGTCGGTATTTATTTTTTGGTCTCAACTTGATGAAGTCAGGCTATAGCTGCCAGCTGGCGATCTAGCAGGGACACCCCTTTCTCGCGCAACCCGGCTTGAAATTCAAGCCTCATTTCCGGAACCAAGATGGTCGCATCAGGAACGTCAACGACACGGCATATGAAATGCGGCATTAGGAAGGGAAATTTACAGCGAGCTTAGTTGGGATCACACGCCGGCACTTAGCAGCCCTCGTAATTGTGGGCTGAGAAGCTGAAAGCGAACCAATCGCTATCCACATAGTTGGGGTCCGCTTTTCCTCTTCTGGCGCGGCTCCTCTCCTTTAACTTCGTGGCGGCAAGTCAAAGCGATTCGCTGAGCAACCTTCTCTCTCATCAAACCATATTCACGCCAACGCCCGCCCTCCTGCAAGGCTATCGGGAATTGTCCTGTACCATGCCACCACCCAAGAAACGACGCACGAAATGCTTCACTGGGTGTTGGACTTGTCGATCTCGTCGAGTCAAGTGCGATGAGTAAGTGAGCGAATACCCGTGAAGCCTTCAACATCGGGCGCCTTACAGAACACAAACACCAAACAAGACGTTTTTGACTTACACGCCCTGCAGGGAGACTCCGTCATGTCTGCGCTGTCGTCAGATGGGCCTCCAATGTGAGGGTTACGGCATGAGGCTGACATGGGTGCCATACAACCCTCTTGCAGACGTCGACGATCAAGAATCCGCCGATGACCTGCCCCGGGATCGCAGAGCATCGAGACGCTCCTTGACGCCCTTTGGAGTGGCGCCCGCTATCCTCCGTCTAGACTCTCCGGAGCTCGATTTCGCGTTGACGCAAATTGATGAATGGTCCCCTAAGGAGTTTCCTCGGAAGTCATCTGGACTTGAGAAAGGGGGGTTTTCGGTCTTCTCGGTCGGCCCCTCCAGACTAGGAATCTCGGAATCGGATACTCGTCATCTCGGTACGGCATCTGACCGAGATCGTCTCCAATTGCCAGAATATGGCTCAACGCCGGCAGATACCCCCGGCGCTCTTTCCGTCACCAATCTCACCGACACTACAGGTTCGGCTGCTGCAGTAGCAGCAGATGACGCCAGGATCCCGTCTTTTGGGAACTTTTGGGAGGGCTCAGTCACGGCCCAACCCACCCCTGTTCCATCTAGGGTACCAACCCGCATTTCTTTCATAGATACTGTCTCAGCAGCTCAACCAGCCTCACCACTTCACTCGGACTATGGGAGTCGCGAAGGGTTGGATCGAGAAGCTGCAGTCATTGCCCAGGATAGGCTTCGTCAGGACCTTATACAGGCTCCGCCGCGTCATCTAGATGCTATGTCCATGCCGTCTAAGCAGAAGCGGCTCATACATCACTGGGTCACTTTCACCAGCAGGAAGATTGTACTCTTGGACGAGCCGCACAACCCTTGCCGCACTATGATGCTTCCCATGGCACTGAAAGGCCTCGTTTCCAAGGCGGAAGATTCTAATGCCGATGTCGCTATATTTCATGCCATCTGCTCGGCGGCTGCTTATAACCTGTTCGAGCTCAGTGGGAGAACTACGGAACAAGATCATGTTCTGGCTTTGTTCCATGACAGCGAGGCCATTCACCATCTGCGGAACAATTTGACACGAGCCGACGAGCATCAAGACCAGTCTTTTGCGATGGCCATAATGGCCTGTATTGCCGTCGAGGCTGTCTCCGGCACGACCCAACGATGGCGCACCCACGTGTCTGGCGGTCTGGCCTATCTCTCTAAACTACAAGCCCGTGGTGTGGATGAGACCGCACTGTCCGCCTTTAGACAGCACATGGTGAAGATGGCTATACTCTGTGACTTTCCCGTCTCTGATAATCTCAAGTCTTTCTTGAACGACGACGGTGGATCTGCAAGTGGCCTTGAGTTCACCTTTCCGTACTATGGTGTCTCGAAGGCCACGCTACAAGCCCATGCTCGTATTAATCAGCTGGCCACTGCTTCCTCCAGCGGCAAACCGGCCTCCGAGAAGGAACTCGACGCTTTTGAGTTGCAGCTTTATCTCCAGTTCCCAGGTCTACCGCCTCAATTATTAATCGCAGACGCGTCCAAGCTCCACGCCGCCGTTGTTCATCATACATCTACGGCTTTCTATTATGCGGGATTGATATTCTTTCAGAGAAGTATTCGGGGCTCTCCAGTGGCTGCAGTGCAAGACCTAGTGGAACTTGGCGTGCAGGAACTGGAATCAATCGAGCTTGTTGGCAAAGGGAAGCTGGGCTGTATGATGTTGTGGCCTGCCCTGGTGCTCGGCGCCGAGTGCAACACCCCCAATTCTCAGGGACGGATGCGAGCCTGGTTTCAAAGTCAGCGGAAACTGGGCTTCAGGAATCTAGTGGTCCTGGAAGACCTCATTACCTCACTCTGGAGTGCTCGGGCTGATCCTGATGCCCATAATGAAGAGGCCGATTGGCGAGAAATGATTGCACAGCCGCGATTTGATGTCTTCCGGCTTTGACTCAGGGGCTACAGGTAGATCTCTCTTGGTGCTCGCTTTGTCATAGATAGAAGTTTGGAAGCTTCTGGCTCCCATGTCAGCATATCGTGCCTGAATCCCCACAAATAGCACGTGCGAACTGCCTGTATCGCCGGCAGCATTGAGGACGCAGCTGGCCTCGGCCCAATGGTAACCCCCGATTTACTAGGGCGAAAACAGATTCTCTTTTTACAGGGACGCGCCTCGTCAAATTTATCAAATCTCTACTGTCTCTGCCTCTGTCTCTGACTCCTGCCTTTCTACGCCCACAGCAACCTCAAGTTCGTCTCGGTCTGCTCTTCGTGGAGACCACTTCTCTGACCCAGATTGTACCTGGCACCCTTCAAAGCCAATTCATTTGTTCTACTCCTCTCTGCCTATTTTCAAATCTCAATCTCACATGATCGCGGGCTCCAACAAGCTTTACATCGCAACGACTACGGAGTTCTACGACGCTGTCAACTTAAGTCGAAGCCTGATCTAGGTCTCAACAAAGTCAACGGGCTGCTCAGGGCTAAGCATGGCTACCGCATTCACAAGCCACATTCGGAAACAACAGTAGTCCCTGAACAACAAGAAGAATAACTATGGTATGATTTCTTGCTAATACAGCCTCTTCCTTCCACAATACTCACATTGAACAGACAAAGTCAACTACGTCTGAGATTGTCTCACCGACTCTTCTTGCCGTCTGTGACACGGCCGAAATTTGCAATCGCATTCCGAGCCCACTTCTTTCCATACGTTCCGACATCGACACCATCTCTCAACCTGCTGGCACCAACAACATGTTTTTGGCTCAGTTCGCCTCTCGTTTCCTTTGTTACTCACCAAATAATCCGAACGGAGGGCCGCAACTTTGATGACTTGACACAATTTCAAAGTTGCTCAGGGCCCACTCTGACCGATGGAGTTAGACCTACCCAGCAATCAGCTTGATTCACGGCAGGGTCTCCGTCCGAAAGGTGGCCTGGAAATTGCTTTGGCTCAAAGTAGACTAAATACAGGCTCAGGCGGATACCATTTAGTCGACTCATCGAGGCTTGCCATGAATCAGCCTAACCGCCCCATACTCGGCCTCGTACAGTAGGTCTCCAGCCCATGACTACTGCGGACACGTTCCACAGTCAACCGCTCTGGTGCTGTTACGTTCTGAATCAGCTTATTAGGAGACGGGCCAGAGCTTCGGGGAGGGAGCGACTACCACCTTTTCTCGTTATATTTCGCTTGTTATCCAAGCCCATATTAACAAGACGCCACACATGATCCCGATCATATCCGACCGAAGACTCCTCGAGCTCGACTATGTGTGCGCAGCCAACTGCGTTGCGTTCTCGCAACCACACAACGATCCGATCGATCCGCGATTGACTACCTAATGGGGCGACTGAGCAAGATGAAGCAAATCAAAGCTGCTGTGTCTAAGCTGTGGCTTTTTGGCACAAAAGCAGGACAGTGTGCCTGTGTGGACAACAGGCCAGGAATTCCAACTTGAAATTCATGGACAGGATGGCATGTAACATCACTCTGAGTGTAGAGTTGGAGCTCTGAGTCCAAGCTGAGGATCGGTCAGACACTTACGCACCAGTTTCCTCGCCTAGTACCATCGCAGTCTCATTGGACCACCCTAATTACAGCTTCACTCAAGGCAGGAAGCTGCTCACCTTGTGAGGAGGACAATCAGCGGGGCCATATCTCGACATGTGGTCGTTTGTAACGTCTCTGCCCAAATCGAGGTGGAGGATTTCATTGTGTGGACTGTGGCGCAGGTTGATAGTGTGGTAACTCCCAACAAAATCGGAGGCCACTAGCTTGGTTGCGGAAAGACAGTCCAAAGCCACCACATGAGAAGTTACGTCTCAAGACAAGCAATTCGAAGACCATGACCTGAGAAATACTTGAAATCACGGGGAAATCTCAACCATTTTTCAAAACCCGGGTAAGCACCTCGCTCAAATGCAATGCGGGCCGGCCAGGTTGCAGTTGCTCATGCTAGGATGGGGGAATGGTAGCCCAGACGCGAATTTCGCCTGAAATTAAAGCAAGATGCCGGCAATGGCGCTGTTCCGACAGCACGAGGAAAGCACAGCGAAGAATATCGACGATTTGAAGAGAAAGCTCATCAACAACTGACAGACTGTCACAATCAACGACTACCAGCAATACCACACAGATCACAGCTGCCACCATATCACGAATGCCCCTAAGATAGTCTCCACACACAGTAATTAGCAGCACGTCGTGTATAAAAGCCACAGCAAAACTATCACTCAATGCATAGACACGGTGCAGCTTGATGTTACCTCAGTGGCAAGGCACAATGTCTCTTCGGAGCTCGTATCAAGTGCAATAGGTGTCTATTCATCAGCGACACCATCTCGACGCATCAGTACGTGCTTGACGACCGCCGTTGTTAGATACGGGGGTGTAGGATGACGCATTGCCTTCGAGAGGTGGGTTTGCGGAAGATATACATTCCTGTTCGGCCCACTCTTGCTGATACTATTGGCCTGAGTTCTGCCGCCGCCCGAAGTATCAGGGAGACAAATACTACTCTTGCCAGCTACATCGTCAAGGAGGACCGAAGGGAGCTGCTCAGTATGAGGTTGTGAGGACAAATCAATGACAACGAGCTATCCATTGTTACCAATATTTCCATTCCGACGAGTTGGGCACGTGCTTAGTAACCCCTCCGCCGGCATAGGTGTGGATAACTGGGGTCTCGGGAAGAATGCCGAGCAGAGCATCCCGCCCCGGTCCCGGATCGATCTACAGCACCAGACCCGCCGTTGGTCTCGGAGCTCCATGGAGGGGTAAAATGTATCTACAAGTCAAAATGATTCTTGGACAGACCGAGTGAACAAACAATCATTTGCGGAAAAAAACATTAGAGTCTCCTCAAAGTGACACTTCTAACCGCCGTGCCTAGTTTTCGCAAGAGAATCCCCACAGTCACCGACCTTGCTTTAATTTTGTGTCTTATATCAGTCATCATGGGTTTGAAAACATCATCAGCAAAAGCAAAGCCACTCCCACCAGGTGTTTATACGCCAGTCATCACTATCTACAGCGATGCTGCTGATCAGCCCGTGGATTTGCAGGCTATGTATGCCCATGGCCAGCATCTAGTCAACAGCGGCATGCATGGCCTCGTCTACCTCGGCACAAACGGTGAGCTGGCCCTTCTCTCGGGCCCGGAGCGGCAACAAATCCTCCGCAACGCACGGAAAATGGTGACCGACATGGGTCTGCCCGATTATCCTATCGTCGCAGGCATCTCAGCGCAGAGCACAGTGGAGACGATCCAGCTTGCCAAAGAAGCAGGCGAAGCAGGAGCAGGCTGGGGCCTTCTGCTCCCCCCGAGCTACTGGGCCAAGGCCTTGCCAACGGAAGCACTCGTTGCGTACTACCGTGATGTGGCGGATGCTAGCCCTATACCTGTCGTAATTTACAATGTGAGACTTTCCTTAGATTGAAACCTATGCCTTATGAAGGAAAATAGACTCTAATGATCTTCTAGTTTCCTGGGGTGACATCGGGTATCGATCTGGACTCGGACCAATTAGCCGCGCTGGCCTCCCACCCTAACATCGTGGCCACAAAGCTCACCTGTGGAAACGTGGGAAAGCTCACGCGGCTAACATCCAAGTTTGAGCCTCCTCACTTTGGCGTTTACGGCGGTAGCAGCGACTATCTGCTGCCAACGCTGCATACAGGCGGCAATGGTTGTGTTACCGGCATGGGCAACATCTTTCCCAAATCCACGTCAAGAATATATGACTACTGGGCAGCTGGACAGCTGGACAAGGCTAGGGAGTTACAAGACCTGGTTGCCAATGCGGAGTGGGCCTGCAAGAAGTCCTTGGCATGCACTAAGTACGGTGCCTGGTGGTACCTTGGCAAGCAGTTGGGCATAGAAAATGAGCAGCAGTTCAAGATGCGAAAGCCGTATCTGGAACTGAAGCCAGACCTTAAGAAATGGACAACAGAGACTTTATCGGTCTTGGAGGAGATGGAGAAGTCTTTGCCTGGCCGGCAGGTCCCTAATTAAATACCTGCTTGAGCAGTAGGTGATAATATTATCGAATATAACAAACTTGGCAATTTTCATGGCTAGAGAAGTCGAAAGCATGTGGAAGATAGCAAAGTCATGACCCTTACAAATGTGCTGCCCATGTTTCCGCATCTCCAATGGACAAATGCTGAGATTTCGATTGTCTCATGAAACAATGGAACTTCAGCAACAGACTCTCCCCAGTTTCGAAGACGGCACGAAATTTGGCATCTCCGTGAAGCACTCAGACCGTAGAATGTCCCTATGTTTCAATGCAACACACAGGTAAGCAGGGCCCATCATTGTCATTGATATTGATTGCTCGGATGAGTCTACGCATTACTAACAAATTCCTCAGCATCTCGAATGTAAACATACTTGATGTTCCTCCGATGGTAGGTGTAAGCCACATGCACCCCATTCTGTCCCTTCCCATCCACTAAAATACTGGGATAACTTAATTCCCTGTTCGTGCGCTCCTTGGAGTTGTTTGTCATGCAGAAACCATCGCCGTCCTCCAAAACTCTCCATTTCCAAGTTTTACCATGATCCTTAGACAACGCAACCGACAGTAACTTTCGCGGCGTGCCCCATATGGCCACTTTGCTCCCCATGCCCGGTTGATTGCTCCTTGTATCTTCTGCAGGTGTAATGTCGTCGTAGAGCCCCTCCCTTCTTTGCATCTCTGGATTGGCTTTCGAGTCGTTGAATATCATCACGATGTCACCACTGGGCAAAGCCGCCGCACCAATTCCTGAGTTTGGATTTGGCAGTGGAGTCTTCTCAAGGGCACTCCATTCAAGCCCGTCTTCTGAAACGGACCGATAAACTTCATCAGCCCACCGACTCCTGAAGAATGCCACATAGGACCCTGTACTCGGTATCCGTATGATATTCATGTGCACGCGTCCCACAGAGTCAGGGACCTCCTTTTCGAGCCAAGTTCGACCCCCATCGTGCGTGTACAATATCGCAGACACGTCGTCATTACCGACCCACCTGAAGCCAGGCGGTGTACGGCAATACCAAATAGGTAGCACCCACGTTCCTCCTGGGAGTACTACCAGAGGCTGTCGAACGAAGACGCCTTTCCTGCCCGGGAACGGCTCAAAGGGTGCAGACCACGTGCGTGCGTCGTCGCTGGACGTACGAGCGATCACCACCGCCTCGTCCTGGTTGCCAAGGGGTTGCGCGGTGTGGAAGAGCCAGATGGTGCCGGTAGCAGGGTCTCGGAACAAGACAGGGTTCTGCTCGCTGCGCTCCTTGTCTGCAGATACCCGCACTGGTGCTGACCAGGATGCAGTAGAGCCGGGCTCGAGCCGAGAGAGATAGATCGAGATGTCATGTGTACCCTCTTGCGTTCCACCAAACCAGACGCAGAGGAGTGTTCCGTCTGGAAGTTCGAGAAGGTTGGACGCGTGGCATTGGACCGTTGAGGCTGGTAGGTCGTCAACCCGAGTCAGCGCACGGCTCTTGGTGTGTGTATCCGTCGAGGTGACGGTATTGGTAATGGTCGACATTGCCTTTGGTTGCGCTAGAGTCTGACAGCAATGCTGAAGTAGGGAGCCTAGATCTTGAGTCACCTGAGAAGAGGCTGATTTGCTTGGCTTATCAACTTTGTCATCAGCGAATGGCCGGGATATCTATCTTCACGGCGCAGACTTCCCGGAAAGGCTGGGAGGCTTTTGAAGCGGTTGCTAATTCCTAGCCTAGCCTAGCAGAACAGCTCTCCGCGTTCGCGTGCTTTTTAGGACACGGGATTCTCTCCGAGTCATCTCTGTGGAGCTAAATCACGTTCAATGCCGCTCCCCGCATTCACTGTTCACCCCAGATCTTGGCATATCCGGGGTTGATCTGGGGAAGTGGAGCAAAGCCGGGGCTGGACTCAGGTCAACGACTCAGAGTTATTGTATTAAGCATGAGCCTCCTTTAATCGCGTAGTCGCACAAGTTCCCGTGCTCCTCTTCATCTAGTTAAGGTCAGTTCGCAAGCCTGCGAGCTTTGCTTCCACCTATATCCTTAACTTCCCTCATCTGCGACGATGGTCTAAGGATCAAGTCAGCCTCCAGCCATTCATCGAGACCGAGCTTTGACTCGAAGCAATCAATCTTTCTCTTTCCATCCACCTTGTCCTCTTCTGACGAGGTAGAACATCGTTTAACCGACGGAATGGGTGGCGGCACGTCGATATGGGCCTCTCCAGAATGGAAGTCCGACCCTCAAGAAATCTTCAACCGGAGACTCTTCTACCTAGCAACAACAGTTGCTTTTGCTGGGTGCTCTTATGGCTTTGATCAGGGCAACATCGGGGGTGTCCTGACTCTCCCAAGTTTCAAGAAAGCCTTTGGCTTAGATGTCCTCTCTGAGAACGAAGCTGACCAAAGAGGTATGTGCGTGCCACAAGCTACCCAAGCAAGCATGGAGGACTCTTTAAGATGCGAATTACTGACGAGGTTTCTGCTTGCAGCCGGAGACATTGCCGCCATGCGTTCGTTTGCAATCCCCTTCCCCTGTCCACACACACAAATACGAATGTAATCTCACAACACAGTATAGTGGCTGCAGGCGGCTCAGCAGGCGCGCTGATAGCGGCACCCTTCGCTGATTTCCTCGGGCGCAAGAAATCAATGATTGTCTTTTCAGCCTTGTTTCTCATCGGTGCAACGATGCAAGAAATCGCCCACCTAGGTGTGTTCTATGCCGGCCGCTTTATTGCCGGCCTGGCCATCGGGGGGACTAGCATGTTGGCACCGCAATACCTCGGCGAGAACTCTCCAAAGTCGATCCGTGGCTCTCTGACAACGTCGTACAATTTGTGCATCATACTGGCCCTGAGGTGAGTTCTGTCACTAAATATGCCCCACACAAGATCAGCATTAATTGAATCGTCTCTGCAGCTTGGCATTCTGGACAAATTATGGTGTATCGCTGTGGCCTACTTCGAGCAATTTGCAGTGGAAGCTTGCCCTGGGAATCCAAATCATACCAGGAGGTTGCATGTTTCTGATGTTGTGGTGTAAGTCACAAAGTCGACTTTCCGTGTTTTAGTGTCCAGTAACTAACGCAGCCCAGTTGTCATTGACACACCTCGGGCTCTGATCGCGAAGGGCAAGAGGGAGAAAGGCCTCGAAAATCTTTGCAAGCTACGAGGCCTCCCCTCTGAGCACCCGTACGTGGCTCAAGAATATATGGAAGTTTGTGCCCAGGTCGATTCCGAGCAAGAACTCACGAAAGGTAAAGTTGGAATGCTTTTACAACAGCTATTGAATGACAGGAGAATTTTCTTAATTGCTGACATTGTTCAGGGTCGAACTACCTTGTCGTCATCAAAGACATCGCCACGATACCGAGCAATTCCCGTCGTTTCTTCCTTGCGACGTTCCTGTTCCTTTTCCACAAATTCACTGGTACGGACAGCCTCAACTACTTTGCGCCGGAGATTTTCGAAATGATCGGGGTACAGTCAGGCTCCCTGTCTTTGTTGACTACTGGCGTATATGGCCTTGTGAAGCTAGCAACTACTGTGATCTATGTTGCCTACATCGTGGATCGCGTTGGGAGAAGGCGACCACTTCTGGTGAGTGCTCCCATCATTGTTCAGTACGGACTCGAACCTGATCAGAATTTCAAGGTTGGCGCAGTGCTTCAAGCGACGGCTATGCTGTACATTGCCCTCTATGTCAGGTTTGCGAAACCTGACTCTACCGGCGGCACCCCAGCTGGAGGCATTGTCGGTATAATTTGGGTGTACATATATGCTTTCGGATGGTAAGTTACGTCCTCTACGCTGGGCAAGATCACATCTCTGACCATATATGGGTTGCGCTTAGGTCCTTCGGATGGTCAGTTGCGCCTTATGTTGTGGCTGCAGAGATTTTCCCTGCACGGATACGCTCCTTCTCGATGTCAATTTGCTTCTTCATCAACTGGATTGTCGACTATGGAATCACCAAGGCCACTCCAAGCATGATGACCCATCTCGGCTGGGGAACCTTCCTCCTTTATGCGGTATTGACTTACATTGGCGCCGTGTTCGTGTTCTTTTGCATGCCAGAGTTCAAAGGCCGCTCGATTGAATCTATGGACGATCTCTTCCAACACTCTATCTGGACAATGTGGCGACACGCTTACCCGACGGAGGAAGACAAAGTTCGTCACGATGTGCAAGAGCATATACTTCAGAAGGGACGAGATGAGGAGGAGGTTCAACCGGAGGCCAAAAAGTCTGATATCACAGTCATCCACCAGGAATAATGTCTGAATCAAGGCAGCGTAGTATTACACAAGGTGATACTTATTTGAATGATTTTCCAAGCGTCTGGATTTATATAACTGAATGTATCAATATACATCGTGATTTGAAGCTCCTTTTACATTTGGCCTGGAAGTTTCAACATACAAATATACAAAAAGCTCAACAGCAGTTATTCGCATACACATGAAGTGACGGGGTGGGGTGACTTCCTATGACCCAGCCTCCACTTCCTAGGTACATAAGTATGTAGTTTTGAAAGATCAGATAGACCGAAAGTCCGTCGCCCCCATAAGACATTAGTAGAGACCAAAAGCATATCCCTTCAAGTTCTGTTGTCTTTTAGGCTCGAGGTAGATACGTGCCGGATTGCGTCTTACTTTGCGCAGGAAACTATTGGACCGGGACCTAAGCGATTTCGATGTATTCAGGGGTTCCTACGATGCCCCCTGAATTCCACGTTCGCTCCCTGCATCTTGATCAAACAAGATGTCACATAAAAAAAAAGGTCTAGGCTCAGCGAGATGTTTTGATATTCACGAGTCAAATCAGCACCGAGATTAGTATCTCGCGTTGAATGGTGGACGGTTGTTTTCGAAGTTAGTTCCAACCTCGGCAGGGTTCCCCAGCCGGTGGGGTCCACCTAAGGGTGTAGTGTGGAGGAGAAAAGAGGAGATCTTCGCCGCATGGCCCCCACATGTGCCTCACAAGATGCTGTTAATGCTCCCCCTCTTTCTGTCCCCTTGCGAGTCGTAACTGTTCCGTGTTTGTTAACTTTTCTGCGTTGCACGCCAGAAGAATGGCCCCAACCAAGCGCTCCTGGGAGGAGGCGAATGCGGGCTCCGACCTCGATGCCGCCAGTGTGCTGCAGGGTAGTAGTAGCAGGCATGGGTCGCAGCCCACGCGTCCCCTTCACGTTGCTGCGGCGGCCAGCGATGCATCAGCAACGTCGCCAACAGGTGCGGTCCCCGCGTCACAACATGCCAGCAATGGTGGCATGGGTGGATCGGCCTCTCAGCATGTTCCAATGATCTCACGGAAGATCCGCGCATGTGCCAGCTGCCGCAAACACAAGGTAATACCCAGCCAATCGACGTCTTTCTAGTCTAGAATTGGGTCTCATATTCTCTCTGCAGATCAAATGTATCATGGACGAAAATGCCGGGCCTCCATGTAAGAGATGTGCCGAGAAGAACCTGGTAAGTAATTAATGTGCAATTTTTAGAGATCATTGAAAACCTCTGGACCCGTGGTTGAATCTCACACGGAACGGCGCTTTAGGGTTGTGTGTTGAATAAAAGTATTCAAACTCTCATTACTGAGAGGTCAAGGTATGGACTGCGGAAAACCACCTTTACCATCGTCAATATTTGGATGGACAAATGACAGTCCACGCCTCGACTGGTCACTGACATTGCTTCATGATATATAGATCATCTTTGGCAATGGTCCATGACTTGGAAATCATCCACGCAAGTCTTGACGAGGTCCTGAAGACCTTACAACTTCCTCAACTAGCAAAGCTTCAAAGCCCCACACAGATGTTGCTGTCTCCGAGTTACGAGGAGCATTCAGAAGCTCGCATTCCTGATGAATTTGGATTATCCCGGGATAGTTCCCCAAAGCCTTCCCCGGAAGACGAACACGAGCTTCCAAAGGTCCCTATCAACTCCGTATACCAATTAACAAAGCTTCGAGCCCTACGTTCTCCAGATCATCTCGAACAGAACGAAGCACCAAGGCACCCCTCAGCAAAAGTAGATGACCTCGTTTCCAGAGGGATTCTATCGGTTGAAGATGCCGAGCGTCTCTTCACACTATACAAGGACCACCTTGATCCCTTCATGTACGGCATTGGTGGACGATATGAAACATTGGAGACATTACGACATGGCAGCGGGATACTGACTGTGTGCATCTTTACTGTTTCTGCGCTGCATGATCCAGAAAGCGACAGGATATACGGAGGTACGTAATTCTTCCTCAATACACCTTCGCACGCGACCTATGTTGACACCTTACGCAAAGCATGTTACAAAGAGTGCCGGCGTCTGTTGGCTTCTTCTATGTTCGAGCGCCGGATCGACGCGGACTATCTGAGGGCAATGTGCATTGCTTCGTACTGGCTTTCCGACATAAGCTGGGAGGTCTCAGGCTGTGCGATAAGAAGAGCGGCTGAGTTCAATCTCATTAGACATTTCAAAAAAGCGACAGAGGAAGGCAGCGAGGACTCGGCGGATTATGTGCGACTATGGTACGTGCTTCACATCTGCGACCAGCATTTATCAACACTATATGGACGGCAACCTATTATCCGAGAGGACTTGGCGATCCAAGGCTGGAAAACATTTATGGCTCAATCTCCCCCAAAGACCATGTCAGAAGACACCCGGCTAGCCAGTCAAGTGGCATTGGTAAACATCATCCACGCCATTCGTGACTTATTTGGGCCGGACACTGGCGACCCGGTCCCTCAAGTCTACTCGATGCAAATCACACAATTCTCTCGCCAACTCGATCAGTGGGTTGGTCATTGGTCTGGAGCAGTGATAGGTATATGTCCAACCCGGTTTATCGTTCATAAACCAAAGGAAAGTTGCACTCTGACTTACTCAATGGCAGAGCACCACGAACGAATTGGGACTTTCCCCCGCAAGGGAGTCCTCCTGCACTTCCATTTCGCCAAATTACATCTTTACTCCCACGTCTTCAGGGGTCTTCGCAAAAATCCAATCCCCTCATACTTCTTGGAGCCAGCCTCCTCGGCAGCGGCAGCAGCGACTGCTATCATTGACCTCCTGATTGCAGATGCTGACATTCAGCCGGCACTCGCAGGGATGCCATCCTATATGCATTCAATGTCAGGCTTTGCCTGCATGTTTCTTGCTAAACTTGCCATGATCCATGGCGACCAATTAATCGAGAGGCAAAAAGTCGTGGATTCAATCACACGACTCGCGGGGTTCTATCGGTCGACACCAGTAGGAAAGTGGCACTTGGTAAATCTTATGGCTGATGGCTTGGACAAGATTGTGGAGACACTGCGGGCAACCGGAACATCTATGTCAAGCGCACAGCCTCGTCTCGAATTGGCAACCGCCGAAAGCGAAGGAGGAGACTTTGCGAGTCTCATGAACCCTGGCTTCTCTGGCGAGTCTGCTTTCAGTTTTGACGCAAACTTTCTACTTGATAGCAACATGAGTCTCGGGGCCCCAGAACTGATGTATTTCAGCAACGGCACTAACATGTCTGGGATGACTGACAACTTTAGTCCTGATAGTCTCTGATTTTTTCGGGCATAGCATGGTGGATAAAAGTGGATTAAAAGCAGTAAATTGTTCTTGTGTACTATATGCCGGTCACTAGAGCAGGTTGTAATGAACACTATGTAATTAAACCACATCGGGTCCTAGGGAAGGTTCAGTGTTTCGATGTGCCGGGGTATTACTGGATGGGTAGACCAATTTTGGAGTCAAATATAATGTCGTGTTGACATTACTCCCCGGCTCACCTTTGACAAGAAGCAGACAAGACATGATTACCGCAAGCTCTCGGCATATTCATTCACAGTTTCCACTAACGTACGGTCCGCCACCAAGCCCAAGCCTTGTGCTCTCGATGTGTTAAATCTAGCAGGCCAACTTCCCACAATAGCTTCAACTTTTGGATCTCTACTCTCTTCGATCAACCCGACTGCCTGGTTTCCTCCTACCTTCTCCACAGCATCTAACATTTGTTGAACAGTCACAGTTATTCCGGGAAGGTTGAGGACTCTGCTCAAGCCAAACTTCTCTTTGGGTACATCTTTGACCCTGATGAGGTTTGCGACCACAGTCTTGGGGCTGCAGACCCACATTTCGAGATCGCGTGAAACGGGGAGGACACTCTTCTTGCCTTGCAGTGGCTCCCGAATAATGCCACTGGCGAAAGAGCTGGCTGCTGCAGATGGGGCACCGGGCCTGACGACGACAGTCGGAAGTCGGACAACACGTCCATCAAGGAGACCGCGCCTCGAAAAGTCGTTCAGATACGTTTCCACCATCAGCTTTTGAGCGCCATACGAAGACTGCGGCAGAGGGTTTGTGGATTCATTTGTGACGTCTCCGGAAGCAGTTGGTCCGTACACGGCTAGCGAGCTTGGAAATACCACCACAGTTCCAGGATGATGTATCCGCAGTTGGTCCAGAATGGCTCTGTCGGGGCGAGTCAGCGTCTTGCGTGTTTGGGAGACTGGACCAGCTAACAGGCAGAGATATCTTACCGGTGACTATCCCAATTCACCCGCCATCCGAGCTCCAAGTTGGCTTCTGCTCCACCGGACATCAAACCATGTAGGAGGTAGACCGCTTTGAAAGAGCCTGAGAGGAGAGACGCTACGGCAGACGGTTGAGTCAGGTCGCTGCTCGTAGCTGTGACACGGTTTAAATGTTGCGAAACCGATGAAGGAACCGGAGGTTCTATGACATCGGTCAAAGTCAAGGTGATGTTCGGTGATGATTCGAGCAGCGCTGCTGCTAGAACTTGTCCGATGAAGCCGGCTGCGCCAGTAATGAGAATCGCCTCATTTTGCGGCATTGTGCTGATGCGCTAGTTGAATGTTCGGACGAAGTTTTGTAAACAACTGACGAGAATACGACTTGGAAAAGCAGCGCAGGATAGTTCTCGTCTTTCGGCTAACACAAACTGATATGTGAAAAAATTATAAGCAACCATTGACATATTCACCCACCTACCACATGACATGTCTGTACAACGACCTAGCGTTTCGCGTTAGTCATCATTGCAGACTGGCTAGGGACAGGCTCCTTGCAAGGCCGAGCCATTGTATGTAAGGATCGGCAGTCATCAACGTTGGGCGCTCGTCTGCCGGAGAGAAAGCCGAGACGGCGTCGGAACCGGACGCCCCACCCGGTTGACCCTGTGCAGGGGCAACTGCCATGCAACGGCCGAGATTTACATCACGGCGTACCGAAATATGTGTTAGAAGTATACAATCAGTCCAATTCATGTCTTGTGTCTTCTTTCAGCAGTATCTCATATACGGCTGGCTACCTGAATAGTTGCGAATTCGCCGGACTCCTGTCAATGTGGCACTGAACACACGATTTGCGTCTCGTTAAACAGGATCAAGAAATGGAATACGCAAGGTAATGTCCTGTCAATCATCCGATTGCAGCAATTTTGTTAAATCCCAGTACAGACTTGGCAAAAGTGGGCTCAAGGTGTCCAAGATAATTCTTGGATGTATGTCCTTTGGTTCCAGTGAATGGGAAGGATCGCCATGGGTGCTGGATGAAGAGCAGAGTCTGAAGGTCATTAAAGCGGCCTGGGACGGCGGTATCAATACATGGGTAAGTCGTGAACATTTATCTCAGGATTTGATAGGCGGATGAATACTGGTTGCCGAAGTGGCTAATTCCTCGCAGGACACCGCGGATACCTACTCCAACGGTAAATCAGAGATCGTACTGGGAAAAGCGTTGAAGAAGTTCAACATCCCAAGGAGCAAAGTAGTCATCATGACAAAAATATTCAACCCCGTCATGGATGGTAACTCACGACCAGCTTCGATTAATGACGGCCCTTTGGTGAATCAAATGGGCTTGAGCCGGAAACACGTCTTTGAGGCTGTTGATCGATGCTTAGAGCGGCTTGGCACAGACTATATCGGTACGTATGACTTCTGGCGTAGCTCAAATTTCCTTCAACAGAAGTGGTTTGGTAGATTTAGAATGGCACCGCTAATTAATTGAGCAGACGTGCTTCAGATCCATAGACTCGATCGTGAGACAGAACCCGAAGAGATCATGAGAGCTCTGCATGAGGTTGTCACCAGCGGAAAAGTTCGTTACATTGGAGCTTCCAGCATGTACACATGGGAGTTTGCCCGCCTGCAGTACACCGCGAAGCTCCACGACTGGACTGAGTTCATCAGCATGCAGCCTTTCTACAACCTGCTCTATAGGGAAGAAGAGCGGGAGATGCTTCCTTTCTGCCGCGCCACTGGCGTCGGTGTTATCCCATGGAGCCCCTTGGCTAGGGGCATGTTGGCCAAACCAGTCAGTAAGGATGGGGACGATGCGCAGAAGTCAGTAAGAAGCAACACGGACTCCAAAACACAGAAGTGGTTCGCAGGTGCAAACCTGGACATCGTGGATGCGGTGGAAGCGGTGGCGAAGAAGAAAGGTGTTACCATGCCTTTGGTTGCTACGGCGTGGGTTTTGCACAAAGGATGCTCGCCGATTGTTGGCCTGAGCAGCGAGAAGAGAGTGAAGGAGGCTATTGATGCCCTGAAAGTGAAGCTTACGGATGAGGAGATACAATCTTTAGAAGCCGGCTATAGGCCTCGCAATATTGAAGGGATGTAGGAAGAACCACAGTCACACGGTAACCTTCATATCTAGACCTGATCATCACCCTTTTGGATATAATCGCACACGAATTGTGTCAACACTACAACATGGAATTGAGCAGTGATACAAGTTTTGTAGACTGTAGTCATCAAGGCACTACTCTACAAGCCTAGTACCCAGACTACCATGTGATATTCTAGAGTGGTGTTGACGTTTACGGTGAGCTTCCAAGACATTGAAATCCGGGTCTCTGGTGCCCATGAATGATACGTCTCCCAACATCAAGCTGAAAAGCCACAAGGATGTCTGTTCTGCATGATCTACATTACAGCCGTGCTTTATGTTGGAGTCCTAGCAAAGCAGGGAACCTCTGAGCTGACCGAATCAAGTGATCCACGTCAGCCGTGTTTAGGAACTCCGGGCCTGCTTGGTCCAGACTTGTTAGGCCACAGAGCTTCATTGAGACTTCGATCTCATCTTTCAAGACTGGAATATTTTTAGCACTCCATCAAACAGCCGCTTTTAAGAACTTGGACCTACTTTGGATGAGATGCTCAGCACCTTGCTGTCCGTACACTAGTGAATACAGGAACGGCCGACCAATGCCAACGGCTGTTGCCCCTAGAGCAATAGCTTTGAGTATATCTGTGCCTCGTTCGAACCCACCGTCCACGTAAACTTCAAGCTTGGAGAAGATCTCCGGACACTTGAGTCTTAATTGGAGAAGGTTCAAAATGGCTGGCTGGGAGCTAAATGGTATGTGTAAGTAAGAACCCATAAGGCATATGGTGGCTGGGAATGCTGGAACGTACGTATCCAAAGATCGACCGCCGTGGTTGCTCAAAAGAATACCATCAACGCCATATTCTACCGCGAGCTTTGCATCTTCGACACTTTGTACACCTTTCAACACTATCGGGAGGCCTGACTCCTCCCTTATCCATGCAAGGTCAGACCAAGTTAATGACTTGTCGATATACTGTCCCATCAGACGCCCTATACCGGCTCCCTTCTTGTCGTTGCTTGATGTGGCACCGCTTACTGCGGATTGAACTGCAGATTCGGTGGCTAGACGCTCGTCCGCCTCCCGCTTGCCCGGTACTGGCGCATCGACTGTCACAAAAATGGCTTTGATCCCCAGGCTCCGCGCTTTTCGGAGAAGATCTGTCGTTTTGTGGCGCTCAGAATTGACGTAAAGCTGGAAAAAGAACGGTTGTTGTGGTTTGCCACTTTGAACAATGGAAGACAACGGATAAGATGCATTATTTGATATCTTATATTCAGGTCTCAGTCCCATATTTTCGGAAGAGTAGCAAGGAAGTATAGTTGCGGGTGCTGCAGGTACTCACACATTGTATAATCCCTTCCTCGCCAGCCGCTTTCGCCAATGCGAGTTCGCCGTCTTTGTGTGCCAGTCTTGCCATTGCGGCTGGGCTGATAAAAAATGGGGCGCTTGTCTTGTGGCCCAAAATTGACCGTGTCTGATCTGTGTTCTTGACATCTCTAAGCACCCGGGGCTGGATCATGATACGTCTCAAAAATGCCTTGTTTTGGTGATGTGTGACCAGATCAGTTGCTGCGCTGCTATAAAAAGCCCAAGTTTTTCGAGAAAGCATTTTACTTGCGACTCCTTCGATATCTGCTGCGCTCAAAAGTGATTGAAGCGCAGGCAGAATATCTACAGACGAGTCCGCTGGTAAGTTGCGATCTCGCGAATTCTGAACCTCTTCGAGAGCTCCTGGAGGGGCCACATCGCTGGTGGCTTCAAGCAAAGACCCTTTGAATTTGTCCGGCGATAGATTTTCCTCTATGATCCCAGGTGCATGAACCTGGTCGTACTCAGATGTTGCATTTCTTCCAGCAACCGAGAGAAGAACTTTACATAGTGGCGTGTCAGCCGTTGCTCCGCTTGTTCATCTTTGAAGACAGGACAATCTCCAAAGTAGGGTGGGAAAATCGAGTCTATCAGTAGGCAAACGTAACATACTTTTCGCGCCTCCTGGATGCTCGTCCAGGAAATCTGTGAGATCCCAGACCTTGGAATGCACAGCGACCCAGCAATCTTGCCTTGTGCTGTGTTTCTCTAATTCAGTGCTCGAAATCTGCATTTCGTTCTTGGCGTCCATATTGTAGTGGAGTGGGTCTTTGCCTGCTTCATCAATTCGCACCTCATTCGATAGAATCAGAACGTTTCTGATGGATTGGCAAATTCATGTGTGGTTACGCGGAGATAACACCTACGGCCGTCTCAAATCTTCCCTAGTCGTAAATCGTGTTGATGGGGCAGTCTCACAACTCATCAGGGCCCATCGCCTCCGTGCCGGACCAATTCCCGGCTTGATGTCTGATCGGCTTTCTGCCCGAAGCTATTGGCAGCACGCCACCGAGCCTGTTCCGACTCCGCACTCGCCCGGCACTGACCCGAAGTACCTACGCAGACAGCCAAATTTTGTACTACCAGCAGATAAACTGCGCCTGTAAGTTCGGAGACGGACTAGGCATAATATAATTTTTATTGAGAAATATTGTCGACCTTCAAACTAGCGCCCTTGATACTGCGATAATGGCTAAGCCTATCGTGCTCCACATCGGTGACCCGATCAAATACAACCACGAATTCTATGAGAACGAATTCCTCAAGCGATTCGACATCAGACACAATGAAGATCTTGACAGGGCCTCATTCATAAAAGCCCTGAAGGACAAGAAATATGGCGAATTCTCGGCGATCTTTCGACCACATTTTCAAACGGGTGGAGAAATGGGACAATGGGACGAGGAGTTGATATCGCTTCTCCCTCCTTCGGTTCGGATCTTTGCTTCTGCCGGTGCAGGTTTCAACTGGGCAGATGTAGATGCATTGGGCCGTCGCCGAATCTGGTACGCAAATGGCGCTGGAGCCTCAGACGAGGCTGTTTCTGACACCGCCCTCTACTTCATCCTCTCTGTCTTCCGGAACTTCACCAGGTCGCAGATTGCTGCGCGGACTTGCGACCCGGAGGTGTTCAACGCCACGCACAAGCTTATTGCTACGATATCTGCAAACCCTCGAGGCCACGTACTGGGCATCATCGGTCTTGGTAACATCAGCAAGAAGCTGGCATACAAGGCAAAGACAGCCCTTGGGATGGAGATCCACTACTACGACGTGATCAGAGCGCCAGGGGAGATCGAAAATGGTTTGGGGGCGACTTTCCATTCTACGCTCCACAGCTTGCTCGCAACTGCGGACTGCGTCAGCTTGCACACCCCTCTGAATGCCCACACGCAGGATCTGATTAATGACGAAGCGCTTGCGGCAATGAAGCAAGGCGCTAGGATCATCAATACCGCCAGGGGCCGTGTGGTGAATGAAGAGGCTCTGGTAAGGGCCCTGAGAAGCGGCAAGGTATCTGCAGCTGCGCTAGATGTGCACTATGACGAGCCTCAGGTGTCAAAGGAGCTTGCCAAAATGGAGAATGTGACTCTGACAACCCATATCGGAGGTGGAGCTTTGGATACGAGGATCAATTTTGAGTTGAATGCTATGAAAAATATATTAGCAGTAGTAGGGGAGGATGGAAGCTGCATTGGCGAGCCACTGACCCCAGTGAACACAGATGCAGTAAAACGATAAGCTATGCCATTACTATGAGAATGGTCTCACCTTTAGTAATTAATTTTGAATTACGTAAAATGGTGTATACTAATTTGATTCTTCCGCCGACGAGGCCTCGAATCTGAAAGTACATCTTCAGTGTCAATTGCTCAGACATTGTTATGCCTTTTCAATCCTTTCCCTTGATCACAGCTTTGACAGTGCTATCGTTTCACTGACTTCGTAGAATCAACCTTAGCATCTTTTGTCATTATAACTAAGCTATATTATTCATGATTTGCCTTGGCTGTATATGATTTTGCGACGATGATTCGTTCACTTGAGGTCTAGCCTTACATTCCTGACTTTTTTCATGTAGTTCGAAAAACTCAGCAATATATTTCGGGCTCGTGAAAGAGGTATGCCGCTCGCAAATACAAATCCCCATCAACATCGAGTTCTCCATAACATTTTGGTAATGACATGCCGTTAATGAAACCGTTTTTGGTTGAATACACCGCCTTCACCTTTGCCTTTTGCTCTTATGATTGGCTCTAGCATCATCTATTCAACCTGTACACATCGCAGTCTTGGGTACGGTTCCATGTTATAGTGTCAACCACGTGGGCTACGTGACCAATTCATACTAGCAGGATAATCATGTGTCACTTTCATTGCTTTTTCTAGGATGACGCCTTCTCACTATGCATCTATCTCACTTCAAGTTGAGAAGGCTTGTCTGTTGAGGTGTTCAGGTCACTTGCCACCCAATTCTGATGGCGAAATAAATGGAAGTTAATGAAAAATCAGGGCCGTGCGGGAATTTAGGCACCCAATGCGCCAGCACTGGGTGACTCACAGCCAATCTAATTCACTGGTATACTATTCAAACTGGAAACGAGCATCGTCGCTGAGGATTAAAAAGATAGTAGAAAGGAAACGGTCACTGAAAATGAATGAGTTCGTTTTCGGCGGGTCTTGCTTCCTTTCGGAGCTAGCGCTCCATCGCGCGCTGATTTAGGCAGAGCATCATTGATGTGGGGCAGCAGGCAGCAGACACCAGTGAGCCTATATTTGCGAATAGCGCCTTATTGATGAAGACGTGCCTAATGGGAGTAAGTTCTTAAACAACCTCACCTCTTCAACTACCTACTTTGATCTCATTGACAACTCTCACCAAGTCGCCAACCCCTGAAGCTCATCCGACACATTCACGTCGCAGATCCAATTATGTCCGGCCTGAATACTTCTCTGGCGGCGTCGTCGCAGGCGCTATCACAGTTCTCGTTTTCCTTCTTCATCAGATTGCCAGCCGAACTTCAACTGGAAATTTTATCCCACTGCCAACAAAACGACCTCATCTGCCTATCCCTGTCATCACACTCCCTCCGCGCCTTGACGCTTCCCTTGATTCCAGCAAAGCCATGGCTGTTATCTTACGACCAGATACATCCCTCAGACGCCATCCAGTGTAAATGCGGCGATGACAGCATGACTGGTGTAGGCCAGAACAACTATTCGCACCGCAGAAAGCGCCATATCTACGAGTACTCCAACAAAACCACCCCACATGGCCCGCCTGGATGCACAGACTGGTCACCGTGTCGCCCGTATCCCGCCGACCATGCGGTATGTCGCCGGCGCGGGTGTAGACACTGTACGTGCACTACCTGTCCGCTGTACACGAGAATGCGGGACTGGATGGGCGATCGGAAATATTGTGCCTCGTGCCGCAAGTTCACCAAGCGGCCGCAGTCAAAGAAATACAAAGGGAGATGTGAGTATCCATGTTACTATAAATGCGTGTTCGCTGACTGACGCCGGGACTCTCCCCACTCTCCCAGGTTTACATGGCCGCCCTCAGACCCGCAGGATCCCAAATAATCACTGGGTGGCGAGGAAAGGCCAATCATATGGCAATCGCTGGTGGCGAAGATGGGGAACCTGCACTGTTGATAGCTGGGGTTATCCGGAAGGGGACAAGACGGCAGATATGAGTAGGAGAAGGAACGCAAGGATTGTATAGAGAGATTGTGGGCATTAATCTATTGATCGATAAGATTTGTCATCTTTCCCTCCATCACAAAATCACCCATCCACAATGAATCGCCGTTGAATACAAATATTTTTCAAAGAAAATGTCTTGGTGGAAAGCATAGAGACGATTACAATACAAGCTGGGAACTGCACATTACTAAAGCCGAGCGAGATGGCTTCCACATCAACCAATTGTGTTTTGATTGGCTTGTGTAGTCATTATACCCCTGAGAAGCTCTATTCTCCAACAAGACTCACAAAAAGTGCCTTAAAATGATACAAGGGATGGGAATATCGAGAAGAGATCGAAGAGTGCGAAGGTGTTATGAAAGGTACTACAACTAGATCTCCACAATATTATACGTTTACTTTAGAGATGTTGCAGAGAGAACCCACCAAGAGCGGAAACTGGGATGTCTTTTGGTACGAGCAGTTGAATTAAACTGTCCAGGTACTATAATTGCGCTATCCTACAGGTTTCACTTGGAAGGTCGTTGTTCATGTAGTATTTCAGTCTGATGCTCGTCTAGCCTGACTGCAAGACGCCGGGACTCGCGTAACATAAAGTCCCGCAAAGCCAATGCCTGCCTCATGTATTCCAAGAACGTGAGAGAGCAGATTGCAGAAGCAATCATCGTACGCCACTCCCCGGCGCAGGACATCATAATATATCTGACGTGGAGATCTCGAATAGTTTGGTAGAACAGCAGTTTCCTGATCTGCCATACTGACAAGAGCATACACCTTGTCCCTCAGATCCGTGCACTCCCAGCCTTGAAATGTCTCTATAAGTGTCTGGAGTTTGGGCGTAGGCGTCTCTGGGTGCCTCCAATGGGCTCTCTGCCAGACCATAACAAACGCTGGGCTCTGCAGGACTTCTTTGACGAAGTCGTGGTTTTCGAAGCGGTCATTCTCCTCGATGGTCTTCATAGTGAGGTACAGTCTGTCGAATACCGGCCAATCGATGCGCTGAGAGCCACACCATACCGTGAGTCTGTTTGCGTGGATGATCTCCTGAATAATCCACATGCGTCTCCAATACGGTCTTTCGCAGAGATCTCTTACAGCCTTGCCTTCTTGCCTGTCCCAAATGGGATGACCATCGCCGGACTGCCGCTTTGGGGGATTCGCCCCTTCATTCGCGAGGAAGTCCATAGCTAGACGACTATTTTCAGATTCGCGACCCAGCCAAATGTAGACATTTGAGGCCATCGAATAGATCTGTTTCATCAGACTAACTTGGTGATTGCGCTCGTTCACGTTGCTCTGATCAATGCAAATAGCATCAATCCAGAAGAGTCGAGGCTTTTTCAGGCTGAGACTTCGACAGTGAAGAAACCACCATAGATTCTCCCCTATCTCCAAATCACATTCTCTTTCGATAGTGATTTTGCGAGTCTTGGTCGGTTTCCCCCAAGCATAGGACAATGCAGTGTATTTTGGACACGACTTGATGTCAGAATAAACAAAAGAACCGCTAATCTGACCGCCATGAGCAGCCTGATTAAGTCGAAACAGTCTGATCTGGCCTTCAGGTCGAGTCAGTGGCTGATATGGCCGCTTGCCTGGATCTGGCGGAATGTACTCCGATGCCAACGCAGAGCGCGCGGGTTGCTCGTGTCCAACAATGAATCTGATCTGTTCCGAATCTCTCCGTTGGCAGGAGCCCGAAGTTTCGACACTGCTTCTTCTCCTGTCCAAAGGCTGTGTTTCCATTGCAAGCAACACCTTTTTATTTAGTTGTTCCAACCTTTTCACACCTTCTTCGGCGACGTCGCTGAGCTTGATGGGAGCAGCTTTAGGCTCTTGGAAAACTGAGTTCCGGGGAGACGGAATCTCGTAATTTTCGGCGTTCTCTAGATACTGCGTGCAGCTTCCTGTATCGAAACCCTTCCATGTGGCAGGAGGATCGGTATGCCCGAGCCTCGGTACACAGCTTCGTCGATGGAACCATCGCGAAGAAGGCGCAGTTCCGTCGGGCCCATATCGTCCTCTGTAGATATCACAGTCAATCTCTGAAGACTTTTCCAGGTTTTGCCTTTTGTGTTTTGGGTCGTGCTGGCACGACGCATCCGATACAGGCAATGTAACCTGGGCCTGTGCCGGGGCTGTGAGGGCGGTGTTGCTGTCGGCATGGATTTGTCCATCATCTTCGTTAAGCGAGACACAATTGAAGTGCTTCAGAGAGCGCGGAGTGGATTGAGTAACGTCGTATTCGTAGATGAGGCTTTGCATCTGTTGCACGAGAAACTCAGAAGACAGCTTTTGCCGAGTTCCAGGTATCTCGCTGCTGCAAGAGTATCGGATTCCGGAATAGGTCCCCATTGTTTGATCATATATTGAAAAGCTTATTCAGTAAAGTAGAGTCTCGAGAGGCTGTGACAAAATTCAATTCGACTTCGAAGTTGATTCGTCTGCCCAAGGAGAACTGCTTATACCTGCATAGGTCGGTGTTACCGACGGCTGTGCTGCAGCCACGGGTGGGTCAATTCTGCAAAAGAGGCTACAGTACATGCCCCGAGGCAGCCAATGCGCGTCTTGAATTCCAGGACAGATACTCAGGTGCGTCAATCCACTTTAACGACCGCGCCACAGTTCTCAAGTGGAAAAAAGCCCCGGCCCTTGTGCCGGCCATCGTGCTGATTCCTACATAAGGTCTCAGCCAATGGTCGCCAGAACAGTCTCGCGCTCATCCTACGGCTTACCCGGTAATAATTAGCCTCGCGGCATTCCCGAAGCTTGCTTGTCTTCTTTCATTTTGATCACTTGCGCAAGACGACTTATCTTCATGTTCGAAGTCACCAGATGTTTCGCCACGTCACTCCGTCAAAATGAGCAGTCCTCTCCGTGTGCCTGCATGTTGAGGCTCATCCATCCAACCCATCAGTTCCCAGCAAAGTCTCTTCCATTTTCCCCACATAGGTTTTGGGGCTTGGCTTTGTGTCGAGACCCACAGCTGCAGTGACAGCAGGGCAAGCCTGTTTCGGGAGCCTCGAAGGGCACACTCACTCGGAGGTCATCCATACCCCTGTCCTATGACTGAATCAATATCAGTAAGTATTGAGATGTGTAACGAGGCTTCTTGTGCCGGCCACCCTGAGGTCGTCAACTGCGTGAGACGCGCATGCATTCCAGATCTCTCGGTACGTCGAAAATGTAACCAGCGTAGGACAGATACCCGAGCGTCTAACTAGAATTAAGTTTCAACAGGCGAGCAGTCGTGCTTAGCCGTCATAAGATGTGCCTGGCCAGTGAAAGGCAAAGTGATAAATGTTTTTGGTGTAACAATTTGGTGAAATCATCCTCACAAACGCCCTCTGCCGGTTGAGTAGCGCAAAAAATAGCTCAAGAATTTGGCAAGATGCTGAATACAAGCGAATACCTGACGCCCTTGGCTTTTACTCCGGCTGGGACAGTTTTACTCAATTTGACGCTCTTTCTATGGACCTCTTTCATGCTACATTCGTGTTCGAATTCTCCCGGTCATCACAGCTACCACTACAGACACAGATCGCAAAATTTCATAGTGGAAACCAATACTCCAAGACAACACTCAGTACTATTTCCTCTTTGTCGTCTTGTCGACCTTTGTCAACTCCGACTCCTGCCATCCTGTAGTTAGGGTGGTAGGATTTACCGCATTGTAATGGCATCTCGTCATCACCAAACTAAGTCGATTGCTGGGCGCTCACACAAGCAGCGATCCCGTCACTCTCTACTAACACTGCATTACCTCCAGAGTTATCAGACTGTTGCACAGTCTGCCTCACCGCGGTCGTGCACCGAGCGGCAACGCCATCCACAGCAGCCGCGGCTACCGTAGCGTTAACCGACAGCGCAGCAGTGATCGCCTTCTGGGCATCAGCCGCGTTCGGGTGAGCTGCTGCTGCTTTTGCGCCCAGTGCGAAAATAGTACCCTTGGCATTAGATTCGCCCTGAAGGTCAGCTGCCTTCTTAGTGAGGTTCACAGTCTGCGCGAGCTCAGCGAGCTGCGCTAGGTCCCCCTGTTCAGCCTGCGCGACGACGACGTCGCCGGAGACTTGAGACCCGGCCAAGTGAGAGGCTATCTCGGCTTCGGTAACGTCAGCCACCAGCATGTTTGTCGAAAAGATACAGCCGACTGGGTCAGCCGAGTCATCGCAGATGAAGCCATCACCGGTGGGATCGCCGATCTGTCACGTTAGTGATATTGTCACAAAATTCAAATTTGGTGTTTTTTAGGAAAACTCACAGTTCCGGCGGGGAAAGTGCCAGTCTGGATTGCAAGATTCGGATCCGCACCAACGGCCTGGAGTTGAGTCGCAAGGTCGAGAGTAATCTGCTTGTTTCCAGCGGCGTCAGGTGAGGCTGGATCCTGGTGCTGCTTGACAGCCGCAATCTCTGGGTTCACGGCGGTTTCGTCGCAGGCCTCAGAAGCGCCCCCAACTGGAGTAGTATTGCGCTCCAGTGCGCGAAACATGAGGGCATTTGCCATGCCTGCGGTGTTGTTCGCAGCCTTGGCGTTGGTGAAGGCCTGGTCGGCAATGTTCTGTTGCAGGCATTTCAGATTGGTGACTGTGCCGCCACCACTTTTGGCACCTGCATCGCCTAGTAGGCCGAATACTGCATTCTCTATCTGGAGCGGATTGTTTAGTTCCAGCATCGTCTGAGTGGCCTGCAAAATGGCCTCATGCGAGTGCTCCTGTGGAGCCTCTGAGGCCACAAGGCTCGCAAGAAAGAGAGTGACGACGACGGTCTTCATTTTGTTAATCAATTAATGAGCGTATGTCTTTTATAACCGCGATGATAAAGGCCTGCTTTGGTTGTATTGAATGACACACGAATGAGCGTAGGAAAAGACTGGGTTCACAGAACTCATAAAGAATGGGAAGCACAAGTTAGAAAGGAGCGTTGTTGCAAAAACGGACATTGACAACAGCGCAAAGACCTGGAGAACTACCACGATATAAGCAAGTCTACCAAGAGAAGAATTGAGCCTAATACGAAGCGCAAGAAGTATTGCACTCACGCTTTCTGCCAAGAGGGGTTCCCCGGTGTCAGACAGTGATACCCCGAAGCTGCCGCAAAGCACCATTTCAAGGGGTTGCGTCTCAGATCATACAGGAAAAAACTCCGCCGGAAGACAGAAATGTACTGTATGAATATCGCTTTGAGGTGGTATTGGGAAACACCTTAGTCGTGCAATGTGCCTGTGAGATTCGGATCGGATGGGATACATTCGGGAGTGGCCGTTAGAGTTTGGGGTTGAAGCATTCAGACGATTCAGTCCTTCTTGGCGGGCTGGCGTCTGGAACACCTCCTGCGAAGCTTTTAATGCGTTAGAGGGCACGTCTAATTCTTAGACTTTTGGGGGCTGTCAGATTCCATGCGCCTTAACTCTGCCCAAGACCGGACTACGTCCTAAGTAGCGGCCAAGAGCGTGTCATCTAATATTCGGCCTTCTCTATCTTACTGACATACCGAATACGCGTCGACCTTGTAAAAGCAAGGAAGAGAGTCATATGATGCCGTACGCGCTTCTGGCTCCGGACCTCTGTGAAATAGCTAAGCTCTGTACAAGAGTCTCCTGAAATTCCGAGCCGTTGATCCTGTTTTTCTGAAAGTACCGTCACCCGATTCATTGCCCGACTCTGAGCCAGTGGAACCTAATAGCGGCACAGGATTCATCGGTGCATGAGAAAAGGCAGTCCACTTGTCCTTCCCGTCAAGTGCGTAAGGTCAGAACTTGTGAACCGGGTGGAATCGGGTGGCGTTAATATTTGGTTTCCCCCTCGTAAATTACATGGCTACGGACTGTCCCGACAGAAGATACTCATAACGGACTTCAAGGTTAGAAGGGGAGAGTTGCCAGAGTCAGCACAAGAATAACTTCATTAATCTCAAAGCTTTCTTTAATTGTACTTGAACCTACGTAATGATGTCAACAGCTCTGCTCGCGTGTCAAGCCCCAACGGATGCACCATTCATTACCACCTCTACTGCTTGTCATGGACCTGGTATGTATAGGCCTTTGTAGCCGAGGACGATGCCACACTGCCTTCTCGTCGGGTAGGGGCAGTGTTCGTGGCAGCTATGGAAGCCATAAAGGATATAGGGTCTTCTCGTAGATCCATTGAGTAAATTTGCGCTTGCTAGAATGAATGGATAACAAATGGCCAGACTGTATTTCAATTTTTGTTGAAAGCGAGGCGATTCTTTACATATCTTGAGACACAAGACTGTTTGAACAGACTGACCCACCACAGCACGTTTCCCAAGATATAAAGCTTCATCCTCAACCTTGCTCCTTTCAAAATTTACCATACAGACCATGCGAGCCACGATCTGGAGACAACATGTATGAACGAGGCAGGAATAATGTCATGGGATAGGTCGGGTAGAACATATAACAAGTACGTCTGCTAGGTATGCTTCCACAAGGCTTGACAGGTTTAATTGGCGTGGATATCAAGATCGGGCACCAGGGCATCTTTTTCGCGCCGGTGCATAGGAAAAAACAATGCTGCTGGGATTTCCGAGAAACCGTGTTCACTGACAACCTCTCCTGAATACCATTGTCACACTGCTTGAGACCCTACGGGAATATTCGTACAATTCTGCAGTGTAGAAATTTTGGTTATCGTCGCCGTGAAGCTGATCATGCCTCGAGGGCACAAGAGTATCATCGAGACATCGATGGGATCGATCACGCGGGGTTACAAGTCAAGAGAGTAGGACAGTAGGCCGCAGAACATACATTCAATCTCGTACCCACTATCTAGATTCTCTACAGCGGAGCAATACATTCGAAAAGTTGCGTGGAGAAGTGTTTTCAAAACCCCACAAGCTTATTCTCCATGGTTCCAATCTGGCTCGTCGCAATCCTGACCACGTCGCCGTTCTTCAACCAAGGCGGCGGCACCCGCCTGCTTGCAATGCCACTCGGCGTCCCAGTCATGATGATTGTGCCCTTGCGCAGTGTATATCCATTACTCAAGAACTCGACGATTTTGAACACATCGAATACCATATCACCAGTGCTCGTGTGCTGTCTCTGCTCTCCATTGACCCACAACGTCAGGTCAATCTGCGAAGGATCCACCCCCGAGGCATGCGCATTCAGAATCGTCGGCCCAATGGGTGCAAACGCATCAAACCCCTTACCATAGCAGTACTGGCCCCCCGAATGAGGCGGGCGCTGCCAGTACCGCGACGACAGGTCGTTACCGCCAGTGTAACCGAGAATATACTCCTTGGCGTCAGCGGCTTGCACGTTTTTGCAGTCTTTGGCGATAATGAGGCACAGCTCGACCTCATAATCCATGAGGAGAGCGTGCGCGGGGATCGTGATGGCGTCGTAGGGGCCGGCGAGCGCGTCCGCGGGCTTGACGAAGACGACGGGGCTTGGAGGGATTTCGTTCTTCGTCTCCACTATGTGCGCGAGATAGTTCATGCCGACACATGGGATCACGGGCGTTGTGTCGAGTGGAGCTAGAACCTAGTTTGTTTCGTATCTTGTTAAAAGCCAGGATCTTTGGTGCCATCCGTGGGTTCTGATGCACACAAACGCACTTTCTTGATGGTACTCGTCTTGCCTGTGATCTTCAGACCACCGTCTAGAGGATGGCCGTCGAGGACCTTCGCGGTCGAACCAACTAGGCTGTCAAGTTTGTCCGGCAACGCATCTCCCCACTGGATTTTGCCAGTCTCATCCTCAAAGCGGATCAGGTTGGTGAACGGTTGTCCTGCCATGACGAAGGAGCATCAAGTGCGCAATGCTTCATTAAAACGAAATGGTATATCTACGAAAAACATTGTGAATATTTGCCCATGTTTCGATGTTGGCATGGGCGCTTCAAGTCAAAGTTGAGACCTCATCGAGACCCACTCATGGAACCTGTCATTCGTCGCGCGTTGGGGGATTTCGGAACAATGGGGTACCGAGATTGCGCCAGCAGCAGCACAGCAACCAAGTCAGGTCTGCAGCTGACCTATATGATGTTTCCTGTGCTGGGGAATGATTTAATTGGCTGATGTATTTCTCCCTGGGATCAAATAGCCACCTGGACCTTCATGAGATGTAGATGATTAAATCCAGCCTGTCATGTCACTTGAGGCCGAACTTTGATCATGGTGTCTGTGGCAGATCGAGTGCTTCTCTCACGGCCTATACTATGACAGCAGCAAAGGCAGGTTTGGACTTCGGCGGGAATGGCAGGTCTTCAGACAAACATTTTCAAAATTGGGTCGGCTTCCGGGGCCTTTGGGTTACCCAAGCCCGCGGCGAGGGTTTCCACAACGCGCCGAGACGTATACTTTGTGCAGTAATTTAGGCCGAGTTAATTTAGAGGGAAAAAGTCAAACGAAGGTGAGACTCTCCCATAATTCTCCTGGTCTATCGTGGACGACGTGGCTGACTCTAGCCCTCGCCAACCCGTCATCAAGTTGGGCCAAGGTTTCTTGAGAGACACCCCTCGTGTTCAAAGCCGAAAACCTTTCCCGTCATCCTCCTGATAACGAACTTCCGCCTCACTGCAGCGGTTAAAACCTTCCTCACTTCGTGATAGACGGAGCAAAAAGCGGTTTTGACCGTGTTGACTGCAACCAATATGCCCCGACAAAGGCAGGTAACCTCAGCCCCCCTTCCCCAACCACACACCCTCCCCGAACACCCAGCGGCCATGTGCCTTCTGTAGGGGAAGGCAACCAAACTTGCCAGCGTCACAAAAGGCTGCCGCGCATTAATCCTCTTGTATAGGGCAAAATGAGTTTGAAGAAAGCGATCGCGGACGTATACTCGGAGCTCTTCGACCGACCTATAGATCTTTAGAAGTGCCCATTACGACGGGCGTAATTTAACGAAGGTAGGGTGGAGAAGATGTCCCAGCTAATTTTCTGCTGAGAACGGGAGCAGTCACTGAGGTGAGGATTTCAATAGGAATGCTGAGTGCATTCATGGAATTTCTTGACCAAGGAGATGAAGTTATTGTCTTTGAACCCTTCTTCGACCAGTACATTTGCGCAGTGTTGCCTCGCCTACCTGCCACCAGGGCATTCATATTCTGTCATGACGAGCCTACCTCGGAATGACCATCTCCATTTTAGGTATATTAGAAACATCCAAATGCCAGGAGCAAACGTCCTGTACGCCTCGCTCGTGCGTCCAACAGCTGGTGACATGGAGAGGGCGTCGGGTGGACATGGACCAGTTGCAGAGGTTGATCACTCCGCACACGAAAATGATCGTGCTGAATTCTCAGAGTCTCGCTCTGAGCGTCAATAATCTGGCTCTTCTGAGATTGGCCTTGGGAGTCCATGAAAGGGAATAGAGTAAGCAGGAAAAACGCTAGTACGGACTGGCAATGCATGTGCAGGAACGATCCTATCGGGAAAGTATTCACGCGAGATCAGCTTCTTGCTATCGGAACCTCCGTGTGAAACGCAACATCATCATGCTTTCTCACAAGGTGAGTTCCAAGCAGATATAACAGGAGCAGAAGGCTGTAGAAGGCATCACTAGCTGATGGTCTGATCTCTGCAACACAAGGTCTACGATATTCTCATGTACGTCAAAGATTCACGCCTTTTCACACTATCCACTTAGAACGACTCACGCTCACGATCGGGTCGGTGAGCAAGATGTTCTACTGCGCAGGTTGGCACGTGGGATGGTTCACTGGGATCCCGCATCTCATACAGTAAATCGCCGCCTCTCACACGAGCATCTGCTATAGAAGTGCGAAGCCGCTCCAAGAAACCGTGGCAATTACTTTGAACCAGGCGTGTAGACTTGGGCTTTGGAAAACAAGCCGCTTGGAGATACAGGGCAAGATGAAACGAGATTTGGGATGTTGGGGATACTGGTGAGTTTTACCAAAAAGGAAAAATCACCATTGACTTGGTGATCGGTGATCGAGGTGTGCTACGGAACTAACGCCAGAAATTATAGTTCTCCGTCCCAGAAGGCGGGTACTTTGTTCTCGCGAAACTAAACAAGATCAAAATAACGGACGACTATGAGTTCCCTGCTCCTATCATAGAGACTTCAAGTTTATTTACTTATGTTTCCAAGAGCTGGGGACAGCTTCCCAACGTCGCTTTTTGGCTTTCACAGTGCGGTTGCTTGCTGATCCATGACACTAGAGCTGTACATTGACGAGCATGCCCACATGGTGCACGATTTTCTATGGTTCGCGGTATGTAAAAATGATGATGTTTTGGAGGATGCAAAGGCGAGACTCAGAGGCCTTGAGAAGTTCATGAAAAAATAGCGTGTCAATCTATATCCAGGTTACACAATAGTCCTTTGTCGTCAAAGCTCCAACCTCGGGAATCCAACGATAAAAATACGATCATGTGACAGATATATATCCTTCTGCCCTTGAAGTCCTGGGCCCGATGTTGGGCCTCTTCTTCAGCTCAGTAACACTTTCGCCGTCTTCCAAGCGCCGAATAAGCTCTTCCGGCACGAAATCCACTCCCATCGGATTCTCAACGAACTCCGCACTATTCATGAATTCGGTCGCCTCCTGCGCCGTGCCAAAATTGTCCACCTGCGTCTCGACCTCATTCCCGTCCGGGTCGGCATAGTAGATGCTCGTCGTCGGCCCATGGTTAACGCACCACGAGGGCTTGATGCCCAGTTTGCGGCGCTGCACATAAGCCGTCAGGAGCTCGTCGAGCGTTTCGTAGGCAAATGAGACGTGCGCGAGCCCGCACGAATTGGTGGCGTCGCCACCGCGTGGGATGGTACCCGGTCGGCCAGTGATGGCGATGCGGTGGTGTTCGTCGTCGTAGGTGATAAAGCTGAGGACCTCATTTCCCCAGACTACACGCCCGCCGAGGAAAGTCACGTACCAGTTGACCATGGGCTTGTATTTGTCAGGCTGAACGCGGAGGACTATGTGACACATCCTCTTGGGACTGAGGACAGTGCCACTGGCGTCTCGGATAGCCATGGTGTCTTTAGGTGGAATTGTTCAGGCCGGAGATGACTTTGTAGAAAGGACATTAGATTGCTACACTTTGATGCGAAAGAGGGTAGGACGCCGCGAGTGAGGCTCAAGCCGGCCCATGACCATAGTCAATGCTCAATCTGCCTAGATCTTGATGATCTTCTGCTCGGAGATATGCCGCAGGGCATACATTGTATCCTTGTTTCTTCGGCTCATGCTTTTGCGGATAATTGGGGTTGCCGAGCGGTGATATACTTAGCGACCTCACGACTTTGCGGAACTCCACGGAACCATGCCCGCAACCCGGGTCTCCAAGTGTTGGGGGTTTGGGGGTTTGGGAGTTTCCGGACCGGAACAATCGAGAAAATCTGCTAGCATCTCACACTGTACAGTGCTCTTTGTTAGCTCGTGACTTCTAGCTACAGAGCTAGGATTAGGCAGGACATTCGGTACATAGAACGACCTTCTCTGCACTAGATGCAGAGCAAGAAAAAGCAGTACCAAAGTGGGATTTCAAAGTTCCAGAATTCGAGTGTCTACTTATTCGTGTGCCAAGGTGGCATGTCTGGTTGATATTCGCTTCTTATTGGCCGTCAAGGTATATGTGACCTTTTGAGCAGAAGTAGACCAGGCACAAATTACAGGGTTGAGCTCTCTACGCATGCAGAAACCCGGCAGTTTTGGGAGACCTCCGATTCAGCCAGCCATGAAGGCAGGGAAACGAGATAAAAAATACCATGTGAAGTGGCATATACGTGAACGATTGCCTTGAGAAGCGGCTTTTCTTGCAGAGTTTGCCGTTCTTGCCTTCTCTTCCTCTCCTGGCGCAACAAAATTGAAGACCTGCTACTCAGCATGACTGGACGAGTTGCATTTGTGACGGGTGCCAATGGCATTAGTGGAAACGCTATTATAGAGCAACTCATCCGGACAACGAGGGAGGAGTGGTAGGTGCTCTATTTTCCTCATCATTCGTCGGTCTCTTATCTACTCCGTAGTGCCCTCTGACGAATACACACAGGTCCAAGATCGTGATCACGTCCAGAAGACCCCTATTTTACTACTGGCAGGATCCTCGCATCGAATTTATTGCCGTGGATTTCTTGGAACCTTTAGACAGCATCATCAAGCAGCTCAGCATAGTCTGCGAAGACGTCACGCATGCATTCTTTGCGTCGTATATCCATGTTGCCGACTTCAAGAGCCTGCGCGACGAGAATGTGCCACTCTTCCAGAACTTCCTGCAAGCCATAGATATCGTGGCGCCCAAGCTACAGCGCGTCTGTTTACAAACAGGTAACAAGGTAAAAATCGGTCTGTCACTATAGAAGGCTAGGCGAGTGCTGATATTGGCCAAACCAGCATTATGGATGCCACCTGGGCCCCGTCCCTATTCCGCTCAACGAATCTCTTGGACGGCTGGACAAATCCGGCACAAACTTCTACTATGACCAAGAAGACGTTCTGTTTGAGCTCGCAGCGAGGCGACCATGGTCCTACAATATTGTACGGCCCCACGCCATCGTGGGCTACGCTCCTGGAGGTGAGTGGGAACTTCTAGCACCGTAGTCCGACTGCGCAAGACCGTTTGCAGCACGGCACGCAGAAGAAAACCAAGTGATAAAGAAGTGCAAGCCAGGACTGACACCTACGCTTCGATCCAAAAGCAAGTGGCATGTCTCAAGCAATGACAGCCGCCATCTACTTCCTGATATGCCGCGAACTGGGTGAGGAGCCCAAGTTCCCAGGAAACGAGTCGATCTACAACGACCTCGATGACAGCTCCTCCGCAACCAGCCTGGCGGATCTGACGCTATACGTTACGACAGAGGAACAAGCCAAGAACGAAGATTTCATACACACCAACGGCGATGTTTACATGTGGCGCTATTTCTGGCCATTTCTCGCTTCGCATTTCGGCCTCAACGTAAGCTTCAAGACTTTGCATTTGCCACTGCGACAACTGACACTCATTGATCGGGTAAGGTTCCAATCACACAATTTAGCAAGGCCAAGGGCACCACCAAAACCTACGACAACGAAGTCTTGCTGGTGGAGTGGGCTATAGACAAGAGGCCCGTCTGGGAGAAAATATGTGCCAAGTATGGCGGCAAGCCCGAGGCTTTCGATTGGGGAACATGGCAGTTCTTTGAGTGGTCCTTGGGTAAAACCTGGCCCACGGTTGCAAGTAATGCCAAAGCTCGCCGGTATGGCTGGAAGCGCATCGATAACACGTATGATGCGTGGATTGACACGTTCAAGACGCTCGCCAACGCTGGTGTCATTCCAACCCAGGCAGCCCTGTGCGCTTCTGGTGGAGAGGATGCTAGCCAAGCAAGACCGCCGCCAGCGGACGAGAGGAACTGCTTGACGAAGAATGGGAATACTGCCTAAGGGTGATTGGTAGATGCTCGGGTGCTGGCAACGTCTCAGAACTTAAATCTCATATTGGCGACTTCCACATTTCCATACTTCTCGCACTTTGAAACAATGTTTTCTTCCAAGGAGGATTGATTCTAAACACCTCGAATAAAGTGTTCCTCAACCAGGTAGGCACCCATACTCATGCGCGAATAAACTGGACCCACGAACTGGGAACTTGAGAGCACAGCTGCTTCGGCATAATTTACTCTCGGCTCCCCAAATTGACCCAGCCCACGGGACACCAATGTAACTTACAATGAGACCATCTTACCTCCTTGGAAGCAGAAGCTGCAAGGGCCCCACCTGGCTTCCCCTCCTACTGTTCCTTGTTGTCCAAAACACCCATTTTCGCTTCTCTTCACATCACACAACTGTGGCTGAGCAGGGAACTCTAATGTTCCTAAGTACAGCCGCTCAAGTCTGCCTATATTGTGACCAATCTTGTAAATGCCTGGGTTGCATCTATAATATCTCGCATGGGCCACAGCAGCCCCATATATTACCTTTTGCACAGAACTGGACGGAATTAATTGATCATCTTCTGCGTCGTCTACAGCCTTGTATCACCACGACCATCAGTAAATTGTTTTCAAAGAGTTTTTGCAGTCTTCAACAGACATGAATGCAAATACTGAACCTTCGTCGGCCCAAATTGAGGATGAAGCGAAGCCAGAGGTCGTGATGGCGGAATTCTCTGATTCCGCATTCGGCAAGACTGATGGCGGCGGATTCATGGTGCATTCAGAAGGCCGCGTCATAGGGCTCAAGGTGGCGGGAGACGGAAAGGTAAGCTGCGCGGTCTCAAGTTCAGCTTCCTAATAGATCATGGAAATGGACTCTGGGTTGCTGAAGTGCGGCACTAATACTGCTATCTACCGCTTGTAGACGATCCTTCGGCCACAGCCCAGCGACTTGCCCGAGGATCCGTTGAACTGGTCATGGTGGAAAAAGCACCTCGTGCTTTTCACCGTATCGTTCGGCGCCAATGTCTGCGACTTCACCAGCGCCGCTGGCTATGCTCCTGTACTTGAACAGTCGGTGGAATGGGGCGTGTCTTACAGCTCGGCCAACCTGATCAACTCTATGAACATCCTCGCACTGTAAGCTTCACGAATCACGACTCTATTTGATCGTTGCGCTGCAAAGAGACCCGGGGGGGGGGGAGGTTAGGCAAGGGAAAATTATGGCTGACTCTCTCTTGCTTTCACTCCGTCAAGAGGCGTTGGTGGTCTAATATGGGTGCCCATGGCATCAGGCTGGGGGCGCGCCCCAGTCATCTTCTGGTCGACGGTTGTCGGGTTCGCCTGCGCCTTGGGCAGCTGCCTCGTGCGTGATTACGCACCCATATTCGCCTTGCGCGTCTTGCTGGGCCTCTTTATCACTGCCACGCAAACTGTCTCGGTCGGCGTCATCAAGGATATCTTCTTCTTCCACGAGAGCGCGCGCAAAATTGGCATCTGGGCCACCATCTACATCACGTCGCCGTATCTGGGCCCGTGCATGGGCAACTTTGTGCTTGGGGCCACGGGCCACTGGCCAGACGTGCTGTGGCTGACCAGTGGCATCGCAGGCCTGCAGATCGTCTTTATTGTGCTCTTCCTGGATGAATCGTGGTACAACCGGGGCTTTCCTCTCTCGGAACAGCCGCCGCGCCCTGCGAGTTTTCTGGCTCGCATGGGTCGTGTCACAGGCATCTGGTCCATCAAATACCACAACGCCTATTTCCCAACTATCGACACGGTATTAACTCGGTTCACATGGCTGATTACTCGGCCGGCTTTCTTACTGATCTGGTTCTCATAGTAAGTCTCGCAGGGCACCATCGAGAATCGCATAATAGAAGAGCCACGTACGGCTACACAGCCGAGAGCTAACCTTGCTTATCAACAGTATGCTGGTCTTTGGCTGGGCCATCGGTATCAATGTGTCAGCGTCGCTGCTCTTCGCGACGCCGAAAGAATTGGGAGGATACGGATACAGCTACACCTCGCTTGGCTATCTCTACTTTACGCCGATAGTGGGGATTGTTGTAGCCGAGATAGTGGGACACTATATCAATAACTGGTTACAGCGTTGGTATATCAAGAGGCACAATGGCATTTTTCAGCCCGAAGCACGCCTGTGAGTTACTAAATTGGCCCACTACTCACGAAATATGGTTGCACATCGGTCTTCAAATTAAGGAAATGATCTTGACACTTTTTTATCCTTGACAGATACGTTTTGTATGGCGCCACGCCATTTTACATCTGCGGCCTCGTTCTGACGGGGTTTGCCTTGGAGGACCATCTCCACGATGCAGCCGTAATCGTCGGCTGGGGTGTCTACAGTTTCGGCATCATGTTGTCGTCGGTCGCTGTGACTTCCTATGTTACTGATGCATACCCCGGCATCCCAGCTGACGTCGCTGCGTGGATTAATTTTGGTCGTGTTGCTGGTGGCTTTGCCATTGGCTTCTACGAAAGTCCTTGTGAGTACTTGTGGTGAAGACCTTCCTGGCATTATTTTATCTGAAGTGGCGTTATGCTGAACTTCTCTGTGCAATCAAGGGCAGCAGGCCATTGGGTACAAGTGGGTCTTTGGTATTCAGGCCTTGATTTGTGTCGCGGCGATAACTCCCGTCGTGTTTTTGCATATTTATGGTCGCCGTCTCAGGATGAAATATCCAATGCCAACATTTTCCTTTTAAATTCGAGCTCTTATGGAAGGACCCAATTGTTTTGAGGTATCCGTGGTTAATGAGGCGAGGGCCGGTCTTGCTTGATAAACTCTAGGGGAGGATTGTGTCCAGGTAGATGCTTGAGTAGCAACTGTTTTCAACCTCTTGTTGAGTCATCAATTGCGGAGGCTGCGGATATGTGTCGTGCATAGTCGAGTGTACATTGTAGTTGACAAAGCATTATTTACTTATCTACCTAGATACGTAAGGCTCGAGCTGGGGGGACCGGTGTAACATTGAAAGTTGGCTTCCATTGACATTTCTTTGGTACCTGCTACATCAAACTGCAGAATCTGACACGCACATAGAGTTGTGCCACTTCTCTCAAACTAGCGCCTTCAAGGCTGTCCAGGCCACAGAGCATCAGCGACCTGCCGGACTAGCCTCAGCTTCGCCAGCATATCCTCCGCAGTAATTGCATTCCCTAGGACGTGACTAGCGAATCCACACTGCGGGCTCACGCCGAGCTGCTGCAATGCTTGTTGCGGTGTCTGACCCGTCCCCTCAGCAACGTACTGGGCCGCCTGCAATACGCGGGCCTTGAGCTCGTTCGGGTCCTCCAGAGCTGGAAATTTCGAGGACACAACGCCGAGGATGACATTCTTGTCCCTGGGCAGATGGCGCAGAGGCTCAAGGGTGCCGGAGCGAGAGTCGTCATACTCGAGGTAGAATGTGTCGAAGGCCTCAGACTGTCCAAACAGGGCCTCGGCGATCTGGTCGTAGGACCCGGTTGTGAAGTGGCGTGAGTTGATGTAATTGCCTTTAGTGTTACAGGAGATAGTTACATCAGCTTCGAATTTCGAACCGCGCATCACTTCAAAGCAGCCATCGAAGAACCACGCTACTCACCTCTGCACATGTGCATCCCAACATGCAAGTCAGCCGGCTTACCAGCCAGGGAGCTATTATAGAAGCGCAGGTACTTTGTCAGAATCTTGCGTGTGTCATCACCATCCGCTTCAAAGCCGGCCACCACTCTCTCATCGCAGAATCCTGTGTTGCTTCCTGTCAGATTTCCTATTTGCTTTTGGACAGAGCAGCCAGGGTCCATGAGTTACTTACCTGTCAAGTACGGGTCGTCAACTTGGATGTTGCGGCACCCGATCCCATAGAGCAGATCAATCTCCTTCCGGAAAGCTAGGGATAAGTCGGCTAGATACTCGTCGTCATGGGCGTATACATCCTGCGGATAGGCGTAACCCTTGCGGTACAGAGTGTAATACCATAGAGGCGAGACCAACGTGAGCTTGGGCACGATGCTGGCCTTCCGGCGACCGCCCCCTTCCCTCTCGAGCTTCTCCACCACCGACCGGAGATAGACAAACTCCTTCTCGTAGATGGGGCGGTCCAACTCATGCCGGATCCGCCCCGTGCACATCGTCGTGTATGGGATGGCCTCGCCGCGGCGCAAAAAGTCGGCGACATCGGGCAGGTAGGTGCGGAAGGCCTGACGCGGGATGGGCGGGTCGACGACATCTTCGAAGCCGGCGAGAGCCAGGTGGAAGCTGCCAAGAAAGAGGATGCGCTGGTACTCGCCGTCGGTGGGCGCAGAAAAGCCCAGCTCGCACTGTGTGGTGACAATATCTGTGACGGCTGTGCTGGTGATCTCGGCGAGCGCCGCCTGGGTGGATTTCTCGGGCTCGAGGATGGCGTTGCGAAGTTGTGGGGGCCGCAAAAGGGAGCCGATGTGCTCGGCGCGGAAAGGGGGACCTTGCTTGCGGGTGGGCGGCATGTTTGGTGAATCAGGCTTTCTTTTACTTTTATTTGTTGGAGAAGAGGTGTACACAACAGGGGCATCTATCAACGGTCGTGAACCGTTCTATCAGGCTTCAAATGTTCGACGGGCCTTGACGAGAGGGGCATGGGTGCGTGCCTGAAAAATGTAGCATATTAGTATGCCATTGAACATGCCTCTCCGCGACCAATGTGACACAACCACTTCGCCTCGGTTTTTCGGTTGGCCGCTCTATTTAGCTGCTAGCACTATGGTAGTAACAATTGGGTAATTTAGGCCGGTAAGACTTGGGGTTCCGGCGTGACTTGCCGTCTATGCTGATGGCACTTTGATGAGGGTGCCCAAACGGGCCATGAGCCGTAGGCAGTATTTTTTGCGAATATGTATTATATCTGTATCCTGGGGTATCCTGGCGGTGGGGGAAAAAATAGACTTTTCAAAGGCTTGCAAGGGGTAGAGAAGCAGATCAGGGCTTTTTTCAACGAAACAAAAATATGTCAGGAAAAGAATGTAGCCTGGATGGGTGCACTGAAAAAGCTGGGTGGCCCGATTCTGGCTGGTTTAGAAGGCGCGAAGTTCTAGCAACTCAGAACAACATTGTATGCAACCAAAGACGGTAAGGTTTCGACACTTCCCAAAGTAGACCGCAAGTGAACACAAAGTGCACACGGCCTGCCTCATATATTGTGCTTTATGTTGTGTAACTAAGGATCCAGACTTTGGAATACGTCTCTCATTCATGTCCTGTACATGCAGAGACCGAAAACATTCTGCATTCAGGCAGCTAGACTAGTTTGAAATCTCTCAACATGCGTAGCCCTACTTCAACCGTGCCACAATCGCTACCTGCGGCTTGACGTTAGTATATAAGTTCGTCCTTTTTTTTTTGAAAAGAAAAAGAAACATAACAGTACAAGGACATTGGCGAGTTCAACAAGATATACAACTCACATAGTGCGTCTTGGGGCTACTGTAGATTTTGGTCAGTTTCAGACCCGCAGCATCGAGAATCCCCTTAAACTGCGGCGCCGTCCGCTCGGTCCCGGCAAAAGTGAGCATGACTAAATCCACCCAGCACGCCTCAGCATCTGCGCCGACTTCTGGGACCAGAAATTCGTTGATGACCACACGCGACTCGGGCGTCATGGCTCCCACCACGTTCTTCAAAATGCCCACGCTGATCTCATCTGGCCAGTCGTGGAGGACCCGGCGCATGAAGTAGATGAGAGCACCTGAAGAAGAAAAAGCAGTCGAGTAAGTTTCATGGATGTACAAGACTCTGCGAGTAACCGAGACGCCGGCCAGAGAAGTAGGCAGACAAAAGGTAAGGGGATACCTAGGTAAAGGGGAGAGGAGACCTCATCTTACCTTTTGCAGGCTGCGGCTCGAAGAAATTATGCGCCATCTTCTCGACATCGGGATGCTCATTCTGCGCGGCCTCGATAGTCCCGGGTAGATCTTGCACAATCACGCGTCCCGGCACGCCCGCAAGCTGTTCGCGAATGACCTGCGCCGCCTGGCCGCGCCCGCCCCCAATATCAACGACTAAAAGGGTCTCATCCGTGGTAGTAGCTGTAGTGGTGGGGCTGTTCGAGCTCCACCCTACAGCCTCGCGCCAGGGAAACAGCGTGATTGACACGGTGCCCTGAGTGGATGCCGTGGTCATGGCCATGTTGAAGCTCGCGATGCGCGCGGGGAAGCGTGCCATCCACTCGAAGATGGGCACGCCGCCCGTTTGGAAGTGGAAAGTGTAAGGGTTGTCGTGGGTTGAGGTAGGAATCTTGCGGCCATTTTGCTGGAAGTACTCATGGAAATTTGCGGAGACGGCCATGTGCTCGTCGACGCTGTTTTTCGGGTCAACAAGGCATTCACTTAGCAACGGTTGGGGAGGGGGTGTTTGGGAGGACTCACGCCATTTGGAAGAAACCCCTAAGTCCAGGGTCCAAGTACGCTCTTGATAGAGTGGTATGGGCGTATTCCTCCTTGTTGACTTCGGTGAAAAGACCCAGAGCCGTGGTTATTCTCATCAGGCGAACTTGAGACGAGCAGGACAATGAGCTTGGGGTCCATCTCTCTGCGCTCCCAACACCGCAAAATAAAACGTACCGACTAAACATAATGGGCATGAGATGATCATTGGACTTACTCAACAATAGCTTCTCAGCTCCAAGCGCATCACTAAGTTGCTGGGCTGTTCTGCTGTCCCCATTCATTGGGAGCTCGTCGAAGACGCCCATGGACAGCAGTGCGCGTACTGCGCCAGTATATGTGAACTAGTCTCATCGTCAGCACTTTTTGACACCGCAAGTCTGGACACAGATGCCCTCGTCTCCGCATCTGAACACTTCCTGTACAAACATACCTTCTCCAAGTGATCATGGATCATGTCTACGGGCCCCTTGACGGCCGAATACAGACGCCAGACCTGGTCTGCCAACAGTAGCCTGGTCTGGGCCACTGCTGCTGTTGAGTCATCGCCATTCTGCTCCTGGGTTACAGCGTCGCTCCACCGTTGAGCTGTGGCGTTCACCTCGGAGAGAGCCCGGGCTATCACCTCGTCCGCCGCCCCATGCTTGATCGTCGTGCTGGGCATGATGGTAGTCGATAACAAGAGCCCATCCGACGTAGATCAGCTGGTCGATTGATGTTTTCGAGAGTCTCACTCGCTTCCAGTGATATATCATAACAGAGTCTATCAAAGAACAAGAAGCCTGCCGAGCAACAAAATGTAACCAAGCATGATGCCTACGCACCCAGCTAGTCTGTGTCCCTTTCCCACCTAGGAACTTAGTCCGCCGAGTCGGAAAACTGTAAAAAGCCCCCGGCGTGCCTAGGCGACATGGAACTCAGAACACAAACGCCGCAAACAGGGTTTGTCCGCGGGCCGCCTGCGGGACCCCAACACCTCCACAGATTGGTTTCTGTTTCACCAGAAGCTCAAAATTCGGAACTCCACCTCTTGCCTGGCTTGGCCCGGTCCAAATCCCGCAAGGAGCCGTGGTAGTCCGCGGTGGGCATGCCGAGGCCAACTCACTCGATCGTTGTCTCCAGTGCAGCCTGTGACCATGAACCCCGGCGCAGCGGAGAGGCGGCAACGGTAGGTAAGTGAAGGACTGCACAGGCACTGCAAGGATGCAAAAGATGTACTTAGAGATGTCTCCATAGTTGCAGCAATGCCCTGCCTTGTCGATATTCAACGTCAAACAATCGTTCTCACTGCCGCCATAACGATGCGTCTACCAGATTTGCTCGTCGAGGTGCAGTGGGCCGCCACTGCCATCACCACCATTGTCACGGCAATCCTCGCGCTCTCCCTCGTCTCCCTCACTTTTCTTTTCCTTCACCGCCTCTACTTTCATCCCCTAGCCGCGTACCCGGGCCCCTGGCTCGGCAGGCTCACAGAATGGAATACGGTCCTCGCCTCCCTGAGCGGCGAGTCGACGCGTACCCGTCACGCCTGGAGCCAGCGCTACGGGCCCGGCCCCGTGCGCATCGGGCCCAACGAGCTGCTCTTCAGCGACCTAGCCTCGGTCAAGGACATCTACGGCCAGTCGTCGCGGCCATGCCTCAAGGACCCGAGCTTCTATGGGCCCTTCACCGTGTGCGGCGTGCGCAACGTCTTCAACAGCTTCGAGCGCGCCGAGCACGCGCGGATCCGGCGGCTGTTTGCCCACGCGTTCTCGCTGGCCGAGGTGCGCAAGATGCAGGGACGTGTGGCGCCGATCCTGGGCAAGTGCTTGGATGGGCTCGAGGCGGCTCAGCCGGTGGACCTCTACGAGCCCCTCTCGCGCCTGTTCGTGGACATTATCAGCGAGCTCAGCTTCGATGAGTCGTTTGACACGCTGGGCGGATACCTAGTCGACGAGGCCGGGTGGGCGGACCAGCTGCAGAACATCTCGGCGCTGTTGGGCATGGTGCCGTTCATCGAGTGGCTGCCCCTGAGGTTTGTGCAGGAGGCGGTCCGGGCGCGGCCGCTTATGATCGAGTTTGCGCGGCAGCGAATCGAGGGGTTTCGGGCGCGTCTGGCCAAGGGCATGGTGAGGGAGGGTTCGTTGCTGAAGCGGGTGGTGGAGACGGATCTGGATCTGGACGACGAGGGAGAGCATGGGCATGCGCACACGCAGCCGTTGACGAACCTGGAGCTGATGGAGAATGCCATTGTCTTCATCCAGGCGGGCAGCGAGACGTCGATGAGCTCCATGCTGTATCTCCTGTACGAGTTGGACAGGCATCCCGCTGTGAGGGAGAAGCTGGTCCAGGAGATTCGAGAGGCCTGTCCGCCAGACACCAGGACAGTTCCCCGCTTCGAGAGAATTCAAAGCCTGGTACGTACTTACTTGAGAAGCATATACAAGTCACTTGTCACAAGAGACCTTCTACTCATATGTACATCTTGCACATCAAGCTATACCTCAACCAAGTCATCGACGAAACCCTCCGCCTCCGCGGGCCCATCCCCGTCAACCTCCCACGCATCTCCCCTGGCAAGGTCATCGGCGGTCACTACGTCCCCGCCGGCACGCGCGTCTGCAACCTGGCATACACGACGCACCGCGACCCGGCCGTCTTCCTGGACCCCGAGGCCTTTGTGCCCGAGCGGTGGGCGGAGCCTACCGAGGCCATGAAGCTAGCATTCCGGCCCTTCAGCACGGGGCCGCGCAACTGCATCGGCATACACTTGGCGCGCATGGATCTGATGCTGGCGACGTGTGCGATGTACAACCGGTTTGACTTGCGTTTGGACGCGGAGAGAACCACGCCCGAGATGATGTATGCGCAGGATCGCGGGGTCATGTCGCCGCAGGGGAAGAGGGTGTTTTTTTACATCACGCCACGAGAAAAGAATGTAAATTCAGTGATTCATACATCATAAAAATGAAATGCAAAGCACCAAAACTTAGATATGTCTATGGAGCGTCCGTTCTCACTATGTCAGGTCGCCAGGCGGTCTTTAGGCACAGGAAGTCAAGATCGCATCTCGAAATGTCACAGCCGCTTCCGCACACAGCTGCACAAGAACGCGAGCGCCCCACTCGAAATCGCATGTGTCCAGGTAGATCTGGGCCGAGAAGCGCGCCCACCATTGACCCCGGTAGGAGAGGATGGCGATGAAGGTGCCATGCTTACTGACCATTTCCTCGCACATCCAGCTCTGGATCTGGAGAGCACCCGTCTGTCCGCAGCCGGTCAGCTCTTCCTCCTCCTCCTCCTTCTTTCTCATCTCCAGGGGCAGGCGAACCATGACCATGGAGCACTGGTGCCGCAGTTCGCCCCGTGCGTTGTCCATGACCTCTGTCCCCAGGATGCGAGCTGCCGCGGCTCCCCCTTGTGCGGCTAGATCCCAGCAATAGCGCATGATGGCATCTTCACCACCGCACACATCGCGGCGGAACTGCAGCGCGGCCGGTACGCACAGCAGCGCGGCGTTGTCGACGGTGCCAACGAACTCAAACTGCTGTACGAAGTTGCTCTTGTCAGATGGTGGCAGGGGGTTGGGCATCGGCGGCGCTACTTGGTCCCCTGGCTGGAGGAGAGGCTGGTACCAGTGCGACGTAGGTAGGGAGGAGCGCATGAGGTGCTGGTTGCGGAGAGGGACGTAGAGGATTGCACAGCCTCTTGGGGTGTACAGCCATCTGTTTGTGGTTGTGTTTCCAAGCTGGTAAGAGATAATGATCGCCACAAGCAAGACAGAAGAAGCATGCAAGGGTACACGTGTGTACATACTTGTGACAATTAGAGGTGAAAAAATCCGGGTCGAGACTCCTGAGGTCAAATGGGAAATGCCCTATGGCATCTGCGGAGACACACAATTGATCATAAATGATAAGACAGACGAAGAGATAGTCAACTAAGGCCCCAAGACATTCTTTACTTACGAGCACCATCCACTAGGGTCAGAGCGCCCTCGGCGCGTGCAACTCGGATCATGTCCTCAAAGGGGAGCCTCACACCTGGCAAGCTGGGAATCGTCTCTAACACTACTATACGCACGCTTTTACCCTGCCGCGCGCATTCCGCAAAGGCTTCCCGGTAGGCATCCAGGATCGTCACATACGAGGCCGGCAGCGCAAAGGTGACACACATTTTCTCGACCGGCGATGTGTCAACCACCCAGTCGATGGTCTTGCGCGTGGCGCCATACACGGTGTCAAGGAACAGAACGACATCGCCTGGGCCCCACTGCGGAGCGAGGTTTCTGAGCACGGCGTTGACGGCCGTCGTGGCGTTGGCGACGAGCACCAGCTCGTCAGGGTCCACGCGCAGGTGGGCCGCGGCGGCGTGGCGCGAGGTGTCGAGCAGGCGCGGGTACTCGTAGCGGATGTAACGGTCCGGCGCGCGCTCCGAGGCGTCTTGAAAGGCGCGCAGGGTGTCGAGGACGGGGCGCACTGTGCTCCCGAAGGAGCCGTGGTTGAGATTCACATAGGCCGGGTCGAGGAGAAAGTACCTGTTGCGCATGGCTTGGCCAAAGGGAACGCGAGCAGTGGGTTGGGTGAGGATTCCTTCTGTCATGTTGGGCTTTGTAATATAGTCTTGATGCTGTAGCAAGGCCTGCTAACACAGTCTTTAGGAGAGAGACAAGCGACCAGCCTACCCTCAGTGCCGCTTGCACCAAAATTGGGCTTCTGGGGGGAATCTAAAAGTAATTATTAAAAACTCCAATAGGGGCATGTTCTTAAGTACATATGTGACTGGGAACCTGGCCAATTACGTACTCAAGATATCGAGGTACTTGAGTATATATGCACCAGGGTATCCAGGTACTTGATTGTCTACTCAGAGTTTCAGGCTACTTACCATCGGCCCAGAATAAGGTTTTACCCCAGATCTACCCCACATCTTAACCTCCGCCAGGTCATAAGCAGTTCCTCTGATTCTCTAATTTCTCAGTAGCAACATCAGACCTCGACGACATTTGCTATTTCCAGCAAGCATCATGACCATCTACTGCACGTACTGTGGGCAGGGCTTTGCAAGAAGCGAGCACCTGCAACGACACGTCCTCACCCGTACGTGGGCATTTGCTGCTCCCAGGTACCTCCAGAATGTCGCCTCACCGTACTGATGCGTAATGAGTAACCAACACAACTTGCTATAGATAGCGATCTGCGACCGTTTGACTGCCCAATATGCCATTTAACATTCAAACGCAAGTGGGTGATGTCCTTCCCCCCCCCTCCCCCCCTCCTTTTTTTCTTTTCTTTTCTTTTCCTTTTTTGCGTGCTCAGATGAGCTTAATAAAATGGTAGGGACTTAATGAAAAAACACTTCCTTTCCCACCATGGCAACGATCCCATCACGAAAGACACCACCCCTCTCAGCGCGCAGGACAGCGAGTCTGCTCGCGCGCTGCTGGCCAAGGTCCGCAGCAGCGCGGCCTGCTCAAACTGTGCCCGAACAAAGACAAAATGCGATAACGACACCAAACAGCCCTGTACGCGCTGCCAGTCCAAAGGCCTGGCCTGTGCCGCCCGCACAAGTCGTCCTCGCGGGCCGCGGCCCAAACAGAAGGAGAGGCAAGGGCAGCCGGACGTACAGCCAGAGAATTCTCACTCGCACTCGGCAGCAAACTCCCCCATCAACACTCGCTCGAACTGTTGCGGAGACAAGGACACACCGTCCTCTGCTGAGTGTAGTGTCACCGGCTATGCAGAGCCAGAGCCTGAACCTGGACCTGGACCTGGACCGTCCAGTAACGCGGCCTCATCCTCTTTATGGAATACTCAGGGCTTAGCGGCAGACCATCCTCCTCCTTCCCAGGTGCCCACAGCTTTTCTTCCCCCGCAACAGCAGAAGCACACAGATCCTCCGCCGCCCGCCTCCATGCTTTTATTTCAGGATGGTTTTGACTCGGACCTCTTCCCATCGATGGGCTCTATTCCTGGTGCCGGAAGTCCCGTCGTGTTTGGTCCATCGTGGGATTTTGGGAACTCACCAGATGAACTTGAGCACTTCTTCAACTCAGCATCTGGCGTTTTTGGCCCCTTTCTGCCCTTTGCTAGTCCGTCCCAATTCGACATAGAGCCACCTACACCTGTTGTCACAAATGGAAGCAATGAAGACGCCATTATGCGCGAGGCAGAGCTAAAGCCCCAAGTGGATGCGTCCACTTTGAAACTTCATATCTGCCCCGACCCAGAGCCAGTGGCACAAACTTCCTCCCGAGCCGTGGACGAAACTGTCGAAGATGATCTGTGGGCCCTCCCCAAGGACGTCGAGCACTGGACCATGCTCCAGTGTTGTCCCACCCCGTCGTCCGTATGTCCCGGGCGCGCAACCGCCCACCTGTCCTTCCTCGAAGAAAGCTCCTGCTCGCACCGCTCCGCCAGAACCTGGAGCCTGCGTCCATGGACTTACGGCAGCGCAGCACCCGCCTGCGTCAGCAACGTGTCGCTCTCGGCGCTCACGCGCGAGCGGCTCTCCGCCATCACGCAGAGCTTCTTTCCCAAGGCGCTTGAGATGCATGGGCTGGGCTCGACCTCGACCTCGGCCTCGTCCCCGCACCGCCGTGCCTCGGAGTGGTTCGGCTCGTCGGGCTTCATCCTACTGCCGCCCACTGCGGACCTCAACTTGTTTCTCGAGACCTACATTGGCTGCGTGGAGCCTTTTTTCCCTCTTGTGCCCACGCGCACCCTCGACCCCAACGAGCTGCTCGGCGCCAGCGACAATGAGAAGGGCGCCACGCTGTTGCTGCTGCTCATGATGGCCATTGGGGCGTCCTGCAATCCTGCCCCCAGCGCGAGGCGGCTGGGCGCGGGGCTGGCGGAGGTGTGTCGCATTGCGCTGACGGATTTGGTGGAGAAGGACAACCAGTACTCGACAGTGCCGTTGATTCTGCAGTGCAGCTTGCTGCTGACAATCCAGTCGTGCTGGGGCGGCGAGAAGTGGCAGATGGACATCGGGGCGGGCCACCGCTTCATGTACATTGCGGTCAGTGTTCATTTCTTTTTCAGACGCCGTACAGAGTACGCAAGGAGAGCCGGGGAGAGTTGAGCTGATACATGCCGTCTCGTCTAGATGCTCCGAAACTCTGGGTACTTTCAGAACGTGGCACCAAAGCGTCTCCACAGCAGGGTCGCCGTCGACAGGCACTTGAATATCCACCGCGCCTGGCGGAACTGGGTGGAGCAGGAAGGCCGGCGAAGGCAAGTGACATCGGGTATAAATATATGTGCTTATGCATATGTATATCGTACCAAGTCTTTGAGCACATATATAAATAAACATAACTAACAGGAGTATCTGATGGCAGGCTTGCATACGATTGGGTTATGGTTGACCAAGAGCTCAGTCTCTTCTACGACCAACCCCCTACCTTCGCCATCACCGAGCTGCGCGCACCCCTCCCCGAAATAGATGCCCTGTGGCATGCCGAGAACGCCGCCGAATGGGGGGCCCTGTACGACAGCGAGAAGTCGTCAAGGCCACAGTACTCGCTCCGCCGGCTCTTTCAGCTCTGCCTTGCCAACGACATCGACCCAGCCGCCTACCACCTCACGCCCACCCGCCTACGGCTACTCCTCTACCCCATTCAAAGCCTCGTATTCCACCACGGCCAGCTGCTCGACGCCGTCCCCGACAGGCAGATCCCCGCCTTGTCCAGCTTCAAGACCACCACCCGCACCTCGTCACTCCTGCGCCTCGAGGAGCTGCAGAGCCTCCTCCAGACATGGTGGACCCTCGCGGAGCAGCACCAGCACGAGGCCTTGAACCCCACATGCGATACCGCGCAAATCCCGGCACCGCCGCCGTCAGACTCGGACCAGGTCCTCAGCCGAGCCAATACTCTCCTGTTCCACCTCATCAGCCTCCAATTGTACACCGACCTCAAAGCCATCGAGAGCTTCGCCCGCGGCGAAGACCTGTCTTGTTCTGGAGGCAGCAGCAGCGCCGTCGACACCGCTTCCCTCCGTACCCGCCACCACCTCCTCGCGGCCCGGTGCGTCTTTGCCCCGCCCGAGGCCGTCTACCACGCGGGGCAGGTCCTCCGCCTCGTGCGCGCGACGCCCCTCGCTCGGCGCCCGCCCTGGTGGGCCGCGGCCGTGTACCGCGCTGCCCTGGTGCTGTGGGCGTACGCGAGCATGCAGCAGTGCCTGTCTTCGTCGCGCGAGGAGGAGGGCAGCGCCAACCAGCCGGTGCTCGTCGCGATTGACGCGGTGCTGCCCGGGGATCCGGCGATGGGGCGGTTCTTGCGTCAGGGGAGGGGCGTGCCGGTGCTCTCGAACGGTGGCGCGGCAACGGTGCGCGTAGATCGGGAGCCGCAGAGAGTGCTCGGGGCGTGTGTTGCTGTGCTGGGTGCGGGAGAGGCATGTACGTGGTTTGCCATGGGGGTCCGGATCAAGCTCGAGATGCTGCTGCAGGCTTGGAGTGGGCTGGGGCATGGAGCCGTCTAGGGCAGAGGGCAGGTAGCATGTGCAGGGTATGGTCTTAGTTAGAGACTGACTAGGTCACATGGCGTCTCGTTGCCAACACAGTCACTCTTTCGTCCCCGTGCAAAGCGGTCGTTTGTATGCACCATACCATTTCGTATCATACGTTGAGCAACACCATGGTAAAAGAGCCTAGGATGAAAATACAGGGCGAGATAATATGTTCTATGTATAACACTCCATGCAAAAGTAAATTTGTTTCGAATGTTCGAGCACAGAGTAGAAGAATAGTGTTGGCTGATTCCACGGACTGGCTCGCTTTTTGGCTGCACACATGCGGCTGTTGGAACATTCACCAGCCTGCCGGCCTATCTTGCATATAACCTTGGCCTGATGAGCTTGTAACGGCCACTCGGCGGGCCCAACTGCAGGGGTTGGTCGTATTGTTGGACCGATCTCGTCTTTCCCAAGCTGTCTTTTTAGTTATCCTGCGGGGTACCATGTCTGACGAGACTTTTCGCTTTGGATACCAACGCTATTTTCTGGACGGCACGCTCTTTACTAACCACATGAAATGATCGATGAAAGTTGGAGATACTTGACCTACGGCGGTGTAATTACGCCTGGAGGACCGAGTCGATGGGACGTCTTGGATTTTGACCAGCGTCGTACCATCTCAGTCAACTTACCAAATGAAGAGTATAACGGTGACATTGTCATAAGTACGATTGTTTTTCCAGCGTTATGTCTCATATCCTGGCTGAGATGCGAGCCGCCCATGGTACGTTTCAAGGACTAATCGATCTGCAGATTTTTTGAGGAAGTACGAGGACAAGGTTGACCCTGATGTCTTCGCCATCACCATCAGCGAACAGGGGGAACTCACCGTCTCTAAAGATTCCGAGGTTGATGAGACTCAGTGTCCCCACTATCCTGCTTTGGATGATGTCGAGCGTGCGGAATCGATACATACTGTATCCAGAGGACAGCTCCGTGAGATTGAGCGATTTAGTCCCAATGTCGATCTCACATCCTATTCTTCGCAGGATGCAGGAAAAGTTAGACAAGTCGTCTTCAAATACTACTTCTTGGATCGATTTCTGTTCAGAAGATGGGACGAGCTCAATACCTGGATGCGTCTGCCTTTACACCCTTTCATCGTTCCGTTCGACAGGCTTGTTGTAGATGAGCTTGAGGGTCGAGAAGTTGTCGTCGGATTTACAACCGTCTATATACCAGGAGGCACAATTGAAGAAAACACGTCTCGAATCTTCAAGCTCAAATGGTTGAAGCAACTTCTCTGTGCTGTTGATGATCTCAATCTCAAGTACGGTATCCAACATCAGGACATAGCCCCAAGAAACCTTCTGGTGGACGAAGAAGCAGACAAGCTGCTTGTCTTTGACTTCAATTTCGCTGCTCGCATTGGATATCCGTATCAAGAGGACTACGAGCAGTACAGTGTACACCGAAACGACGTCAAAGGTGTTATTTTCACAGTTTACGAAATCATCACGCGGGACACGCATTTCACGGAGATATCTCACCATGAGCAAGACTCCACCAATATTCTCAGCATGGAAAGGTGAGTGATCATCCCATCCCCCACCCCCCCCCCCCCAAACAAGGCTCACAGTATTCTGAGACAATCTTTCATCAAGCTGGCAACAACACCCACAAGTCCGACTTGACCATCCCGTAGCCGAGTATCGCTCAGTCCTCTATTCATGGGTTGAGTCCAGACGACAAGGGCAGCAAGTCAGTCACTATACGGAAGCTTCAGAGTACATCGATTGGCCAAAAATCCCCCCTCCACCACGGGACGAGCTGGATGACATCGTACCAGATGCTCCGGAGTATCGATCTGATATGCCTGGCCAAGATCCCACAGACTTTGGGACCGATGACGGCGAGTCTCTCTCCGGCCTGGCCTGGTTCACAAACCGCAGAGACCGGCGAGAGCAAGGGCTGGAAATTCTAGATTGGCAGCGTCCTCCTCAAGGTCAGATACCACATGGATGTTGTGTCTTGGCATCTGGGACTGTCATAACTGAAGAGTGTTAATAGAAGATTCATGTATCAGCATTTGATTTTGTGTGATTTCGAACATTCTCGTCATGTCGTTTAGGAACGGCGTCGTGGTCCATTTTATTTTGCTGGCACTACTGAAGTAGTCCTGCGTCTGAGGATACACAGAACAAGTCAACTCGTGCGAGTAAGCATTCTCCGAGGGTCAACAAAAGTAACAATGCATGATAAGCTCATGCCCAGCCGACAAGACCAGTGACTAATTTTCTCGGCGCACTGAGCTCCTCTTTTCTCGCCTTGAGCTCATCAACATCCCAGTTCCCCCACAAATATTTCCCCTTCAAAAACTCCCCTTCAGGGCTCACCAACCATGTTACGAAGTGTCCTGCCAGATCAGCTGCAAAGGTGGTCAGCCATCGCTCAGAAAACTGAACTAATCGCGCACTACGGATTATAATGCACCAAGAGGGATGAGTACTCACGCTCGTCAATAGGCACGCCAGTCGACTCAAGGCCAGACTTCGTCAACATGTTCGTCCCCACAACCCCCGGGTGCACATTATAAAACTTCAACCCCGGGTTCTCAAGCTGCAGCGTCTCGACGAATCGCGCCGCCCCGAGCTTGCTCGAAGCGTAGGCGGAAAACCCAGGCAACGCGGGATTGATGTGACCTCCAGCGGCGGAGATGTTGACGAAGCTGGCGCCCGGCTTCGCAGTCGCCAGGTACTGGCGGGCTAGCAAGTAGAGGCCCTTGACGTTCACCTCCCAGGCCTTCCACCAGTCCTCGGTCGCGCCCTTGCCCTCTCCAGCCGGGATGGGCTCCACGGTCGGCAGGTAGCCTGCGTTGGCGACGACCACGTCCACGCCCTCGGGGCTGACCTTCTTGGCCTCGGCAAAGGCCCGCGCGACGTCTTCCTCGCGGGACGTGTCTCCTGACACGGTCGAGATCTTGGTCGAGGGATGTGCGGCCTCGGTCTTGGCCGCCACGGTTTCCAGCGCTGCGGTGCTGCGGCCCAGGATGATGATGTGCGCGGCGCCTGCTGTTGCGAAGGCTTCGACGATGCCGATGCCGAGCCCGCGGCCGCCGCCGCTGATGAAAATTGTCTTACCGGCTGCTGATAGCTCGGGACGAGTTGGGGAGATTGATGGGTAAGTGCTGGTATGGTAGGTTTCGGTGAAGTCTGTCTCCCAGAGTCTTTCAGGCATGATGAATGTCGTATGGTATGATGAGCTATACAATGTTGTTACAAGACAGGCTTTTGATGACCTGCTCAAAGGTAGATCATCGGATGATGGGGCGGCGAAATGAAGTTGTATCTATCACTCACGCGTGCTCAAGAGAGGAGAGGAGTTAAAGATAGGAATTAAGATGGGAAGGAGTTAAGGGAAGGAGTTAAAGAGAGGAGAATCAGAGCCAGATGGCATGTTATCGGCTGTCTGCATGTGTTGATCTGATGAGTTTCTGGTAATTGGTCCACCTTCACCGTTGATTATTGGCTACGAATGGCCGGCCCATAAACTCACTGCACCTGCATGTCAGCAACATTTCTGACACCGATGCTACACAAGCCGACGGAAGGCGTAAATGGTCTCGCTAGCTTCAAAAGCAACAATGACGGTGCGCATGGCGTGCCAGATAAATCCGACCCTGCCGATCCGGCATTTGAGTTTGGCGGACGGAGTACTAGTCGTCGTGTACTTGGATTTACGACGACTCCATTATCATGAGCGGAGACGCATATGCGTCGCACATAGTGTAGTTACATAATCTTTTTGCGGAGATTCGGTCACTCCGTTTGACCCAATCAATTAGTAATTGTCTTTCGGCCGACATAATTATGCAAACCCAAAAGGTTCAAGTAGAGCATGAGACTGTCCAAAGGGACACAATTCACCAAGTTTGCTGCTTTCCCTCATTGTCCCAAAACTTTCCTCCGTGCGAGTCTTTGGTAGCAACATCGATGACCTGCATAATCCCATCGCAGGATTCATCGACTCCTATGAATGCCTTTTCGAGACCTAGGAGGCGAGCACTTTTGTTCCCCATTTCCGTCTGGACGAAACTAGAGGAAAGAAGCTCTGTCAGTACATTTTCACATGCGTACCAAGAGGTTGTGGCGGCCACTCACCCAGGATGGATGACGAATGCAGTGAGAGAGTCCTCCTCTTCATTGATCCTCTTCGTGAGCCAGTGAACGGCGGCCTTTGACGGTGCGTATGCAGCGTTAGGGAACGGGCCTTGATTCTACCAGCCGTAATTTATCAGCATCACCTCATTACTCTCTTTGCACCTCATTTTGAGTGGTAATTTTACCTCTAGCTGCCCTGCCGCAGAGCCCATGGTGACCCATTTAGGCTCGGTGGACTTTCGTAGCAACGGGAGCGTGGCTTGATAAAGCCAGACTACACCGAACACGTTTGGCGTGATGTGGGCTTGCAGGTCTGCAGTCTTCAGCTCCGACACCTTCGGAAACCCTTGGGCAATGCCGGCGTTTGCGATGACAGTGTCCAGATGATCGATACCCTGTCCGGAAAGCTCTTCAACGGCCTTGAAGGCGTCGGATTCGATTGAAGAGTCGACTTTCACGACGATCAGGCGACTGTGCTGCGCTGTTGGTAGGTCTGCGAGGGATTTTGCCGTTGGGTGTTTAGGATCGCGAACGGCGGCAATGACAATGTGGTCATCCCTGGCTAGGTAGCGTTCGAGAAGTCCCTTGCCCAAGCCTCTATTCGCACCGCTGATCAGGACAATTTGAGGAGCCATTGTGGAGAGGGGTGTAGGCTAATCCGCAACTGTGAAGACCTAGGTGCAGCTTACAAGACTTGTCATCTAAATCATACCATGCATGCGCCATAGTTATAACTTGAGCCTTTTTGTATGGAGATCCTGACTACATAAACGAAGAGGGAAGCGATGACAGACATTTTGCTGAATAATCGCATGTGCTGAGAAATCAATATGGGCTGTCTTCCGCCATGCAAACCTCAGAATCATGATGATTTCTGGCCTCGGCGGACTCTTTGCCATTTTCAGTGACTTGAAATGCATAGGATTTGTGGGAAGAGAGCCAACACCACTTGGCTTCGATGTTGGTGGTCCGCTTCTTGCGGACGCTTTGTCGGCGGAGGCTTAGCTCCCACTTCCTGCTTACACAATGCCCTGCGCAGTATCGTGAAGGCGTGCTGGGATCTGATCCGGGAAATCCAATTCACATGCATCCTACACGGAGTGGAGGCAGCCTTTCGGCCCAAGCCCAGGCCACAGCCCTCGGCAATAGCTGGAATGGGACACAGGATGACTAGACGCGTGGAGACTAGTCTCGTGCCAATGGTGGATACTACGGGCTGCACTGGCAGAACAATTTCGCATTCTTTGTTCTGTAGCTTGAGGGTGTATGGGCTCAGCGCTTCGCTTGACTAGGGCCGCGTGCTTGGCAGCTCGATGTGCCTCTCTCTATTTCGGCTTGGGGGCCACGGCTCGGGTAGTAATGCACTCCGAGCGGTATCACGTATGGTAGATGGTGCTAGGGTTCGGTGACACCCAATGATACCTTGCAGGGCGTCTGAATCGAGGACGGCGACCTCGACCCTTAAAAAGCTTTTTATTGCCTGGGTGTCAGTTCATGAGGCTGCATGCGAATCACCACAGTTGTGGACTGATTATCGGGTTAAACCTTAAATGCCATGTGTTCTTCTTCCTTCCCGTCTTCTCTTTTGGAATTCTAATTAAAGTTGCCCTGGGCTGCAAATCAAGAGGATTTTGTGCTAAATGCGACATGTCCCAGCCTTGCTCAATTTGAGTGTGGACTTGGCAACCTTTTCTCTCAGATGGTGGTCATGTGGCATGTGCTGGCTGCGCAAGGAACGAGATTGCGCATGATAGTAGCAAGATCTTGTCCAAGGGGGACAGGGTGTATCTAGATCAGTCATATCAGCGAAGAATCGATGATCTGCGACTAAGTATCGGACGGTGTAACGCAGATGAAGCTACGCTACGGAGCAACGGAAAACAACACATGTGCAATGAACAGACGGCCGATGGCAGATGGCAGATAGTGGTATCTGGGTATCAAGGTATCAAGTGCGCGCGCCTAATAAAGTTGCGAGGGCACTGCCGAAACGAGAGTAGTGCCGATGGTCGTCGAATGCATGCGTACACGAGGGCCCCCCTGCAAGATTGATGAGCAAGCTGGCAAGCCACCTGTATTCTCGATCAATTCTGCCGCTGCGTGCCAGTTGCCGTCCCTGAGCCTGAGCCTGTGCCTGCGCCTGTCGTTCGTGGGCGGGCAGATCCAAGCCAAACCCAGCCAACCCCAGAAAACAACTACCACCACTGACTCGTATCCGAGGGGGCCCTCCCCCCTTGTCCCCCGCACTCAACCCAGCCCAAGCCCCAAGCCCATTGAGGCCAAGAACCTGGAGTTAGCCTGAGTAGTGAAGTGAGCGAGAGAGAGAAAGGAGGTCGACCTCGACATTACCCGACGACGTCGTGCACACCACACACCGTGGTCTTGTCTTTCTGGATTCTCTTCGCCATCCCATCTCAGCCCCCAAATTCATCAAAAGCATCGCGACATGGCCGACACAGGCGCGTCTGTCTACTGAGCTCTGCGGCTGACCTCATCTCTGGACTGCGACGTCTCTGCCCGCGCCCCAGTCGTCCATGGATCGATCCGGTGTGAGCGTGAGCTTGACCGTGGTTGGACCGACTCCGACGGGCATCATACGTACACACGTATTGGAAAATCACTCACCCGACCCGACATGATGGACACAGAAACGAGCCCTGACCGCATGGAGGTCGAGGGAGAGCCAGATGGCGACGGCGACAAGAGGTCGCTCAGAGAGTTCTCGTCCCTGCCTGGTGAAGGAGACGAATCGAGGGAACATGCCCGTCCCAGGAAGAGAACACGCCGAGCCTGTGATAAATGCTCATCGTCGAGGACCCGGTGTGATGGAGAATACCCCTGGTGAGTGAGGCGTCGCCCAGCCCAAGCCCTCATGCTCATGCTCATGCTCATGCCCACCCTCCGCTATGGCTCGCCCACCGTGCTATAATGCTGCACCCCAGCCGGCTGATCCTGCATGCTAATCATATCTACAGTCGCCGCTGCGAAGGTATGCCACAACGTTTACTACTTTCTCTTGTCCTGCTCTTGATTGCTCTTGACTCAGTCTTCCTTCTCCCCATCCTTGCTTCCCCCCCTACATCTCCGGGAAAGCCGTCTGCCCTTGCCTAGTGCTTGGCGACGGCTGTCCTATCAGGTAGACCGTCGTCAGCCTCTCATCCCGTATCCTCCCACCGTCCCGTCCTGGCTGGTCATGGACAACGTGTTGATGAAGCTTTCTGTTTGCGCCCGGCATTGCAGACTACGGCTATACCTGCCGCTATAACCGCGAGATCAAGAAACGTGGCCGTGCGCCTACCACCTCCTTGGGAAACCATGCGGCTCGCTCGGATTCAACCGGTTCGACCACTCCCAGTGCCAAGGTCAAGCGCCAATCCTTGGGTGCCATATCGCCGTCTCCTCCGGTGGCATCGCCAGAAACAAGCCTTCCACCGCTGCACTTCCCCCAGTCCCATGAGCGTTATAGAGACGGCATCAGCCTGGCCTCCGTCCAGCCTCATCGTCCCTCCTACGACGATGGCCGCCCTTCCATCTCACACATGGTCATCCAGCCATCTGCTGCCCCTGTGCAGTCCCCAGCCTACCTCTCATCGCCAGCCTACAGCAACACCAACACTCAGATACAGCTGTCATCACTTCTAGAGCCAAGTGCCGAATCACCAGTCCTTAAGAAAACCCATGAGAGCCCGCCCCAGATGTCTGCACAGGCTGGACGCACCAGCGACGCAGAACCATCAGTGCCGAGCGCCAGCGTGGGATATCCCTCCCCGGCAAACGCTGGCTCACCTCCCCAGCGTGCGCCCAGCAGTCGGAGCAGGCAGTCTTTCAGCAACTGCCCGCCACCGCTCCCTCATGGTCGAGATTCTGTCAGTAGTACGACGAATGGCCGTGAAGGATCTATCCCGGAGGGCCAAAGGCTACACAACTCACTGTACAAGGCACCCTCGGCCGACTGCCGTTACAGGTGCCTGGACCCCGTGCTGCCCTACCTGAGGGATATTATCCCGGCGTCGGTGGCTTGTGACCTCCTTGATGTCTATCTCACGGAGCCCGGGAGCTCGCTCTTCCGCTGTGCTTCGCCGTATATACTTACTCGCATATTTCGCAAGAAATCACTACTGCATCCCACCCACCCCCGACAAACTACACCGGCCCTATTAGCCACCATGCTCTGGTGTGCCGCCCAAACAGCCGACATAGTGCTACTTCATGTACCAGGATCCCGAGCGAAAATCTGTAACGCAATGTATGACCTAGCAACCGCCTTGATATCGGACAGAGATCCGGATCGGTGGCGAAGAATACACGGTAGATGGCCCTGCTGCAAACTGGAATGTATTGTGTGAGCTAACAATGAGCAGGCGGTTTGCGAGTCGAGAGTGATCAACCACAGACAGGCTATGACTTCTCATCAACTCAGCCCCTGCTGACTGCCAAGAATGAGCCCGCCGGCGCGATCGATGATGTACTAACATTCATCCTCTTGTCTATTGCAGTCTCTGGAGGTGATTTCAAAAGCGACTGCTTCAAGTGGTGGAGCAAGGCGGTTCGATTAGCTGCCTCGCTCGAGCTGAATCGCGAGGATGAGCGGTGCTTAGCCACAGTATCCCCGTGCGCGAATCCGTTATGCTCCTGCAAACGTGAACAGGAGGATTTCTCGCTGTCAAGTACAGAAGCGAGGGAGGAAAGAAGGAGGGTGTTCTGGCTCCTATACTGTCTCGACCGACATCTGGCACTCTCATTCAACCGTGTTCTTGACATACCGGACTCCTACTGTGAAGTTTATGGTAAGTCGCTGCGCGCTCATTCATTTCGGCCTTGGCACGAGAACTAACGGTCAACAGCTCCTCTGCCAGAGAACATCTGGGAGAACTTGGACACCATAGCACCCAAGGACATCCCGCCGAGAGTAATCGGCGCTTCATCCATCATCACCGGGACAGGCTATTTCGAATATTTCCTCCCGTTGATGAGCATTCTCGGGGATATCATTGAGGTACACCACCGGAGATTCCATCCACGCTTGGGCATGGTCGACGACACACACGCCGTGGCGATCATCGGCGACCTCCTCGCAAACTGCGAAGCCAGCATCGAGAAGCTGCGCCAGGAGATCGAGCTGGTCGAGTACGCCGCCCCGATGCCGACGCCCGGCGCCGGGCCCAGCATCAAAGACCTCATCTCGGGCTACTCCAACCTCCCGCCGCCAACACACGGGCCCCCGCCGCCAACGACGGTGCCGGCGCCGACGGCGGCAGCGACGCGGGCCAAGGACCGCTCGCGGCTGCAGCTCGTCACGGCGTACTCGACGCACATCCTGCACGTGCTGCACGTGCTCCTGCACGGCAAGTGGGACGCCATCTCCATGCTGGACGACGACGACGACTGGATCACGAGCGCGCGGTTCAACAACTGCGCGTCGCACGCCATCGCGGCGTCGCAGGCCGTGAGCCAGATCCTCAAGTTCGACCCGGAGCTGACCTTCATGCCGTACCTGTTTGGGATATACCTGCTCCACGGGAGCTTTATCCTGCTGTTGTTTGCGGACCGCATGCCGAGGGTGGGGCCGAACCAGAGCGTGGAGCTGGCGTGCGAGACGATTGTCAGGGCGCATGAGGTGTGTGTGGTTACGCTGAGCACAGAGTTCCAAGTGAGTGCCCAACCATGTTTCCTTTTCCTCGAGAATCAGCCAGGGACGATTGATTCAAGGTATGCTAATATGGAATTAGAAAAATTTCCGCAAGGTGCTACGATCGACGCTGTACAGCGTGCGCGGCTCGAGTCCCACAGAGTGGGAGGAGCACAAGGCAAGACGGAGAGCACTTTCCTTGTATCGCTGGACGAAAGGAGCGAAAGGGCTGGCACTTTGAGATATTTACAGTATCTGCCTGGCTGGCTTTCGCAATCTTATGTGTATTCAGGAGCAATTGGTGTAGATTGGGCTCATGCTGGGAGGGCATATATACACATATATATATGGAGGATGGGACTTAGGCGGGAATATGATACCAGGACAGGAACAGGACGAACGAGATCCGCAATATAATTTCATCAACTATCTATCTGGCTTTGGCCATGCGGGATCATGACTGAGTCAAGGGCAAAAGATGTTGGCCCAGGAAGGGAAAAACAAAACCAAAAAAACATGCAACACCGGGCATTCGCTGGTCGTCACCGACCCAACTACTACTCCGGCGGTCAGTAGCTTAATTAGGGGAGAGCGGACGGGATCCCATGTTCTCTACTGCCTGTGGTCGCATGTGGTCAAAGATGTGGGCTCGCAGCCTATAATGCAATTTTTTGTGTACACAGTAAGATCGTGACATATGTGTGGGCACAGGCGAGTTCAGGAGACCGACACTGAGCCTGGTCCGTGCGCACCCGCCACCCCTGTCCCGTGGAGGAAGCTCTGCAGCTGCAACGTCAAAGCTCCTGTGCCACCTTATCGAGCTTCCACTGTCTCTTATTTTCTAACAACCTCGCTTTCGATCCCATCCAGGCCGTCTTTTCGCCGATTGCCTTTCCACGGCCTTGCCTTCGCCGAATTAGACAACTATTCCACATGGAGTAATCAGCCAGAGCCACTGATTCCTCCCCCAAACATCTACACACCAGGCGCCGGTCCGCGCAAACCGGCACGATGCTCCTCCCGTCATCCCTCACAACCATCACCGCCCTCCTCGCCCTCCCGGCCGCCGTTCGAGCCGTCTTCAGGGATGAGGTTGGCGATGTCGACTTCCACTACGAGCTCCTCGGCCTGCCACAGCGCGAGACCACATTCTTCCACCGGCCGAGGCCCGAGGACAAGGCCAGCCTGCTCTACACGCTCAGCGACGTCGGCGTCCTCGGCGCAGTGAACCCGAGCAGCGGCGGCGTGGTGTGGAGGCAGCTCATCGGCGGCAACATCACAAATGGCGGCGGGCACCTCAGGGCCGGCGACGGGGAGAGCTGGGTCGCCGGCGCATACGGCGGCGCGGTGCACGCGTGGGACGCCATCGGCGGGCGGAATGTCTGGTGGAAGGACTTTGCCGGGGAGGTCAAGGACTTGGAGGTCATGGAGGTGACTGAGAAGGGCCGCAAGGATGTCTTGGCCCTGTACAACGAGGACGGGTCCACGACCCTGAGAAGGTTGAACAGCGCCGATGGCAGCGTGGTCTGGGAGTTCAAGGAGACGAGCAAGGACCTGCCCCTTCAGGTCAGCACCAACGTCGAGAAGGTCTTCGTGATCAGCCTGCACGGCAACCTCCTGTCGTACAGCCTCAAGGTCACAATTCTCGACACCCTGACGGGCAAGCGGCTGGACGAGATCACCATCGGCACCAAGGGCGACGTCAACGGCGAGAAGGATGTCATGTTCGTCGGCGCCAACTCGGCCGCGCCGATCGTCGCCTGGACCGATGACTCGCTGACCAAGCTCCGAGTCAACGTCTTGGGAACCAGAAATACGCAGGAGTTTCCGCTCGTCGCCGACACCACATCTGTGGAGATCCACGCGCCTCACCTCGCGCAATCGCAGCCGCACTTCCTCGTCCTCAGCCGGACAAAAGTCGGCACCAAGGCCGAGGTCTTCCACGTCGACCTGAAGAGCAATGCTATCAAGCGGGCGCATGAGCTTCCTCACCTCGCTGGGCCGGGAGCCGTCTCGACCAGCTCGGACGGCGCGAACGTCTATTTCACCCGCATCACGGAAAACGAGATGACACTGGTCTCCTCGGGCTCGCACGGTGTCCTGGCCCGCTGGGACGTTAAGACTGGCAACTACAAGGCAGGCGCGGTACACGCTGTTTCTGAGGTCATCAAGAAGCCCGGGGATGAATTTGCCGTCCGGTCGGCCGTTTTGACCGATGCAGACGATTGGGTCTTGTTGCAGAACGGCAATCTGGGCTGGTCTCGTCCCGAGGGTCTGAGTGGTGCTGTCGCTGCCGCCTGGGCTGAGATCCCCGAGTCTGAGGACTTGGTCAAGACCCTTGAGGCAGAGGCACATGACAACCCTCTGTCTGCTTATATCCATCGCGTTACCAGGCATTTCGATGACCTGCAATACCTGCCGGGCTACCTTTCTTCGATCCCTGAGCGCCTGCTGGGTAGCATTATTGGCACTGAGGCTTCGAAGAAAACCGCCCTGTCACGAGACAGCTTTGGCTTCAACAAGATCGTCGTCCTCGCTACACGTCGAGGCAGGCTCTATGGCCTCAATGTTGGAGACCAGGGCAAGATGATCTGGTCACACCGGGCCTTCAGCCTCGCGCCCGGGGAGACTTGGAACGTTAAGGGTGTTGATGTCGACGACGCCAAAGGTTTGGTCACTGTCCGCGGCGCAACAGGTGACTATGTCGTTGTCAAGACGGACACTGGCAAGATCACCGAGATCACAGCACCCGGATCACGGCCAGCTGTATTGAGCACCGCCAAAGTCGACACTCCTTCCGGCAAATTCCTGCTCTCTGTCGGTGCCGATGGTAAGGTCGGTGAGATCCCGGCGGGTTTGGCGCCGAAGCAAACTGTTGTTGTACATGCCAATGGCGAACTCAGGGGATTGAAGTTCGTCGTCGAGGGCGAGCAAGCCCACGAAGAAATCGCTTGGACGTTTTCGGCCGCTGGCTCGCAGCGCATCGTCGACATTGCATATCGATCATCACACGACCCCGTCGCATCGATTGGTCGGGTTCTTGGAGACCGGACAGTCAAGTACAAGTATCTGAATCCTAACACGATCGTCGTCGCCACCGCGGATGACGCCGCTTCGACCTTGACGACATACCTCCTGGACACCGTATCCGGCCAGATCCTCTCTTCTGCCACTCAAGAAGGCATCGACACGGGCAAGCCCGTCCACTGCGCCATCTCCGAGAATTGGTTCGCCTGCTCCTTCTTCGGCCAGTATGAGCTCCGAGACAACGCCGCGCAAAGCCTGAAGGGCTACCAGCTGACCGTCTCCGACCTCTACGAGTCCGAGCTGGCAAACGACAGGGGCCCATTAGGAGACTCCGCCAACTTCTCGTCACTCAAGCCCATCGACAACCCCACCGGCCCCGCGCTGCCATCCGTCGTCTCGCAGACCTTCATCCTCGCGGCGCCCGTCTCGGCGCTGACCGTCACAGAGACGAGGCAGGGTATAGCGACGCGCCAGCTGCTGGCCTACCTTCCCGAGACGCACGGCATCTACGGAATCCCGCGCCACGTGCTCGAGCCGCGGCGCGTCGTGGGCCGCGACCCGACGCCCGTCGAGGCCGAAGAGGGCCTCATGAAGTACCACCCGGCCATCGAGGTCGATCCCAAGTTCATCATCACGCACGAGCGCGACGTCGTCGGCGTGCGCCAGATCATCGCCGCGCCGGCCATCGTGGAGAGCACCAGCCTGGTGTTCGCGTTCGGCATCGATGTCTTCGGGACGCGGGTCGCGCCCAGCTTTGTCTTTGACATCCTCGGCAAGGGCTTCAACAAGGTCTCCCTGCTCGGGACGGTTGTGGCGCTGACGGCTGGTGTCATGGTGTTGGGTCCGATTGTAAGTGATGCCTTCTAACTGACATGGCTAAGAGACAGTTGGCTAACTAATTATTGTACACAGGTCCGGAGGAAGCAGATCAACATGCGTTGGAAGCCAACGCAGTGAACTTAAAATTATAGAGGCGCCTTGTAGTGTAGAAAACTACGGCTATGTATCATTTAGCGTACCATGAACAATTATTGCATTGACGATTACATCCAGCTTGTCTCTCTTGCTTTCAGTCTACAGAAGTCGATGGTGACCCTTCCCTCCTCGAGCACGGCCTCTTCGTCTCACGCCTCGCCCACCGGCCGCTGATGAATCCCCGCTTGTCCCATCGCTATCAGCATCCTCATCCCCGTCCGCACTCCCTCCCTCGCGGCTGAAAATAATGTTCCCGCCCGCAGCCACGCCCTTGGGCGACCGAGGGCCGGTGCTGGCATTGTTGCTGCTGTCGACCGGGCCATCGCTGTTGCTGTCCTTGGTGAACTTGACCACCGGCGCCCTCTTTCCCGCCGAAGAAGAAGCACCAATGCTGTTCTTCTTTCTTCTCTCCTCCCCCCTCCCCCTCTCCCTGCCAGTCTCAGACGAGCCCCCCTCCCGACCTAAAAGCACCATCTGATCCACCCGCCTGCTCAGCGCATCAAAAGCGCCCTCCCATCCACCAGTATCCCGCCTAGCCACATCATCCCGCCACTCCTCCCGCAGCCGCCTCTCCAGCTCCCCCTCCAGCAAGCCCAGGATGTCCAGCCCCGCGCGGTGGCCGCCCCCGCGGTCCCGCTCCCGCTCCCGGTCCACCAGCCCCATCAGCGCCGCCTCACGCCGGTGGCTCGCGTCCACGTCCGCCATTTGCCGCTCGCTGTCGCGGCGCCGCTCCAGCTCGACGAGCCCCAGGACGCCGTCGTGCCGGCTGTGCCTGTGCCCGTATCGTCTTCTTCTACTGCTCCTCCCCCTGCCGTCGCCGTCGTTGTCGTTGTCGAGGTGGAAGTGCGTGTGCGGCGCGTCGTAGGGGCTCGCGGGCAGCATGCCTGCCGCGGTGGCGGCGACGGGGACGGGCACAGGAACTGCTGCCGCGGTGGTAGTCGTGTTGGGTAGGGCCGGGGCTGTCCCGCCTTCTTCTACCTCCTCGATGGTCCCGCCCGGGCCGAGTTCTGGGTTTCCGCCGTTGGTGGTGTTGGTGGGCCCGCCGTAGCGCCACGGCGAGTGGCGGGTGCCGTCTGGGCCGTAAGCCCAGCTGGGGATGGTGCCGTTGCGCTGTGCGGTGGTTTCAAGCTCGTCAGCGTGGGCTTGCCATGGCTCGGAAGGGTGGTCCTGAGAAAGGAAGAGGATGTGAAAGCAAGGTGGGGGGGAGGGGAAGAGAGCTGAGCCGACGCACCCCGGGCCCCCAGTACTCGTCCTCGTGATGCATCGTCGGCGTCACCTCAGCGCCACACCCCTCGTCGCAGCAGCCGCCGCCGTGGTGGTCACACCACCGCCGCGGCTCGGGCGGGTCCCCGATCAGCCACCGCCCGAAGCGCGGGAGGATACATCGCCGCGGTGAACGAACGCGCCGGTGGTGGTGCTGGTGGTGGTGATGATGGCCTTGGCCCTGGCCCTGGCCACGCCCACACTCCCTGCGCGCACGCTCGCCGCCCTGATAGTGGAACCGGCGGTACCCATAGCGGCGGGGCTGCGGCTGTGTCTGCGGCTGCAGCTGCTGCGGGATCACCGTCGCCGCGGGGACGAGCCCCGGAGCCGCTGGACCTGCTATCAGGCCTCCTCCCCAGGATGGATAACCGAGCACGCTGCGCGGCCAGTGCCACCTCCTGCGGCGGTGGCGGTGGGGGTAGGAGATGTGGTTTGCGCTATCGTCGCTGGAGGAGGAGGAGTACGTCGAGTCTGTGTCCGAGTCCGAGGGGTAGTCGCGGCGGTGTCTGCGTCGGCTGCTTGGATGGAAGACTAAGGGGCCGCAAGGGTGTGATGTTGAGAGAGCCATACTGATTGGTGTTGGCAGAGAACGGCGGCGGACTCTTGTTTAGGCTCTGCTGGCATGTGTACCCGCTGGTTAGGCCTGCTTCTCAAGCGCTTTGTTGAGTGCCAGACAGGTATGCATTCCGTATCCTGTGGCTTCACTTTCAGAGGCTTCTAATGCGCGGTCGACCAGAGACTGTGTGGCTCGTCGCGTTCACAGTGGAAAATGCTGGAGCAACCCTGTCCACCACCCGTCAATCCATCGATCCGTCGATCCAACCATCCAGTCAGCCAGATGACGGACCGAGAATGTGGTTGACAAACACAGCACCGCCTAGCCGGGCAATGGAGTGGATGACGTCCGGTCTCCAGGCTCCAGTCTCTCTCTCAGGCGTGTCGATATATCTGTCCTGGCCTAGAAATTAGTCCCCCAGCCAACCATGGGCGGCATATACATGGAGAGGGGTGTGTCTCTTGATTGCTCCCATCCGGACGAGCACGAGACCATGACTGGAGGCGTTGCCCTCATTTCACTCGTCTGATCCTCCTCCCGTCCGCCGCGAGCGAGGCAAACACTCGCCGTTCCTTCGTCGGGCAGGCCCATAATGAAAACACTCGCTCGAGGTTCAAGTCCAGTGTGCAAGTCCAGCGTGGCTGCCGGCCTTCACATATTGACATGCCTAAGGGCCGTTCTTGAGAAATCGAGAAAACCTGTCACCAAAGTAAACATCCCCCATGCCACCTGCAGCTAGACCCAGCTGCATCCGGCAGGAGGATGCTAGGTCTCTTTATATGCACAGATGCCTCTGGGGCCCCGCTACAGCCCATCAAAACCTACAGGGCTCTTTCATGGTCACACCAGATATCTACCGGCAGGACGAGGGGGACACAAACACGGCTGGATGTCGTACGCATTGCGGCCGGGCAAACATTCCGGCTCGGGTTGTTCCAGGACGCAGACGGGGCACGATATCGCGGTGAAGAGGGAGCAAGCAGGTCGGGAGGGGCGAGTAGTGCTGGGCGGATCTTCCTAGTGCCTATTTTAGAGACGCAGGAGCCATTTGGACTCCTACGTATATCATTTGGTCGGCCCATTCACATGCAGAAGCAGCGGATTATTCTGTTCGACTTGTGCCTCTCATAGTACTCAACACCAGCGGTGTTCACCCTCTATCCCGCTACCATCACTGCAGATGGAAGGGGTCACATGGCACGCTGGATGCTCCCCGCGGTAGCGGTAGAGAGAGTTTGAAAGGGGATTTATCAACTTCAATCCCGCATCGTGTCATCGCCGCAAGCGTGCAGTCCGCAAGGCTGAAGAAGCTCATAACCCTCAACACGCGAGGCCAACTCAGTAAGGGCGTGGTGTAACGAAGCCGGTGAAGTAACCTAACGGTGACGTTCACATTAGGAACCATAACTCAAGAGCCGTGCTGAAACTTCAACATGAAGCCGTTTCCAAACCCTTTAGACACGCGTTTGGCGCGACGGACAACCCCCCGCGGCGGTTTTGGTGCTGTCAAGCCATCCCATGTCACCATCAGGCGCGCTGCCCAAAGAGAGTTCCGGATCAGTGCACGCCTGTGACCCGGGAGGCTTAGCTTCTATCCCAAGGGTGATACCCCATAGGTTGCTCGATAAGCTCCGAGCTTTCGACCGATGTGGACGTGGCCCGGGCTTGCGGGTTGTCTTGCTGATTTGGTGGTGGAGATTGTTCGGGGAGTTAGGCACCTCGGCGCGACTTGTGCGGGATGCCGCCGTGTTATAGCAGGGGAAACTGAAAGAGGGGGAAAAAATATCAAGAGCCCTCTTGTACGTGGATCACGCGCATCGCAAACGCGATAACAAAGAAAAGGGACGAATGAAACGGGGTTCGCTAATGGTTGCTGTTGAAAGCATTGTGATGAAAAAAGACTGACGTCCCTTGCTGGGTTCGCGACACGTTTCTGTCGCGGTAGGGTTCGTGGAATTTAAGATATAACTCGAGATGCACCCACCTCCTATAATAAGAGATATCAAGACGCGAAAAGCATAAACTTTCGTCACATGCAACCTCGATGAGGTTTCAAGCCTTGATGGAATGGTCTGGACCATCGGCGTAGAGTTGCTTGCAGTAGTCTCCTGCATACTGGGGGGCAGAGTGCTGTTGTATCCAGTCCATTGGGTTGGTGCTCGGCCTCGATAAAGGCAAGGGTGATTGTTAGCAAGCGGAGCCTGACGAAGTCAAATCAGAGGAGCAGGGCGAATGGACGTTGTGCGGTATCCGGTCCGGGCAGAGTCGCGGGGGCCAAATAGCTGGTCACATAGCTCGGGTCGATATCTGCCGGTATGGAAGAAAGTGACTGCGATTGCCCATCGAGCCAGTGACAAGTCGTTTCGCTGGGAGGTTGTTCAAGCCCCCCTCCCCCCAGTCACCGGTCCAAGGTGCTGGAGTCTGATGATGATGAAGGGGAGGTCTTGATGAGCATAAAACCCACCGGATGCCTGATCGGCATTGGAGGTGGTCATAGGGAAGACCCCTGCGCGCCCTTGTCTGCAGCCACGGCCCTACCGTCAGACGGGCATCCGTGTTTGGAGCTATTCCGGCTGTCAAAACTTCCATGTCGACCCAATGTGAGCGCGTGCCAAGGCTATGACCTCGGACGGTCGTCAAACGCGAATTGCAGAGGCTCCTGGCAGCCCATTTGCCCTGGGAGCTGGAGCTGGAAAAATAGATGTAGCACGAGACATCACGAGCAGTGTTTCGAAAAGCCCGGAGAAATGACCGAATGGCGAGGGGTCGTTTCATCAACCTCTCCGTGTGAGTCCAAAACTCGCAGTCGCAGAGGTGGGTACAAGGACACTCGGCGAACAGGCCGAGTCATTGGGTGACGAGGGCAGGGTGCATACAGCGGATGTGCGGTAAGAATGACGCCCAGGATAGGATTGACGATCTGATATATAATGTGGCTGCATGGTTTTGGCAGATGTGTGGTGGACAGTACCGAACTGGCGGGTTCCGGATCGGCTAAGCACATTAGGTGGAAGCCATTCACGGGCATTAATTAACCTTGCCGACTCGGGCTTCGGGATTCATAAAGTGGTTGGTGGTGCTCTTTAGAATGATGCTGCCGTTGTATATTGTAAGTCATGGTTGGTAGAGGGTTCTTGGAGCCGTTAAGCATAAGTGAATGTTGGTCCAAGGCTCAGCACTCCCGAGACTGGCTAGGCGTTAAACCACCACCAGCACTGGGTGCCCAGGTTTCTCTGTGAAGTATCTAGGATGGTACCTGGGCAATGTCTTGGCGGGCCACAGGTCAGTGGCTGTCTGTACGCAGAAGATATGCCCTGCTCACCTCACCTGCTCACCGTGGTGTTGTGCGACGGCGTACGAGTCCAGGCAGAAGCGAGGTGTGGATGGCGCTAGGGCATTTGTTGATGCTCGCGTGAGCATAGTCCAGGATTTGCTTCCGAGGATATGAGGAGTAGTTGACGGGCTGAGACATTGAGGAGTCGTCCTGGTCGTCGAAGAGGGCGTTGTCGGTAGAGAGGGTGTGGCGTGGATGGGTGAGGATGGGAAGTGAGCAATGTCTGATGCACACACAGAGCACGGCTGATGCTGATGCCATGAGCAAGTACCTCCTGTTGGTCGACGTACATGTTTGATCGATTCGGAACATGTACCCTGGGCACGACCTGGGGTGCCAGGTGCAGTAATCTGTGGTCTGTGCCCCGTGCTCTGCGATCAGACTTACCGGAACATCAGCCGAGCTGAGCCTGGAGAGCACAGGCCATGCACTTGACTTGACCTTGACTTGACAGAGAGACAGACAAGCTCGACGCTACTCTGGAAGGCCCCACCTTCACCTCGCGCTACTTCTGTGCCCTGCGACAAGGCCATAACAGGGCGACAGAAGGCCAGAAGGCCAAGCCCCCCGCGAGAGCTGCAGGTCCATGTCTTGGGCGTGTCTGGCAGGTAACTAACTATCGAAGAAAGTTGTGGTTATTTACGAGGATTTAGGGTGTCGTATTCTGCTAGCACATGGCCAGGCTGAGAGCCCATCTGGGCGAGAGGAACATGTACATGCAGCAAGTACACACAACACAGGAAAAGGAAGTAGACAGACGAGCAGGTACGTACATTTTGGATCTTGGTGGTCGTGGGTAGGAAGGAACCTACCGTAACCAGGTGGGCTAACCAACCAAGGCCTTGTGCAGGCGGCCCCATACCTGACATTCCCGCGCCTGCGGGACAAGTCGACGGATCCACCTTTTTGCATTTAGCCATTCAATTCTCTCCCTTAGCCGTTTTGTCCATTTCATCCAGGAATTTGCAGAGCTGGGCCAGCTTGTCGACAGCGACAGGACGGTGGATTGAAAGTTGACATGTGGGCCTCGGTGTGTCTCGAGATGTGAGAGACAAAGGCAACAGGGCAAGGCAAAAAAGAAGAAAGGAGAAAAGAACGCGCCCCAACAAAGGGGATGCGAAGCGAAGCAAGGCCGATGCGATGCATGGGAAACAGGCATTTGCATTGTGCCTCGGTGAGATGTGAGATGAAGGTGTCTCTGATGGTGTGCTGCCCTCTGCCCTCTGGCCCTCAGGCCCTCTGGCCTCCCCCATGCCCCATGCCCCATGCCCCATGCCCATTCCCACGCCTATGCCCACCCCTTGTGCAACTCGTCTGTCGAACGGCACAATCGCAGCAAGATTCACTACACACTACGTGTCTCACCGGTCCCCTCCTCTACCAGAAATTACTAGCCTGCTTAGCCCGCCAGTCCGCTTGACCGGCGAATCACCACAGGGCTAGGAAAGCTTATCCCCGCCCTGTTCTTGCTCAACCTCTCTCTCTTTCTCTCTATCTCGAGGTATCTGTCTCTTCCTCTCTATCTCTGCCCTGCTGAGGATGCAATAGCGCCGGGCCATCCGTGAACTGTTCTCAGACGGATGCAGGACGGACGAACATCCTCGCAACTCTTAGTGGCTCCCGTCACTCTGGATGTCGTATTCCAGCACGTGTCCCCTCAGGTAGAGAAACCCAACAACCGCCACGCCATGTCAGAACAGACAGACAGTACACAGCAAATGATGATGGCGTTGCAAGCTGGCAGGTTGTCAACGAAGGGCTGAAAAATTGCCGACGACTGCAAGGGGTGCCTTGCAGTGTTCGGGGCCCAATCTCCATCTCAACGTGGGCGTGATTTGCCCTGTTTCGAGTCCTGATGGGGGAAGGCGCCATCGGGCTCCCATCTGAGACAGGACAGGGCCCCCCGAGTCTGAGCCAGCCTCCATTCATTACAACCCCAATATATGAGCAGACTTAGTGGTGGTGAGTGGTGACTGGATGATCGAGCTGTTGTTGCACAGGATTTGTTGAGCTCATTCCAGGAGGCCTGCCTTGGGGTGCTTGGCTGCCTTGGGAAGCAGGTACGTACGGTGGTATGGTACCTAGACTAACGACATTCATTGATGAGCCAGGGCGATCAAGAAGCCCCAAATGGGACCTAGATCGGGCTATCCTGGGAGACAAAACGGCCGGACTACAGAAATGGGGACCAGCAAGCCTGCAAGCCCAGCTTTAGTGCACTACAGGTAGCAGTAGCTGCTCCTTCCTTCTGCAAGTGCACGGCAGTGGGAAAAAGTAGACGGGGCAGGCGTGGCCCCTGTTCCTTCCTGTAGCGTGTCGACACCTGGAGAGGCCGCCTGATTGGGCCGATAGCAGGTCGCATGGCTCTCGATCAATGGTACCCACTTCGAGTCCAGAAGTCGAAACATGACACCTCAACCTACCTACCGAGCCATGATGCCACCTGCTACTGACCGCATTGGTGGTGGGCAAGGATATGCTGAGGCTTTTTTCTTCTTTTTTCTTTTTTTCAATCAATTCGGCTGTCTGTGACCCTCGTGGGCAGCCAGCGACAAGAACGTGCACAGACAGGGCAATGCAGGGGAACTACCACAGTACAGGGCGGGCAGGGCGAGCAGGCCTCGAATAGCAGAACAGAAGGGATGCACCTTCCGCCCCCCCCCCCCTTCCCACCATATCTTGTCACATGCTGCTGCTGCTGCTGCTGCTACCGCCTGCTGCTGCTGGGTGGGAAAGCTTGATGGGCCTTCTCTTGGACGCGCTTACCTAACATACGTCGACGGTCTGGACCTGAGCATGCGACTGGGACGTGATTGGGCGGGCGGCTCATGAAGGCCCCACATCGCCTCAAGGGCCTGCGCTAGTGCGGTGCGCTAGGCATGCAAGAACTGTCAATCGTCCCTGTCCTGTCGAGCCTGCCCTCTCTGCATGGTCTGCCCACCTGGGGATCCGGACTGCGCAGGCAAGCATGCAAAACCCCACGCGCACGCCTTCTTGCCTTTGTGTGTGTGACTCTCGCCCACTCGTGGCCAGAGTCTCGTCGTCCACTGCAGCTCTACTGTACTGCCCTGTACATCAGAATCATCATCAACATTGCCATCGTCATCACTCAGTCAATAGTCAACATTTTTGATTCAGTTGCCATGGCCTACCACTCAATGACAAGCCCTCATCTCTCTCTCGACTCCACTAGCAGGCAACGAGCAGCAAACACAAAACAAAGAAGCAATGCACATACCAGTCCCCTGCATCATCTCCCGCCCGGTCAAGTAAGCGACAGCGACAGCGACACCATGCTGCAGTCTACTTACCCTACGTCCCTACCTGTCCTACAGCGATAACCGTCAACACATCGGCCCATCAACGGTTGCCACTGGCCTGCTGGGCTGATAACATCCCTCCAGCCGATCCTCACTGACAGCATCGCGTCACACAGCCGGGAGTTCCAGCCCAAGTCCAAAATCAAAAAGGGCCCAATTGGGGGAGACCCGCTAGAGACATCAAACAACGTTTCGCCCCTGACCTTGACCCAACTCAACTAAAGTCGATTTTTACACAGCAAGTCCCCAACTCAATAGCCCGACCCGAGTCGAGTCGGGCCTGCTCGGCCACTCAAGTAACGAGCTTTCCAAGCTCGAGACATCGAGACATCGAGACATCGAGACAGCTGCCCCGTCCGTCCGCAGGTGATAGCGTAGGGCCAGGACGGAATGCCTTCCCCGGCTTAGTTCTCATCACCCGGTGGGCCTAGCGCGCAGCCAGTCAGAGGCCTCGATTTGTCTCAATTGTCCATGCCCATGTCAGAACCTGTCTGCTGCTATTCGGAGACACTCTTGATTTATCATCGCGCTTCCCTGGTGGCTCGGCCTCGATCAGTCAATAAGTCAGCCAGTCGGTCATTTGGTCGGTCGGTCGTTCAGTCAGGCAGTTGGTCAAACCCGCCAGTCAAACCGGTCCACCAGCTGCTACCGCAGCCAAGACCGGGGCAAGTCTGGCCCAGAGCTGTCGAAGGCGAGTGATGTGCGCGTCTGTGTGTGTGTGTGTGGGGTGGGGGAGGGGGGAGAGGAATGGGAGTACTTTGGTGTGGTACGGGTTGGTGTGGTGCAGACGGAACCGGAGTGGAAGGTAAGTAGGTACTGGATTCTAAGTGTGCGTGTACTGTACTGTACTGTACCTAGGTATGCCCGCCCGCCTTGGCCCATTCTCAAGAAACAAAAGTCGTGAGGCAGTTCGAAGGGAGGCAGGGAGCACGGGCACATGTAAACTCCATCACCAGGGGCCTAGTCCACTGCCGAACCGAACAGGGCCTCGCTAGTGGGCAACCGCACCGCTCGTGGGCTTGACCAAACATCGAAAAGTTCACACCCAGTATCGCGGTGCTCGGTATGGTAAGTTTAGTCTACTTCTGTTCTGAGACGGAACCAGAGGATGACAAGGCTGTTCCTTGAACTAACTCACTCCTCCAATCGACCAGCAAGTAACTCACCCACTCCCCCTCCCCCGCCCTGCCACACCACGGTACATGACAGCTACGTTCCTGGGCCCTCACTCCAGGGCCTGGGCAAAGGTGCCTTTGCTGTAGACTGTAGACTGTAGACTGTAGACCACCTTGTGTGTGGCATTTCGACCCTGCAGGGCCGTCTCCATCTCAACTCTCGAGGCTTTTGCTCTCGACCCTGTTTCTTCTCGCGTGCTGCTGGGTTGTGACAGAACCCTCCCACGGCGTTTCTGCCAAGCCATCGACCACATGTACATGCTGACCGAGTTACAGTCAGTATCCTTGTACCGCATGGTACCTGGATAAGCTGGTAGATAGATAGATAGATAGATCGGTAGACGGAACTGTACCAGTAGCTGGTTGTAAGCGACCGATTGCAGCGACGAACTGAGAGTTACAACCCTTCTCCCCCTGCCCACCCACCAACCCCGGGTCCAGGTCCCTTAGCAGTCCAGTCCAGGTTCAGTCTAAGTCCCCCAAGTCCCCCCAAGTCCCAGTCCCAGTCCCAGTCCGTCGAGGTCCAAGTCCGTCCCTCTCCTCATCCCGCTCCCTCCTCCCTCCCTCCACACACCCTCGCTCGGCCTTGCCCACGCCCACACACTCACATACTCATACTCATACTCACACACACACACACACACCTCTCTCTGCACGTACGTACATACTGTACTCGCAGCAGGACTCTCTCACACACACGACACGCCCCTAGTCTACGGCACCCCCAATCCCATCCCATCCCCATCCCACCAGATTCCTGTTCCTCTCCTCCATCGAACACACCCCCCCCTTTTCGAGGCTCAACTCAAACACCACATTCTTTCTCTCCCGCTCCCTGAATTTCCTACCCGCCTCGCCAGATTTGCATTTGTTCCCGACAGCCACTCAGTCAGCTAGTCAGTCTCTCTCAGTCTCCTCTCAGTCTCTCTTCAGCAACTCTTCCTTCTCACGCCAGGCCAGCATCCTGTCTCGCCGTCTTCCCTCTCCCCATTCCTCCGCGCGCCCGCCTCGCCTTTGTCCCCACCACATCCGACAGCAGCAGCAGCGCAGCGCCCACCAACCCACCAACCAGCCAACCAGCCCAACTCAACCCAACCCCATTGTGTTTCTCACCCTCGCGACCGCGTCTTGGCCAAACCGGGGACCCAACCTCCCGGACAATCCCATCACGGCCCTCCCGCCCTTTTTTGTTGTAGCGTCGACTCGTCCACCGTGAGCAGAAGAACTGAGAGCAGAACCAGAAGAATTCCCACAGCATCGCGAACCCTCGCGACTAGTTTCGAGGCCAGGCACCGCGACCTGCTCCACATTTCGACTTCTAAACCAGCCTGATTCGATCAGCGCGATCGTCGCCCTCTGTCGTCGCCTGCCATAGGGTACCGTAGGGCTGTGCTGCATGCATCGCGACTCATGTACGGGGATCCAAGCACTTCCGCCGCCTCCTCTGGCGCGTCCCTTACTGCTTTGCAATCGCATTCACTCTCCAAGCCACCGCGGTCGCAGTCGCAGTCGCAGTCGCAACCGCCACCATCATCGTCATACCCATCCACCTCTCTGCCCCTAGCAGCCTCGAGTCGCACCAGTCCCTTCACGCCCAGCACCCTTGCGCCATCATCTACAACAACAGCCTCCTCCACCGCCTACACGAGCGCGACCGTGATCGCGCCGCCGGCCACATCATCATCCATGGCGGCCTCCCTCTTTTACCCGACGCCTCAGCCCATCGGCCCGCCCTTGTCCGCTGCGACCCCATCGCATGCCTCATCATCGTTCGCGCATTCGTTCGACAGAGATGCGCCAGCTCCCATTGGAACCCGCCAACCTGGTGTTGACTATGCCGTCCTCGTCCAACGACTACCGCCCGAGACCACCGAGCAGAACCTAAGAGTGATGTGTATATTCTCTGACGAGCTGCTGGATGTCAACATGCTCGGCGTTTCAGCAGAGCCCGATGGCAACTTTTGCTCCGCTGTCCTCCGCTTCAAGTCTTTCGACGGTGCCCAGGAGGCGCAGACTATACTCAACGGGAAAAAGGGTATGATGGTTGATCACCTCGGCTCCAGGGGGCCCTTTGCTCCCGACAGGAACAAGTCTGGTCCGTCCAGCGGGGCGTCTTCGACAACCTCGCCTGGAACCACGGCGACGCAGCCGCCTCGTTTCGACGGTACCTTCTCGCCGCTCGAAAAGACGTCGCCCTCGATCAACGGAAACTACGTCACCGGCGACTTTGGCAGTGCGAAGCCCAACTACAACTACAAGACATTCTTCTCGCCGCAGTCACCTATCGGAAATCATCTCAGCGAGCAGCCCCGCAATACTGGCAAGAGCTTGATCAACGATGCGACCGACGACGACGATACTGGAGACATCCTTCAGCTTCCCCGCGCCTTTGGAGAGAATGGATCGGTGACAGCCCAGCGTCGAGCGACCGCACCTCAGATCCCCATCCTGGACAGAATGGCGTCCCTTTCCCTCAATACCGGTCCGGCAAACGGTGCGCCCTCATCTCAGCGTGCACATGGCCAGCCAGGGGCGTATCAACCGCATTCGGCCCATCCCAACAACACCATGTCCCCAACGGCTATGAATGGTACCAACGGGCATTATCAAACGGGTCCGGTGCAGTGGCGTACGCATGTTCCGCCTCCTGCGAACCCTGCCGACATGAACCCGCCTTGCAACACCCTCTACGTTGGGAATCTACCTATGGGCAGCTCGGAGGACGAGCTGAAGACCGTTTTCTCGAGGCAGCGCGGCTACAAGCGACTGTGCTTCCGGGCGAAGGCCAACGGACCCATGTGCTTTGTCGAGTTTGACGACATTTCATGCGCGACAAGGGCACTCCATGACCTCTATGGATACCCACTCACCACCAGTGTGAAGGGGGGCATCCGGCTGAGCTTCTCGAAGAACCCTCTCGGCGTCCGAACTCCTCAGCCTCCTGGACAGGGCCCCTCGGGACCTCTGGCCGGGCCCAATGGGCTCATGAATCACTCGACGAACGGCTTCGCATCGGCCGGGCCTCCTCCCGGACTCACCGCGCCCCCAGGTCTCAACGGGGGTCGAACGAACGGACCGTACTCAGCCTCTGGTGTGCAGAATAGTTCAACCCCGAGCTCGTCCTATCCGCCTTCGACGATGTCCAATGGCTCAGCCAACACGTCGCTCCAATTTGGCAACAGTGCGGCTGCCCCCAGCTATGGAGGTAATGCATGGGGCTCCAGCAGCTACTTCACCTCTCCGCCCATTTCCGCATCCAACGGTGTGGCATCTCCGCCATTGGCAGGGGCACCAAACGGTTCTGCCAGCTTCAACTCGTACAGACGGGGCCAGTTCTAGGTGCCGTGAGTCGGGAACATGCCCTGAACTGGTGTTATAAACACTTTTCGACCTGCCCTATTTTCATGAGCTTTTACATTATGTTTGTCTTGAAAGTATTATTGATTTTTGTTTGCGGCTTTGCATTGGCACGGGCTGCACGGGATGGATTGCGCTCTCACGGCTCAGCTGTCTCGTTAACGCACATCTCCTTCTCACACATCACATGATTCCCCCCTGCGATTTAGCAAGCACGACATGGAAGGAGTTCACAGGATTTCTTTTCTCTAAATGTTACTCGGGACGAGTGCTGTGGGTCTGACTGCAGATTGCACGGATATGATGAACGACTAGAAGGGTCCTGGCTCTTGGGCTTTCATCAAGACATTTGGTGTTGGGCGGTCAGGCGCATTTGGAGAAAGGAGCCGACCAAGACACCACCACCACCACCACCACCACCACCACCACCACCCAGCATCGTGCGCTGATTCCATCTACGGCATGGTCACAGTCACGTTGCGTCATAGGAGACGATGCATTTTCATAGAGCAGGGCATGGAGTTTTATTCGGGTTTCGCATACTGGGATGGTTTGGTGCACAACACGCGCACGCACGCACACGCACACCGCTTCAGGTTCGATTCGAATCTTTCAGGCACGGCGAGGACCACACATCGGCAACGAGACACTGTGGGTACGAGAAACCACACGGCGGGAGGGAAAACCAGCACGATAAAAGGAAGCGAAAAGCATTCGAAATACCAGGGCATTATCATCATCGTCGTCGTCATCATTCATTATCAAAAGCAAGGAGGGAGAGCCGTGAGAGGTTGGGTCTCACTCATCATAATCTCTCAGGAAATGTCTCATCACATTACTCGGCGCGGGGAACAAAACGCATCTTGCAACTACTACACATCCATACTACGCACCACTGTCCACGGAGTTCAGACCTCGCATGGCCGGGGCCCTTCACACCGCGGATCTTTCGACTTTTCCATTATACCCCTCTCCTTTCATTTCAATCCGACTTGGCCTTGGGTCTTCCGCACGAGCGCGGCCTTGGCTTTGTCAGAAGCTAAGCTTTGCACATCCGACATCTACACGCATTTCACAGGCGCTATAATACACAAATGACGACTACAAGAGCTATGCCGATGCAGGAATCAGGCAGCCGTCGGTGAAGGGGTGGGCAACGAAGGGCCACCAGAGACTCGTCAGAGTGGCGAAAGCAGCAGCGAGGATGAGATGTTGGGTCTTTTTCTACCCTCTTTTTCTATTCCTATGGTGTGGATCTTTCTTTCCATCGTTCAGATTACCGGACATCTTACCACATACCCCCCCTCGACAGAAAGAGCCGACTGGGATCTTACGTGTAGCGAAAAGGGCGTTTATTCTTTTTTTTTATTCTCTTTAACATTTATCCACCATCAAAGACGGGTCAGGGAGCATCGGGGCCGCTTCAGACGGTGGAGGCTTACCATTGCGGGATGTCAACATTGGGGGTTGGTCTTTGTGTTTTTATGTTGCCGCGTTCTTCATGTAATTTGGTGGTGGGGAGAACGAGGGAGCTACGAGCGTGTTGGATCTGAGTGGGAGATAGGGGTGGCCACACCCATCCATCCATCCACCTACTTGCATTTCCTTCAAGATCCACCGTTCGTTTCTACCATCAGCGCCCATCCAACCAACCAGCCGGCCCGGCTTTTACCTTTGTCCCCCTTTTCTCTTGCTCCTAGCGGTACGAAAATTTATAGCTTATCTTTTCTATAGACGGGGGGAAGGAGGCTTGTTCTTTGTTTGATGTTCTGTTCGTCGTCGTGGCCGCGAGTAAAGAATCGAATCGAATACTGCGTTGGTTCCGCTCCTGTTCACACGAGATTGCCTCATGATATCGCATTATGTGCTTATGTGTGTGCTTGTGACAAGTGTCTTGTCTAGTAGTCCAGTGCTGTCAGACCCCGGCTGTGGGCTGCATGCAGCCGGTTACCGCGATACTTTAGTGTCAAACATGCGGTGGTATCATTGCACGATATATCGCCACCACAGACGCATAACCCCCCACCAAGAGTATCGCACCCCGATGGATCCACCTGCCCGAATAGGCAGATAACATTTTCTCTCTCTTGGCCCGGCTGATCCTGCCCTTGGCTACTAATCACAATCATAGGTGTCCAAGCATATGTCGTGGCATACAACAGCGACGGCAGGGGTGACAAATGAAGTCCGCTCAAGATCTCACCACTAGGAGGCCGGACGATAGGGGCCGGCGAAGCAGCAAGTTGCACCGGGTACCTCGGTTCTCACGTTCTTGGTGTCCTTATGCAACATATTTTCAACAATCACACTAGCTCCACCTTTGGGGATTCCTCCACGCGGGAAAAGCTTGATGCCTGGAGGACGAGGGCGTTTCTCTCCCCGTGGGATTATGTATCGTCCCACCTGGCCTAGGCACCGGTAGTTGTCTCTCTTTTTTTTTGTGGGGACACGGGTGGTAGCAGGCAGGATAATGCACGATCTAGTAGTGTAGCAGCCGAGAAAAGACCACCTACCTACTGCCGTAACCGAATCCGCATCGCCAGCCATCGGCAGGTGTACATCGTAACGAGGGCTCATCGTTCGATTAGTCCCCAAGAGGAAGGAGGTTCAATATGCATGCCAGGCAGCCCACACGGCAATCGCCTTTGTTTCGGGGGCCATGTCACTGCAGAACGAAACCCAAACCAAACCAAACCAAACAAAGACACTGTTGGCGTCCCGGGCCACTGGGCTGGGTCCGCCACGGTCCGCATCGTCGAGGCCGGACGCGAGGCCACAAAAAGACCTCTCGGAAGACAGATCTGGGTGGGAAATCACTATCACCACTGACTCCCTCAGGCTCACTCACTCCGCCTAACCACTGTCGCGGCATGTTCCTCCCTCTTGATTAGTCCTCGGGTGCGGTAGGCGTTATTGTTGATCAACAAAAACCGGAGAACCAGGGAAACAATCGCCCGAGTTTGCTGCTGTGTTCCCCGTCCCCACCTAGGCTGCGACCCGGACAGGGAGGCCAGCTCGAGAGAGAGAGAGAGAGGGAGAAAAAAATCCCTTGGCGACGCAGCGGCAAAGAGCCCCACGCCTCGCTCGTCCCTTTTTTCTTTTTGCTTTTTTTCCCACGTGCGTGGGCCGCCGCGGAATAGGCGGCAAGCGGGGCGGCCTTCGTTATTTTTGCCTCCCTCTCAGGGATATTGCTGGTGGTTGCGTAGAGAATCCTCCGACGCGCCCGCTTTTGCGTACGGCGTGTTCGGGTCTTGCGGGGACGGATAGCGCGGGCCCATCTCGGACACATAATGTCCGTCTTTCCTGGTCTGGTAGATTCCTGTGTTCAGCCGAGGGCCGTCCAAGGGTTGATCTGTCCATGGTCCTGTGCGGGTGGCGGATTATGAGCTCTTTTTTTTTTAGTACTGCGGGAATACGCATTGGATGGGTCCAACTACGCACACGACTGTAGTATGTAGACTACCATACCGTGAACTGCATCCTCAGGGCTGATCTTCGGGTATGGCGCTCGCGTTGCCGCGCCTGGGTCCTTCAGAAAAGCGGACCCGGTTTCGCTCTACTGTTCTTCGGCCCCCATTTCGGCCCTCGGATCGGGACGCCGGCACCTGGGTGGCGTAAACATGATGGGTCGGAACTGGGGAACGGGTCAGGAGATATTCGCTTTGTGAATCCAGTTCCTTTGGGGACGCCCATGGACTAGGCGTGACACCCGCGATGACCGAGTATTGCCGTCGAGATGGTACAGTGCTCTTCAATGTTTTTTTTCATTTATCACTATACAGACCGACGGCAGTGAGTGGTGCAAGCCCGCCATGCCGCCGTCTGCGATAATCTAACAGATCATCTGTCCCCATGAGAACCATGAACCACCTCGAGCCTTTTTGACGCCAGAGCAATAAATCATTAGATCCCGCTTGTCCCACAACGCCTTGCCGAATCCCATAAATCTTGAGTATGTGTCGATGACTTCCTTGCCCACCCGGGCCCTTTCTCAGAAGTCAAACCTGAGCACCTGGCCGTTGTCCTTGAAAGCCGACGTCAGCTGAGCCAAAACCATCGACTTCGGGCCAAACCACTGCGGAATAGTCATGTCAGCTCTCTGTCTCGCAAGGAGGACCAAAACTCGACAAAGTGAAGGAAGAAGGGCAAAGCAGTAGAACTCACCGGCGGCGCAGTCTCTCTCGAGATCTCGCCCTCGACGCCCATAAACTCGTACCACCGCACCTCATCCCTGAGCCTCAACTTCTCATGAAACGGCAGCACAGAGCGCGCGTCGTCAACACCCCACTGGAACTTTGTGCCGCTGGGCTTGAGCATGTTGACGCGCTTCGTATGCGCAACAGCAAGGCTGCCAACAGTGTCGAAGATAAGCTGCCCGCGCCCAAAGTAGTCAAGCAGCCCGCGGATGACGGCCTCGGCCTCGGCGGGCGTCAGGTACGGGAACAAGCCCTCCGCGACGACGAGCGTCGGGCGGTCCGCGGGGATGTCGCTGTACCACCTCCCCTCGGTGACGCTCAGGCTGCGCAGCGAGTAGTCCCCGACGGGCCGCAGGCCCCCGACCCCCTCCCCGTCCTCGCCCTTCTCCCCGTCGTCGTCATCATCCAGCCCGCAGCCGCCGCCGCCGTCCCTCCCCCCCATGACCCGCTCCCGCAGGTTCGTCACGAGCGGCCGGTCGACGTCCACCCACCGCACCAGCTCCGCGTCGCGGCCGACCCGCCGGTCGCGGCAGTCGAGCCCGCACGCGAGGTGCAGCACGGTGACGTGCTCGCCCGGGTGCGCGTCGAGGAACTCGCGCGTCCAGGCGTCGATGCGCGCCGCGCGCCCGGCCACGTAGCTGACCCAGCGCGGGTCGGTGCCGTAGGTGGCCTCGAGGTCCTGGTCCTCGAGGCGGCCGAGGACGCGCGGCGCGCGGCGGTCGTTGAGGATGGGCTGCGGCGACTGCGCGTCCGCGGCCCTCCAGAAGAGGGGGATGAGGAGGAGCTTCTCGGCCTCGTGCAGGGTTACCTTCTCGGGGGCGCGGGTGCGCCGCGGTGGTTGTGGTGGCGGCGGCGGCGGCGAGCTCCTGCTGCTGTAGCCCGACGCCTTTGAGACGTCTGTCGATTTGGAGCCGCGTCGTGAGTCGGGCGGGCCGATGTCGCTGGTTGGGGTGTGTCCTGACATCTTCTCGGGTAAGAGGAAGGGGGTCGAGGGCAGTGTGTCTGGGTCCGTGTGGAGACGTGAGTGCCGGGGTTGGCGTTTCGACCCTTGGAGAGGAGAAGCGAGCGTGGTGGAATGAATGGAACGATTGTCGAGAGAACTGGAGGGAACTCCGCCATGCTGGGGGAGGTGAGTCGGTTGTGTTCGCCTTTATACGAGTCAACGGCAGGCGGTGGGTCGACACGAGAGTTTGCCTCGCCCAGACATCGTGGAGGCACATCCGACCAACACCATCCCACCGCGCGGTCTAGATCGTTGGAGTCCCGGATGCCTTGACCGAGGCTCCTCCGCCCCCTTGCCTGAGAGGAACCGGCTGTTGGGGACGTGGGCCCTGACCCACTTGAATAAGTGGCGATCCTATTCGTATATATCATGTATCAGCTTTTTCCTTACTCACACTTCAAGCTGACAGGGGAGGGAAAATATTCCTCTGGTATGCGAACAGCAATGTACTGATCAAGACACACGCTCCTTTCAAATGTTGCTCATTTTCATACAGACGCTGATACAGGGCTACAAGGGAACACTCCCAGCAACGACAGACAAGCCTTCCCGTATATACATGTGTAACGACAACAATAACAACGACAACAGCAACAACAACAACAACACAGAGTATTATGCTCATGTTTGGATTAGATATGTGACGTCAGGAAGAGCCGTCCCACTCGATCGCGCTCCCAAACCTCTCCAATCCTCGCCATGCCTCATCCCAACCACAAAAAGAACACCCCACCAGTCGCCCATAACGCCCATCTGGCTTAATAGCATCGCAAGAAAAGACGTGAACAAAGTGAACAACGCGGGTCTGATTACCCGTGAGTGATCCGAACCCATGATTTTGTATACAGAGGAAGCATCGCCAAACCAAACCATGATGAAGTTGCGTGGGTGTGTTGAGAGCAAGCACAAGCCCAAATGCCGGCCAGCCCAGATTGAAATTTTAGTCAGCTAACAGGTACCCACTCAAAGTCTTGACGGGCCTCGAGGGCTGAGCATAGATGAACTTTAACAAAGAAAAAAGATCGCGGCACCCGTAACCATCACGTGGTCAACCATACTACTAGTAAGGCGGCCTGGTGATGTTCCCAAGGGTCCCCTCACCAACACGTGAATCGATGCCCTTGAGCAGCGACTGTAAGTCCATTGTCGGCAGGGGCTCATCCGGCGAGTGGATGCTACTCCACGTCGATGACCGGACCGTGTCCCCGCCCCTGCTCTTGATGCTCCGCTGCTTCGGGGCCTTCAAGGGTGGCAGGACGTGCGGCGCGCCGAACTCAAGCGACGTCGCGTAGTCCTTCGTTGCGGTCTGCGGCGCAGGGTGCGCGGCTCCCGCGAAGTCGGAGGGCAACGGCGGCACGGGCGGGACGCCTTCAGAGTCTTCCTCTTCGTCAAGAATCGGTCCGGACTCACTCGGGGGATTGGAGTTCAGAGGGCCCAGGGATGCACCATCCGAGCCCTTGCGCTCGCGAGACATGGACCGCGATCGCGTATGGGCCGGTGAGGAGCCGTCAGTCTGGCCACCTTGCGATTGTGCGGTGGCAGGTGGTGGGTTGAACGACATCTCGGAGGTCGACATGTCGTAGCTAACAAGGCTGTCTTCGCTGCTGCTGACGTCGCGTGCGCCGGCCGTGAGGGGTGGAGCAGGCATTTCACCAGACAGGATCTTCTTCATCTGGCTGACGGATGTAGTGTTCTCCTCTGGGGTCGAAACCCCGTCAGGGTTGCGCGAGAGACCGCTACGGACACTGGTTTTGCGCGTCCTCATCTGCAAGGGCGCAAGGTTGCGTCCCCCGTCCGGCGCGGGCTGGGAGCGTGGCCGCATGTCGTGGTTGCTACCAGCAGGTGTGTGCTGGCCACCGTCCTTGTGTCCGTTCGCCAGCGCGCCATTAAGGCCGAGGCGGTTGCGGTGGGTCCCGTTCGTCCCGGTGCGGGAGCCGTTGAGCGAGGCCGACTTGCTTGCGGCCTGGACCGTTGCTATGGCTATCTCGCGCGACCATTCGAACAGCATCGCCTCCTTGAAGCTGGGTGGGATCTCCCTCTCGCTATCCGTCGGGGATATCATGCTCATAGCCGAGCCAAGAATCGGCTGAGTGAAGCTGCGTCCAGGTGATCCAGCAGGGCTGGTCGGTGGGGACAGCGTGGCCTCCTGGTAGCTTGTGCAAATGCAGTCAACAAGCGACAGGCGGTCGTCAAAAGGTAGGAGTGCCTCGGACTCTGCCTCTTGCTGCGAAATCTTAGATTGCTGCGTGACCACGCCGGGCATCCCAATCTTCTCCAACGGCGGCGCCGGCACCTGAATGCCGTCAACCCAGAGTTGCTTCGTCCTCCGTCGAATAATCTCGTTCTGAATTGCGCGTCCAACAAAGGAAGCGTCAAAATCGAACTTCTCCGTCAACACCCAGAAGTAGCCATGGCACAAGCTCCCCAGGCGTACCTTCTGTAAAGGGGTCTCAGCGTCCTGGATATCTTCCTGTAGTCGAAATACCATTGGCAGACCAAACCGCACGGCGTTGACTCCCAGGCGGTTTACGAGCTTCGTAAGCAGAACGTGCAGGAGGACAACGTCCGAATCGTAGTCCAGATACTGGAGGGCATTATCGTAGATGGCTATGTGCAGGAGATGCAGGAACCTGCTCTTGGACCTCTTCGATGGTCGTTCTCGGTACGAGGCAGCTGACCGCGCACGTCGAGTATCGGTCGGCGAGGCAGGCTCGACTTGCAACCCAGATCGCAAGTCATCTTTCGCAATCAGGTCCGTCTTCTTCGTCTCTCGATCCAGCCAGGTCAAAAGAGCGTCAACATAAGCTTTGCGGACCTCCCCGTCTGAGTCTCTGAGCAACCACTGAGTGCCCTCCCATTTCTCAATGGGCACCGGATATCTGGACAAGCTTATGCTGCCGCTCATCTTCACTTTCGGGTTCGCAATCTTCAAGATGCCCTTCACTGCCTTCAAAGCGGTGAGCTTAGCGACTGTGAGGAAGAACGGCGACTCCGAGTGCTGGTCGTCCGAGGCCTTCGTGTCTGTGTCTGTTTGCTCGCCCTGGGCTGTGGAGTTCGCGGTGGTTGCGTTCTTAGATGGCTTCAGCCGAAGCAGAAGAGCAGACACCATGTCGATGATCTGTTCGTTGTAGTAGACATGGGTTGCCAAATCACCCATCGTTTGTTGTATGCGCCCCAACAGCTCTTTGCGCTGCGCCACCGGCGTAACCACCTCCTTGCTCGCGCCGCCGTGTGGGTCGCCCGGCATCTGCACCAGTCTCTTCATATGTTGTACAAGGCCCAGCATTATATCCATCACACTCAACCCAATCAAGTTCACGTCCGAGCGGAGCAGGGACCCGATCATCGCCGTCAGGACGATATGCTGTTGCAACGTCTCCTCCTTGAGCTGTATCCGAATCATGGTGTCCATAGCAGTGACCAGAATCACGTATCGCTCCTGCATGGGCGCCCACCGCGAGACGAGTCCGAACAGGTGGATCGCCCACCCGCTGTCCTGGCCGCTACTCGTCCTGACGACCGTCTCGTCCTGCTGAACCCGCTCTTCGATGAACTTCAGCAACGCCGTGGTGGCCGTGTGCATTTGCTGTCTGTTGGGCACGACAAAGATTTGCTTCAGGCACTGGATGGCCAGGACGCCCGTCTCCTCCTCAGCCAGTTTATCGACATCCCCAGCCGTGCCTGACAGGGCTATGGGGTTCGGGTCTCCGCCAGTCTCGGTGGTGCGCACGGTCGCGTTGCTGTTCCTCCGCTTTAGTAAATGCTCCGTGTTCACCTTCTCCTCCATGTTGGCCCGCTGCAACAACACGTCCAGGAAGCCCTCGTTGTCTGTCCACAGGTTCTCCAGTATCATGGGAACTATGACCTCAAGTTGCCGCCCAGCCACAGAGGACAGGGCGTCAGAAGACGCGATGCTCTTGATGGCCTCCAGACCCGCATTCCTCCATCGCACGGCTACCGGCTTGCTCGGCTGGTTCTTGCCCTGTTGCTCTCGTGTCGAGGCCAGAGACGCGTACTGTTGGATGACAGACTCGTACTGGCGTAGATAGGCTTGATCGGCAAAGAGGGACGAGGCATCGTGGTTGGCGCAGAAGGCGTCGAAGGTCGGGATGGAGGACTCGACCAGAGTGATGTCATTCGACCGCAGGATCAGGTCCAGGATCTTGAGCACAAACCTGGCGAATAGGGGAAGGTCTTTGGGACTCTTCTCGATCAAGGCCTCGAGAATCTGGAGTGTGACTTGGACATTGCTGTGCAGGATTCATTGTCAGTCTTGTGTGTGTTGCTCGACTTTGGCTGCCTCCCGGGGTAGGGTAGCGAGGGCGAAGGGCGGGTATTGTGGCTGCTAGAAGCATGGACGTACCCAATGCGCTGGTGCCAGACATCGCTGGCAGTCTTTTTCTCGAGGAACTCGCCGACCTTGTTGATCTTTGTCTTGCGAGAGATCAGGTAGAAGAGCAGGTAGCTCAGCTCGCTCGAGTTGGGCTTGACATCGATGGTGGTCTTGTTGGTGCGAGGGTAGCACTTGAGCACGAGGACCTGGTGCTTGGGGCGACACTTCTGCTGGATGGCCTGCATTGCGCCGGTGGTTGGGCAAGCTCTCGAGCTCGCGGGCTGGGAGGGGCCGCGTCTCTACCCTTGACCAGGCACCGTGGCCGCGGTGGATTTATTTTTCGTCGGGCTGCTCGCGTTTTGGGCGTTGCGCCGGAAGTGAGGCCGGGGTGCAGGGCGTGGGAGAGCCGGACTTTGGGGTTGGGAGGCAGAGAAAGGAGTGACAGAGGACGGACATGAAGGAGGGTCAGGAAGAGAAGGGGAGGGAGAAGAAGGAAAAAAGATGGGATTATCGTGGCGTGGAACGTGAAGGTTGTATCACCATCTGGAGGGAATTAGAAGGGAAAATGGGCTCCCCGTACTGCAATAGCAGGCAATCTTACTGTCACGGGCCGGGCTGGAGCTGGAATTGCGGATGGAGCCAGCATCAATCTGAATTCTGGGATCTGTGAGGCACAGACCTGCTGGCGAGGCTAGGCTCCTGGGCTCCTGGGCTCCTGGGTTCTCGGGCTTGCACGGGCCACGTCATTCCAGGAGGCACTGGCAGGGACTGGGACTGGGACTGGGACTGGGAAAAGAGGACTGGGACTGGGAAGGGGACTGACTGGAAGGGGGCCATACCAAGGCTTGGTAATTCTCCGAGCTGACGATGGTGATGGAAATAGACCCTCCTGTCACTCCCGTTTCTGTATTTATTACTTACTGTACAGCACACTACTCGCCTCTGCGCCTACAGTGCAGCAGCTTCAGCTCCACCTGCAGCTTTGCCTCTGCCTTCGCCCTGGCCCTCGCCATCCGGCCTTCTTCTTCGCGCACAGCGCAGTTCTGCTGCTCTTGTCAGACAGACCGTCTTCTGCCGCATCTCATCGTCCTGGTCCGTCTGACTGCGCAAGCACAAACTCTCCATCACTTGCCCATTTGCCGCTTATTCTTATTTCAGGAGAAAGGATCTGGTGGCACAGCAGAGACAACCGCAAACGACGTCACACCCGATTTTTGTTGGGGTTCTGGAACTCACTCCTCATGTTCCGTCCACTCGAGACGACCGAGTGGGAGGGTGGTGTCAAACCAGACAGGCCAACAAGCCGCCGTGAATGAATTGGTGGAATGTGTGTGAAGCTTCCCCAAGCTGCTTCCGTCACTCGGTCACAACCAGGATGAGCTTTGCCGGCCTGGGAAACAATCGTCGCGAGCTAACGACCCTCTCCTCATGAAAACGTGCAGGACTTTGCAGGCTCGCTTCCCAATCTCTGTTCTCACCTCTTAAAGCGCGCACTAGTCCAGCCACAGGGCAGAAAGTCGGTGCTAATGAACCCCACAGGAGCGTGACAGTTCAGCATCATCGTCACCTCCCCATAGCTAGCCTGCATTTGCCCTGGCCGAGAACATGCTCCAACCCGGCCAACTTATGTACATAACCTTGGGGAGGTAGTATCGCCGGTTGCAAGACTTCACGGACCTTTTCATGCCCGTTGCCACTTCTGGGCCGGGGACAAATAGGCTATTTCTTACCAGACCGCCATCCTCTCCGCTTGCTCTGTGCACTATAAAGCGGCCATTTTATGATGCACGCTTTCCGGAAGTAGACTTTCTACCAACAGATAGCAGACATCTTATCATGCCCTGGATTGCTGGAGATCGACGCGTGCTGCTGCATCCCAGGTCCTAACCCTCCGATCGTACTGCCCCACCCCCGGGCCCCCACGTAATACCAAGATACCCAACCTGAGAACTACATTATATCGATAGTCTGGTCGTCGTATGACGATGAACAAGTTGGTGGGTCTGAACTGCTTCTTGAAACATGCCCACTTTTTCCCAGCATATGGCTGGCATTGAGTGTACCTTCTGTTATCGTGTGGGTGCAATAGACATAAAAGAAGTAACAGTGCAGGACATGCTTAAGCTCAGATATCCGCTTCGCCCGCTTCGCCTGCTTCGCGGCCATAATGTCTCTGTAAGGAATCAACACAAGGGAAAGGTGGCCGCGGAGGGGGTGCTATAGGATAATCAGCTAAGGATCATCAATCATGGAATGATTTCTTAAAAGATAACTTCTCTTGGGATAACCGTTTGTATAGTACTTTCCTGTTGGATGACTTGCTACGGGAAAATGAATGAGTAAAGGGGGTTTCGCAATGGCATTAAATTTTGATTATTTTTCCCCCTCGAGTGTGGCGATATTATTCTATTAGTCTATTTAATAGACCATCTTCATACATGCATCTCTACTGCGTGTATAAAATCTCTTTCTCTTCAGTAAAGTACAACAAATTCATATGGGTTTAAGCCAAAGGAAAAATTCCTATTTTGCATGATCCACAGCCTATCCGAACAACTCTTGATCCTGCACAGATCCCATTTGTTGAAGTCCAAGGTATTCTTTCCCACAACTTGACTTGAGACCCGATTTAAAACCTGCAATTAATCAACTTTTCTGTTTATGCACTTGAGCAATCTTCCCTACTCGTGCTGCTGGTTTCAACCCAGCCCGATCGAATTCCACAAGCCTGAAAATGCCAACTCTTGCCATCGAAGCTCATCTAGTGTTGCTCGAAAATCAGAAATATTCGAAGGCAACAGTCAGAGCAACACACCATACAGAGACCACTTCCAAAAGCCAGACTAGGCCCGCTAAACTTCTACCCAACACCATATAGCAGAAATCCCCTAACCAGGCCGTATGCGCTTGATCAGGAATCGCTGGACGATCCCTCAGCACGTATTCTCTGGTGAGGCCGGTCTTCCGCCACAGGTCGACATGGCGTTCACGAAGCGCCCCTTGGTTCCAGAGCGCCTCGAGCGCAAAGGACGGGATCCTGGCCGGCGACTCGGCAAAGAACTGAATCAACTCGCTCTCGGGCCACAACGCCGCCAACTCGGGGCAGCACCATAGCCCAGGCCTGAGGTAGCCCCGAGGTACCGCCCCCCAGAGCCACGCCTCGAGGACCCAGATGAGCCGAAGACACAGACTCTTGATCATCTCCCTGGGGATCGTCGGGCGCCATCTACCTATATCACGCAGCTGTGGATCCCAATACTCTTGTTCGTACCATCCTTGGACTTTCCATACGTACACGTAGACTATAACGAACAGAGCACCAGCCGCCACGATATACACCCAGTATTCTGAACCGTGAAAGGATTCTCGGGCGATTTGGAGACTCGTCACAAATGTCCCCATTGTTATCCGCTCCAAATAAAGGGCCATGGTGATGAGCAAATGGGTCAGGGACCCGTGCGTGACACTGACCGCGCGGCATAGGGTGATCGGTCCTTCCTCCGTGTCATTTTTGAGCACCGTATCATTGAATAACGCCTGTATACCTCTCAGCACGCACGATACGCTGTGAATGACTTGGACGACACATAAGGACATGCCGCATTGTATTAGAATCCCAAGAGGACCAGATGTTGGCGAAAGCGATGCGTGGACAATGAATGGCTGTACCGCCCGTGCGACGATGTGGATGGACATCTCGGTCCAGAAAAGGCTGATGAAGGGATCCAGGCTTTGAAGTAGCCTCGGAAACATGTGGTGCTCTTTCAGGTATGGAAAAACCTCGATGGGCCACCGGATTGCTATTTCGATGGCACAGCACCAGAAGGCTTGGTGCAGATAGGCTGTGATGAGTCCTAAGGTCTGTGAAGGTGCGATGGTGAGGAGTGAGAAGAACATGACGAGGGCCCAGGCAGATTGCCGAACCCCAGAACATAGTTCCGACATAGCTTCTCGACGTTTTAAAGGGATTCAATAATAGGTGTGTAAATAGACGGTTACCAGCAAGAATGATGAGAAATGACAATCAAAACATGGCTATTACCATTCCATCCTTTAAAATCATATGCGCTCTATTTGCTTCAACTTTTACAATTGATCCATTACATTGGCTTTTTCACAATTTATGTTCGAGAGGACCCGGCTGGCGTAGCACGTCCAGCAAGTTACCCAACAATTATATCGACGAAGTCTCGGAGGTGTCACTAATCCGCCCCTAGTGGATTAATTATATTCAGTTTCTCTCCTAATCAATCCAAGTGAAGCCTCGGCAAATTCACTAAGTGTGTCAGGGCCGGGCTAGCAGTCACAAGTCTGTGACACTCCCTCGCAATCAGTCTCTGGGTACTAGGGAAGGGGTGATTCTGAAATTTTCGAACTCGTGCTATCTGCACTATGTGGATCTTGTGCAACTGATAATGGATGGAAAGATCAGGTTCAGAACATACACATATCATTACACTCTCTTTTGGTATCTATTCCCCAGAAAACAGAAGAAACAAAGCATCATCACCATTTGCCTTGAACAATATGAAGTCCAAGTTTCCAATTGCGTAATTACCTCCCAACGTTGCCGTCGTAGATCTGGTCTCTCTCACACATGCGGCGTGCTTCTAGCCGGCATTCGAATCCCTCCTCCTGGTCAGAGGTGTTCGACTGTGTCGCAAGTGACTAATACCAGACCTGGCTCCGCCAAGTCCACCTCCTTATGTTCTCGTATCATTCAGACCATTTCAATGGCTGTTACTGGCGGATTGTCTGCGGGAGTAGCTTTTTGAGTCCGTCAGTATCGTCCTATACTTTCCTTTACGCACAGCGCAGAGGCGGGAGAAACTCACCACGACCGCTGGGTTTCTTCCCTCCCCAGCCGAAAAGACCCTTCTTCCTCCCAACAAGCGCGCCCGCAGGCACTCTCACACCAGGGCCGTCCCCAGCACGGGCATCCTCCCCTTCCCTACCGACAACGGTAGCAGAGGACGGCCGCCGACCAACAGACCCAGACTTCGCACCACACCCTGCGTCATAGTGGCCATAGATGTGACCACCACCACCACCGTCATGCATCGCTACCCCGTCGGGTGGGGCGGCGTCGCCCGCCCCGGCGGCGAGGCCCTCCCCGGCGGCGAGGCCCTCCTCGGCCTTGACGCGGCGGGTCTTTTCGTTCTCGAGCTTGGCGCAGTAGAAGAGGGCGCAGAGGACCAGGACGAAGACGGCGACGGTGCCGACTATGATGCCGACGACCATGGGCGTGACGGCGCCCTCGTGCGCCGCGCCGCCGAGCGAGTCGTTGTCGTTCGGCTGGTTGTTGCAGCTGACACACTGGGACATGTCTGCGGTCGGTGGGGTGGGTTGAGTGTTTGTGAGGTTCGAGTGTAGGAGGTCGGCTGGCTTGCGTCTGTTCATTTCGGTCAGATTGAGAGAACCTCCAGGTTGCAGATGGAAGGCTTACCCAGTGATGGTTGCTAGGTGACTGACGCTGAACTGTGCCAGGCGTTCTTCGTCGCAGTGTGTGGTGACGAAATGGTGACAATGTTGTGCCAAAGAGTTTATCTCTGCGAAAGCGTTCCGAAGAATCTCGGGTGGTCTCGTAGGGTGAGTCGTAACAGATTGCTGTCCTCTTGCCTGTGGCTGCTGGTTCTTTCGCTTGTCGTTCGTGATCTCGCAACAGACAGCAGACGCAGCAACCCGGTCCCATTCAAGGGACGCCTCGAGTGAAGATGGGATATTGTCGAACACGATCCAACAGCTAAGTGAATGAATGATGGGTGCCTCAAAATTCAGACTCCATTTACCAAGGACAGCTCTCGATTTCGTCCACCATTCTATTCCCAGAGATCCTTGCGTCACGTTCCAGCCGACCACGTCCGCAGATCACCAGGTTTCTGTGCGACAGCGAGGGTAGAGCTGGGAGAGGTAGGTTGTCGCTCGGCCGTTTTAAGAACGACAAAGAACGGTACCAGCTGCCTCTTTGCCACGATATGGGAAGCACCAGATACATATCCCAGCGGGGCGGACGAGGTGGCTGTCATCAATTTCTCGTCACTTCCGTCCTTCTCTTCAAGACCCTCGCCCGAGCCAACGGCCATATTACCTTCGAGTCCCATCTTGACCAGGGAAATGGGCCACAAGAGACATGGCTAACACAAACGCGCGGCATCTTGCATCCTGCGCTCCCGCCGGCGTTACTCGACCACACAGTTTCCCAACTTCCCAACACTCGAGCCTCCCCAGTGCATGGGTCACGTAAACCTCCCCAATCGGCCGTTTGGCATGTCCCGAAGCAGATAGAGCAATTTACACACAGAGACTGAAAGCATACGGCAGCTGGGCTCGCCAAGGATGGACAAGGAACGCGCTGGTCGCACAGCCCGTTGAGGATCTGTTGCCACTTGGTCGTGACACCTCCCTAGCAGCTGCTGTGCGATCACAGTCTGCAAGGGCCTGTTTCTCTTCGCCTTCTCGCTTGGCCTCAATGAAACCTATTTCCTCTCCCTCAGAGTTGAGAACGAGAAATCCTGAGAGGGAACAATATGGCCCCAAAAAGACCTAACACCTAAGACATATCTCGTCCAGCAGCGCGAGATGACAATGTTTCGCTTCACTACCAAACACGGCCACCGGGAACGCTTATCTAATATCCACTACATATATGTATATAAATAAGCTGAACAATTTTCCATCAAAAGGCCGCCTGCCGTCTCGCTGATCCATACTGACGGGTGGCAACCTCAGAGACACGAACTCCACAGGTATTTTACCTGGAACCCGTATGCGCTTCCACTCAAGACACTTCTTAGATCGCAGGTCGCACAACATGTCCGTTCTCGAGGAACCCATGCCTTCGAGGCAAGGCTTAGGCGACCGTCGTCTCGGGGACAGCCACAGCATCCTTCGTGTGCGAGCATAGGTAATCAATTATGATATTCCCAATTTGGTACCAAAAGATGCTCAATTCAGCGTGTGTAAACTTGGACCTGCTCATGCTGTGCCAACTCCTTGTGTCTAGCCAATGCAGTCTGCGCCTCCGGGTAGTGTACGTTAAAATGACAATATCAAACTCGCCATCGATGTCGTCGCCGTTAGCCATGAGGCTCCAAAAAGTCCAAGAAGTCGTGGGTCAGACCAACGCCCCCTAAAGCTTCCTATCCACCAACCCCTGTTCTCCCAGCTTCCTGCCCAGCCCAGGCTTGCCTGGCAGCGGCTTCCAATCGAGTCTCCGCCTCTTGTCTGTCAGCGCTCGCCCAGCTCCAGCTCCAGTCCTAGTCCAGAAGTCTTTCAGTCCTGACGCATCGGAGCGGCCACCAGCAGTAGATGGGCCCAGAGGAACATCTTCCATCGGGGCACCAGAAATGCCGAAACCGGCACCGTTCCCACGACTGGGATCGAAAGCACCAGCATAGTCTCCTGGGCGTGCCGCTCTCCTCCACGGCTGTTGGTCCGGATAATCGTCTTTTCGCGATATCGTCAGCGAGGGCCTCACTTCTGGACTCGCGTAAAAAGAGACGGATCTCGTGGGCGACTCCTGCACACGATCTGGCTTTGGTGCAGGAGTCGATGGACCGTCCAGGTTGACATCTTCAAAGCCATCGCCTCTATCCTTGCCCTTGTCTGTCTTCGATTGCTTCTCCTCGATTGGTCTCAAAACCCCTCCTGGCCTCATATCATCTTTCAGAGTCTTCCATCTCTCTCCAACATTCCTGCCCTCTTCATCGTCATAAAACATAAACCCCATACCTGCCACTAAGAACAATATAGCCAGAATTGTGAGAATGTATGCGCCGGCCTCATCCGCTTTCGACATCGGCTTCATTGGCTTGAGCGTAGAGAAGGCGTTTACTTGCCCAAAACCGGACTCTTCTTCATCTGGATTCCCAGTACTCGTTCCGCCCGTCGAATTCGTGACCGGTGATTCCAGCCTCTGGATCATCGTCGCTAGAACGACCTCCATCGCGGCCATCTGCTGTCCCACTCCTGTGGTGCCGTCCCATTCCCCCTTGTTGTTCGCCCACACATGTCCGCACATCCGGCTGTTATCTCCGCCCATGCACTGCATTGCTGCAGCCGTAGCGGATGCCGCTAGCAATGGTTTGATGGTGCTATAAGTCCACGGAGCCCACTTCGTCGTGGCGGCCATCCAACGGGCGAGGTAGGCCTTGAAGCTCAACTCGTCGTTGTCACAGAGGTGGACACCCTCGCAGGCGACCTCAGTCATGATGTCGTTGTTTGGGCCAGTGAAGAACACGCGCAGTCCGTTGAGAAGCCCATTGACTCTCGATCTCCAAAGGACCTCAGCGGCTGGATCAATATCGGCGGTGAAGTTGTACATCGCTGCGGCGCCATGCAGGAATGCTCCCGCGTTGTATGTCCACTGGTACGGTACGACCTGGGTGCAGTTGGTCTCAACCGGCGCACCGTCGTAGATGTAGTACGAGTCGTCGTGCAGGAACTGTATATCGACCATCCAGTCCCAGATACGATCTGCCCACATCGCGTAGGTATGGTTGCCGGTGTAGAGGGCTAGGCGGCCTGCCATATTGAAGAAACAGGCTTGAGAGATGCTGTTCTTGTAGAGATAGCCATTGTTCCACTGGAAGATCTGCCACCGCAACCCACCACCGCACTGGGCAGTGTTCCATCTCGCGGCCTGACTGTTGAATACGTTCTGTGCCAGGGCCAGCCACTGCGGCTTTGGGGCAGGCGGGTCCGGGAACTTATATTCTGAGGCGGAGAGGACGGCCATGGCCCAAAACCCCTTGATACTGTTTCAGCGTCATGCTTGTGAGGGAAGACGTTGATTGGAATGTCCTTACTTGGTCATCATTGCCCTCGGTCATTGTCTGGTTCGGAGGCATGTAGTCGTCGTCGGGACCGACCTGGAAAAGCAGACCCTGCTGGGTGATTTGGTTCCACTTAGTGTCACCAGTGTAGTACCAGTAGTCGATGAGTGACCCCATGAGAGCACCGCCTTCCCACCCTGTGATTGAGCGTGTCAGCCTTTAAACGCCATTCTTTTACTACGGATGTCACTCTTCTCACAGTAGTATGGTTTTGGGAGAAGGCCAGGTGTCTGGCCGGGCTCATTGCCTTTGTAGAAGGACATCATATCTTCAGCCATGCCCGATGCAACGGACCTGATCGATGCTTTTCAAGGGAAGTTCAGCATTGCTCCATCCACCTGGAGACTCGAGACCTTACTCACACTGTGAGTCCAGATCCAGATCGTAGCCCCTGCCTAGTCCCGCTACCATCATCAAGAGAGCGTACCAGCCCTTCGACAAGGGTCCCCGTAGGGCTCTCGAATGGTCGTCGCACATGACAGGAAAGATGATGAGAAACAGCAAAAGCCCAAGCAGGTTGACTATGAGCCAAAACATCTTGGACGCCCAATAATGATTGACTAGTTTGTCTTGGGTGGAAGGCAACGATGTTCTGAAAACGAGAAGTCAAACAACAAAAAGGATGGAGACCAAAAACTCCATTTGTGTGTGTAGCAAGCAAAGTTTGAAGAGCTCAGGTATGTTCAAGCCAATGGTGTGAAGAGCAAGGCGTGGTACAGCGAGAAGAGCGAGAAGATGAGTAAGAAGCGCCTCCACGACAGCTGGTGATGGTGAAGTTGAATGAAGTTGACCATCTTCAAGATTCCAGGTCGCTACGCAACTTCTTCCACAAGACAAAACCTGGCTCGACCTAGCTGCGTCGAATTGCACTCACCAGGAAGCTTCAGAGGCGTTGTTGGGAGGTACTTGCTGCGTTTGGCCTGCTCTGCTATCGACGAGGCAGGAACAGGGTGATAGCAACATCCAATTTCCATCAGCAGGTCCCCAGGTACCTCCTGACTCACCCCTAGCTACATCAGTACCCAGGTGCAGCACGGTAGTCGTAAGTCATGTCCCGAAGGCAGGTCTATAGCTGACAGTCTCGAAGGAAACGACGCTGGCAGACGACCACAGCAGGAAAAGGCCCTTGGACAGAGGACTGACAACACCTATCGATAGCATCACCAGTTTGAGTAAGGCCGATGTGGCGAGTAAACGTTATAACTCGTATACAAGCAGTTCATGTGGAAAAGAAGAAACAACATCTATTACTATCCTGAAAAATACCCTAGACTCCAGAATCTATCTCCATCATACCAAACAAATGCACCACAAGAGTCTCATGTGCACCTCCATCCCCTAGGAATTAAATTAAAACCGGCTCGTACAAGAAATGCATATCCATAAAGTCATTACCACCTCCGTCCAATACGGACTCTCCATTTTTAGGAAGCATTACCTCGCCATGGGATATGCAAGCGAGCTCTAGCACCCTAAGCTGTAGCGGTAGGAGCAGGCATGACCGTGAACTGGCCAATGGTCCAGAACTCGAGGGTAGGAGAGCACTGCAGGTCTCCCGGCGCGCGCTCTGGGAAGTATACGCTGGGGGGCAAGATCAAGGTCTCCTCGGCCGGGAGGAGGCCGCTGCCGGGGTTGAGACCAGGGCAATTGGCCACTACGGGTATGTCATGGTTAGTATCACACGTGTCCAAACGATACCGACCAAGCAAAGGGTGCGTTCAACTTACCGAAAACAGCTGTCAGCCTCACACGAGTGCAGCCAGCGGGCTCGGTGCCAACGCCCGTGGTGGTGAAGAACACCCTGCCGAGGGTGTCGAGGCAGAACCCGGCCTCGCCGCCCGCGAAGGCGGCATTGACCCAGAGGAGCTCGTTGTCCATGATCTGCCAGACCGTAGAGATGGAGCCGACGATGGGGCTGACTGCCAGGCGTGCCGAAGCGATACCGGGGTTGGTCGACACCTTCTGGCCGCCGCTGATGAGCTCGCCATTGATGATGGTGAACTGCGTCGCTTGGGAGCAATCAACCGGGTTGTTGACGCCGGCGTTTGAGACAAACCCGCTGCTCTGCCGGCGGGCCTTGGAGCCTGGGACGGCCGAAGTATTGGGGTCGGCCGGGCCAATCTGGATGACGAAAACGCTGGACGACGGTATCGCCGACCCGCTGGGGATGATGCCGGATGCCGTGGCTGAAGGGCCTTGAGAGGAGCCCACGCCGCCCGATGGTATAAAAGTTGCACTTCCGCCATCGGTCATGGGTCCATTCTGGCTGCTTCCGGGGAAGCCGGTTGTCACTGTGAAGTACTGGGTGCTCGAAGAGGTGACGATGATGCCGCCTCCACCCGAGCCTGTGGAAGGCCCAGGGCCACCATTAGGGATGGAAGACCCGCCCACGGGACGCGATGACGGCGGTGGTATACCACCGGGTGTTGAAGGAGTCGCGACATTGCCAGATCGGGTAGAAGAAGGTCCAGAGCCGTCCGTAGGCCGTGAAGAAGGCCCAGATCCACCACCAGATGTTGGAGAAGGTCCGGCTCCGTCCATTGGTGTTGAAGAAGATTCGGAACCTGCAGCAGAAGTTGAAGATGGCTCAAATCCACCGGCCGAGATTGAAGAAGTCTCGACCCCGCCGGCAGTGGTTGAAGAAGGCTCAGACCCGCCAGCGGCTGTCGAAGACGGTCCGAATCCACCGCTGAGGGTTGAAGAGGCTCCGACTCCACCACCAGACGTCGAAGACGGTACGGTCCCGCCACTTATAATGGATGAAATAGACATACCCATGACAGCAGAGGGTGTGCTCTGACCAGAAACCGCGGTGGAAATGGAACCTTGTGCTAACGACGTGACATTGACAGACGCAACAGATGTGCTGCTCATGGGAGCAATTGAGGATCCGCTCTCAGTGACAGAGGAGGAGATACTAGAAGAAAACGGTGTGTTGGTAGTGTTCCCGACAACAACGACGGTGGATGCATCGAGAACCCGAAGAATCTGCAGATAGCCTTGTGCCCTCTCCACGATGGTCCTGCCCCTAATAACCTGCTTTTGCGATATCGATCTCTTGGTTCCCCCAGGACATGAGATCTGTTGATAGCGGGATGGCGAGAGCGGCGCTTGTTCATTTCCGCAGTAACAGTCCTGATCGACAGCGCCGGTGAGCTCGTAGTCCCTGGAGAAGCAGTCCGTCGCGCAGAGCAGGGGGTCGCCTTCGCCTGGAATCAGCTCCTGAGGGTCGAGGAACGGGGTCTGTCCCGCCACTAGGTCGTAGCAGCCATTGTTCTCGACAATCACATTCAAAAGATTTCCCTGGATGCTGAGCTCAGACCTGATTCCTTGCCCAATCGGTATGGTGGCGGCAACAGCAAAGTCCGTGGGCTCAGCATATCTAAGCGTGACCGTCACAACCTCTTCTGGGGAGGACGTGGTCGCAGGGGGAGCAACGGACGATGTCTGAGGTGTGACAGAGGGATTTGCGTCGCTGGTAGGGTTGGGTGATCCTCCATTGCCGCCTGCTGTCGAGCTCATGGGGACTCCACCATTGCCCCCAGCAGACGAGGTCGTTGGAGCACCGCCGCCTCCGCCAGCAGATGATACGGTAGGAACACCACCTCCTCCTCCTATCGAAGACGTTCCGACGACACCACCGGCAGAGGAGCCGGCACCAGCGGTAGAAGATCCAGCACCAGCAGTAGAAGATCCAACACCAACAGCAGAAGATGCTCCAGCACCAGCAGAGGATCCTGCACCACCAGCGGAGGACCCGGCACCACCAGCAGATGACCCAGCAACGCTAGCAGCAGAGCTGGCCGTGGGAGCGACGCGGGTAGTGGAGGCACTGGTGGGAGACGTGCTAGGACTGGTGGGAGAAGTGCTAGCAGTGAAAAGGCAGCTGCCGCACGAGGTCGAACCCTGGAAGACGGCAGTCGAAGTTTGGGCGTTGGGACTTGTAGGGGGGACAACCGGCACATTGGAAGCACTGCTGGAGGCCGGGGCAGATGAAGCAGCCGGTATCGTGAACGACGAGCCAGCACGTGAAGTCGTCACAGCTGCAGAGCTTGCTGCAGCCGCAGAGCTCCCACCAACCGCAGAACTCATCCCAACTGCGGAACTCGCCCCAGCCGCAGAGCTCATCACAGCTGTAGAGGTGGTAGCAACTGCAGAGCTTGCCCCAGTCGCAGAACTTATCCCAGGCGCAGAAATCATCCCAGCCGCAGAGCTGCTCATCCCAGCCGCAGAGCTGCTCATCCCAGCCGCAGAGCTGCTCATCCCAGCCGCAGAGCTCGTCCCAGCCGCAGAGCTCGTCCCAGCTGCAGAGGTGGCGGCGACTGCAGAGCTCGTCCCGGTCGCAGAGCTCACTCCAACCATGGAGCTCGTTCCAACCACGGAGCTAGTCGCAGTCGTGGAGCTGGTGGAAACACTGCTTGGGATGCAGTAGTACGTCGCTCGCGCACTCAACGTCGACGTCGTCGAGATGGAGCTATAGATCGGGTTGTCGTTGGTGGCCTTGCCATAGATGATGGGGCCCGTCCCGGAACCGCAGCTCTGGCCCGGGGTGCTGGCGCACTTGCGGTTGCACGCGGCCATGTCGGCCTCTGGCTCGCTCAGGAGGAAGCTGCCACAGGCGCAGGTGACGCCCCCGTTCTGGAGGCCAAAGTAGTCGAAGTTGGCGCACAGGTTTGCGCACTGCTCCAGGGAGCTGGCGCCGCCCTTGTTGGCGTATCCGGAGGATGCGAAGATGACATCCACGGAGGAGGCGGTGCAGCCGCGAATGTAGAAGTTGCCGACCTGGCGGGGGTGGATGGGCACGACGCTGTTAAGTGTCGCGTTGCCCGGGCTGGTGATGGTCTGGGGCCGCACGGCCTGGTTTCCAGTGATAGCGGGCGCAGAAGCGCAGGAGTATACAAAGTTGTTCGAAGAGTCGTAGGAGCCGTAGCCCGGAACGGGTGGCACGTAGCAGCCCAGCAGGTCCGGGTTCACGTAGACAGGAGCGCCGCCATTCGCCTCGCAAGAAGCCAAAGGGAAGTCGATCTGATAAGATCCAGCCCCAAAAGAGACACCGCAGTCGCAACCATAGCTCTGTGATTGGGAGGCATAGGGATAGCCCAACTGCGCGCAACGGTTCTGGCAGACCTGCTGAGCACCAGACGACACGGGTTGAACGTTGCTTCGGAAGCCGCTGCCCGGGACATAACATCCCAGATACTTGTAACCAACTGCCAGGCCAGCAAAGTTGTTCCGAATGTCTGCGTCCGAGGGAAAGCTCGGGTCCACAGCCACGCCGACCCCGTTAGTAGACGTCTGGCCACCGCAGATTTGGTTAAAATCGCCTGAACAGCGGACGTCACAGACCGCAGCGTTACCGCCGCTATATGTCTTGGAGGCCGACTGAGGAAGCATGGGCGAACAAGTACAGCGGTTGTTATTAAGCGAAGCGACCTTGTAGCCATAACCTTGACATGCTTGGCTGCAGGTCAGAGGAACCACGGTGGAGTTGAATTTGGTTGGCGTGTCAATATTTCCCCAGAAGACAGGGTGGGAGATTTGGTAGGTATAGGCGGATGACGGCACATAGTTCTTGATCTCCATCCAGCTTGTGGTAACGACACTGGTACCGGTGTAGCAGCCCGCATCGTAAAAATTGTTGGGGCCACCAACCGCGCCACAGGCGGCCACCTGCTGGCGAAGACTCGAGTAGAAGCCTTGGGCACTAGCATCAACTGCTGCCAGGACGGCAACAGCCTTGGCCTGAGTCCAGACCATCGTAGTTGAGGCGGAGGTGCACGCGCCTGGCCTCCTTCTCGGGATGAGTTCGAGAGGAAAGTGTTGGAAGGGGAGTGTAATCAAGGGCTAGAGCTGAGCATGCGATAGGTCTCAATCGTGGCCCAACTCTGGTGAGTTAAAGGGCACAAGAAGGCGATGATGGAAAGCATGACAAAAGAGAGTGGTTGTGAGAGACAGGAGGGCTTCAAATACCGCCGCTTGCGTGTCGAGCTGCTTCAAACCAGGCCACTGGGCCTTGACCGAGCGCGTATGAAACACAGCGCACACATGTTGTAGGGCGATTCCATCAAGACATGGCTGAGGGGCCGTAGATGGAGAAGTGAAAGCGCATTCCTCGTCGGCGTCGCCAAGAACACGAGCATTGTCCGTGTCCAACATCTTGTGGTGGTGAGCCCTTAGCCAGTTTGCTGCGGCCGCGCGAGAAGCTGTGGGCGCAGTCATGGCCATGGCTGGCACAGACACAATAGAGGTGGAATGCTGGTGAGAATTGCTCATCTGCTGCTGTTCCTCGTCTCGTTGGTGAGGGAAGTATGCAAGCGGCTTCAGTCCGCGGTCGAGGAACGAAGGGCTGATGTTGGAATCCGCAACCATTATTACATAAGGCACCTCGACCAGAACCCACGCAGACTAACAACCTCTGCCCAAGCTTCGACGGAGAAACCTCTGGACGAGGCCGGGCAACAAGGAAAATTCTGGTCAAATCCAACTGCCCTCATGGTAACTGTCCTCATGGTAAAATTTGAACGACGCATGCTTGACCTGCCATGTAAATCTCTCAGTCAAATTGCACGAGGACTTTCGCAAGGCATATGGGGAAGTCCAGCCTCCCGCAACCTCAGCACCCCACGATCGATAGATTAGTGGCCTGGTGGCTTGGAATAGTCTCCGAGGAGAAGCATGCACGCATGTAACCTTTCATGAGACGGGATGCCAGAAATTGGCAATTGAGGGGACATGCCGACCGGGAACGCCACCGGATATAACCTCACCAACACCCAGGCCTCGTCCATACCAGCACAACCTCATTGCTCTCAAGAATAACAACAACAACAAACGACAGCATGGCCCGATTCTCAGAACGACACCACGCGCTCAGGTTGGCCACACCAAACGCCAGACTGAGCCTTCTCACTCAACACACAACTCAATGGCGGCAGAAACAGCAGTAGAACGACGCCGTCTTCTCCAAGGCTTGATCACAATTACATCGTTGATGTAGTAGTCTATGCTTCCATATTTAAAGCCTGTAAATCCCTCGCATGCCTCATGGGAAAAGGGGAAAAGTGGGAATACAATGCGGCAGGGGCAAGGGGGAATAGCTCATTACGCCATGAAACCCAATGGCAACAAGCAAATGCCCCCATGGAACCAGTGGTTGGTTCTTGTACGTAACCTTACACCTCTGCACAAATGAGTCCACGGCCCGCACGGTCAGATCAACCCTCAAACTCAACAGTCCTCGTCGCGTTCGCCTCCTCGATGACGCTCTGCGGGCGCCCCTTGGGTTCCGCATCGGCACGGGCCCCGCCCCGCCCCTCTGAGCCCTCACCGTTGCCGTTGCCGCCCCCGGCCTCGGCGTCTGCCCCCTCGAGAAGCGTGCGATCCTGGGTCCTGACGCTCCTGATACTCCTCCTCTCCGCGTCGCCGAGGCCCGACGGCGTGCGGATCGTTTGCATGTACTCTTCATCGTCCTCCTCCTCCTCGTCCTGCGCCGCCTTCTGGCCCGGCGTCGCATTCTTCTCCAGCTCCTTCTGCGCCTCGTCCATCCTCCGCCTGACCTCGGCCGCCACTCGCATGCCATCCGTGACGATGCCGTCCAGGACGCCCCGGAGGCCGCGGTTGCCGCCTGCTCCGGCGATGGGTGCACCGCCCATGGCTGCTGCTGCAGCTCGGCCCGCTGACTGGCCTATGCTGGTGAAGGTGGTTAGGTTGGAGGAGCTCGCCCCGGAACTCGTTGGGATGCCTTCGATTATGTGGAATGAGGATGGGAAGCTCGACTCGAAGAATTGTTCCAGTAGCTCATCGGCGAGAATAACCATCCTGAATGTGGGCAGAGTCATGTACAAGGGATTGGAAGGATCGAGAGCGACATTGGCCTTTTCAGACTGGGCTTTGGACACACGACGGCGGTCATCCGTGTCTCCTGACGTAACGTTCTTGTTGCTGTCGATGATGTTGATTGCGGGGGGGATGTTTGATTTCTTAGGCGTCTTCTTGGTGCTGCCCTCCTTCGGAGTGTCTTCTAGGTCTAGAAGATCCTCCTCCTCCTCCTCCTCTTCATCATCATCATCCCCGATCGTAAAAGCGCTCGGATCAGCCATGTTGTCATCGGCCCCATCACTGTTGCTTTTGTTGACCGGATCCTGGTTATTGGGGTGGTCGGGATCCGCGTATTCAAAGCAGCGTCGGATGAAGGCGCTGACGCTGCCAAGGAATCTTTCATTGACTGTAGCTTCCGGCATTGAGCTGTTTGGGCTGCTGGGATTTCCGCCGGACTCCTGCAGTCCATTAAGTCCTAGGTGTGACGCCGAAGGGCTGAGAGTACCCTCCAAGCCTCGACGCGAGAGGAACAGCAGTGCTTCGGAGATGCGCAATATGCCTTCTCGGTCTACTCTACCGTCGTCGTCATCGTCGTAAAGCTCGAAGAAGTAGGTGATAGTGCCCATGATGTCGCTCTTGCCCTTGATCCGCGCCATTCCAGACACCACGTCCTGCAGGGTGACTTGACCTTTGGAGCCCTTGTCCCACAGCTTGAACAAACGTTGGAGGAACTCGTGATCTGCCGGCTCAGGCCCCGTCCCCCAAGGACCGGTGTAGACATCCGATTTTCGCATGCTGCCAAAGTAGGGACTTTTGTCCTTCTCTTGGAAATTATCTCGGCGAGGCGTTGTTGGCGAGTCCGAGATCGCCCATTTTGACATCGCTGCAAGAAACTCGCGGAAGGCGTCATAGTCCATCTCGGATGTGCTTGGGGCCCCAACGCCTACTCTTCCCTTCTCCACCGCCTCCTGATGGTGCACATCGCCCAGCTTGGGCCGACCTGTCTTGGCCTTCCGTTGCTGTTCCTGCAGGAGGAGGTTGCTGCGCTGCTGCCGCTCGTACAGCACGCCGAAGAACCTGTCATAGAGAGCGCCTAACTCCTCCGTGCTCATAATCTTGGCATCCGGTCCCAGATTCCTAATGGCTGTCCTCTTCGCGAAGTTCTCAATGTTATTGAGGACCGCATCCTTATTCTTCAACCTCAAATCCGTGATGGTGCTGTGCGTTACCTGTGAGAATTCCTTAAAGGCCACCACCATCAGCTCTTGAAACCTCGTCACGGCTCGCAGCTTGGGGTTTTCCGACTTCGGATGGGCCGATTCATCCAACCGCGAAAAGTATGACTTTAGCACGGATATAAAGGCACCGTCGTCTGTGGAGTCTAGAAGATCCTCTCCATTTATCCTCAAGATCGCCAGCCCCACCTGGAATAAAACCTTTGGCCCTTCAACGAAGAAGACATCTAGAACTCTGAACGCAAAAACCAAAGGCATGGAATTTATGTAAAGTGACAAAAACCAAGGCAGGGACACCACGGAAAGCTGCACGTCGCTTTTCACCAGGTGGTCCCAGAGGACTGGCATCGTCTTCTCGACCAAGCTCTCGAACACCTTCTGATCAAGCAGGGTGCCGTACATGGTCGTGGAGTAGTAGCCGGGAACCAGGCGGTCGCACAGGGCCGACAGCAGGAAGAACGCCTGGGCCTCTGACATGTAGATCAGCAAAGCTGCAACCACGATGTTCATGGCTTGACAGTATCCGACATCAGCATTGACCCAGCTGTATGCCGTGAGCACGCGGCGCAGCCGGCCAATGCCTTCCTCGCTTTGAAATCCAGGATATTCTGGCAGACTTCGGTTGAGATCCTTTTCAATTTCGTCGATTGCCAGAGACTCCTGTCCATCGAATTTACTAAGTGTTTCACTGTATAGCGACGGGTTCTCGAGGCGCAGGTACAACGAGCCGGATGTCAGCTCCCAAATTTCGCCCCTTAACCTATTGGGGAGACCGACTCGGATGAGCTTGTGAAATGTAGGCTGCCGGATGAGATTCGCGTTGCGGCCGTTGTCCCTCAGGTACTCCGCCCAAAGACGCATCTTGGCCCGATCTCGCAGCTTCTTGGGGTCACCAGGGTATCGAAACATCATTCCAAGCCCAGCATCTGGTGGGCTGGCAGCCTTCTTGTCTTCTGAGCGGAGCAGGTACTCTGAGTAGCATTCGCCGACGACCTTCTTGAGCTTCCCCACGCTCCCGACTCCGGCGCGCAGACCCTTCTTCAAGCCGTCGCAGAACCGCTCGCATGCTGGTCTGCTGCCGGCGAGTGTGATCGTTATTCGTTGCTCTCGTATCTGACTATTGTCCTTCACAGCCTCTTTGTCCTTGTCTTTGCCTGAGTTCTGGGCTAGGCCGTTCCAGGTGGTAATAGCCAGGGCAAACTACATGAAGCGTCAGCAATCGTGTCCCTAGCCTGCTGTGTTCACTGCCATCTGCGCACCTGGAAGTTTTGGCTGTGCAGTCTCTCGACCCTCCGGATGGATGAAAGGGGGAAGGTGAAGCCATTGCCGCTTGGGCCACCACCGTGTGTCTGGCCGGTGAAGGCCAGGGAGGTCGAGGTTGTGGCAGAGGACATGAAGCTCGAGGGAGTTGTCGAGAAGCACATGTAGGCCTCGGAGAGATGTATCTTGCCGGCATAGTGGAACCCAGTGTCGTTCTTACCGCCCTGGGTGGCGTTGGAAGGTGGGATGGTGAGCTCGGCATTGATCTCGTACAAGGGATGCTGGGAGGAGGGCAGTCGGAACTGGTTCTGGAACAGGGTGGCCTTGGAGGGGTTCTTGTCGGAGTCGGTCAGGTTCAGGCCCTGCATGGGATCGAGCAGCTGCTGGGCCTTGTGGACGAAACTCGAGAGGTTGAACATGGCTGCTTTGTCAGGGCAGAGGCGCCCTCGATGCCGTCACCGTCACACGATGGGGAAGCTCGCCCAGGGGTTCCAGATAAAGAAGAGGAGGGGAAAGGTCAGAGCATGGCCTGGAGAGGCGTGGCGCTGATGCAGAGCTGGGCGCGGTCCTCTTGCCGTGGAGAGTTGGCAATGGCAGGAATCGTCGATCGCAGGAGGGCAACTATCGTGAAAAGTAAAGGGTGGTCTCGGAGGTGGATGTGTATCTGTGTCTATGTGTACGTGGGTATATGCAAAGGGGAGACACTGTTTCTCTGCTGAGACGGGCACACCTCTCTCTGTTCGCCCAGGGGTCGCTGCGGTAGGCCGGCCGGCTCGAGCTCCCCCTCCACATCCACAAGACAAGACAACCAAGGGAACCTGCGGCTAGATTAGATGCGCTAAGCAACTGCCACATTCCCCACCACCAACCTAACGCAACGGGGGGATCCATCTTTCACTTGTCTCTCCCTGTCTCCCTGTCTCCCCAATGCAACCATGCAACCAAAACAGCCTTGGAACCTTGGGAGCCGGGGAATGGGTGTCGCCGTCTCGTGTGGACCCTCATGCGAAGCCCAAGCCCAACTATCGACCAGACCCAGCCTCAAGAGCTCAGACTCACCTCATGCTCACATTGGCTGGCCAGGCTGGCCATCAGCATCACTTGCACAGCGAATAACACATGGCAGCCTGTGATGGCCTCCTTCTGCGAGTGTGTCAAGCCAACAGCCGTGTATGATGAGCCTTTACTCGGCCTGCAGAGCCCACTAGATTCTGCTCTCGACGCCGTGCAGGCCGGCTGCCCTGGCCAGCTCCTCGAGTCGTTTCAGCGTCGTCTGTCGCCGCGCCGTCGAGCACAGATCAATTGCATATGCCCGACCCGACCGTCGAGCCCCGCTGAACTGAATCACAGCCAACGGCTTGTGACCGACGTCGAGAGTTGATCTCCCCATCGGGCACAGATCGATCTGGTCCAGTGTTCTCGTGGGCCTCGAAGCGACTCATTATTCCTGTTGTCGTACAGCAATCTGCACAAGTGCCGAGGCTGGCGTTCCCACAACTGCCCTCTCCCCACGCTCGATCCGCGCGTGATGTCCCTCAGGTGTCCATCCAGTCAGACAATTGGCGATTTGGAGCTGCGACACTGAAGGTCCCTCGATGCGCGTCTCAAAAGCGCCGAGCCTGCAAGCACACCTGATGTCGCACTCAATTCCCGCATACAACCTCCATCATCTGCCATCAAGGAGGAGGATAAGGGTCCGCTTGCATCTCGGCCGCAGAGCTGGGAGGAAGGAATTCAAATCCAATGCTACTCCGTCATCGTGAATGCCTTGATCAAGCAGCCAGAGCACTGATTCTCGCTGCCCGGTCTAGGACTGGGAACATGGTCCTGCCGCTCTCTCATCATGCTTTTTCCGTGTGACGAGGGCTCGACATGACAGCATGGAAGGGCCTCGCTTACAAGGGCGAATAGAAGCGTCTATCAATTTGGCACTGCTAGCTCTCGTCACAAGACCACCACGCAATACCCCAGGGGCCGGCGCCTCGTCCGTCTCGAATCCAGAACAGGCCCGAGGCTGAGCACCACTGCCTCGTGGGCAACGTCGTGGCAGGCCGGAGCTCTCCAGCTGCTGCTACTTGCCATGCCATGCCATGGACCCCCTTTTTTTTTCTCCAGCACGCCGGTCCCTCCTTCATCTATATAATTGCCTCGTATGCCATCTTGAGTCCCAGAGTCATCCGAAGGTCAGTCCCGCTATTCCAGGTCGAGGATCCCGGCCGAAGACGCCTCCAACGGAAAAGACTCAGGAGGGTGTGAGTGATCTCATACCGGCCCCCCCCCCCACGCCCAGTCTGTCCCTCATCCGCGCCGCTCAAGAGGGAAGTCCAGAATTAGGTTTGCGATCGATCTGCAGCCGTGACGTCAAATCCGTCGCTGTTCCGGCCCTTCTCTAGCACGATAAGCGCAGCAACAGCCACTCGATTCCTGGCCCAGCACAGAAATAAGCAGCGGTTCCCTAGGCACCTGGGCGCTGGCAAGCGGCCTAGCCACGAGGTCCATCTGCTCGCAATCCCTCTGCGCCAAATATCCAATCCACAATTTTGCAGGACTGCTGCAGATCCAGTTACGAAACACATCCTCCGCCAGAACACCCACTCCTGCCCCGGCTAGGCTTGTGTCACCGAGGGTTGCATTTGGCTGCTTGCTCGTCTCCAATTTCACCTACATACATAATTACTCTTGCAGACAATTTGTAGCCCTGCTGGCTTGGCCTTCTTGTCCATCTCTTGACTGCCAAATCCTGCAGTCAGCTTTTTGTCACGTATTGTGTCTTCTTGAGCGAGCCGGCCAACAACAAGCAAAATAGGCGATGACTAGGCAAACAGTGCCGATTAAATGTTGTTGATCCTTCAGCCCCCCGCATTGATCCAACGCAAACAGTGCCGCTCAAAGTCCCAACTGGCCTACCGCTTATCAACAAGACAGGACAACGCCTCATCCTCGTGCCGACGTCTCACAATCCAGCGCCGTTAAAACGGTGCCGGCGCCCAAGGCAACACACAGACCGGAACTACTCAGGTAGTCCGGCCCCCCTAATCAGAAGGCCCCCCGAACGCGCAATTCGGCCCGGGACGAAGTTCGTATACGAGGCTGCACATACGCAGAAGCGCTCAGCCCCTAATCTAGCAGGCATTGGTCCCATCCTGTGTGGTCATTCTTGCCTGACGTCGCAGAGCAACAATCTGCTCTGGTACAAGTCCCCAAATAGTGGCGGCGCACGCGAGGTCTCACACGAACGCATCAGACCCGTGGGCCACCTTGAGAGCACAACATGGCCGCAACAGTGGCCCAGGTACCGGCGACAGTAGGCCACACAGGTGCAAATCGAAACCTGGACAAGGCGCAAGCAATGAGTGGCGTGATGGTCCCTGGAGCGCCTAATGATGCATCGAAGACATCGAGAAAACTGCAATTAGATGACTTCGCCAAAGTGCGAACCTTGGGCACAGGTATGTAGAATGCCATCCACCCTAGCTAGAGACTGGGCGAGCTCACTGGGACCTTTCTGAAGGTACATTCGCTCGTGTATGTCTTGTGCGATTGGCGAGTCCGAAGAACGAAGCGGAGCGGACAAGAGTGTTTGCGCTCAAGATCCTACGAAAAACAGAAGGTTCGTGCAACAAAGTCCTTTTCTTGGCATCTTCTCCGCGAGCGCCGGGGCCTGTGGCTGACCTTAGGCCTGCAGTGATCAAACTCAAACAGATCGACCATGTACGGCATGAGCGGGCGATTCTTGGTGAGGTGAGCGGTCATCCGTTCATCACGAACCTCCTAGCCTCGTTCTCCGACCGCGATTCGCTCTACCTCCTCCTCGACTACGTGCCCGGCGGCGAGCTCTTCTCGTATCTCCGAAAATTTCGCCGCTTCGACGAGAAGATGGCGCGTTTCTACGCCGCCGAGATCGTTCTAGTATTGGAATATCTTCACGAGCAGCAAGGCGGCGTCGCCTACCGGGACCTGAAGCCCGAGAACCTACTCCTAGACGAGGAAGGGCACATCAAACTTGTGGACTTTGGCTTCGCGAAACGACTCGGCGGACGGGATGGTGCATCAGAAACCTATACGTTGTGTGGCACGCCCGAATATCTAGCGCCGGAGGTCATCCATAATAAGGGCCATACCACAGCTGTGGACTGGTGGGCGCTTGGGATCTTGATATACGAGTTCCTGACGGGCTACCCGCCATTTTGGCATCAGAACCCAATCGAGATATACAAACAGTATGTGGAATCGCAAAGCGTGGTCTGGAACGTGCAACGTCAAGACCAGTACTGACATCCAAACCACAGAATCGTCGAAAAGCCCGTCATATTCCCACAAGAACCGCCAATCTCCCCAGAGGCCCAAGACATCATCCGGTCCTTCTGCAACGCCGACCGGTCCCGCAGGCTGGGCAACGTGAGCGGGGGCGCGAAGAGGGTCAAGGAGCACCCCTTCTTCCGGGGCGTGAACTGGGACGACGTCCTCAACCGGCGGCAAAAGGGCCCGATCATCCCGCCCATCAGGTTTCCGGGCGACGCGCAGTGCTTTGATATATACCCGGAGGAGGACGCCACCCGCGACAAGTACACCGAGGATCTGAGGGAAAAATATGATGGTTACTTTAAGGATTTTTAGATGGGGGCGGTTTGAGAGTTGATTCTCCCTACAGCACCAGCGGGAGGTTTGGTTTGGTTTACCCCGTTTTCGGCACAAGGAGGAGCGTACAGGAGGCATTGGAGTGGGTTTTTGTGAGAGCGGGACGCAATCCCACGTCCCCATTATTTTTATTTGTTTGAGGGCAAGCTCACCCTCGAGCGCCCGTGGGCGCCGTGAGCATGAGCATGAAATCTAGAGGTAAGCGCATGAAAGCATGAATGACCACGATGATACGTTCCTATCATCATATCTACCCATCATGTACAATACAGAGAGAGCAGCGCCTCTGCGCGCTTCGTCCGATATGTGTGTGTGTGTGTGTCTTCTTCACAAGCAGGTCTCTCTGCTTGTATTCGTGCTTCAATCACCTCGGGCGTGCCCTGGAGGAGATCAAGGTGATACGCCGCGTCACTCACCTACACAGCGTGCTACAAAACCCCCCCACGTCCGCGGGTCTCTCCACCGCAGCAGCACAACGGGGCCCCGTTACGCAGAGATCTCCTCGCCTGATCGGTAGGTCACCCAGGCACAAGTGGTCCCCCCGAAGGAGCAGTACGCGACACCGCCCACGGGAATCACAGGCGCCCTCGCATAGCTTGTACACATCGCAGACTCGCAGCCAAAGGAAAAAAACAAAGCAACCCACCTAGACGCCAAGCACGCGCGTGGAGCCGGCAAAGCACGATGATATGTGGCTATCCACAAATCTACCCACTTCTCGGCTTGACTGGAGCCCTTTCTTTGAAAAGCTTGGATATGGGACAAATTCTTTTTGGGCAATTTCTCATGGAGCAATCTGTCTGTAATCTCACTTGTCTATAGAATACCTCCTGCGAAATAACCCTTTGTGGAATAACGTGCCCTGGGACAATCTTCTGAAATAATCCCCTTTGGGAAATATCTGTAGGACCATCTCGTGTAGGATCATCCCCAGTAGGACAACCGGGCTAGACCTGTATGGCAACCTCCAATGTGATAACCTGGTATAGACAATGGGATGGCCTCTTATGTTGCAACCGCTGTATTGATTCACTCGCTAGCGTATATCGGGTATCTCATGAGCCGCCTTCCGTCCCTGTGCAGACACACAAGGCTTCGTCTATCCGCGTCTGATCATGCCGCCCAACCAGTGCCACGCGCCTGCCCAAGAGCTCCTGCGCTACAAAATGCCCTTATACAGCCACCACGTCATTAAGGAAACTACGGCCACCGTACTGAGTACGATCGCCCCTTCCCTGGTAGAGAAGAAAAGGGTCGTCATCCCAGTCATGAGTTCCTTCTTCCGCGCACTCGCCCGCCGCTCCCAAGCAGCCAAATCGACAGGAACTGGAAGGTGCAATCGAGGGTCTGCGCCTTCTGTCGTGCCCTCCGTCGAGGCTTCCGCGTCTTCCGTTTCCTCCGCCGTGTGCTCAGAGTCAGGTGATAGCTCCTCTGGAGTCAGGAGCGGTACCGAAACGCGGAGGAAGACAGGCTGGTGATCAGAGCTGAGCATTGTTGGCATTGAGTTGTACTTGTGGACGACGATCTCGGGCGCGGCTTTGCCCGCATATCGTCGCTTTACCCATGAGGGTATGTCGAGGTAGAGGATCCGGTCGCACCATCCAGGCCAGCGGTGGGATGCCCACTTCCATGGCACCACGTCATCCCCTCCAGCCTGGATCTCGTCCTTGTTGACGGCGTCGGTTGCCTTCTCTCGGCTCAGGTGCTTGATCTTGTAGGTCGGTGGGAACTTCACCTCCGCCTCGGAGAGACCATGGAGTGTGCGGTTCTCACGTCTCTCTCTCGTGAGCTGATCCTTCTCAAAGAACGACAGGTAGTTGTCTAATGTTGGGAATGGAGCCAACGCAGGGGGCGAGTCTGTACTGATGCGATAGTTCAAGTCTCCGGCAACAAAAAAGTGAGAGCCCGGCTTGAAGATGCTTGCGTCGTGCAATTGTCTTGCGTCGTCCTTGGGCATGGATCTGAACGTCTGGCGGCGTTTAAGGAGGTGAGCGCGCTCGTCTTCGGTTGGAGGTGGAATGTCCTGGCCTCCGTCTGTTTGTTTGCCTCCTGTGTCTTTTGTCGATGCGCCGATAACATTCTTAGCGCCCGGCTCAGCAGTTGGATGATACTCTGGAGACACAATCTCTTTGGGATTCACAAACGTGCACGAGGACTGCCACAAGGTTTAGCTGGTGAAAATTGATGGACGAACAAGGGGAACATACCACAATGCTAGCCCAGTTGGCGTTCCGTCGTCTCAGGTTATACTCCATCGCCGCAAGATGTGTAGCAACGAACGTGAACTCGGTGGTCCTCTGCTCTGCCGCTGCAGATTCAGTAGCAGCCTCGTCTTGCTCCTCGCCTGTAGAACCAGCACCAGAATAGGTGACCCTCAGCGCAACGGCACCCTTGTTGCCCATGTCGGCAATACCAAATGCGCATTCGGCATACTGAATGTGGTGAATGGAGTCGGGCTTGCGGGCGAACAGCATTATTGCGGTCATACCGACATTTCGCGACTCCACAAGCTTGTACGGATAGTCTTGCTGCCGGCGCCACAACGTCGAAAGCGTAGATGTTGAGCGCTGTAGGTTCTGCTGCGGCCTTGATCGTCTCGTGACGCCGCCCGTCACCTGTTCTTGTTGTTCTTGTTGCTCCTCAACCTCGATCGCGGCGAGGTTGAGTGCCTCCTTGAAGGGCATGAGATAGGGGTTCAACAAGTAGCCGCCGACGAAGCTTTGGGCCAGGGGCGAAATCTCTTGTAGGGAGCTGTGGGATTGGCAAGTTAGTACTTCATCAGTTGCCCTCGTCTGCAGGAAGGGACTGACAAGACGACCAGGTCCGGCAGCTCGACAATGCCCTTCAACCCGGAGACATGAGGGCCATCCCTCCTTTGGCCATGCTGTTGGAGCGCACCACGCAGGTGTCGCGCGAAGACATCGACATCGATGATGTTCTTCGCACAGTTGAAGGAGAGGACAAACAAGTCCAGGGAAGCGGCTGGGGTCATGGCGGTGGGTACTGTTCTACAGCAAAGAAGATGGAGGGGTGTCGGGAGATCTGAATGGGGCTGAGGAACCGTGGTCAAGGGTCAGGGTCCTCGTGGTGCGATCGGCGGGCCGAGGCCGGAATGTGGATGGACAGTGGGGTTCGGATGTAACCGAGATCTGTGATGTTTGGAACGATGGATGCTCTTAGCGATGATTCACCAAGAAATTTGGAAGTGAACGAAGAATGGTGGGATGGTGAGATGGTGGAAGAGAATGAGAGCAAGAAGACGAGATCTCGTCAAGGAGAGAGACATGACCAGCTTACCCATTGACTGAGTCCAGTCGCACCTTCCTCGATGGTGACTGTTACGTCCAGAGCTACCTGGGCAGTCACACGACCACATCATGAGACTGAGGAAGGCACCAGCTGGTTGTCTTCAGGTCCACTGCCCTGCCCAAGATCATCAACTAGTATCAATGTCATCACTTGGGACGAATTCACCAAGATAAGAAGAGGGGCAGTTTCTCGTAGTCAATCTCCCGCAAGAAATTGTCCCAATAAAGGAACAGTGAGCATCATACATATATGCAAAGCCTACGCTGACATGTCATTTATACCTCCCACACGTAAGTATCAGAAAATCATTCCAGCTTCCCCCATACAGGGTAGAAATTCCGTAGGCCGCACGCACATGAGGCAAGCAAGTCTCACCTCGAGACTCGGCACCACGTACCAACCCATAACTGCACCAGGCCTCATCAACGTCCCGTCCTGCACGTACCCGAGAAACACACAAGCAAAGAAACAATGGGAGTATCCGAGACCACGGTAGACTAAACTAAACGGAACCTTCACGTTTGTCTCAGTCCAGCATCACCTGCCTGGCCTGTCACTTGACCGCCCTCGAAATCTTATAGGGCGATGTCTATCAAGAGCTCTGGCTGCTTTGCACACACACACACGCGCCTGATATGTACTTCCACAGCTTCACAACCACATAAAATTCTTCAAATGGCGATCCGAAAATGCTTTCATGGTGTGTGTTTATGTTTAGTCTTTGTAATGCATGATACTTTGCGGTTGCCTTCACCAAATGATAAGCAGAGGTCTGCTTAAAACACTGTTCTGGGTGGTCCTCGAGCATTCCTTGGTCCTCAGTGGTTGGGTTGCAGCAGCAAAGAATCTACACACATTCACCAAGTCATGTCACTTAAACAAACGGCAGAATAACTTTTGTGAAAGCAATTTAGATTCGAATCAGTGGTAAACTAGCAGATCCTAAGGTGTGTTGATGTCCTCCATCTCGAATAGAAACCATACCATGACCTTCCTACGCTCCCACTAAAACCCCGACCAATACCTATGTAATGCCTAGGTTGATTGGGCGGAGGAAGGTGAGGAACATGGTAACTGATGTCATGGTAGGGATCAAAGCCAATAATGGTAGGAAGTAGGGAGCGAATGGCGGTGACTGGATTTAATCGGACATGGTTCTTCGGCACAATTGCTGTGACCTCTTGTTGCTGGCAGTGAGACTCTTGGTGAATAATGCTGAGCCGCCCGATCCAAACTGTTGCTCTTGTTGAACGTCGATACTGGTCGCGCAGTTGACGGATTGTAAAAAAGAACCAAACAACCCTCTGGCCCAACTCTGATTTCTCATGCTGTGCCCTGTCCAGAAGTCCACATCTCAGAAACACATCCACAACCTCACAGTATTACCTCCCCAGAACGTGTCCCCTCAGTCGAAGTCGAAAATAATAACCTGCGCAATGAAAGGAAATAATAGCAATCTCGATGAAAAAAAAGATTCGGCAGACAGGCTACCCCAAGTGGTAGCCGAATTGTCGCAACGACGGGGCTTGATCACAGCCAGAGCGGTCACGTGGGTGTTGTCCCAGAACCTGCCCTGGTGGAATTCAGCCTCTGTTCGGTTCGTCGAGTGGCGAAGCTGGTGTGCTTCTGCTGTCTCATAAACGAAACTCTTCTTCCTCACAGGCCGGTACTCCAGCGATTGAAGCACCGGGCGTGCCGTTCAGCCGCTTCGAAATGGGCACCGATGCTGGATCTACTGGCCCAATGCCGTAGAACCAGCTCGCCCTTAACGAATTGACCGAGCCATGAGTTGTTAACCGAAATACGTCGAAGAACGAAATGATTCCCCAAGATGAGGGAGCTGTGGAGTGGAGATGTTCATGAATGCAATCCCTGAGCGAAGACATGTTGCCATAAATGAGGAAACGCCGGCAGAAGGACCCGTGACATCACGGCGTGCCGCCTACCAGAGTCGCTCAGGGATGAACAATCTTTTTCCACAGTTTTTAAAACAATCTGAGTGTCGAAAGGCCGTTCGTTGCAATCACTTGGGTCGTTGGTAAGAACCGGAAGCGTAACCCGAGCCAGCAGCGCCTTGGCCTCTGGAAGCCGAGCGCAGCCTGTTATCGCAGACTGATGGTCAGCACTCTTGTCAGCATTTTCCCTCGGCCAGCGTTATGAAGCACACCAAACTCGAAGGAGGATTCCTTACAAGGAATGTAGTGGGCCGGGCTTAAATTTTGCACTCACATCCTATCGCTCGTGCCAACACCACGCGAGGCGTCAGGAGTATCAGCGATCATCTTGCGAGCGCGGTTGCTCTGGATGGCAGGAGTGGCCTTGGTAGCCGCGGCGGTGGTGGGCTGCCCAGAAGCAGCACCGGCCTTGTCCTCGGCCTGCTGCTCGTCCCGCTTGATCTGAGCAGCGTTCTTCTGGTACTTGTACACAGTCCAGTCGAAGACGTAGTCGTATTGGAAACCCTCCCGAACAAAGAGATCACGGAAGATCTTGCGCAGGTAGCTGTAGTCGGGCTTGTCGTCGAAGCGCAGCGATCGGGTGTAGTTCAGGTATATGGCGAACTCGTTGGGGAAGCCGCGGCAGAGAACCTCAGTCGGGGTGGTCATCTTCTTCTCCATGATGCGGTCGTACTTCTGCTTCTTCGTTGCAGCCTTCAGACCTTGCCATGGCAGGGAGCCACGGCAGAAGTACAGCATGACATATCCAAGGGATTCCATGTCGTCACGGCGGGATTGCTCTGTGGCACTGTTAGCGGTCATTGGCGGAGGGCGATGTGAGAAACCCAACACGTACCAACTCCAAGGTGAGTGTTGATGGAGGCATAACGGGCAGTTCCCGTCAGGTTCTTGTTCTCTCTGTAGGGAATGTGGAAGTGCGTCTTGGGGTCACGGTACTTCTTGGCGAGACCAAAGTCAATAACGTTCACCTGGTTGCCACGCTTGCCGATTCCCATCAAGAAGTTGTCGGGCTTGATGTCACGGTGGATGAAGGACTTGGCGTGGATGTACTCGATACGGGAGATGAGCTGGTCGGCCAGCAGGAGCACGGTCTTGAGCGAGAACTTGCGGTTGCAGAAGTTGAACAAGTCCTCCAGACTGGGACCAAGGAGGTCCAGCACCATGGCGTTGTAATCACATTCTGTTCCGAACCAACGGACAAAAGGGATACCGACACCACCGGCCAGGGACTTGTAGACACGAGCCTCATACTCGAGCTGAGGGTGCTTGGCCTTGACGCTCTCGAGCTTGATGGCGATCTCCTCGCCCGAGATGATGTTGGTGCCCAAGTAGATATCACCGAAGGAGCCGGAGCCGATCTTGCGGCCGATGCGGTACTTGTTACCGACTCGAAGATCCTGGAACAGACGAAAGGTTAGTAATTGCGTCGGTCAACATTTACGATCAAACCCAGGGCAGCCTCAGCCAAAGGCCTCAACTGCGGGTCTCCATCTTGTGGACGAGGCTGCCATGAGGCAAGACGACACGATCGGAAAACCCGCAAACAATAACTTTGATGGCCAAGATTCCAGAGATAAGAAGATGATGGTTAAACAACATACCATGGTGGTCATCTTGTCGGATGTTGATTATGAGCTTCCGTCCTACGCGAGGAAGGTAGCTAGTTGGTGTGGGAGATGGTGAGGTAGTCTAGTCGACTGAAGTTTGGATACTGAAAGACTATTTCTCAGGTTCACGAGGTTAGAGGAATGCTCGAGAATAGCATGTAGACAGATTTAGGTCTGAGGAGTGAGGGCGGTGTGATGCAATGACGAGAGATGCAAGGAAGGGGGTTGTTGGCGGAGTACAGATCAGGCTATTGAGGCGTTGCACTGCAGAGTGTGAATGACTTTGGGTTGGGAGGGGTGGCCAAGGTTGTTTGACTGCAGCATGCAAGCCTTATTTAGGAAGCAAGCAAGCTCGAGGGGGTAAAAGCAAGAAGTAGGGAGAGCCGGAGTTGACAGTTGCCAGTGCAGCCGTAGCAAGTGAGTAAGCAAGTAAGCAATACCTCAGGCTAGACGGGTGGTGGTGGTGAGGCCGAACGCCCTTGCTGGATTGATCCGGCTGATCGGGTGCCGGATGGACGAAGATGGAGGCAGTGAGGCAGTGTGTGGGATGGCCTGGACGACCTGCAGGACAAGGACGGGATCGATGAATAGAGACTCACGTATTGCAGATACTGACTTTCAGATCGGAAGAAGGATCCTTCGAAGCAGGAGTGTGACACGCAGAGGTGGGTGGGAATGGATTGGAAATGGTTCGGCGGACGAAGTGGTGGTCGTGTAGTGGTGGATGACGAAGACAAGACGATCGATCGGTGGTCGACACGAAAGGGCGTGGGAATGCAGTAGAGGGATCAAGACGGAGACCAAGGCGAAGAGGCGGATGAAAATGCCTCAATGCAGAAAATCAGTAGCGCTGCAGAAGAAAGAAAGACCTCGATCGTGGTCTTTCCTGCTCAAATCTCCACCGTCTTTGGTTGCAAGACGACGGGTTGAGGGAAGGGAGGAAGATGGTTAGTTGGATGGGAAGGGGGGGAGGGAAACGGGAGAAGGAGTTACAAAAGGGAAGATGCAGGAGGAAGGGGGACGGGCGTTGAGAAAAGGATTCAGTTTTAAGCGGAGCCCTCCACCAGAGAGACCAGACCACGACGACACCCACGGACGCTGCACTGCAGTGTGGGCTCGTGTGTGGGCTTGTGTGGGCTGTGGGCTATGAATGGGCTATGGGCTGGATGGGCTGGACGCGGGCACCTCCAGTTCCCAGTGCTAGCTCCTGTGCCAGTTTCCCGTACCTCCTCCACTGGCGGGCATTGTTGCATGCTGGCACCCTGGAGACGGAGAGGGCACTGGCCACCCGTGGGCTTCTGGACTGGACTGCCAGGCCCAAAAAAGGCGTGTGCGTCTGGGCACCCAGCTGCTCCTCTGCTCCTTTGAGAGGTGCCTGGTCGTAGTGGTCGGGCACCAGCACCAGCCAGGGGGAGGGGTTTGCAAGCCTCCAGGGTTAACGGGTGACGGGTTACAGGGTTCCAGGTCGTTCGCTCAGGCCAAGTTCGAGAGATCTGCTGAGCCTGATGCCAGCCAGAACCCAGAGCCTGACAGGCCTGAGCATGAGCATGAGCATGAGCATGAGCCTAACGGTAACCTTGCAACCTTGGGATTGAGCTTAGGTTGTCAGGAGTGCGGCACCGTCTTGGCACTGTACGGGCCGCTGCGGTTAGACATCTGCCTGGTACCTCGCCCACCAGATTGCTGCAAGCATCTACTTGGCCTGGTTCGCATGGTCTCGCTTATATGCCTCTGTCCTGCACTGTTTGCCTTCTTCCTGCGGATGAGAACGAATTGATGAATGAGCATTGTCTCCTCCGTCTGCTTGCAGGAACATCTGCCTCCACCGACCAAGCTTCCGTCTTCCTCACCCGCCCTACCTTCCCATCCAGGCCAGCCAGGGAAATGCCTCCACCGCAAAGGGACGAGGAGGAGCGAGGAGGACGATGAGGAGGACGAGGCAATGGCCGCCCTGGCGACCCGTCGGCCCAGCATGGCTGGGACTGGGGCTCGTGTTGGACACCCAGCACCAACAGAGCAGAGCAGGCTAGGCAGACGCAGGCCAACTCCACGATGCTGCATTCATTAGACCAGACCATCCATCTGCCTAGCAGAATGGCCCCCATAACCCGCCTGGCTAGTCGGTGAGTATGCCTGCAAGTCTGCAAGCCTGCACGCCTACTTGCTGACCGCCGAGCCTCGAGCCTCGAACCTCCGAGCAATCGAGCCTCGGTCCTCCTCCCTCATGTGGCACAGCATGGCGTGGCGTGGCGTGGGCATGACAACCGCATAGACGGCAATGCCATCGAGGGCAACGCCGAAACCACGAGACCCTCATTCTCGGTCGATGGCCTAGCCTGTCATATGAACTGACGGGCCGTCCTTTGTCACACTCATCACATCCCTCCGGCAGCTCGACATTTGATTCATTTCCGGCTGGCATTGGGCCCATCTGCTGCTTCACGGCAACAGCGTCCGTCCTTGTTTCGGTTCGGTGCCCCGTCCGGGCCTTTGTTGGGCAGGCCACTTCGCATCTTACGGCGTGCCTTCGGACCTGGGCTGCTACAGCGCTGTCGTGTCCTATTTCCATCAAGATTCATCATCAATGCTACCGTGCCTGACAATCGCAAAAATCTCCACTTCTCGTCGCCTCGCTCTCAGTCCTCCGCCTCCTCCCCATTGCCTTCTCTAACCCCCCCTCATCTCTGTGCCTGCCGGTCAAACCAGCACATCGGGTCAACTCTCCAGACAGACATGCCGGTTCAGCCAGACCTCCAACACAAGAACAAGGTGGGCAACCAGGTGGCCTTGTCCTCCCCTCGACAGCCTATCACAGCCTCGTCCGAAGCCGCCCATTCCCCGATCAGCGCTTACCTAGAAGGCCTCGCCAACTCTGGACCTTTTGATCGGCCGTATCACCACCCCTCCAATGCCAAATGCCCGCAATCATCGGACGGTCCTCTCCCACTCGCTTGCCCGGGCGTCTCGGCGGAGGTGATGGTCGACCAAACTACATACACGCATCAAGACCTATAATTAACCTTTAGCTATTGGTGACAAAGAAAGGCAAGCTGCCGGCACGCACCGTGGCGCTCGCACGCCCGCCCTCCCACATCACGTTTCGGTAAGCATGGTGAAAGGGTCCCGGATGCGGGCGGCAGCTATGGCCTTGGGTATTGGCACTGGCACTGGCATGACGACCTGTCATGCAACCAATCTCCGCTCTGCTGATCCGCCCACATCTCGCGAGAGGAAGGTGAAGCGATCTACAGCCTGGTCATCTGCTGTGCTGCAGTTTCAGTCCTGCACTGCGCTGCGCTGCACTGCACTGCAATTGCAACCAGTAGAACCAGATGAGATCCCTTGGCGTCACCAAGATAGACCGTCTTTTCCGTATGATGTGGGAGATATGCCATGATTCGTGGTGGGCTTGCTACATTTGTCACGATGATGATCACCCGTGCCTTTCCCCACGGCCCACGATCAGCTAACTCGTAGCGTCCATCTCTAATCCCGTGTGCTATGACGGAACCAGGGCACTTCGATGTTACTCCGACATCGAGACGAACCGTCAGGCTTCCGGAGACCACGGATCCGTACGCTATCCTCTCACGCCCGGAACTGTGTCTCAATAGGGGGCCTGACTCGGGGCTCCAGGCGTGATTCGCCCCCTTCTGCAATTCAGTTTTTTCGGTGCCCAAAGCCAAAAACCTGCTTAATTACTTCTGTCGTGCAACCAGCTGGTCGACTGGGCCGGCAGCACCGCAGCCAGCCGTTAATCCCCCCCGCGTCCCGATCCATTGACGCCCAACGCCCACCACTCAGAAGATGGGATGTCCCCTCTAGCAAAAAGGCTGACTGGATACTGACAGTGGGATTATTATACCTGCCGGCTGTCGGCATAACCATACGAGAGCATGTCTCGTCTCAGGCGGACTGCCGCCTGCCTGATTGCCTGCATTGAGCATCAAAAACGGGCCTACCTCGCGATCTCACCACACCACGGGCGGCGGCAACGCAGCACGGAGTAATCAGCTGGGGTTTTATATTAGTAGCAGGTGTCACCACAATGCGAGTGATTAAAACGCGTCGCTCTCGGGTTCCCGCAACCTCGCAATGCGCCACACGAGGGGTTTTTGATCCAATTCAGCAATCGTCGTGACAGGGCCAATGGACGAGACAGCCGTCCGGTAAGCGAGGGGAGGGGCGCTTCCTGCTTGCTTCTCCTGTTTCTGGTCCCCGTAGCATTCTGACGTCGGACAAATGCTGCAGCAACGCCAAGACAGGAACTCGGCTCGAGCTACCCTGCTCTTCAACTCATAATCGAACGGCCCCCTTTTTTTTATGTTTCCTTTTCTCAGCATGCTAATTGATATTATGTCAATCGATATTAATACATGCTATGCAGCGCTTGAAAAGCAACTCTGACGCCTCAATCAAATCACGGAAACACGAATTCATTCGTAACGGATTATACATCTCAGGGGCACCACCACCACTACGACAGGAAAACGCATGTTCACGAGCTGGAGTACTGCCGTATGATTGCCGACTGTCATCTGAAGAAGCTTCACTGGATTTTCAGCAAGCTTGACAGGTTGCTGGTTTCCGGGTGCGAGATATGCCGTTATTGGAGCTAGTTGAAGCAAGCACGATGGCAAGTAGATGTCGAGCCGCCGTAATGCGGCAAGATTGAGAGTGTTGCATTGGTCATCCCAGTCGATTGACTGTTTTCAATGCGGTATATCGGGCCATAGAATGCGAGTACTCTGTGCATGCATCTATGCGGCTCTGGATAAATCGGGCCGTCACGATGCTCCGAGTGGAGTGAGTTCACCTAGAGCTATCATCGCAGTAACGGTTGGTCCAAGGTGTTGGAAGCGAGCCCGTGCTATTACATCTTACGCGGCAATTCACCAACACGGCTGTTCTGGACGAATACACCTATGGGAAATAGTCTTCATGGGGTCCATGCGGATACTTCCTGAAACGACTACGACGAGGCCGCCCAGGAGTTGAGAAAAGCGAGGTAGTATCGAGTGTCGTTGCCCTGTTCAATGAGGCTACGCCCGATACAGATTGGACGCGACGATGTTGTCGTCTTTTAAATCGGTTCAGTCCTTTTCAGACTATCTTGCTCGAATTCCCTCTCGCAGTCGGCCGATGGACGTGCTAATGGTGGCAGGATGCTACGCTGAGACAAATGCAATGCGAAAGGCACCTTTTTCTAATCGACGTCTCTGCCTAGTTTCGGGACTATCGAATTTACGAAACGAGACCTGTTGGACAGATATTCGTATGACGGTGGACCATAACAACCAAATCCTATGGAAGGGATAGATGTGTTAAATATAGAGTTTGAGAAGCCCACACGGCCCATCAGAAAGCACAGCTATAATCCTCGTCATACTAAAGGAGTTTGGAAATCAAGTTCGAAGGTCACTGGGTAGAAGAGAAGATAGAGACCTGCCTGTAACCACTTCTGGGAATCGGCGATGCTTCAAAGCCATAGTCACGAGGGCCTTCTAGGCTAGGCCTCAGCCATATCAGTCCGGCTCTATCCTGAAAATGTTTTACAAAGACAAGCAAGCTGAAAGAAAGAAGTCGGGATACTTTTTGGGCCTTTCCAGCTCACCTAATATTCAACCCTCAACGCTTTCATTTCCACGCTGCTTCCTGTTTCCGTTATCCACCAGCAATTTTCACCGGAAAACCCAACCTCTAATGCATCAAGAATACAAAAATGTCATGGAAACGTCCCAGGCGCAGTCGAGCTCCCGCCGCCGCCGGCCTGACATACGTCTACATCGCCATCACGCCTCCAGGGACCTTTGAGCGCGTCCTGGCGCGTATGAACCAGGCCTTCTGGTCATGTATCGTCGAGGCAGCAGTCCAGTCTGCCGCCACCGTCCTCGCGCAGCTCAGCGAGCTGCGGCCCTAGCTAGGGTCCCCATTAGAATTAAAGAGCTGAGCGATGTTCCGACTGGTCAAGAGTAGATACTTTCGAATCTCTTCTCTGCACTGCGATATAGTTTTGTATCACGCAGGCTATCGGCCGCGTGACAGAGTCTGTGGGTGTGGTGGGAATTGGAACTCAAGGTGGCCCCCAGCCTGAGAAGTGTCACTTGCAGGCGACCTCTTCCGTGCCGTCCGCCGGGGCGAGCGTGGCGTATGCGTGCCTGGCTCACCTATTCATCAACAGTGAGCAGCTTTCCGCATATGACTATGACCTTCTCAAGGAGAAACATCTGCCATTCGTGATCTGCTTTACAAATTGCCTCAAAGCCTGCACCCGGGCTGCGTGTTGTCAGGCAGGCTGTCAGCATGTACGTCCCACATAGCTCTTATCATATATTAGATTTATCCCTCGGTGCTTCGACAATTGGCTTGAAATTTTGCAATGGCTCTCTGCCTGGAGCTGATGGCATTTGGGGCAGGTATCGCGACCATAAAGGGCCCGAACAATATTAAATAAAGTAGAAATAACTGCTATCCCCCAAACCGATGCTCATCGTCGCCTTGATAGACTGTAGGGGCATGACTACGGAGGGCCCGCTGCCGACATATGCGGCAGAATCGTCGCCGACTTAGTCCGCATGCTGGAGACTTTCTTTGTCTTTCGCTAAGAGTACATTTATGGTTGTTCTTGGGTGTGATGAAGTTTCTTAGAAAAGAAGAAGAACCAGATGATTGCGAAATCGGGCCGTGAGCGTGTTTGAGAAGAACGAAAGCTAGCAATGCTTGTGCATTTCCCACAATGCTCGAAGATATGCAATGCGAGTAATGAAGACCACATATGAAGACATATTCGAGTTTTGATATCATTTGTGGCACATCCTGCGGGTGCTAAAGCAAGAAGGTCATCTCAACAGAAGACGGCTGTGCAGAGTTGATTGGAAGACAATCCCATTTGTGGATGAGGGAGTTGTGGTTTGGTGAATTGGATGCTTGAGGCAGATGGAAGAGAAAATGTTTATTTTCGAGACTGTCAGTCCCCTTCTGCCTGCCTACATATATTTCAAGAGCCGTTTTCCAAGACAAGAAATACTAGTACCACTGTCTTCCTTTTTTCATTTGGCTAAAGCTAAACTCTATCTTTTGAAGAGTTGGATACTCATCGTAGAATATCTCTCCAGTGCGGTGGTGTTCCAATATGTAATTCTATTGATCTATTAAGACTTAGAGAAGTTCACTTCAATCACATTTCGTCGTCAGACCGCATCAAACAACAGCAAAACATTGTAAGCAACCTTCGAAAAAGCCACTTGCGGTGTTCGCAGATTAACATCGCTCTTTGTTAAAGATGAACCACTCAATCAGAATTATGCAGTGCTCATTGTACGTGACCTCATTCGTTCAGACATCGTACTGCCGGCACACAGTCCATAGTATTTGATATATTGGCTCAAGTAGCTCTATTTACACTTGAGCTGCCCAAGTGCATGATCATCCCATGTTGTGCTGAATTCATAGCGGGAGTTAGCGTGTCACTGCACCCTGAGACTCGTCCATATGCACACTTGATTCTGTTTTCTTGATGCCGTGCTGCTCGAGGTGTCGGTCCAGGCCCATGAAGCAGAAATCGTAGTCTCGTAGTTCTAGTCCATCATGGCTAAGTAGACAAGCGGCTCGACAGTGTCAGTCCTGGTGTAACCTCTCTTTGGCCCGCCATTGCTGATCACCCATACCATAATTGGGATGTTACATCAAGGACAGGTGTATCCAAAACTCCTTGGAGGCGGGCTTAACTTCCGGGTATGCACAAAGAATGTCTGCTGTACCCTATGTGGCGAGGAAAACGCATCTGTCGGTCATGCTCGCGGAGTGGAGTGTCTGCTATACTCCGGCAACAGGCTTCCATGACAAACCATGCCTTTCCGATCACGTCTTGGCCCGCCTTGGTGCCAGATAGTAGCACGAGCCTGAGGTGGGCCAGTAGCAGTTCCGGGCTTCCCGCGATGAACAAACAGGCATCCTGACTATCCCGGAGGCGGCGACGGGAATCGCGGAGCTATCACAGGCCCGCGAGCTGCAACTCCCTTATCTCCTCCTTGCACAAAAATAGCCTACCAGCCATCGTTGATGAGTTGGCGAGCTTTGACATCGAAAGTAATGCTCGCAGCGCTGGTTGACCAGGGCAGCTAGAACTTCCATCGTGTCCCCATGCAGCTCGATGTAGATTGTCCCAAGGGAGATCGACGGTTTCCGTGTCTCTGGTCGGCAGCCGGAATAGATACCCTGGTCAATTCATCCCTGGCGATCCCAAGACGGCATCCCTCTCAAAGACCAATTGTTGTGTCGGAAGATGCAGTCCTGTCCGTATTTGGCACAGGCCACACGTGCCACAGGATGGAATGCAATTGTAGGCTCAAGAGGATGTCCTGCTGATCACGGGGGGACAGAGCCGAGGCAGCAAGGGGCGATGTTGGTCGGACGAGTTGATGGAACCGAGAGTGTGGCTGACGGGGTTGCGTAAGGTCCGGATACCACCTAGAAATAGAGTCTGCAGCACCTGCACCTGCCATTTGCCTCTGCCTGAGGCATCAATGAAACTGGCCTGCACTAGCCCCGGGTCCAGCGGCCAGCCAGGTGCCTCCCCCAACACTGCAACCAAGACAAACACCACGTTTCTCCTGGCAATGAGGCAAACGTGTGTTCATCTAATCTGCCAACAATCCGGATCCCCATCTTCCTTCCATTCACCACTCTCGCATTTGATATCGGCGGCCAATTCCAACCCCACCGCCTCAACAACGACATTGTAATACCACCCACCAGATCCAGACATCTCCCCACGGAACTAGAACTTGGAACGTCCCAACCCTTTAATACGAGATCCGTTCTTTGCGACCCACAGACCTCAAGCTGCGACCTGCGACCTGCGACCTGCGACCGATTCGAGATCTCATCCACTCTCGCCAGCTTATCACAATCAATTCTACTCGTCCACGGCCCGCTTAGATCCTGAAATCTCCTATCGCCTAAGATACCCTGATAGACTTGGAAGCCTGATTTCATCATCGAGACCGGCTAGTCATAACCACACCCACAGTCGACAGTCAAACCACTCCATCGCTTTCCATCGAGACGGACTGCTGTGCAGATCGCGTCACCTCGGACTCGAATTGCTACCCTTCGTTGGCCCAACGAGACAACGCACACTCTTTTGAGACTGATTTCCTTGCTGTTCCTACTCGACCATAAACGGCCTCTTTAATACACTGCAGCCATGGCTGTCGCAAACATCCAAGACCGAACCTCAGAGGTAGGTTTCCTTTGCTAAGGCTACCTGGGTTCGAGGAAGGCAGATACTGATAGGTTTTCCAGTTCAAATCCATCCTAACACAAGCACAACGACGACAAGCCCAATCCAAGGTCGGCTCCCAACGGCGGTCCCTCCTCACTGACGCCCAGAAGGCAGAGGCAGATGGCTCAAGAAAACCGCGACGGTCCGATTTCGCGCGGAAGGCCGCAGACATTGGACGTGGCATCAGCGGCACGATGGGCAAGCTGGAGAAGCTGGCACAGCTCGCGCGGCGAAAGACGCTTTTCGACAACCCAGTCGAGATCAACGAGCTCACGTTTGTCATCAAGCAGGATCTGTCGGGGCTCAACCAGCAGATCGCGGGCCTACAGGACGTGGTCAGGTCGTCGCAGCAGGGGGGCAAGTCGCAGGAGTCGGAGCACAACAAGAACGTGGTGCTGCTCCTGCAGGGCAAGCTGACGGACGTGTCGGCCAGCTTCCGCGAGACGCTCGAGCTGCGGACCAAGACGATACAGGCGAGCCGGTCGAGGCAGGAGAACTTCCTGTCGTCAGTTTCGACGCAGGCGCAGGTCCCGCTGCAGCAGTCGGCGAGCCCGCTGTATGGCACGCCCAAGACGGGCACGCCGGTGCCGGGCGGGGACACGCTGTCGCTGAACCCGGTTGGCGACCAGCAGCTGCTGATGATGGAGGAGGCGCAGCCGCAGAACACCTACATACAACAGCGTGGGGAGGCCATCGAGGCCATCGAGAAGACCATCACGGAGCTGGGCAGCATCTTCGGACAGTTGGCGACGATGGTGTCGGAGCAGACCGAGATGATTGAGCGGATCGACGCCAACACGGAAGACGTGGTGGACAATGTTGGGGGCGCACAGAGGGAACTGCTCAAGTACTGGAGCAGTGTGTCTTCAAACCGGTGGCTACTGGCCAAGATGTTTGGAGTCATGATGATATTTTTCTTGTGAGTTATTCTGTGCCCTCCTCTCTTCGGGATCGCTCATCGTTCACCTGGCTAACAATATCCATAGGCTCTGGGTTTTGATCGCTGGATAAATACCCAATATGCGAGTTTTGATACCTACTTTCCACTTGTAACAGTACCAACCCTGCTACCATGGGTCGCGGCGCACAGGAGCAGTTTCTTTTCCCTCTAGCACTTCAGGCATAGAAAGACTTTACGGCGTATTTGATATAATGCTCAAAAAGACCATGAATAGATGCATGGCGGCGGCAAACAGCCCGTCCGTTTCTTTTCCCTTCGATAAAAACTGCTCCCGAGAATGCGTGACGTAGGTATGTATGTCCTGCGAAAGCAGCAGCTAATAATCCAGATCCCTCCTCTGCATTGCAGGAATCACATGCTCTGTACCTGCGTACCGCCCTGCTGTCCCTGATGAGTGACTGGAAGGGAATCCAGAGTATACAACGTCGGCGCAATGAACCACCGAAGGGAAAACCACGCCAAGACTTGCCTTTTTCCGCCTCGCCTGCAGATTCGCCGAAACGAGCCTCTTTGGGTCGCATTCTGCGGGCCCTTGGTGCACCGCTGGCGGGCACCAGCAAAGAGAGGGTTCCCAGTCGCTGTCACCCCCAGGCCTTGGCAGCCCGCGGGGGAGGGGCACCCGAGGATTGAATTACATTTCCCTGGATGGAGGGGTTTATTTGGAGGGGCATTTATCCGGGCGAGTCTCGGTTTTCCCTTTGGTTGCGGTCTGGGAGCAGTTACTTGGTCCTCTATCGGCTTCCTCTTTCAAGAGAATTTGTGACTTCTTTTTCCTCGCTCAATTGATCCCTCTAGAGTGTTGTTCGAGCTTCCACCACCTTAACAGTTAGCCCCGTTGTCAAGCCTCACTACTTACCTCAAAACACACACACACACACGACAACAAGACATATAGACAGACCACACAAAATGGCCGACGTCACCTTCACCCTCAACACCGGCCACAAGATCCCCGCCGTGGGCTACGGCACCTGGCAAGCCGCGCCGGGCGTGGTAGCAGAGGGCGTGTACCACGCGCTCAAGTCCGGGTACCGGCTGCTGGACTGCGCGTACTGCTACGGCAACGAGGCAGAGGTGGGCCAGGGCCTGGCGCGGGCGATCGCGGACGGCATCGTGAAGCGGTCGGACGTCTTCGTGGTCACCAAGGTGTGGGCGACGTACAACACGCGCGTGCAGCTGGGGCTGGACAAGTCGCTGGCCAACCTGGGGCTGGACCACGTGGACCTGTTCCTGGTGCACTGGCCGCTGCTGATGAACCCGGAGGGCAACGACGACAAGTTCCCCAAGCTGCCCGACGGCTCCCGCGACATCGTCAAGCAGGGCTACCACCACACCGACACGTGGCGCCAGATGGAGGCCCTCGTCGACCCGGCGCAGGGCGCGGGGAAGCAGGCGCGCGCCGTCGGCGTCTGCAACTACTCGCGCCGCTACCTCGAGGAGCTGCTCGCCGTCGCCAAGGTCGTCCCTGCTGTCAACCAGATCGAGAACCACCCGGCGCTGCCGCAGAACGACATTGTCAGCCTGTCCAAGGAGAAGGGCATCCACATCATGGCGTACAGCCCGCTCGGGTCGACGGGCGGCCCGCTGTTCAAGGAGGAGGTCGTCACCAAGGTGGCGCAGAAGCACGGCGTCGAGCCTGCGGCCGTGCTGCTGAGCTGGCATGGTAAGTCCCTGATTTTGTTCTTGGGATGCATAATCCTTCTAATTTATACTGTACTTGTTGTTCACATGCTAACCGCTCGCCATGGTAACAGTGCCTCGCGGGAGCACCGTGCTGCCCAAGTCAGTCACGCCATCGCGCATCGAGTCGAACCTGAAGTTGGTCAAGCTGGACGACGAGGACGTGAAGCTGCTGAATGCGTACGGCGAGGACCTCGAGAAGAACGGCAAGGTGCAGCGATTCGTGTACCCGCCGTTCGGAATTGACTTTGGGTTCCCGGATAAGTCATGATTGGGGCTTTAGATGTTATAGGTAGATAGAAATAGAGGCTCCAATCTTCTGAGACCTTTGCGAATACAATCAAACCAAACATGCCTGGAGAGTAACAGTGGAGCTGCAGCTGTGACTTGACTTTGCTTCTATTTGACTTGACACTCGGATTGGTATTGTCTACACGCGTTTAAATATAGATAGACAAATCTACCTTCCCATCCAACCGCCGTCAACAGTCAAAGTATGCCCACTCACATACGCCCCCGCCTTACTCGACAAAAACACGGTCGGGCCCTTGAAGTCCTCAGGCGTGCCCCAGCGGCCAGCCGGTATTCTCTCACTGATACTCTTGAGCCTGGCCGGGTCATTTAGCAGCGCCTCGTTCATATCAGTAGCGATATAGCCCGGCGCGATACAGTTAACAGTAATACCCCGGCTAGTCCACTCATTCGAAAAAGTCTTGGTCATCTGCGCGACGCCGCCCTTGGAGGCGGCGTACGCGGGGACGGTGATGCCGCCCTGGAAGCTGAGCAGCGAGCCGAAGTTGATGATGGACCCCCTGCGGCCCGTGGTGCTGTGCTCGGGCAGCCCCAGCATGTGGGCGGCGACGTCGCGGCACAGCGCGAAGGGCGTGTTGAGGTTCACCTGCAGCACCTCGGCGAAGTCGCTGTCCGGGAACGCCTCGGACGGGTGCCGCCGCTGGATGCCCGCGCAGTTGACGAGGATGCGCACCTGGTGGCCGTCGGCCAGCACGCGCGGCACCAGCCCGGCCACCTCGGAGGGCGAGGACAGGTCTGCTGTGTAGATCTGGGCCTTGCGGCCGAGGGACTCGATGGATTGGAGGGTGGACTGGTTGCTTAGGTCTCTCTGGCGGGATTGTCAGTGCTTGGTGCTCTGGGAGGAAGCGGTGCTGTGAGATGATGGCTGAGGGAGTCGTGAGCGTACTTGGATCAAGATAATGTCTGCGCCTGCTTCGGCCAGTGCGATGGCAACGGCTTGGCCGATGCCTCGCGTGGCACCTGTTATGAGGGCAGTCTGACCCTCGAGGGAGAAGAGGGCGTTGGTGGCCATGACTGTGGTGGGCTGGAGCAGTTGAGGGTATCGTGAGATTGGTATCTATGTACAAGTGAGTGATTGAGTGAGTGAGTGAGTGAGCAGTCTTTCTGTGTGTCTGAGTTCTCAATTGCTCGACTCTTTCTTCAGTACAGCTTCATGCAACCTGGGAGACACTTTCTTCTGACATCTGACATCTGACATCACAGCACGCAGGAGAAGAGTCAGTCAGGGGTCATTGGGCACGGCCAAGCAGCACCGGCCTAGAGTCGATTTATCTATGGCACATTCTCATGATTCAACCGCCGTGGACAGGTGCCCAGCTTGCTCCGATGCAGGCGCGGGCGTAGCGAGGGCGGCAAGCTTCGGCGAGAATTGCCCACTTTTTTCTCACCCGATTGCTGGAGTTGTCCCCCGCACCATGGGCCTAGGGATGCCAGGGACACACTGGGCACAACCCCGCTGACGTCGTCTGGGGGATTTTTTGGAGAAATCCGTCTGTTCGCTGGTCCCTTTTCCGACCCGACTTTTTTCTTCGACGCAGGCGATCCAACAATCTCGCGGCGGTCATTTCCACGTGAACACTTTCCAAGACTGCTTGGAAATGGCAGGCCAGTAGTAGCCCCTACATCTCAGGGTCATGGCTAAAACAATTGGCACGACTGGACTGGGCGAAACTCGCCGAGACAAATCCGCACAGGACGGGGTAGCGAAGTGAGACTATCGTGTAAGTCGACAGTCCACCGCGCAAAGACCCCCGCGGGATGATGGAGACGGTTCCAAGGTTGTCCCTTCGCCCTCGGGCAATCGCACCTCAATTAACTCTCCTTTGTGGTATCTCTGCCTCGTTCGATATCGGAGCAGTTAGCCTGCCAATTGATCCAAATAGTCAACACAGTACCTAAGAGCTCCACTCGTCCTGATTTCCAGCTTGAAGCTATTCCTCAGCCTTTGTGTATACCCACGCGACTCTTGCACCTTCACATCGTGAACCTCATCCTGCTTTGTCAAACAGTCTAGTCTACCAAACAACGTCAATTTCTCATTCCCATAACCCTTCTTCCACACGAGCCACCTCTCAGCTGAGCATCACCACGACCACCACTAATACCACAATGGCGACACAAACAGTCAGAGCCTCTGTCCTCCACGCAGCAAAAGACCTCCGCGTGGTAAGTCGTGCCCAAAACATCCAGGAATTGATGCGCCACCACACGTAAACACACGGACATACGCATACAGCACCTAACAATACTCCAGGAAGAGCGCACCATCCCAACCCTCCAGCCCACCGAAGTCCTCGTAGCAGTAAAGTCGACGGGTCTCTGCGGCTCCGACCTGCACTACTACAACCACTACCGCAACGGCGACATCCAGGTGCGCCAGCCCATGACCCTCGGCCACGAGTCGGCCGGCACCGTGACGGCCGTGGGGTCGGGCGTGACGGACCTCAAGCCGGGCGACAACGTCGCGCTCGAGGTCGGGCTGCCCTGCGGCGAGTGCAAGCTATGCACGCAGGGCCGCTACAACATCTGCCGCGCCATGTCGTTCCGCTCCTCCGCCAAGAGCTTCCCCCACGCCCAGGGCACCCTGCAGGAGCAGATCGCCCACCCGGCCGCCTACTGCCACAAGCTGCCCGCCGGCGTGCCGCTCGAGCTCGGCGCCCTCGCCGAGCCCCTGTCCGTCGCCCTGCACGCCGGCGACCGCGCCCGCCTCGACCCGGGCGCCACCGTGCTCGTGCTGGGCGCCGGCGCCGTGGGCTTGCTGTGCTGCGCCGTCAGCAAGGTCCTCGGCGCGCGGAGGGTGGTCGTCGCCGACATCAACGCCGACCGCGTGCAGTGGGCCGTGGACCGCGGCTTCGCTGATGCCAAGGTCGTGGTGCCCATGAAGAGGCCCGACACCGTCGAGGCGAAGCTCGAGTTTGCGCGCGAGGTCGCGGCGCTGGTTGCCGAGGCCAAGGGCGCGGACGGGGAGTTGGTGGGCGACGTGGACGCCACCTTTGAGTGCACGGGTGTTGAGAGCTGTCTGCAGGCTGCCATCTACGTAAGTGCCTCTTTTCCCTCTCACTCTTTCTCAAATCAGATGACGACTAGTGGGCTGACTATACGATCTGTTTCCCCACAGTCCACACAACCGGGCGGCAAGATCCTCATCATCGGCATGGGCACACCCATCCAGACGCTGCCCATCTCGGCCGCCTCGCTCAAGGAGGTCGACCTGGTCGGCGTCTTCCGCTACGCAAACACCTACCCGCGCGTGATCGAGCTGCTGGCCGGTGGGAACCCAAAGCTGCCGCCCGTCGCCGATCTCATCACGCACCACTACGACGGGCTCGACAGTATCCCCGAGGCGTTCGGCATGGCGGGCAAGGTCAAGGACGACAAGGGCGACCTGGTGCTGAAGGTCATGGTGAATATGTAGATACCATTTAGCGAATTGGCGAAAAAGTTACTGCTTAAATTCATTGTTATTTGATGAAAGCAGGAGATGCATGCTACGCGGTGTGATATCTTAGAAATGAAAACAGAATCCTGAACCCCGCTGGTGACGCCGTGCCTTGGTGACAAGCCCATCCACACCGTAAATCATACACCCACTAGAGTACAGTACAGTAATGACCATATATCATCTCACTTACACCGCCATATCCAGGCTCAGAAGATCCTCCACCCAGTCATATACGGCCGTAGCGTTCGCAGCAGCCAACCGAACCGCCTCAGAACCCATGCCCAAAGTTCCATACTCGAAAAGCACAAGCCCCTCATCGTCATCATCATCATCGCGGTGCTCATCACCCACGACAGGCGTCCAGAGCCCATCCGCCTCAATGCTCAGCTCTACACCAGCATCGTGATCGTCAGAAACAACCAAAACCCGCCCAGAAGCCCCACCCGCGACGCTCAACACAGACGGGCCCGCCCCAGCGACAGCGACACACCCCCTCACCCGCCGCGCACCACCAACACCGCCCACAAGCAGCCCCGCGAGGCCGGCAGCGCCATCCACCCCAGCAGCCCAGACGACGACGCGCCGCATGTCAAACACCCGGATGGCCCACATCCACTCCAGCACGGACGCCCACAGCGCCTCAGCCTCGGCGCCGCTCCGCGGCGAGGGGACCGGGCAGTCCCCGCACCCGGGCGCCTCGACAACAACACACCCCCACCCGCGCGCGAGCAGCGCCCCGCACAGCGCCGCGTGCGCGGTGCGGTCGTCCGTGGCGACCACGACGGCCGGGCAGGGGGCGCCGGTGGCGAGGGTGCGGGGCGGCAGGCGCACGGCGAGGGGGATCTGCGGGCGGCTGGCCCTCACCGCCGCCCTGGAGGCGCTGTCGCCGCGGTCGCGCACGCCCGCCGAGGCGGCGGCGGAGGATGACGGGTCGGGCTGGGTGGCCGCGTCGTGCGTGTGCGGGATCGTCACCTCGTCCAGGGGGCTGTCGGCCCACAGGCGGCCGGCCTTGGCGTGGTAGGATTTCTGGAGCTGCCAGGCGCGGGAGCGGGCGGGGCAGGCGGAGTGGGATGGCGAGGAGTGTGGTGAGGTGGGAGGGGGTGAGTACCGCGCTACGCGCAGCAGGGCGCAGGCGCGGAGGTACAGCGCCGCTGCCAGGGCGGTGTCGCTGTGATGCAGGAGCGCGTTCTCGGCGCGCAGGGCCAGGTCGTGCGCCTTGGGGTAGAAGGCGAGGGTGTACTCGGGCGAGGTGGCGTCGTCGATGCCGCTGTCGATCAGGCTGTCGAAGATCGGCTCGATGTCGTCGTAGTCTGCGTCCTGGAACGGGGGCAGGGCCTTCCTGGCGGCGGACTTCCAGCCGTTCTCCCACAGCGCCTTGACGCTGGTGCTGCTGGAGAGGAGGTCAGTCCCCAAGGAGGAGGAAGGGGGGCTGACTGGGCGCGTTGTTGTGAAGGGCCATGAACGCTTTCGTTTTTGTGATGGTGTTGCGGTGGTGGTGGTGGTGGTGGCTTTTGGCTGCCACAATCCCGAGGCTCGGGGCTCGGGTTCCGGTGAGGCTTCCGGGGTAAGCATCCTTTGGGAGAACATGTTGAGCTTCCTTCCTCCTTCCCGTTCTTCTCTCTCTTCTTTTTCTTGCCGCTCCGGAAAAAAGGGCTGGACGAGTACGAGGACGACCCGTCTCCCACCAGGTCACCGAGGGACAAGAGCCCGGAAGTGGGGAGAGGGTGTTAAGCCGTGTTGAAGGACAGGGTTTTGTTGATGTAGTACTTGCAGAACTCGCCCGAGGGCTTCTGATAGACCACAGTGCAGCGCCTTATCCGGATATGTGGCCGAGAGGCAATGTGCTCACTCAATGCGCGTCGAGCTCTGCAGTAGGCGGCGCACAAAAAAGGCCTTGTCAGCGGAGTTTCTTGGATAGGTGAAAAGAAGAAGTAGGAGCAAGAGCGCAGCAAAAAACGACCAGCACTCAGAAAGTGTTGAGACAGTAAGGCTGAGAGGCGCCCGGGGCCCGAAATCGTGGATTTATAATTCGGGTCATATGCACAAATGAGTGGAGTTTTGTTTGCTTGGCTCCGGGGTATCTTGCTGACCGGGGAATGCGCTCGGGTTCAAGCGCGAGAGTCCGCTGGGGGCAAATTGAGAAAAATGATGACGGTATGGCAAATTATGAATGGGGTTCAATGGTTAGGGTACGGAAAACAGCCTTTTTTTTTTCTCTCGATGGTTCAAAAACAGTGGATCATTTCAGGTAGGGAAACTAGACAGACAGCATATGAGATGACTTACTCTGCCCGCAGGGATGCAATGCGGATCTTGTCCAGTGTGAGATACAAATCCTTCACATAGCCCTCGTCATCTTCGACGTCGACCGACCGATGTCTGTGAGGAGGCATGTCTGCTTTTTGAGTTACGGTGACAGCACCGACAACGATCAGCCGAACTTAGGGGAAGTATGGGCTTATTATGAGACAAATGAAATTGGTAGCAGGTGAGACGACCAACCCCGGTGACACACGCCTGTGGGTTAGTGAGTACGAGCCAAGCAAACCAGCAACCCCGAGGGCGTCACTGCTGCTGCTGCTGCTGTGTGTATGTGTGTACGTGCGTGGTTGTAAGTGGGTGTGTATCCGGCTTATGGGCTGGGGATCTCCGAAGGATCGGGCCCGGGGAAGGGCGTGTGACAGGCAATAGTGTCGGGGCAGAGAAAAGCCTGGACAATGACGGATAGGCGTTTCGAAGTATCACGGACTAATGATTCGTGCGGTCTTCTCAAGCGCGAAGGAATTCAGGCTCGGACGAAAGAGGACAGACAGCCTTCCTGACGTGAGAGAACGAGATGGATGGTGGGCATGGGATGGGATGGGATGCGAGGAGGGGGAGGGCTTATAGACACCCTCTTATACACTGCGCGACAGACCACCCACACGATGTGAATAGGAGGAGGCTCGTGGTAGGCCAGACAGACAGACGGACGGACGGACAGGCTCGGTAGATGCATGCTCACGTGTGCTTTGTTCGTGAGCGGAGTGGGCGAGCGGGCGAGCGCTTGCCCCCCAAAGCTCCAGTGCCCCAAAACGCTCGTGTCTATTGCGCTTTGTGCCGTTGTTTAGACAAGTAGGGAGAGGAGGGAATAGACGGTGCTTGGTCCCTCTGGTTGAAGCATGAAGCTCGTCTGGCCGACGTGAAGCCATGATTGCGACTCATGACGATGGTTACGTATATGCAAAGAGAATGTGCTGATGACCTGTCAGTTCCCGGGAAAGACATGTAGTCGGGGAATGGAGCGCATTCATCCATCCAGAGGCGCTGTCGTCGATGCAGCCAAGCTTCGCCGATGCAATCGGGCAGAAAGAAGGTTTGTCCGTCCCGTCTTCCTGTGAGAGTCTCTGTCTGTTGACATGTGATGAGCGGGAGTGGGTACAGGGAATCCCCAGGGCTGGCCGGCCGGTGGTGCCAACCCCAGGTTTCGTCTTCTTCGGGAATCGAGTGGAGGACAATTAACCCGTAGTCGGGCCTTGCGGCCCAGGAAATGGTTCGAGATCGTCGCGTTCTAGCTTCGGCTCTGGCCATTTCTGGCGCTGGTAGCTGATTCCACTCTATTATTCTGTTTCCCTCTACGGCAGTGGCCGACAGAGACACATCGGGTCGACCTACTGCCGATATATGCCCAAAAAAGGTGTCCAATACTTGACATCAAAAACGCCGTTCTAAGTTGACTGTACGCGCGATGCATTTCCTCCCTTATCCTTGGCTTTCCAATCCCTTTGACATTGGCCATGGTGTGTTCTATGGCTTTCACAATGAGGTCTCGAGTGCGTCACCGCATCACTGCACCAAGGCGTCTCCAGGCTCCAGCGCCTCGTCAGCACGAGCCCGTAGAAAAATCTTCCGCTCTTCTGGCCGTTACTCCAAATCAGATCTAGCAGAAAAGTCGATCACAGCCTCGAGTCCGTGGTGCTGGCCATCCATCAGCTCGGCTCGTTCTCCTCCCAAATTCGTCACGATGACCGCATGCGCACACACATATGCGCGCGCACGCGTACCCCCCCGACGGGCGTAAAGGAGGGCGACTTATTTCTTGTAATAGTGGGCCATCTCCAGCCCGGCCCTCTTGAAGCCGCACTTGATGTAGAAGCCCTCGTTGGCCTCGCTGCAGTCGAGGATGGTCTTGTAGGCGCCGACCTTCTCGGCGATGAAGTCGAGAGCCTGGATCAGGCGCAGGCCCAGCTTCTTGCCCTGTTGGTCCTTTGCGACGGCGATATCCTCGATATGGCCAACCAGGCCGAGGTTATGGATGCTAGTGGGTGGTAACATGTGTTAGCATGAGAACTAGATCTAGAACTTGCTTCGAAGGATGCGAAGCAAAGCCATTTGTGTGTCCGTTACCCGTTGTGGGCGCCCTTAGGTTTTGCAAACAGGAAAGGACATTGGGGAAAGAGGAGCAACGTACAACTTGCGCTCGACGATGAGGGCGCCCGTGCCGACGACCTTGCCGCCGTCCTCAATGACCAGAATGTAGTACCCGCCGTCCTGCCTTCCGATCCACTCGAAGCGCTGGGCGAATTGTTCCTCTGTGATTTCTCCGACGGTGGTCAGGACACGCAGGCAGTCGAGGAAGCCGGCATGGTAGTCGGACTGTCGCAGGGCGCGGATCTTGTAGCCGTCGGGGAGGGCCTTTGCGACTTCAGGGGAGATGAGCTCGTCGCCGAAGAGACCTGCGTCCGGTGTAGCTGTGCCGTTCATCTTGACGGGCTCCGTGGTCTGGGTGGCGGCAGAAGCTGCTTTGACGGGCTCTGTGGTTCCGTTCATGTTGGACAATTCGTGAGAGCAAAGCAGAGGTGTTGGGAGGCCGTGAGGTTATAGCAGCGGGAGAACAAAGAAGGCTGGGGTCAATGCGGATAGCTTCACCGACAGCAGACAAGCTAGGAGTAGTGGTAGTAGAAGATTGTGTAGGTTGAAGTTGATGGAACGAGTGACGTTGGATCAAGATGGACACATGAGAAACGGAACGAGGAACAGAAGTGGGATTGCAACGTCGGGGACAGGTGTCGCATTTAATCGCAGGTGTTGATGTGCTTCTGTGGATGGAACAAATGGCATACATTCATTCCTCGACGTCCTCCCGCCCTCAGCCCTGGGCGGCTTCCAAGGCCCAGCACCAAGGCCCTGCAGTCGATCCTCACTCTGTTGTTTCCCCTGAGCTATTTTAGGCGAGCTGCACCTGGGGCCTGGGACCTGGGACCTGGACCCTTGCGTTGGGAGTGCTGTACCGCCACACCCACACCCACACCCACATCCACATCCGGCGAGAGCGATGTCCTTCCTGTCCCTAGGTGCAGCTCTATCTCTTCGTGTATACGATAGAATACGGCTTGTGATTATCTAGTGTCCTCTGACGCTTGCTGTTGTGTTGCAGTCCAGACCACAACACGAGTCGAGTATAGACCTTTAGAGGGTGCCCAAGCGCACATGCAGCGCAATGAATGGCATTGTGCATCTCGATGTCTCTTCGCTCATCCAACCTCAACCCCTGGCTGCAATGTCGTCACTGCTGGGATGTCAGTCTCTTGTCTCCCCTTCTCTTCTTCCAGAACACCAAACTAGATGCCCGCCTACTTGAGTATACATGAAGATACCTCGGCACCGACTGGGTAGATACGTACTCCCTCTCTGTCCCATACGCAGGCTTGACAGATGCAATGGCACATCACCACCTGCAGGCACTTCAGATGCCAGCAGCGCGTTGCATGATAATCCCGATTGCCTTTACATAGTAATTCATCACCTCTCGCATCACACCCAGTCGGGCCTCGGGTCCAACAAAGCAACAAATCGGGGCTCGACCCACCGCACCCAAGCTTCGGCCTCGAGGGGAAAGCAAGGCTCCGCTTTGTCCACGTCAAAACCGTCCAGGGACGCGGTCGCGCCCTCGCCCTCTGATGACTCCTCCCGCAGCCTACTCGCTTATCACATGTCACTGCACTACGCTGCTGTGACAGCTGCTCCAGATCGACGTCGAGCATTTGTTGGGACCAAAACTGCCCATTCCAGCCCTCGATGCCATCATGCACTGTTTACTTGCACCTCCAAACTGCTCACATTCCGATCTCTCCACTAAATTCGCATCATCTTAACCATATCACCTGTCTGGATTAACTCATCATCAAATCGACACGCCACCCTCGCCAAGACACAACCAAGCGCCCTCAACAATATGCCCCAGACGCCAGTCAGGTTCACTTGCTTTACAACTGCTCCAGCCCTCTCCCCCACTGCAAAAGCTCCCACCTGAGCTGGACCATCCATCTTGGACGAGTTCTCGAGCCTGTGCTTTGCGAGAACCTCGTCGAAGATGGAGGATCGGATACAGAATGGCTCCGGCAACACCCCGTCCGCTACCGCGGCCGAGCCGCGAGACCTGGTTCCTCCTCCTCCTCCTCCAGGGCGCACTCTCCTGCCAGCCCCCGTCGCCACCGCCATCAGCCTGTGGACGCGCTCCACCAGCCTCGCGCTTCGAGTCGGCACCGTGATTGGCGGCTATGGCTTCGGCGCGGCCAAGGCGACCACCCTGTCCAGCCTCGAGATCGGCCGTGGCATTATAGAAGGCATTCTGCACCGGGCCGGATCCGAGTCCCTTTCCAGGTCCAACTCAGATCTGGGCAGGGCTGATGCAGAGACCATCATGGAACGGAGCCTCGAGAGCCTGCACATCGCGATGTCCCAGGTCGTCTTCTGGACCACCGCCGGCTTCAACCTGACCACCACAACCCTATCTGCCATCTCCGAGGTGTCTCAGTTGACTCTGTCCTATCTTGACTCGATTCTCGGCTCGACAGAGTCCTCGAGAGCCATCGCTAGCATTATCACTCTGATACGGCGCGAGTTTAACAACCCAGCTACCGGCCAGCCGGGCGAGCACGTTGGGGTCTTTGATCTCATCGTTGGCATGGTGGGGTTGGCATATTTCCAGGGATGGGCCTGGAGGCTCATTGTGCAGGAGAACCAGCGCCTGCAGGTCGACGAGATACTATGGGATGTCGTGATCATTAACGACGAAGAAACGCTGGATTACAGCAAGGTTGAGGATGGGAAGCAAGTTGATAGCAATGGACTGGAGCCAGGGCCTAACGAGAAGGTGATACAGACCATCCAGCAGCACGATGCCGCTGACAGCAGCGACGGTGAAGACGATCTCCCCGAAATACGGCTCAAGCAGCAGATCATGCGTACCCTACCAGCTGGTGCCAAAGTATCAATCATGACTGAGACCAAGACTACCAAGACCATCACTGTCGACGTGTCTGGCACACAGCCCAGCGCTCTGGCACCACCTGCGGGTGTTGAGCTTATTGAAGAGACCCGTCTGCGGCCGGTCTCGTCTCAAGGGAACCGTCGTTGGTCGATATCATCAGATCAGCTTCTACAGGGATCAAGTCCCCTCGATTCTACTTATCGGGTTGTCTACCGAGTTAACAAAAACAAGCTCAGAAGCACGGAGATGGCCAGGGGCGCTGAGGAAGTCGAGGTGCCTCGGTTCGTGGAGCAGATTGACTCGGATACCGAACAAATCTTTGACGACCAGGTGGTTTCTGATGAGGAGAAGGAGGACTTACCGCCCTCGCCGCCTCCGAAGTCTCCACGCCATGACACCTGGGCCGAAGAACTTCCGCCAGCGGCTGAGAAACCACCTGTTCGTTCCCGCTCAAAGAAGGGTCGAAAATCTCCTGGTCTCAGTCGCAAAGCAAGCGTCGACAAGACCTCACAGATACCCCTACCAAGGCAGAGCCCGGAGACTTCTGCAAATCAAAAACGACCGAGGATGCCAGTATCACCTCCGGCCTCGACGAGCAGTATCGAGAATCCACGCAAGAAGCAGCAGTCGATGTCGAAATTGTTGTCGAAGAAGACAAAAGGTGACACAACACCGCCTGGCTCAGCGAAACCACCAAACGAGAAGAAAGGAGGCCTGCGCAATGTTCTGAAAAAGGGTTCAGGAACCACACTGGCCAGTCTCGTCGCCAAAGATGGGAAGGATGCTGTGTCCTCGAACACACCAGTGGCCCCAAAGGGGAAGCAGCAGCCCGTGAAAGATCTACGTCGTGGGCCAGCGCAGCTCCATCAGAAGCCGACATCGTCCACTACAAAAAAGCAGCTGTCTGTCCCAAATCGTGACTCTTCTATGGTCCCAAGGCGAGAAGCACCTCGCCCGCCTCACGGAGGAGCGCCCAGGAATCCACTCACATCACGAGCACTCGCCGAATACGAAGCCAGCGGCGCAGTACCACGTAGTCCATCTCGAGCAAGTTACATATCTATCCACGAGCGGAGGCGGGACTCGCTAGTCTCGCAGACGGACACTTTCTCTATCCATTCTGTAGAGCCTCATCTTCGACCCGTATCGCCTGCCTACAACCGCAGCCCCATATCCAAATCCAAATCGGAAAGAGATATTGTCGACAGACAGCTGCCTCCACCGTCGCCCTCGCGAAACCATAGACGAGTCGTGTCTCAAACATACTCACCAAGTATATATACGCTGAAAACTGCAGGTTCTCAAATGTCTCTCGTACCATACCACCATCGCAGCCCCTTTGGCGATGCCGAGGCTCTTGCTACACTCCGTCGCACAGGTAGCATCGACACGACATTCCCACGCTTCCACCTCCTTCGAAACATCACGCGCTACATGCGATTTTCCTCCGCCTCCTACGGCTCCAGCTTCCTCAAGGTCTTCGGCATATCCAAGTCGATGCCACCCGTGCTCAAGGCCCTCGACGATACCCACCACGAACTCCGCATGTTTGCCCATCACACCCAATCTCAGCCTCAATCTATTCTATTATCGTCTTTTGTTGATCCTCAGGGCGGTAGTGACTCTTCAGGGGCGACCGAGACAGGCGTGCCACTTGTGCACTATGTCTCCCTGGATGACGAGTCGAAAGCCGTCGTATTGGCCTGCCGTGGGACACTGGGATTTGAGGACGTCCTGGCCGATATGACATGCGACTACGACGACCTCGTCTGGCGTGGGAAGAGCTACAAGGTCCACAAGGGGATCCATGCCTCTGCGAAAAGACTCTTATACGGCGGCGACGGAAGGGTGCTGGTCACCATCAAGGCCGCCCTCGAGGAGAATCCAGACTACGGACTCGTCCTCTGCGGCCACTCCCTCGGCGGCGCCGTCACTGCCCTGCTAGGCGTCATGCTCAGCGAGCCGATAGACGGCGGCACGTCCTTCGTGACGTCCGACGAGCCGCACAGCCGCCTCCTGACATACCCGGGCTGCCCCACACCCGACGCCACCTCGCAGCAGCAGCGGCAGCCACACATCTGCCTACCGCCCGGCCGCCCGATCCACGTCTACGCCTACGGCCCGCCGGCGACTATGTCGCCGTCGCTGCGCACCGCAACGCGTGGACTGATCACCTCAGCCGTGCACGGGCAGGACCTGGTGCCGTACCTGTCACTCGGGGTACTGCACGACTTCCAAGCGGTGGCGCTGGCGTTCAAGACGGACAACGCGGAGGCCAAGCAGGAGATCAAGCAGCGCGTGTGGGAGGCGCTGCAGGGCGGACTGATGGACAAGTGGCGCGGTGGCGGCGCGGCGGCGGCAGGCGGCAGCGGCAGCAGGAATAGGGCCGCGGGCGCCGTCGAGGACGAGGAGTGGGCCTTTGCCGCGTTCAAGACGCTCCGCGCCAGCATGATGAGCGAGAAGCTCCTCCCTCCCGGGGAGGTGTTTGTCGTCGAGACGGAGAAGGTGCTGCGGAGGGACGCGTTCGTGGGATCTGACGGTGGTGGTGGGCCGCAGCAGCAGGACGGTGAGAAGGGAAAGCAGCAGCAGCAACAGAAGTCGTTCAAGTATGTCGGCCGCCCCGCCAGGAGGATCGTACTCAAGTATGTCAGGGACGTGGAGGCGCGGTTCAGGGAGGTACGGTTCGGTGCCACCATGCTTACGGACCACAACCCTGCCAAGTACGAGGACGCGCTCGATGGGTTGCGGTTTGGGGTTGTTGAGTCTTGATATCACTCATTCCGGTGAACTGTTTCCCCTTATCGTGATTAACGGCATTATCTTACGGCCGTCACTTGTTTGACAGCAGGGCGGCCAACCTTTGAGGTCCAGCATGGCTAGGATCAAACTGTCATTCCTCGCACAATATCCCCATGGCCCAGTGTCGGCCTGTTTCATATGTCCATCTACCTGGCCATATCATATCGTCTTTTACATCATGATGATGAGCTTATGTCAACCTTGTCCATACCCCGCGTATTGCTAGATGTGTAGATAGATATTTATACGTGTGTATGTGTGTATGTGCGTGGGTACGAAATGGGCTTTTAGATAGATCTGTCCTAGACCTTTTACACATACAGAACATATCTCGCCTTTCATGGCCACTGCCTACCTTCTCCCTCCAGAGTGGAAGGAGACTCGAGTCCTACACTGTCAACGTTGGCTCTGGAACTTTCCTGACTTTTCTTGACCATCAAAAAGATCTGAACAGTCCGTTGGCAGCATTTTTGATTACTGTTTCCAGGCTTACTGCACTCAGCACGGTTTGTAGGCCGGTCCACGGACTGTCCACAAGCACCAGAGACAGACCTTGAAGCACCTTCTGCTCGTTTGACGATGCCCAGACACTGCTCCATGGAATTTCTGAACCCAATCGAATCATTCCCTAGTGAGCTGAGCTCGCTGCTCCTGGCCCCCGGCCCAGGGGCAAGGAGCACGAGCCATCTCCTCACCCGTAACGACATCTAGATGCACTTATCATATAGTATCAAAACAAAAATATATGGATACTTTACTTCTCTCTCAAGAAGCTTTTCGCATTTGCTCGCAGCGTACACACGTGCAGTGCCTACACACGTGCAGTGCCTGCACAGGGCACTGTCTCTCAAGCTGGCTGATATGGCGCATAGAACAGGCCCTGAGTATAATTTCGAAAACAAAAGTTGTTGAATTTCGAGCTTTTCATAGTCTTTGATGCTGTATTGAATACATCATAGCAGCTCTATCATCAGTCGAAGTCGTCAGATCTTACGTTGGGCTCAGGAGTCGTTGTCAGAAGCTCGCCCGGGCTTCCAAGGAAGCTCGAGTGTCTGAAAGAAGCCCCATGGAAACTTGAGGATATATTAGCTATATAGCTATCTTACTGTGTAATAAACCTCTTATAGAAGACCTTGAATGGTTCTGGGAAGACGCAAGGAGTGGCACGATGCTAGAAACTTCACGAACGGTCAAGAACAGTCCCAAAAGCAAAGACACACCTGTCGATGATTGCAAGTGGAAGCCAGCCACCATCCCCCAAACCACCGGGCACTAAAGCCCTTCCCGCCTTGTCCTCGTTTTAGGGAGAGGAACAGGGAACGGGATGATTTCGAGGAGGGGCGGCTGGCTCGTCGATGCTATGAAGACAATCCCATTTCCAAAGGATGGCGTGTCATCAAGTACAATTCGCAATTGAATGGTTTCCAACAGCTAGTGTAAAATGCCGTCACTTCCATGGAACTATTCTCTTGTTTGTCCGGAATGAGAATGGTGACGGAGTCCCCGTGCCGTCGTTTCCAAGCTCCAAGCGAACAAAGGGAAGCTCTCCCGTCCTTGCTGCGTCCTCTGTGGAATCGATCGAGCCCACAAGCACGAGGTGACAGCTGAATGACTCTCGAGAAATTTCTATTGATTCATATTATTCCCGCGAGATCTTCGTGCTTCATCACAGGTGGAATTGGTCCAAGATGGTCCAACAGCAACGAAGGGAAAGCCTTCCAAGTAGAATCCAATGCAACGCCTTCGCGAAGACAAATCCGATCCTGGGGCCTTCAAGTTCCTAATATTTACACGTAAGCAAGTATAACGCACTCGTCAAATGTTTGGCGAATTTTCAGAATATACAAACAGAGAAAGTTCAATTCATGCGTCCACCGAAAGCCTTTCACTTGTGTCGTCTCATTCATTTTCCACCTACACAGTAGACCAACCATCATCAATCCCAACGAGACCCGCCCACAATCGTCCGCATCACAGTTTGCAATCCAGACCCACCATCTTTTTCTCCCATATCTTTTTCGCTTGTCCCACTGACAGCCGACGCTTGAATATGCTATCTTCCCAGCTCTGGCCGGCGTGTTTCGACCCGGGCCGGGAGACAAAGACAACGGCTCGAGCGTTGAAAAAAGAAACAGCGCCAGGGACGGCACGCAGCGCAACGCAACGCATTGCAGACACTCTAGGCGCCCTAATCGTCGGCTGGGCCCCGATGGGCACCTGCTCGCTAGTGGGAAGGGCCCTAACGCGAGCACCGCCGACCGCAACACCGTGGGCTGCTACGCTGGGAGCTCCCGAAGCTCCCGCCACACTGATAGAGGCTACTGAGGCCCGGCCCCCGAGGCCATCGCGCCCTCGTGCCTCGTGACGGTGCTCACAGGCCTCATCCCTCTCGACTAGGCGGTGACGGACGGGAGCAGGACAACGAGGAAGAGGGGGCCTCCATGATGCGCTGAGACCGAGCCGTGTTTCTGACGGCCCGCGGGCTTTTTTTTTCACTAAGTTAGACCGACGACCCATGAACGAGGAGGGGGCGAGGACGGGCACTCCTGACCGTCAGTTCTCACGCGCATTCGTGTCTCGCAGGCAAGCCAGCACAAAGCAAAACGGAAGACGAGTCGAGCACCTCCTGGCGGCCCAGGCATCTCCCCGCTTCTCAAGACGATACTATATGCCTTGTGAACGAAGCCACCAGCCCTTCCAGGCCGGCTCAACCTCGCGACGAGTGTGAAAGAGGCAAGGCGGGCAGCCGTCGTCGACACCCTCTCGCCGCCCCACGGGCAAGCCCAACCGGCCAACCAAGCGACGGTGCCTCCTCCAAGAGGACGCCAACTTCGCTCACCGCCCATCCCAGGCTGGGCCGCCTCCGCCTCTTTCCTTCGTGATGATGTGAAGACTATCCATCATCCATGGCTCCCATCACAACAGGCAGCGCCTCCTCGTCCACTCCCTAGCTCGATCCAAATGACCAACATGCTCTGGTCAGCCAATCCCGCCGAAGGGAGCCTCCCAATAGGGCGAGGCGTTCACCAGCGGCGAGCAGGAAATATTCAGGGGTATACCCACTACAACCTAAAGGTTTAGGTCCTTAGTAAAGTTTCATGTCACATCACGCACCCCCCTCCCCAGAAAAGCCCCCCGTAAGCGCACAGGTGACCTGTTCGTTGTGTCCCTGCCTCTATCTCGACCTAGCTCCCAGGAGGGGACGAGGAGAAAGAGTCATTCAAGTCCCTTACAAGTACATGTACACGCCGTTGCCCTTCCTCTCCTCCCCTTCCCAGGCCCTGGTCCTGGCCTTTCCATCAGCTCAGAAGCTGGGATGGAGAGGAACCACCCCGGCCGCAAACCTTGACTGACGTGTTCCGGTATTCGGGCCATCGTCAGGGACACGGCAAGCACGGTACTTCGATGAATTGGTAACGTGTGTACAGTACATGTGCTCACGGTGCGCGTAGCAGACTGTGTGCGTGTGAGAGTGTTTAGGTGTGCGAGTGCGTGTGTGTGAATCTGCCCGCTGGATGGGCTCTGTTCCCCCCCCCCCCCCTGCGCGCCCTGCCCGCCCCGTGGATTGGACCAGACGTGGGACGGACAGCTCGGGTCTCTCCTCGACGCACGCCCTGACACGGCACGGCTGATCGACTAACTGCACCGGACCTCCAGCCTAGGGCCTGTGGCCCAGGTGGTTTGGCTGATAAGGCTGTTCTGTGATCTGTTTTAGGGCCGTTTTGGTCGCCTTCAGAGGAAGACCAGCACGGATATTCAGCACTCATATTGCTAAGAAAATTTCGTCGAACATGTATGATGATTAGGCTGTGTCGGATTCGAACAGGAGTTGTCCTGCGCGGCATCTTGGCGGTCTTTCTGGTCTTTCAGAGTCCAGACCACGCATCTGAGACATAATTTGGAACGAACGGAATATCCTCCGATCGTCCTGCGCTTAAGGTGGCCAGGTCCGTCATTTCACCTGAGCTGGCTGGCGCGACGGCCCGCTCCAGTGGCACATGGAAGACCTCCAAACGCCTGTGTTGGACTCGGCAGCGCTCCGGAAACGTTTAGCAAGAACTCACTTTGTTAAGCATCCCAACGCCAGAACCACTGATAGTTAGTGACTGAAGATCTTTACTGTGATCAGTGTCACTAGTGAGGCGTATCTGCACAACGAGATTCTGAAAAGACGTCAGGCGCATCCGGAAGGGAGTCGACCTTCCGACAGTGATTGGCTTGTTCATGCGAGATGAGAATCATGGGGTCGAACACAAGAAGATGATATGGCCACATTCAGATGGATGCCTTGGGCATTTCTACTAGCTGAGGCGAACGAAAAGAAGAAGAAAAAGACATGGTGTCAGCGATTAATAGTATCAATTGCCAAAAGGTTCCTAGATCTGGGGAATCCTCCGGTAAGAAACATTCGCTATCAAATGGTGCTTCCTTTTGTCAACCAAACCTTGACGGGCCTTCTAACATGTTGCTCAAATCCGATAGAAACATTTGCATGTTTCTTCTCCCTATGTAAAACCCTTTACAGAGGGACACGTCTTTTCTTAACACCTTCACCCCTTGGTACCCCTTGCCATGAAAAGAGTTCTCTTTCCAAGCTTCTCCCCAAACTTCACCTGCCCCATGTCATCAAGAGCAAAGTCCTTACCCGCCCCAGCACCAACAAACACCTCCCTGATGCGCTCCTCCGAGAACCCATGGTGCGTAACAGTCCTCAGTGCCTTCTCGTCTGCACCCTCGTCGGAATCGACGCCATGGTGCCCATGACCATGAGCGTGGGTGCCATCATGGTGATGATCATGTCCATGCGGCGCGTGTGGCAGGAAGTCGATGATCATCAGCACGCCGCCGGGCCTCAGCCGGGCCACGAGTCGCTTGGCCGCGAGGTCCGGGTCGTCGAAGTGGTGGAAGCCCAGCCCCACGACCGCAAGGTCGAACCCGGAAAACCTGCCGTCGCGGAAGGCCTCTGGGTCCTCGTCCTCTGGCACGCAGAGGTTGCCGTGGAACGCGACCATCTCGCCCTCAGACAGGCCCTGTTGAGCTCAGATGACTGTCAGTGCAAGCCTGGCTAGCTGAATGGCTTTCCTTTTTGAAAGAAGGTGACAAAAGCCTACCTGGTTACGGGCACGCGTATTGTATGCCTCTACCATCTTCTCGGAGAGATCAATGCCCACGCACTGAGTGGTGTACGGCGCAAAGGCCTATTGAATAAACACCGATTAGCTACGAAATCTATTGGAAAAGAAAGACAGATGAATTCGCCGCCTCTCAAAGCTCTCGGCCAATCTGCAATTCGAGTGTTCTAAAGAAAAGACAGGGCTAGGGCTTACTCTAGACATCGAACCGGTGCCACAGGCGTAATCAAGCACTCTCACGGCCCGCCCGGGAGCCGTGTCGCCCTCTGCGTCGGAGCTGTCGTCCTCGATCCATTCGACGCCGATGAGGGCCATTCGTGCCTCGATCCGCCGAGCTATCTCGTCTATGGTCTTCTCATGCTTCGCGTCATAGTCTGCTGCCTCGTTGCTAGAATTGTCTTCCGTCAGCCCTCGTTTCGCACAATTCGAACCAGCCGCCATGCACACCCAGATTGATTTTGCTACATTGAGAGTTGGCCCTCAAGTGTGTGGCGACTGCATCCAAGAAAGAATGCCAACATCACGTAGATGATAATTGATGCTTAATGAATGAAAGGGTCCATCAAGGCTTACTCGAAGTGCTCCTGGTTGAGCTTCGTCTTGCCGTCCATGTCGGCGATTCTCTCAGCCTCGTCTAAGTAACAAATCCTAGCGCAAACGGGATTTATCAGTTCGTGACACCGCTCTGTTTGAAAAGTGTGTTCTGCGATGAATTTGATTCATTAAGCTCCCTTCACTGGAAGGCGCTTCAAACGGGATCTATATAGACCATCTGCCGGCGACTTTTCCACAACATGACGCAGCCTCAGCCCACAGCTCGGACACTTTTCAACGCTGCCATTCGTCTTCCATCGGCCACAAAAATGGGAATCATCACGAGAAGAATCTCATCCAGACTGTTCTCGCTTCAGACAGAGGAGATTATCGCTCAGCCTCGCCTTCAAGGTATCACCACTTCCTAATCAGGAAATTTTCCGGCATTCTGGAAATGACCAGACACCCCGGCGTCCAAATAGCAGCGCAGACAAGGTTTTCACGTACCCATATGCAGGCAGCAGACACGAGGAGGGGCATGCCAGCAGAACCAACCAAAAAAGTCCAGACCAAGGCTCACAGTACATACAGTATGTGAAGTCGAAAGCGGAAGGGGGGGTTATACTCCACACGCTTGCGTCGTGCAGATTGACTACGACGACAAAGAAAGGGAAAAAAAGGATGTCAGGAATGAGGCGAGGCTACCAACCGGCCCCGTTGGTGCTGACTTCCCGTACAGTAGCAGAGTTTCTTAGCCGCAGGAAAGGGGAGGGGGAGCGGTGACACAAGCGGGACAAGAACGACTCGGGTGCAAAGAGTCACTTTGTCACTTGTGGAGGAAGGCCAAAGAAAAAAGGGGAGGGGAGTGGAGGGGGTACCACGGAGGGCGGACAAGGGCAAGGGGGAAGGGAGCGAGAGCGATCCGGTCGAGCGACGATCCCAGGACGTGCTGCAGGCCCTCGCATCGGTCCGCGATCACAAGTCGAAACCCACAATGCGGCCCAGGCGGCTAGTAGGCAAGCTGTGCGCAGTGCAGGTGCAGCGGTGCGTGGCGCGGCCCTGTGGTACTGTGGTACGCTCCACGGGAAGCAGCAGGGCCGTACCGCTGCGTGGGCTGGGATCCAGCTCCTGATGGCCTTGTCGGTTGGGGATTTTGACTCTGCTATCTCCACGCCTGGCATGCACATCGCTTCTTTGGGGAGGGTCGCCTCCTCCCTGGCCCCGGTCTTGGACCTGTCAATGACACGGTCCTCCCCTCTTTCCGTCCTGCAGCTGACGAGCAAACAGGATGGTGGCAGGCGAGCAAACGAAGTATCGATGCAGCCGAGACGTCAGTTGGGCCCGTCCGCTTGCCTAATGCATGATAGCGTTGCGACGGCATCTGCAACAAGAGGCAGGAAAACGGGCCCAGCGCCAGCTGGTGACGGACGGGCTGGGTCCCGAAAATGTGGGGTCCCGGTCGTGTTGCATCGGTCTATCTACGGGCTCCGTCTCGGCCGCCCATGGATTGGCTGATGCCGGCCTCGAGGGATCAGAAAATGGGGACCGACAGGCAGGTAGACCACCAACAAGCCAGTCATGACAAGGCATTGTGCTCGGTGCCGACAAATGGCAGGTTGACTCCACCACCCCTTGTTCCCTCAGCTTGGCCTTTTCGTCGCTGCAGGTGCTGCAGGCGATCGACGAAGTGACTGATCGCAGCATATGAACCAACCTTCCGCGGAGCAAACGTCCAAGGGTGGGAAAGTCGGGTGATGCGACTGGCGTCTGGTCCTTCATATCATATATCACATTTGTGTTATCCGTCTGAGGTGGGCAGACCCTATATATATGCGGAGTGCCCGGTCGTTATAACTATTCCTTGTATAATGGTCAGCCACTTTTCTTACTAGGCCACGGCGCCGTAATCTGGGTCGCGGCCAGTGCTTTGGAGGAGACGCCAGGCGGCCAAACGCCGGGTACAGGTGGGAAGTGCCATTAGGTTAGTCGACGGTTTGGGGTCCCGCGGCGCGGATGAGGCCGGCCCAGCCACGGCCGAATTGGATCAGTTGCCGCAAGACAGGATGTGAAGTGAGATGGGTGGCAGCGCTGGGTAACGGCGGCTGGGCACCAGGGAGCTTGCGGCATAGCCGTCTTGTGGGAGTTGTATTCGAAGTCTTCCAGCACTCAGGTTGTGCAAGCACGCATTCGCCGTTGGCGCCCACGCGCTTGTCGGCCAACATGCTGGCGATAGCCGTGGGAGAGAGAGTGTAAGACGTGGGCTACTGGTGGTCCCGTGGCGGTACACCGTATGAGGTATAAGTCCAGTGAGAAGCGAATCCTGACGATTCCTCATTCCTGCCCACACCGCCGCTTTGCCGAAGAGGCACGATTGCCGTGGCACCGCAAACAGGTTTCGATCTAGTAGAGCCGTACTCGCCGTCACTTTTCGGGGTTCACAGATTGACCATGAACCGAATATGATCCAAACCTATGGGGCTAGGGTGGTGGTATCCGAGGGATGGGACGGCGCGCGTGGCTGATCTCGCATGACCAAACAAGGCACGGGGTTGCACAGAGAAGGGCTGTTGCTAATCCCTTGCTGTGTGGTGAGCACTTCCCCGGGAAGCTTGCCATATCCAGCGGGTAGGGGCCTGCATGGACTGGGTCGGCAGGATTCCATGGGATCGCAGTCATGCACCCAAAGGGTGTCTAACGATGCGCCGCTGTTGGCGGATCTGACGGAGGGTTTCGCTGCAGGATAAAATGTTTTCAGAAAAGGCGGGCCAGGGCCAGTCTACAAAAGTCCGCCAAACTGCCCGATCCTTTCTCCATGTTTGTGTGAGTGGGTGCACCATGCGATTAACAGGCTTATATCATTAACATGGACCATAGTATATCATAGAAGCACCACCACCCACCAGAGTGGTAGCGCCGAGTACAACAACATTACCTCGCGATGGATTCGTCAGGCTATTGCTACTTACTGTATTGTTGTAGTAGTAGCGCGGACCGAGTCAGCGTTTGCCCAAAGCTGGCTTAAGCCAAGTGGACCAACCCGCGCGCTATCAGGCGGTCCGTTGCCAGGCCCGAGGATGCGGTCTTAGACAAGGCTCGTAGATTGGCATGTCGACGGTCGGGGGCTATGTTGCTTTTTCTCGCGCGAGAGGGTGTGGTGAGTGGGTACGTACGATCCCCGAAAGCTTCCCAGTTACATTTGTGGGATGTTCTTATAGGTCAGGTCAGCCAACGTTGGGGAGGGACAGCGGACGAAGGCGCAGGCGAGGGATGGGCAGTCTCACACGGCTGCGGGAGTTGCCGTCCTGTTCGTCTTGTATAACCCATGTCGCGTAAGGGAGGTCAGGATCCCCGCGATCTTGCTCAATGCCATGACGCTGCGCGCCTCGATGTAAGTGATACCTGCGAACCCAAACGCGAGCGGCATTGTACGATGCGCCGCTGGAGGTTGAGTGGTTTATTTTCGGCTCTGCGAAACGATGTGTTTAGCATAATCGCATGGCCCGGCCCCCATCCAATCCATAGTCACTGCGTGCGTGAGTGTGTGAGAGAGCGTGCGAGTGTGTGTGTGAGAGCGTGTGTGTCTCGTCCAATGCGGCGCGGAGTCGCGGTTGGTTCCGCTGCACCAGCTGCATTGCGCCCATGACGGAAGCAGTGCTCGGGGAGGGAACCTAAAGATCCGTCTCCGCTTCAGAAGGTGGCAACTGCGTGTGATACACATTATGGTGCACGTTATAATGCGGCGCAATGGCTCCGTGCTGGAGTATAGGTGCCACTGAACTCGGCTTGGAAGGTTGGGCGAGATTTGTCGCCTTGTGCCTCTCCTGTGCACAATCATCCATGTTGGGTAGCACGAGGTATGTATGTCTCGGCTAGAACATGCTCATGTTTGCCTCAGGGGACTAAGACAAGGTGTGCAGAATCGGCAGAATTGCAGTTTGCGCTCTTAGGCACGATGAATTGCCCCAAGCAACGGAAAGGAGCGAGAGACGGAGCTGGGTACTTCGGTTGGACAGCCCTGGACCCACGGGCATCGAGTACTCATCATGTGCACTGCATTCAGGTGATAGATAAGCCCTGGGCAGTAAACGGCCAAGGCGAAGCGGCCGCCTATATGCGAGCCCTGCTGTAAGAATGAGACCTGTTGGTGTGCTGACTTGTGAGGCATTCGTCTCTGAACACTTTTGTTCAACTGCTTGCCTTCGCTGGCAACTGCCCGGACTGACAGACAGACAGACAGACAGACAGACAGACAGACAAAACAGACGGACAGACTGACTTTGACAGGTCGACATAGGCAGGTGGATAAGGCGGGTGTTGATAATTGGTGGGGGGCAGTGCGTTTTGCAGAACGGCAGCTCACACAGTGTGAAAGGCGAGATCCGCACCCATGCTCTTTGTACTCCATTCTTGTACCGTGCGGTACTCCGCAGTGCAACCCCGGCTCAATGACATGCAGAGGACCGCCTCGGCCACAAGCGGAAACGGGAAGGTACTTTGCTCACTTCCCTGCGATGAGCGGACGGTCCACCGCTGTTTTGTGCCGACGGTGCACGCCCCGACTAGGCCCTGCCGTCCCCATCCGTATCGCCCAGCCAGGCATATGTGCGGTACTGTAGGGTCGAGTAGGCTGCAGATGCAAACGGCATAAATAATGACAGCGCCCGCATTGCATGTTTTATGTACGTGAGTACAGTACGGTACATTGTGCGCCAATGCATCACGCGATGTAGCTCGCCTGCAATCTGAGAACGATCTTCTGGCGTTCATAAAGCCGTAGGCGATCTGCATGACGATATGCACCTGGTCCAGGCAGGCTGTCATGCACGGGTACCTATCGGGTGCCTGGGCGAAGCGACAGCCAACAGGGTAATGTGACTCTGCAGAGTATCCGTACAGCATATACTGTACATGCACGGCCACTGACAATCGCCGTCTCCGGCCGTTGCCTCGACTGGGGTTGGGATGGATGTGTTGGGCACGATCCAGGGCCTGACCCGTTCGGTGTCTTGTCGGGTTGTCCACTGTCCCGACTGCTCAATCGTCTGTCAGTTGTTGCAGCCCGGTCCCCGCGGCGTCATGGATAGTCCCTTCTCAGAGAACCAGTTCCAGCAGCAACTGCCAACCGGAACACAGGCCCAGCCTGGGAAAACCGGGGCGGTGACGGGAGGTGCGGGCCACCGCAGCTGCCAGAGAGCACGTGACCGTTCCGAGAGGATAATCCTTGTAGACCACGGCTGCCCTCGAGTACTATGTCACCTGGGTACTTGGTAGCCAAAGCAAGGGATTTTGATAGGAAGGGAAGAGGGTGACACGAAGAAAATGCATCCGCATCCGGTTGGTTGGGTGATTGGCTTGCTTGCCGCCTAATCAAGTGCTGTCCTCCGTTCCATGGCCACTGGCATATGGCGCCTCCACGCTGACCACCACCGCTTTGACACCACTCCGCAGTTTGATGGCTGCTGGTCAGATGCAGAGTTCTCTTGACGTGGCATCAGATGACGGGGTTCATTGGCAACACGTGTATCGCCATTGCCGCATATTGCCGTCGCAAAGGATCAATGTCATCCCTTGGCTGCTCTGCCCGAGAGGCGATACCGTGAAAGCGTTGGAAAGCAAAACTCCATGCATCTATATAAGCAGGCGCGCTTTTGACATATATCGCACAAAGATGATGGTCCTGCGACTTGAACAGCATGTCGTGCCTTCTTGTGCATTCACACTCTAGGTTGCTCAGTCGCTTGAAGCTTTGAGCCCTGTTGACTTTTTCGAGAATGAATATCCGTGGAACCTTGGCACATACCAGCCGGGAGGCATGGGGCGCTAGTTGCAGCTCATCCAGAATCGTGCCCCAGAAGGTTCACTGCCATTGTTTGATACATCCGTCTTGGGTCGGCCATTCGTCATGACAGGATGGTCTTGGGATAATTGACTGCCTGCCACTGAAAGAGCGCATAGCTTTCTGACCAAGTCTGGCAACAAATCAATGGACACAGCGTGTCTCCCAAGGCGATTCGTCGCTTGGCGGCAGCAATAACCTCGCGTTGTTTTCGTCCGAAAATGCCATCGTACGAGTGTTACTCTGTAATTCCCACTGCCCTTTCCCATCCTTCTCTTGTAGAATTCTTGCCCGTACCTTGGGAAGACTAGAATGTACACTGAGCCGTGACTCCCTCTCTTGGTGGAATTATTCTCATATCCCTGACTAGGATATAGATTGTACAACTCCAAATCGGGGTAAGGGATTTGACAGTGACGCTTACAGTCTGGTCGCAAAGACGCGATTGGCAACTCCGACATGTGGTGCTGTCCATGTTTGTATGCTGAAGAATCCAAGCAGCTCTATCAGACTGCAATCCCAATGCTAAGATGACTTTGTCCTTTCATGCGGGAAATCTGTAGGTAGAAGTTCGCTATTGGGTCGTGTACTCGAGACTCACGCCAGGATCTGGCAAGAAACTTAGTTTCATGCTCGCCAGGCTATCTCAATCGCCGCCTCGTCGCCATGGAGGGACGTGCAGACGGACCAGAAGAAATCCATCCTCTGAGGCGAGAGCGCCATCACGTCGGGGTTGTCTGAGTGACATAGGTATATGTGAGGCTGGCACAGTGACTCAGTCGGCTTGAGAGGGCTGCGGCGCGAACATGCACAGACCGCGGCGCATGAAAGAAAACCAGACCAAGCGGTTTATCGCCTGTCTTGTCCTGCCGGTATTTGTGTTGTTGATCGCACTAATTTTCCTTGTCGCTGAGCCATCTTGCATGAGCTCTTGGTCCAACAGATTGGGTCTTCTACTCCACTCGAAGGCGAGTGACCTCTAACGAAAGATCTCCGTTCTTCATTGCCATGAGATCAATGAGTACTAACATCAAAAGCAAAGTTGCGGGGTTAACCTTCGGCAAGCCGCTGGATCGACGCCAGAAAGAACAAAAGTTAGCGAACGACAGGGTTAGCATACCTTTGTTAGGGCCCGAACCGAGACAGCTCGGCCTGAGCCCGGGGCTTCCAAACCAGTGAAACGTGGTTTCAGAAGATTGTCTTCCCTCGTTACTGTTAATGGGATCACCGTCCACAAGCCAAACGTGTGCGCTACGTGAGTTGACGTTGAGAGCACAATTGACGACACCAACTTACTTTTGGCCAAGCTGTAGAGCTGTGGGGCCCCTTATTCAGACCCCAAACGAGTCTCACCGGCTGCTAGGCGCAGAGGTATGACCATAGTTCGCTGCTATCTTCCGACGCCTGTGGTCCGGCAGAAATAATTGCAGTGGCGTAGATAGCGCGTGGGTCCCCCCCATCGTGACTGTGTGACACTGTGTGACGGTCAAATACTAAAGTTTGTGACTATCGCCAGCTGAGATGGGTCGAGGAAACGCTGGCTTGGTAGATTCGGCTGTGGCCGCCGCTGGAATCGGTGCATGAGCTTGGGAATTCTAGCTACTGAGCCTGATGTTCGGGCCATGGCAACAAAAGCGCACCCAGAAGAGTGACACAGATAGCAATAGGCTGGGAGCTCGCCGACGCAATGATCCCAGTCACCCACCCGCAATGAGCAATTTCACTGCTAAACCACAAAGTGTGGATTCTGCTGTTTGGATGTCGCTACATAGAAGCGACCTGGATGTCTCTCTTCCTGGGTATCATCTCTTGCGCCCGGAAACAGATGATGCGGCGTCCGATTGCAGAGATGATGTTCCACTGAGTTCTGTTATATGATCTTGTGGGTTGTCGGAGAGAATGATTCTTTTTCGAGAAGCACAGAATGAACATCGGGACTGTGTGAATTGGCGGTCAACATGATTCAATCCTCCCCCCTCCCATTCCCTGGGGCGACAAGGAAGCAGTGAGCCATCCTTGATGAGGACACATCATCAATATTTCTGCTCGCAAGTATGCTGTCTGCATAGATGCAGTACTTCTTACCCAGCGTGATGGGTTCTGCTGCTATCTATGCACCGGTGGTTGTTCAGGTGGCCAGTGCGGTCCTTTTGGGCGAGTGGCGCAGTTTTCCACAGCTTCTCGCCTTGTCAATCATCAATACAGCCTCGAATGGTCTGAAAAGGCACGTAAGTCCCTGGCACCTTTTGCGGGCTCCAAGGCACGTCGACATTCAATGTTCAGACCTGGCTGGCGAAGTGTGAGAATCTACCTTCACCCGGGGACGTACGGTGCGACTCATTCGCGCGGGAAGACTCGAAGCTCTCCTTTTTTCCCTGTCCTTGGCTGCAAGCCGGCCGACTTACTTCGATCCCGCATCGTCGAGGGCGAAAGAGTCTCCATGGCAGCTTTGTCGCTCTTCGTGACGACGATACTCCTCAAGAGCTCCGACAGTACTACATGGCATTAATCACCAGTGTCATGGCGCCGGCAATATTGTGCTTCATTCGCAACGAAACGGTGCAAGCCCCGGTCTGTAGGCCACTGTCTAAGGCTACCCCCCCTCCCCAGCGCAGCGGCATAACCCGGGCGGTCCGCAAAGCTTAGTGGAAGGGCTCCGTGAGCTCTCTAGCCTTGATCTTTGGGCCGCTTAATTGTGTTACAAACCGACCGCGCTAGGATACGGCCGCGGTAGTTGATTTAAGGCAATGGCAGAATGAAGTCGGCTTTCGTCTTTAGGTCATTACATTTCGCCGTTTCAAGCGTGCTGACACAAGCTGCACCCGTCGGCATCGACCACTGACAGGGTTCGACCGTATGTATAGTGAGGGCTGACGGGAGGATCGGTAGTCTTGTAAAGGCCCCTGACCTGAGCCATTCGCGGCGAAGAGCACAAAAGTCCCAAAGCACGATGAGTGAGACACCACGATACCTTTCCTATTCAGTCGAAATCTCCGTCGCAGGATTTTGCACATGGGCTGTCTGTTGAGCGCCGTCCGTGAGTCTTCTTCATTCGGGTGTAGGGTTGCACGACAGTAGTGACCGACAAGACCGGGAGATGCTGCAGGTGAGAGCACGGATGTAACCAGGTGGTAGGAGGACAGACTAGACCATACACGAGAAGTGGAAGAGCAAATTGCGAAAGAACGCCGAACCCGTCGGCGAAAAGCACGACCATACATTTGTTATGCCCAAGGTTGCGGCCGTTTAACATTCGACCGCTATGATGCTTTGGCACTGTAATACACAAGAGAGGTGACGTTCAATATTTTTGGGATGAGGGAGGGGTTTAGAAGCGCTACTTTTGCCGCGCATAACGCGGCGGGACAGCACCTTAGTAGTAGTAAGGGGGGGGGGCAGTCGAGAGAAAATAGCTGCACAGTGGGAGGAGTTGTGGAGAGCACAAGTCGTTGAGATTTGCTTGTTCCCACAGCGGCGAGTGCTTCTGTATGGAGAAGCCGGAAGTAGTTGGGTCTCAGCTTTGAAATTGGCAGTGCTGGCTAAGCCGACTTCCCAAGTAGCTTGTCGCTGTTAAGAAGACTTTGTGACAACCTTGAACCTGAAGCACTGCGGTGTCCGACCAGTGCTGTTAGAGGGCGGGCGACATGGCATCAGATACCACAGTATGTCCCGGGTGAGAGTTTGCGTGGAACCCTCGATTTTTGTCGCCGGAATCGGGCAAGCGGTACAAGTGGACTGAGCAGGGGTAGAGATCGCGTGGGCAGTGGAGATGAGAAGCCGGGGTCGAGGACAATAAGAGGCGTGATCCCTGTCAGTGTCTATCCCCAGGTGCGCTTGCCCATGTCCCTGACTGGCAGCCTACGCGTGCTCTCCCTCGTGAACGGACGCTTGGAACGGACGCTTGAAGGCGGCCGTCATTGGGCAGGGTCGTGCGGGAGATGCAGCCAAGGGTTCTGCTGCCCGGTGGTTGTTGGACAAGGGCCCTAAAGGGTGGTACGATCTGTACCGCTTCCCGCTTCCCCGTCTGTGTCTTCCTGCATTCAAACTGCCTGAACTTTCCCAGGGGACTGGGTCCAATGACACCCTCGCTTTTCCTTGGGTGTATCGAATCCTTCTTTTGGAGACAGCCTGCCACCCTGCCAACAAGGCTTCGAGGCAGCCAGGCGTTGTGCAACCTGGATCCCTGAGGGCCGACGGAAGGATTGAGGGCAGCGTGTCGTCGTTGTCGTCGGCAGTTCTAGACTCTCGCTGATTGCACGCATGGGTTTTGACAGCCGTGGCTTGCAGTGAACAAGGCCCAGCCTGCCGAGTGGCCTTTCGCGGCAGCGCAACAACGCTGTTGTAGGATGCCGACCCGTGCAAATACGCCCAGCACGGGTGGCTAGAAGCAGGCTGGCGATGCAGCCAAAGGCGATTTGCTGCACTGGTGTCGGTTCTCTGCAATGCGATGTGGTGCATCATGTACGAAACGCGCATTAGGGAACCTCAGGCGGCCGCCGGGCATTGGTTGTGTCGCAGAAGCACTGCCCAGGCCAGATGCTTCAGGCCAGCATGGGTGACTCGATGGACTGACATGCGTGTGTAGAAGGATGCAGTCATTTGAAACGAGGGATCGATAATGGATCGCACTGGCAGTTTGGCAGTCGAGACAGGCCAGCAGAATGCTGCGTGGGTGCAAGTTGATGGTGGTTCAGACGCAGTCCGACATGATGAGCAGGCGGACGGTTCTTCAATATACCTGAAGATATGGACAGAACCTTAATGAACGAGGTTGTGGAAGTGGCTGAGCCTGGGAACATTGTAAATGACTCTCCAGAAACGGCAGCGAGCCTCAAGAGCAGTTTTGGCAGTCGCGAGGGGTCTGGAGACGGTGGCACGTTACGGTCGCCAACAGACAGACACCAGCAGACTCCGACTCCTCATCCCCACTGCGTCGCAGCTTCACATAATTGAGGCTGGTAGGTAGACTCTGCCCTTGCACCACAGCTCATGGGTGTTTCCTTCTCCTGCACCCCTTTGCAAGCCCATCTGCCGTCCAAGGCGCTAGCTGCTTTTCTGTGCCACCATCTCGAGCCTCCAGCCAACGGTAGCAGACGACAGGAGAGCGGCGTCAGAACATGCTGCATTTCTGAGCATCACACTACATAGCGCCGCGCGGTTTGAAGTACAGTAAGTCCTTACATCCTTCAAGGTCTCAGGCTTCTTGTTGTGGGTCAGTCATTGTGGCCTGCTTTCCCCAACGACACAAAATTGACAGGCTCAGCGTGTCCTAGTCGAACCCTGGGCCGAGACCGACCAGAAGAAGAGACCAGACCTTGCTATCCACAGCAACATCAAGAACATCATCATGATGACGATCATCATCATCATAAGCATTTTTCATCACCATCACCGTATCATCGTCGCCGCGTTCCAATTCGTAGGCTATCGAGCCATATGGTGACACCCTTATCTGGACTTCGAACCGTGCATCAAATCGTGTAACGACCAGCAAGTCCAGCTCAGCCTGTTATTTTTCCTACTTGTCCGCCAACGGCCGCGGTCCCAGGAGAATTCCCCACACGAGCGGGATGACGAGTTTGGCCTAAGCTGGTATCACCCCTGGAAGTGGGCACAGCGGCGGCGATGACACAGAAGGTTCACGGGCTGTGCCGCGAATCCTGCAGGTTCTGCGAACCCCTGTTGGCCACGAGGTTCCCTCCCATCAGTAATAAGCTGCCCGCCATGACTGGAGGACAAGCCAAGAGCCAATGGGCCGGACTACGACCGACTGCTTCCTGGTTGCTTCTCCGGCAACCTTGCAGAACTTCGAACAGGCTGGCAAAGCTCCCTGATTCGTTCACAGCATTTTCGCTACTCACGTGGCGCAGAAGACCTTGAAATGAAACGAGGAAATCGAAGACGACCGGAAGGGCCGCTCTACGGCCCTGCAACATGATTTGCTGTGAAGAATGACCCGAACACGAAATTGGTGAGTCTCTCTGGTCGAGTCTCCACTGCCAGGGAGCCGAGGGATCCAATGACTTCCGAACATCTCGTGTCGAGCCGTCCACCCCTGCCCATCTTGAGCCCGATCGATCTAGTGCCGCCCGCTCTAGCACCTAACCACGACGCCTGAAAACTCCGAATTACCAGAGCCCTGGGCCCATTCGCATGTCATGGTCGCCGGCAAACCGGCTCGAGTTATTAGTTACTACAGCACGGTCTCGTCAACTAAGACCGTGAGGCCGAGCTCAATTCTCAGGCGTGGCAGGGAGCAAGGCTTCTGGATATAAGCATCGAGTTGCATTCGCACTGTCCTTGAGATTTGGGATCGTCCCAGAGTCGACAGACCGTACGGTACGTTGTCCTGTGTCAGCCTCTTCCGCTCCACTGGCGGCTTTCAATCCTTTCACGGTTGCCGGACTTGGCGCGGGTCACCATTAGGATCCGCAGAGTTGCAGCGATGACCCAACAGAGCAACCAGCGGTGAATGACAAGAGAGCCCCTCGTGGCTCGCAATTTGGTTTTTTGACGCCGTACCTCAAACGGGCAGGCAGACGAACACCCCTCTTGTTGCTGTCGCTCAAATCCACCAAACAATAGCAGCACACTGCTGCACGTGGAGAACCTATGTTTCGCCAACGGGCACGCAAGTCAGGCGGCCATGCCCGATCAACCGTACCAAACAACGTGCGGCGGTTATACTGCCAACGGCCTATGCGAGGGAAACAAACCAAAACTCCGAGAGGATGCAGCGGTTGCAGACCGAATAAAGTCTCTAGTGCATTTTGTTTAGCATGGTCACTACGCATGCGCACATTGTTGATCTATGCCTCTATGTACAGCCCTGTTGCTTGACTTGCGACAAGGACACCACCTATGGTTTGCACGGTGGCAGAATCCCGACTGGAGAACAAATTGGGTACAAACTTCACTGCTGCGGCCGAGCATGCGGCCTACATATAGGGACCCGGAATGGTGGGATGAAACGGCCCATTAGACGCGGGCCACATCTATCTCAGATCACCACCTGATTGGAAAACGAGCCCTTAGAATTGCCTTCGGCCTCCAACAGTTGCGGCTCTCCAATCATTTGTTTCGGCGCCTAGGCGCTCGAGGGTCTGATGACCTCAATACTTCACGTTGACTTGACCGGTTGAAAGTCGCACACCAGACTCGCATGTGCCACCGTGGTGCGTAGCACATTCGCAGGCCACACAGGACCCGATGCAAGAAGCCAACAAACAAGCGCCATGCCGCGCTGCCTTACGTGCCCCCCCCCCTCCTTCTTTGCAGTACGTACTGCCAGTCCCGTAGGATTCTCTCACACGGCAGCCACCGCTGAGGCGTTGGAGCATCCTGTTGTGTGCCGAGGCGACTCAGGACTGACTTGGTGACACAACATCTCATCGAGACACATGGCATCTGACAGCCAGCCACCTTTTCATGTATTTCAACGCCTCATGGCCCTGACGATGCGCTCGCCGACCGAACATGTGGGATGATGCTGACGGAAAGTCTGCCAAATCGAGCAAGATTCCTCGCGAATGGCGTCGAGTGGCAATGCTCTGAGGGCCGACTAAAATCAAACGGAGACAGGGGTTGATACCGACAATCTGGTTCACGTCCAGCCGAAGCAAGCCAGGCGAAGGAGGCGGAGTCACAAAGAACAGACAGCAGCTCTTCATTCGTCTCCCGCCTCACATGTGCTTGTGTGCCGGTAAAGTAAGTTTCACTAAGGTGCTATCTGGTGCGACCACCTCCCACTAGACGAGACCAAGACACACTACGGAGCACTACCTTTTCATCGTTTGCTTTTCCCTCCCGTCCGTCCTGTTTTAGAGAAAGGACTGTGCCGAAGCGGCCCGCTTGCAACCCTGCCTATCAGCGACCCGGAGGAGGGCCCCGGAGTCGCTGTTCGTTCGACACGCGAGTTCCCTTGCGCCATCCGAGATTCTGCAAACAAAGCCGAGGGCGATAGTGGCGGGAATTTGCATCATCAGCTGCTCACTGCGTTCCGAAATCTCGACTTCCTAGCTGGTGGCCTTGCTGCATCGGGAGTCATTCCACACCCTCGGGGTGTGTGGTGAAGCAGGCCTCGTGGCCGGTAGCCCATGTTCAGATTAACGACACAGTGTGACATTTGGAATACCCGTCAGACCAGATGTACCGTGTCACATACACAGTATTGCAGACGTTCAGCGGGGTGCAGGATTCGTCGATGGCACCAGTGGCCCGGCCCAGTGCGCCCCTGTGCTTGCTGGGGCCAGGATCGCATGCTGGGGTTTGGCAGCTGCAAACGCCAACCCATGGCGCTACATAGGTAGAGTTCGTCAGCCGTATTTTTCATCCTCCTGCCCTTTAGAATCAGTGCCCTCTTTGACAGCTCAAGTCATTTTACCTGCGGCTCCCCTGCAGACTCTGGCGGCCATGTGTGCTCTACCCCTTTCCCAGCGCCTGCCACGGATAAATCTTAATGTGCGAGGGCGACACCTGACGATCGGAGGACCATGAGGTCCCCCAGAGCCACGAGGGAGGACCCGAGCCATCCGTGGATGTTCCAGGGACTACAAATCTTAAATGCGGTGCCACTGGATTCAGCGGAGGCCCAGAACCTCGCCTCTTACTCCAGGTTTCTGCGAGTAAAGAGAGAAGAAAAGCTAGAACAGCGCCTCTCAACCGCGCGCAAATGTGGTCTGAAGGTTCAAGGTTCAGGGTGCGTACCAGTCTGCAGAGCAGGGTCTGTGAGCGATGGCTCCCTCCGGATATCGAACGATGGCAGCAGTGAAAGCCCAGAGGTCCTCGCCCCTTCTACCAGCACTGCACTTGGCTTGGCTTGGATGGGCTCCCGGGCGAAGAAGTAGCCCTTCGCGACGGGCTTTGTCTGGCGGCACACTCGACACCGTGGATGCGCGCACTTGCCGGTATCACCTGAGCTGCCCGTCTACCTACGTCCACCTCGAGCTCTAGTTTCGTGGTGCGTCCGAACATGTCCCTTCTGCGACCTGGATGGAGGTGGAACCGGGCGCCTTGTTCATTGCGATGCGATGAGAATGAAACATAGCTTTTGGAGATGCTGCCTTGGTTGAGACCCAATTAGACTTTGGCCAGGCTCGTCATGTCATGTCAAGGCAGGGCAGGGCAGGGTAGGTCAGGGCAGGGCATGGCATGGCAGATCAGGGCAGGGCGGGCCAAGGCAAGGCGAGGCAAAGCCCATGGGAAGTCAGTCATCTTATTGTTTGCGCTATCGCCCCCTTCTCGTGCCGTGAATGCCAGGAACGGCGGGAGATGCATGTAAGGCTTGCGAGGGCAGGTGACGGGTAGGGAACGGAGCACGTACAGTACAGTACATGGGCAAAGTACCTGGGCATGCAGGTACTTTGGCCAAGTATCTTCCCTCTCCCGGTACGTACCCCAGAGCAGGGATGCAAGGATAAGTTGGGACCACCCCTGGGCCTGGGAGCAAAACAACCTGGGAAGGCACATGGGCCTTTCCCGCCCTCCTGCTCGGTCCCCTGCCCTGCCTAGGTACTATCCCTATCCCATCCGCCCATTCATCCATCCATCCATCCATCCACCATCCTATCCATCCAACCCACCCATCATCATGATCCATGGAGCCATGGGACCATGATGCATCCTTACCCTTACCAGCTTACAGCACAGTACCCAGACCAGACAGCTAGAGTGCCACTCTTTTTCCCTCTCTCTCTCCTCCCCCTCCGTCGGTCGTGGAACCCTTCCGTCTGTTGCCAAGTTTGGAGACAGAGAGGGCTTGTCTTTCCATTCCTTCTCCATTCCACCCATTGCCATCCATACCAGAGCCGGACCAGACCATGACCATACCATAAACCATACCTACCTAACCTAACCTGAATCTGAATCTGAATCCGACCCGACGACCTGACTACTTGACCTGAACCCCCCAGACAGGACCAGGCAGGCCCAGGAACACATACCTCCCACCTACCTGCCTGCCTCCCACACACACACACACACACTCACACTCACACTCACACACCACACACTCTCTCACTCTTACTCTGCTCTCCCACCTCCTACGTGCCCAAACAGCTCGTACGTAAGTTAGCACCAACGAGTGCTGAGGGAATACATTACCATCCTTCCCGCACTTTTCTGCACTCCGCGGCTTCCATCGTCCATCCCTTTCCCCTTTCTACCTTGTCTTTGTCTCGCTTCTGCCCTGTCTTGCCTATCGCCTCCTCGTCTCGTTTTCTCATTCCAATTCCGCTGTCGGGCCCGAGCCGACGACCCCCACCCGCCACTGCAGCAGGCTCACAGAACAGAAAAGGTACGGTATGTTTTTGTTGTGTGCGTGCCTGCGTGCGTCCGTATTTGTTCTGCATTTGCCTCGACTCGATCACCATCACACACACACACACACACACACACACACCCACACATTGTTGACTTGCTTGATGACGACTTGACGCACTTGTGCTCCAGAGTGCGCCATGGCCTTTGTTCCCCTTACCCTCCGTTTTGCTCCCCTCACCCAACTTGCCTTCCCCCCTCCTGCCAACCAGGAAGAGGGCACAGTGCTTTGCACTCGGCGTCTTGCTGACAGTTGGCTGCAAACGTTGCCCCTTGGCTCCCCCCCTGCAAAAACGCCTCTTTCTTTTCCTGGCTCCCTTCATTTGCCCGTTTTATTCTAATACCATGATATCATGACCCTGGCGTTCCCGCAATGAGTTGGAGAACTGGGGGCCCGGGCTTGTTGTAGGCTGACATTCCTCGAGTGGACGGCAGAAGATCTAGAAGACTGGAGACTGTAGTCCGGCACTGGGCTTGGAACGGAGACTGCTTTCGGCGCGGCTCATTCGCGGCGAGGCCAGGCCTTGGTGAAGGTTGGCGAGGTCGAGTTCGAGCTCGAGTTCGAGAAGCCAACGAGCGGACTGAGGGCCAGAAACGGTGCACACCCTAGGGCGACCAGCCGTCCCGCCCATGTTGCCTTGGTGTCTTGGGGCTTTTTCCTTTTGAGATTGACGAGCCCTGCCAGCGAGATCAGGACCTGATCTAGTAACCTTCCGGGCTGTCCCGCTAAGTACTTACCGTACCAAAACCAGCCACCTGGGCAGGCAGAGGAACTGGGGGTACTACTGGTACTACTGGACTGTACTGGGCCGTACTGTGCTGTGCCGTACCGCGTACCGTACCGTCCGTACCGCACCGTACCGCACCTGCACACACTTGCAGACTGCAACCGCAACTGCTGGGCTGCTGCTACTACTGGTACTGCTGCTACTGCTGCTGCTGCTGCTGCGACTTGCGGTTGCGACTACACGCCCCGAAGCCTGACGAGGGAGTTTCCGACTATAAGGAAGGGTGTTCCCGCCCCGAATCCGCCCAAGGGAAACTTCTCCACACTTTGGGAATTTTGCATCGGCCCCTTCCAAATTTTGCCAAATTGCCAGCAGCAACCCCAAAGTGATAAAGAGAGAACCCTCTTTTTTCCTTTGCGCAACCTCATCCTCGACACACCACCACTACTCATACACACACGCACACACCACATACCACACACACAAACACACACAACAGCACACCGCACCGCACAGCACAGCACAAAACAATACAACACAACACAACACCATTCCATCCGCAACCATCAATTGACTGGGGTCTGCGCCCCGTCTCGATCACGTCCACCTCAACCCCTGGTGCGTGCAGCATCATCTTTGGGTTGTGCGACAAGCGTGATCCTCATAAATAACCGCCACGACTAGTACGACTGTTACCTGTGCTACTGCTATTGCGAATACCACCACCAACACCAGCCAGGTCATTTAATTGACACGACTTGCGCGGTCGCATTCACTATCACAAAGCAGCTGCTCCTAGATCCATCTTGAAAGTAACACACCCCTGACAGCTCTCCTGCAAGCTTGTCCGTTCGACTTGTTCGAGCTGTTGTCAGGCTGGCGCCGAGCATAGTCCGCCAGTTTAGGATGTCAGATCAGGAAGGCGGCAGGGGCCATCCCCCTCGAGAAACCCAAGAGTCCGCCTATCCACCGCCTCCTGGTGAAGAAGACGATCGCTCAAGACCACCCTATCACCACTTGCCTCCTCCTCCTGGGGCGACCGTGACTCTCCCACCAATCCATGACGCTCACCCGGCCTATGGTGGAAGCCGCTACCCGCCACCTCCAGACCCCAGATCACGAGGGACCTACTCTGCTTCTCCCACTGGTGGTCCAAACGGCTATCCTGCTCCGCCTGGCGGTATGTATAACCTGCCTCCTGTCCAGGCACCTCCGGATCAGCGACACTACGGCGTTGAGCCACGCGATTATTATTCACGCGGCGGATCCTTTCCGCCACATCCTCAGCCCGAGCCTTACAACTATGGCGGCTACCGACCGCCTTCTGGGCCTCCCTACGGTGCTTATCCTCCCGAGTTTGCACGCGGTCCAGGCGGCCCCCCACAACAGGCAGCACCGCGACAGAGAACTTCGATAGCATGTCGTTACTGCCGCAAACGGAAAGTTAGTAGCAGACGATCTCTCTCTCACATCAGCCAGAGAATTTTGTGTGTGATTAGCTTGTTTTGCTGACTTGGCGCTTGTAGATACGTTGCAGTGGCTACAGCCAGACTCCCGATGGGAAATGTACAAACTGCAGAAAGACGGGCAATGAGTGCATTTTCCAGCCGGTTTCCTCGTCCTCGACCACTGCTTTTGTGCCCGTTTCAGCTGTGCCCGGTGGTGTTCCCCCTGGGACGCCTTTGTTTGGCGCCTTTGGACAGCCGTTGCCGCAAGGAGGAGCACAACCAGCACAACCTGGAGGGGCGCCTCAGCCACCCGCCGGTGGCTCGCAGCAGCCGTACCCGCCTTCGGACAACTATGCGCTGCCCTCGCCCACGGGGTCTTACTACCCTCCACCTCCGGAGGACAGAAGTGGAGTCCCACAGCGTCGATTGCACGAAGAGGAGCACGGGCAACGCCTCCCTCCTCCGCACGTATACGGTGAACCTGACCCTCGACGACGCTCTCCTGCGTCCTCTGCGCCCGGTGGTACACCGCCTCAGTACGAGTACCCGCCGCCTGACAGAACCTCGACTCCTGGTCAGCGCCGAGAGAGCCCTAATGCGCCTCAATCTGGGCAGCAAGGAGGCAGTGTTATGGCCCTAAGCAGCTTGATGGAACACCCTCCACCACGCCCTCCGCCAAGCTCTGACTCAAGCCGCGACATCGATCAGAACATGCTCGGACGCCTGAACCGACGGACCTAGGAGGGCTAGGAGGCTTGAGGAGGATTCGTTACGGTGCGGAGCTGGCTCGAAAGCCATGCGCAGGTGATATCTGGAGCTCGGGACTCGATCAACGGCGGTTCACCGGAGACCTCGCCCTTGCGCGACGACGAGCTGGCTTACAGGGCCACATGCGACAGTGGCTAGGCCAACGGACGGCATCGATGCATCTCTGCTGGACAGTCTTGATCCATCCGTTTCTGAAGCACGCGTTTTCTTAATCTTCTTTCGACTTTCCAGCATCCTCACTCGTCGACAGCTCGGTTTGCTTTTCTCGAACTACTATGATACCCCCCGATTGTTTGGAAGATTGTCTGCCATGGATTAACTTGGCTGCTCGGGCATGGATGGGTAATTTGGAAGTTGGACGGAATGCCGCTTTACTCGATGGGACGAGGTGGGAGAAGAAGGGACGGGAGGGAAAACGGGAATACAATGACTGGCCACTGTTGCATGTCTGGGAGAGCAAAATATTACAAAACAAAGGGTGCGCCAGCAACTGAGGCGGCAGAGAAGGACTCTCAAGATTTGGCGACTGCTGCGAGGCGGGCATTCAGCAACTAGATGATCTCCTCGGTTTGGCGACAAACACTACACCCGTTCCCTACAGCTAGCCCTTTGCTTTTCTTTTTCTCAGCTATGCTTATTTCTGCAGCGAGGAAACATAGTAATGCCGGGGATTCTTTTTCTTGAGTTTATTTTTTTGTACCTCTCATGCATCTGTCTTGGCATTTTTGTTTCTTCCTGCCTCATGTACAGAGGCGAGGGCACCACAGCAAATTTGGGGGGTTTTGAAAGAAGGATTGCCTCACGGCAGAAGAGAAGGCTGCAACAAGTCATGCTTTTTATTTTTTGGTTCTCTCTTTTTTTGATGATTACGCTACTTCCATGCCTTTGCTTGCTTTTTAAAGCTCATGTCTGACCATGCACAAAAACGTTTTTGTTATTCGTTCGCTTTGTACAAACCATTCCCTATTCTACTACACACACATCTTATCCATCTACCTTACCTTGCCTATAACAGACAAAAAACAATACCATGCTGCAAGCCTGTTCTGGCGAGAAGAGGAAGGTTGGTTTTTTGGGGAGGGAAGAGGCACACTTGTTCTCGCGAACCAAAGACGTGCGTCCGAACAAGTTCTGCGAGGAACGAAAACCATTAACAAATATAACAACGATGTTGCTTTTGGTCTGATCAAGACCAGTGGCGCCAAAAACATACAAAGATCCCTCTCCCCTCTCCCTCTCTGTGTCTGTGTGTGTGCCTATGTGTCTGCCGTGCTCTGCTGCCGCCGCTGCTGCCGCCGCTGCTGTTTCCATCCCGTCGTCGAACCATCATCCATCCCACGTCCCACGATCCGAGACCCGAAAGCGTCGACCGCCCACAGCCAACCGATGTGACCTCCGTTTCATGAGCCCCGGCTGCCTTGACGGGCGGGCGACGAGGCGGGAGAAAAAAACAAACTTTTGGCTACGGAGGGCGCTAGACGGGAATAGCTTCGTGTGATATCGGTTCTTCCTCTCTTCTATGCCGTGAATGTTGCCAGCAGGCGAAACGGCAGAAAGCATAGTCCCGCAGGCGCCAAACCTTGAGGACCCCGTCTCCTATGCCTACTATGGCAATGTTACAACGGCGGGCGGGCGCCATGACGGACTGGCGGACAAGAGAAAAAGACGACACTACGCAGCAGCGGGTGGGCTGCAGCAGCTAGTAGGCCTTTCCCAGGATTTTGCTGTGCTCTCAGAGCCCCACGTTCCCTTCTCTGACCCCCTCCCCTCCCCCTGCCCTGCCATCGGCCTCGGCTGCTCAGGCCACAGTAGTTCAGACGGGGTTTGTATTAATTGTGGAGCTGGGCTGCGGCGAGATAGACTCGCGATGAGGGGTCCCATCCTTTGTGACTCTTGTCTGCTTATGCCAGAGTGTGCTGCATTCGAACACACTGTGCCAGGACGTACGTACGGGCGCCTGGCGCTCCGCTGGAGCGTCCGCTGGAGGGACGTAGAGGGAGGGAGAGAGAGCAGGAGAGGGGAGTTCGGCCGCCCCCCAATGTTCGTGCGTGCATTGGCTGCGTGAGGGTCTGCCCTTGCAGCCCGGGCTGCCTGGGCATGGGTCTGAGCATTGACGGGCCTCGCTGTCAGCCACGAGGTGGTCTCCCAAGCCGGTGCTGGGATTTGTTTGGGATCTGCCGGGCTTTGGAGAGAGGGACAAAACGTTTTGGGTACACTGGACGGGCTGGCAGGCTGGGTCGTGGGGGAATAATCTCCGGTCTAACCGTGTATTCTGATGAGGCCTTTGCCCTGCTGCTTGGATGATGGATTAGAGATGGTTTAAGGAGGAAGGTGGACGCGTTCGCTCGCTCACGGCGCAGTTGCAACGTTCACTTTTTCCAAGGTTGCCGGGGACGGAGAATGGCACTCTGCTCGCTCAGGTCCCGAGGTGATGATCACCACTGCCAGTGCCCTCGGCTCACAGACTGCTTGTTGTACCCTTTCTCTCTCTCTCTCTCTGCTTCCCGCAGCTGGGGCAGAGGGCCTGTGTCCTCCCCCGTTGGAGACCATCGCGTAGAGCTTGCTCAGGAGAAGGCCTCGCAGCAGCGGGCATCCTTGTTCAGCAGCAGGATGCGTGAGTAACGGGCCCCCAGGCAGAGCGAACGAATGACTTGGAGGGGGGGATTGGCGCTGGGGCGAGTTGGCGCCGGCAGAATTGTGGAAACGCAACGAATGTATCTACTCATATGAAGGGTCTCCGGTTCGTCTGGGCCTCGTGGGGTTCGATGTTGCTGCTGCTGCTGGTAATGCAGCAGCCAGGGGGGTCGTATGGGTGGATTGGGTGGGCAAGTGCTGCGAGATGATGGATCTTGATCGGAGAGGGGACCGATCACGGTGACTCTGGGCAGCAGAAAGCCTGATGTGTGTGTCATGTCGCACTAATACGGAGCAGGTGCAGACGGGATGGCTGGTCGACGTTCCGCGGGGCGGATTCTCCGTCGATGGCAACGTCAGTCAATCTGTGGCAGTCGCCGCGGCAGGGACTGAATGGGCAATCCGACTTCTTTCCAAGGTTGAGCGAGATACGACAAAGACACACACACACACACACACAAACACCTGAGTTACCTCTTTCTTTCTCAGTCTGTCCCTCACTCTGCCTTTTCCAGAATGATTTCGAGGCCATCACAGCTCCGATCCACATGTAGATAAGATTGTCTTTGTGTTATGTACATGTAGGTGCCCGTGTAGGCAGGCAGTATGTACACAGTAATAAATACCTTCAGATTCTGGCCCAAAGTGCCAGGCAACGAAATATCGTCATGACCGTCTGGGCAGTAGCTTCCAAGTTTCGTTTCTCTCGTTAGACGGAAGCTACTGCAGGATTGTTCAGTTGACGGCGGGAGCAGCCATGGGTCCGTAGTGCTTGCCCTGCCGAGCGGACGGTTGGTTGTTGGTTCCAAGTTTGGCTTGGGCCCCTCAGACCTCAGCTGCTGAGCTCCGTTTTGGTAGACGCCAATACGGCTGCCACTGACAAGCTGTGCACGCCTACACCTCTCTCAATCGTGGCCATTCCAATTCAACATTACCGTCAGCCATCTAAACAGGCCGTCAAGTACCGTATTGATGGTGTTCATGGTGATCCTCAATGCTGAGATGTCATTGTGCCTCCTCGCGCAGTCAGCACCGAGAACACCAACAGCACTGCTCATGATGCCCACACACTGCCCTCTACAATTTCATATCGTGGTATTAGGCGGTCATCTCTGCAAAAAACACATTCTTGTTGTGGCGACCTAACCTTAGGTGTGATTCCTCGGCCTCCATGCCCAGGAGATCACTCCACAACAGCCGAAGACCCAGCACGGCTGGCCATCACGCTCATCAAGGCACCCATCACCAGCACATATCACAGCCTCAAAGATTGGTACTGTCACCTCCGTTGTTGCAATCCACATCCAATCTCGAGACAAGCTTGGTGACATTGTGCGAGGGGTGCTCAATAGACGGCAGCGTTAGCCCAGTCACTGACCGAACTTTGGTAGCCAACGCTGCCGCTAGCAACACGCCGGGCTGCCCTGCCCAAGTCCCAACTCACATCGGTCACCACGCTTCATCCCGTGGCCAGTCTGAGCGTTGGGCAAGCCCCTATTCCGCCTGGACCTGGGCACCGCCCATCGTTGCCCGACTAGCGGACCGAACCCAGGAGAATCGGCACGATCGTTCAAGAACTCCACCAGCCACTCGCGCATTGCGAACGGCAAAGCACTAACTCGGAGTCTCCGTTCGTCTACCACGCTGAATCACGCCACACGTCACATGCACCAAGGGACTATGCCCGCTGCGCAGGCGGGATATCCCAGCTTCAGGCTTGCGACGCGGCCCGGCGTTGGGCTACTGTGCTACCAGCCGGCCAAGGAGATTTGCCCGGAGCTGTACCAGCGAACCAGAAGACAAAGCTCCTACGGTGCGTGATCAACTGGTCGGCCCAGACGAGAATGGTATCTCAGCCCGTCTTGGACACGAACAAAGAGCCTGGCTTCACATCCACGAGTCGAGAGGCCACATGTGTTCCTCAGATGCTCGGCCTAGCGTCAGCGACTAAAGGCTGAGCAGGGCCAAGCCAGCCACAGCTGACTTTGGAGCGGTGGGATGTACATCAATAGCATATGCGCTACCTCTAAGAGAATAACCTTTTCCCGTCCTGGTGTTCCTTGCTTTTGACGCAACGTTCGAAGCCGACCAAGATTACCCGGCACCGCGTTACCCATGGAAGGCAACAGACCCCTCTTCCCGGCGACTTAGCGGGCGGATGTGCATGAATACAGGTAGAAAGACGGCTGAGGGGCTCTAGTGTACAGTGTTTTTAAGCGTTGCACAGAATCCAGCACTGACCTTGGTCGGTTAACGGGAGCTTGGCTGTCTTGTTTTTGATCAGGCCGGTCTGTACTGAAGGACCGCGCCCAGAATTTGCCTCAAGTGCTACATTCTTT